TTCACAACGAAACTAACAGCTTCAAGATCCCTTGAGACTATGACGTTCTCAAAAGGATCTTCCTAAATCGTGAAAAGATCTTCCGAGGATCCTTTAATAGTCTTCAGGACAATATTTTAATGATAGGGGCGCATAAAGGAAAAAGACCGAAAAAAAAAAGGAAAAGGGGAATATATGAAGTATTAGTGATATAGAGTGTTAAATATTGTTCTAACCATTTCCGTGCCATCTTGGTATTTTATTACCGTGTGAATTAGATCCGCCAGGCATATGCCAACCCGTTAAGATTGCATTTTGTGTTATTGAAATGAATACAAACTAGCCCACTTAAAAACCCTTCCTCGCGGTTACGAAGTACAATTTCAACCTGATCACGTCTAGGATCGTAGAGATTAAAAGTATGAAAACGACCAACAGTTTGGCAGCATACTCGGTTAGCACCTTGACGCCCATTTCAGGTTGAAAGTGAATTCTGTTGTCGGTTGGTTCATTGAATGGAAGTTGACATTTTTAGTTCAGTTCAAACGGGGTTTCAGCTGTTTGCCCGGCTTTCAGAACTGTAAAGAGCGAGCCAAAATCAAAACTCTGCCAAATTTGTTTTAATTGACTTACAATCAACTCGGCACAAAAAATACTTTAAGTATAGCCTCTTTTTGTTGAAATACGTTTCTTCCTTTTTAAAGCAGAAAAAAAATGTAGATGGGCTGCCGGGGATTCAATCACTTTGTACTGAATATATTGACATTTGAAAACAAACTTCAATTGTCAGAGGGGGATTTTGTTATATTAAAAGCCGAAAGCTAGACAATCATTCCGGGAAACTTGGTAACATTATCTAATAACGTATTGGCCAGTAGTCTGATCGCAAACTCCTCAACTTCTGCTGCCAAGGTCGCCAGATGAAACTAGACAATTAACTGTCTAGTATTGTTTGCAAACAGTTAACGTTCGAATTGTAAAACACATGCATGTTTGCATTAGTTGACTTTTACAGACAGTAAGGAATAAACATTTCCTGAAGCAGACAGCTTAAAAGTTTAGTAATTTCTTTTCCCTTTCATTTACAGAAACTTGAATTTACCTGACCCTTTTCAGACTAATTAGAGCACCACCGGGTTAGGTGAAAACGGCAGGTACGTGGACTTGGAATGATAGCTAAGGAATAATATTGTATTTCTATTTTGAGGGCCGCTTTATCTTTCATTTCGGATACAAGTTATAGGATTTGTTACCGCGGTAATGTTTCTGCGACAATCGACTTAAAGTGGCTGTACGACGAGTCCAAACTTGTGCGCTTCTCACTTTTTGAGGGCGTTACGCGTTGTTTGGCTCTTTATTTTTTGCGGGAGTCTGATTTTGCGCCATCCGCGAGTTGTATAAGGCGAGAAATTTGAATGTGGCTTTATCTCTGGGAATTTTAGCTGGAAATGTTATCGTGGTCGCGGCCTTAATCCGGTCAAATACAAAGTGCTAAGAAAAGTCAAGAAAAAAAGCCTCGAGAATGACAGTGACTCGATTAAGAGAGTCCCTCTTTGGCGGAGGGAATCGATATTTTATGCTTGAGGGTCTTCACAAAAATAATCCCAGTAAAAAAACCCTTTTACCATTCCACGAACGTAAATTTTGTGATGTTTCGCGTTTTTCGGGATTGCAAAAAAATCTCGAAAATAAAGACCCGCGAAAATAAATCCTCGGGAAATTTAATCACGCCAAATTAAATACTCGAGTAGAAAATTCAAAGTGCAGAAAAAAAAAATTAGATTGAAATAGCAACCTCATGTACAGGATATATATATGGACAATTTAATTTGTTAACGGGTTTTATTTTTTCCAAGCTTGCGAGCAGGCGGAATCTTCCAAATCCTGCAATCTGATTGGTTCCGAGAGCGGGCGGTATTTTACGATCTTGCCCGCTAACCCGGGCGGAATCGTTGGCAGCTTCATTCACAAGATTGCTGGTTGTTTGTGAATAAGCAAAAACCATCACTTTCAAACCATTTCTCTCTTAAAACTTGTTGCTATTATTAGTATTGGCTAGGGAAAAGTGAATTTTATTATTCAGACAAAAAATCTGAGAGAGAATCAAGCAAGTCAGCGAGGAAAACCGCTAATGTAAAGCAAAACAGGTGCTCGTGATGTCGCTTCACTAGCTTTATAACCGTGCTGTAAGTACTGCAATCTTGCTTTTCAGTATGCACCGTTTATTGGACATTTTTGCTCTGCTTGTAGTTTTGTTTTCAAGTTTTGCCGTTTTTCATTGAATTCTGCTACGCTAGTTTTCTACTTATCAGAAAAGGTTGTTGTCCGACAACAACCTTTTCTGATAAGTAGAAAACTAGCAAGGCAAAATTGAATGACTCATTTAACTTTCAATCTTAAACAACAAACAATACGAATCACTTTTCCAGCAGTCGGTTATCGCCGTTTTCATTGCTTTGTTTATAACTTGTTACTCACATCGCCTTCTTTTATTCGAGTTCAGTTCAAAACCTTAAAATTGGTATTTGTAATTAGCTATTTACAATGCCTTTGTGCAGTTTTTATCCCACTCGATTGAACTAATCTTAAAGCAGTTTTTGAATCAGTCAGCCGAAGGAAATCCTTGCTGTACATTTTTTCCTGGTGCTTTTAATATCAAGCTCGTGAATTCTTTTATCCTTATTTGACACTCAGATTATGAATTGTCTAGCAAGATACAAAAATATTTCTTTATTCTAAAAGAGAGCAGTAAGTGCCATATTATAAATTACCGAGCTAAAAATCATGTTGTAATGTTTTGTTTTGGTTTGCGATCGATCGCGCGCTTCATCAACACGGACGCGTCCTACTTCAACACATAGGTTGGAGAGTGAAGAAAAATTTCCTGAAACTTTTAAATCTCAGTTGGAAAAAAATAAAAATGTTATTCACTGGTCCGTATTGGAAGCAACTGTGCTCTCGGTGCTCAAGACCTTGGGCACAGTTTCTACCAATACGGAACGAACTAGGCCGGTGAATAACATATATTTACTGGTAAGCTCCGTTTTGTATCATCACAGTTTAGTAAGGTTAATTTGTGAAGCTTTCACACGTTGCTTTTCCAGTTAAACTAGGAATTTGGAAACTTTCAAAATTGTTTAAAAAACAATTTGCGTGTTGAAATCGCGAAAATAAAACCCCGCGAAATACTCTCTCGCCTAAATCGTGAATTAGCTACCCGCTAAATTAAGTACCAATAAGGTATCAATGGTGTGCCCGCATGTAAGATTGAATGGAAAGGTATTACAAATTTCGTTTTGAGTGTCCTTATCCATGAGGTAATATAATATTAGTGCTTTAGTGGTTCAGACCTAAAATAGTAGCTGTATTTTGTTTGTCAAAATGCAGTTGGCTTTATCTAGTCAAAATTCAATTATTTAATCAAGCAAGAACTTTGACAAGAAATGTTGACAAAAATAGAAGTTTGCGGATTTTTACAGGTACTTTTGAAAGTCTTTGCTTCCCTTTTTTTTGCAGTTGTACCCGGAAACTTACAAGAAAGACTTTCAAGCACATCAAACGTTGGTTTAGCTCGGCCACCATAATGACATTCACGTCGACATTTAAACAACCTGACTCTATTGCTATTGTAGCTAATTCGAAGTAATGTCTCAGTATGATATTCGCTATATTCTTTTTCAGGTATTTTCCAGTATGGCTGTTCTTTCGCTATGGACCGTTGCCACGTTGTTTTATATTCTGCAGAGAAGTATACTTTTTTTTAAACATTTTTTGAAACTTAATGTAGCATTTTGAATTGCAATGTAATTAAAACTGATTTTATCCTGCCCCCCTCCAACAAATATACTCTAACAAGAAACACTGTTGTTTGGGGCTTGCTATTTTTGCTGAGAATGGTGTTCAACAAATAAATCAACCGATCGTTTGGATAAACTTTGACTTTAATAATCGTTTTGAGTCAATATCAATTACAGACCAATGAAAAGAGTCTTTACCCAGCAAAGGTGAGGGCAAAAATTCGCACACTAGTCAAAGGTATACGGCTAGGACCAGGATGGGGAAGAATGTGTAAAGAAAAGAAGGCGCTGATTACTTTCTTCTGTCGATCGGTAATGTGTAGAGTCCGTCCAAAATCGCGAGGGCTAGATAGATCACCTAGAGGGTTCCTGGGATGCAACCACAACAGAAATACCCAGGCCAGCATATAATAGCTTGCTGTAGTTTAAATATTAACCGAGGGACAACATAAAGTTTTATTATCTGGACAATAATTTCTTTTTAACTACTATTAACTACTCCTGCAATTATTTTTTAAGTCTTGAATTAATACTTATTATTAAAATTTTTCATAAAACATGAAAGCTTGTACAAATCAGTTCCCAGTGTTTTCCGAGTGAATAGTCACCCAATGTGGGGCTGCTGGCCGATCTTTTCCAAGTTAAAGTTAATTTAATTCTGTATTCGATTCCGTCCCGGTCATAATTACTTTATTATGCATAATTTTCCATTCTCCATGTCTTTACATTTGCTATTGTTATGCAGCAAATGTTAAATGTCTTCACAAAAAATTGATCGTTTCCGTTTTCTCTTTTGTAAACAGACGTTGGTGTAAAGGGAGTTCTACCTAAGGTGACTTCACTTTTTATCAAATTTATGAATAGCAATGAACGTTCATGAGTTATTAGGTCTTGTTAAACGGTTCCACAAATAAGCGTCAAAGATGTTTGAAATGACAAATAACCGGAAGCAGATCCGACAACTACACCTACTATTTTGTGAAATGTTTAATGAGAATAAAGTACAGACAATGGTACTAAGTGTAAAGTGTTTAGTTAAATTGTTTCCTCTTTTTCTCATGTAGCTTTAAGTTTTAGTTTGTGATTTTTGCATGCGAGTTGATAGACAATGTTTTTTTTTTTCTGAAAACTGCTGTACGTTCATGCAAACAAAGATAATTAACAATAAAGTGTTTAAATACTCATTCTATGTTTTTGGTTTATCAATAGAATCTCCATCACCATATGACCAAAGATGAGATTCAACATTTTTTCGGTGTAGAGGATCATAACAAAGGTGATTATGATGGTCGGTTGAAGAGAAATAGTTTGTTTTAAGCACTTTAATAATCACATTTTTTTGGTGAGCCAAAAAGCAACAATCATGAAGTACGATTAGCTGACTTAGCGGGGTTTTTTTAAAATATTTTTTATGAAATAACAAGTTCGGCTATTCTACTTATCACGCAGTGATCACGAGGAGGTATTTACCTGTCCTAGATTTCGATACAAGAGTGTCGTCACTCACTTTCACCACTTAAGTGGCGTACAATCACCTCACGGATATCTGAGCGTGTTCAGGGCCATCCAAGTAATCGTGCCATTTCCTTCAGTTAAACCATCCTTTCTTGGTTAAACATGTATACATGTGTAAACTGCCAAAACTAAATGCACCAAAGCCAGATACGAAAACCCTAAAAACCAGCAAGTGGAAAAAAGGGGGACTAAAAAGAAAAAATAACAGGTTACTGCAGAAAAGGAACTAACTATAGGCAAACGTTACCATCACATGACGACATAAAAGGGACCTTAAGCATCGACAACGAAAGGGATGACGACGACGCTTCGCAACCGAGGCAGACTGGGCCAAGGGTTTCGTTTTCGGCGGGGAAAACGAAGTTTGACCAGTGCAGCTTCCCAGACAGACGACGACTTTTTCTGTGAGAGGAACTTTGTCTTGGAACAGTCTTGTTATGGCATTCATATGGCATTGATGATTGTTTAATCGACGATGGCGAATTTATTGTTCTTTACAACCACCATCATTCGATTTTGGAGGCTTTCGATTCTCTTCGTCGTGCAGCTTTTGTTTTTGTTTTTAAGTTAAAAGTGTATACCCATCTTAAACAGCTCTTGACTTGTAGTTACGCCAAATTTCGGCTGCTGAATAGAATTAAGTTTTGCTGCAATGTTCTTCCACAGTTCCTCATAGCCACATCATGTTCCAGAGTCTACTGGAAAATAGTTACCTTTACTAGCGGCTAAAAATAACGTAGGAAATAATCAAATTTTAATTTAGTAAGAAAAAATGAAAATTTATCCCATAGTACAACCTAGAATGCACGAGTATACATACACCGTAAGGGAACAAACAGCATCTAATCTAAAAGGTTCGGAAGATAGCAGGGGAAAGCTTACTTGTTTTTCTGACTGGTTGTTCCGCCATCACTCAGGTTTTCAGACAAACCGAACCTGAAAAATAAATTGAAGTTAGCAGGCGAAGAAATCGACGAAGTGCTTAACATTTGGATTCTGCAAATCCACAAAGAATATATTTCTACTTTTACTTAATGACAAGGGGGGAAAAGAGTGATTTACCCGCAAAAAGTATTAGTTTTATACTTACGTTTTATCGACGACGGCAAACCTCCCTGAATTTCGTCGTCGACGAAGGCTGGACGATGTTCAATCTCGTTCCCTGAGGCCGCGATCCTTTTGTCCAGCGGATTGCCCCATCCGCTGGACAAAAGTAACGGAGGCTCTCGGGACGAGATTGGAAGACGTTTTGACAACCTTACGCATGCCCTGAAGGTTCGCGCGGGAAAATTTCACTTCCGGTGGGCGTCGTCGTCCCATTTCGTCGTCGATGCTTAAGGTCCCTAAAAATTAAACGAAAACTAAATGTACAACTCAGACCTTCACCTTTAAGTTTCACGTGCAGTATTAGCTTGGAAGAAAAGACTACAGTTTACTCAATTTTTCTTTAAACAATTGCTTTTTTCTCTTTTTCCCCCTTTTTTTACAAGTTCCTGAATATGATGTCGCCAGTCCTTACCTGTCCAATAATCAGGGAGACTTCGTGTCTTATTCCCTACATCCGAGCCCGGTCAGGAGTAAACGAGACGCTGATCATTATGCCGAGAATTCCTATTATAAGTTGGATACATTTGGCAAAAAACTTCATTTGAGATTTAGACGAAACGAACACTTGTTGGCTCCAGATCTGAAGCTAGTGAGACAAAACGGTGACGGCACAACAACTTCGCATCCAGCACCGCCAAACACTTTTTATCTGGGACATGTTGTTACAGATCCAGGCTCTACAGTCGCACTTAGCAACGATGGAGGTCTGGTGAGTAAAAACTCTTTATCTCTTAAGAGGTCTGACTCTTAACCAGTCGTCTTTTATTTGTCTTTGTTATTAATCACTGGAGCGCAAAATATTTTACGACGTGAGGAGGAGTTGCTGCGGTTCTGCTAGTGTTCGTTAACTACGAATGTCGCAGCCGTGTATGGATTATAAAAGACGACCGGTGGAGTCAGTGCCAAGACATTAAAAGTAACTGTTAGAAAAATATCAGTTAAATTTCAACAAAATATTTAATTGTCAGACTGGATTAGTGAAAACGTCACGCGATACATTTCTTCTGCATCCACTTCCTGTACATTTGGCTAAACACGTGACGAGCAGTAGAGATGCCACGCCCCATCTTGTGTATCGAAGATCTTTCTTTGAAGACAGCGTTGCCTCGTGTAAAATAGGTAAATTTAAGAAATTATTTTTTATTTTTGTCTTCTCTCCTTTTGTTCATATGCTTTATTTTTTCTGCTAATATTAGTTTGTGTTCGCATTTTCGGTACAAAATACAGTGACTCCAAATGATAGCATAAGTTTATTGCAAATATTTAGATAGGAACGAAACGAGTTGTTTCGTTGATAAAAGCCCTTGAAATAAAGATAGGTTATTGACCGTAGAATTGTGTTAATATATAGATTTAGCCAGGGCTAAAAGCGAAGCTCCAATTAATAAATTTATAATTTAAATCAAACAATAAACTTTTAATCCACAAATCATTTAACTTAAGGGCACATTCATGTGACTTTTGAGGGAAAGGCTAAGTTATTTTAGAGTGAAACATCTTACATCGAATTGATAACCTTATATGTACACCCAAAAAATAGCAAACATCTTCGATCACATTCAAGATGACGGTAGATTAGACCTCGAAAACAAATTCTTGGAAAACAAATCACGCCAAATTTTTTTGCGTTCGACAGGTTTACTTTACAAATTCTTGCCAACAAATTTGGGGGTGTTTAAACCAAACTTTTATAATTTTTATACATCAAATTTGAGGTGAAACAGTACTATTTATCATACAGACCTCTGACAGAATGCAGTATTTCACAATTTTTCAAGACAAATTGCACTCAGCCAATATTCAGGACGATCAATCGTAAAGCGAAACCGTTCAAAAATTTCCAAAATCACCCATATGGCCAGCCGGTTCTCGTTTCTATAGTGCGAGCTGTCAGTGTGGTCGAGTGTTGGAATGAACTTTAGTAGAGTTAGGCTTCAACATAATAGCGAATTTATAATTTTTTTTTTGTAATTTAATGTTTTCAGTTATAACGATGTGTAATCTTATAAAGCGTTTGATACGCGCAACATTTTTTAGTACTCCTGCAAGCGATGTTCATGAACGATGAAAACAAACGGCACAGACAAGCGATTAAAATTGCAAGAGAGACTACTAACAATCAAAAAAAGAAATATAATTCGTGAAACATTTACAGAGACAACAATTTTCATTCATTAAGACAAGTATTAAAGTGTCTCTAAACACCCTGAGTCTCGGCGTGAAGCTTAAGCCGGCTTCCCGGCGCGGGTGTTTACTGTTTTCCAAGGTAAACTCCTCGAAGCAAGAAAATCGCTCAAAGTTTTCTTTCTACAGCCAAATTTATAACTAAATATTCTTCGGAACGTTTTCTTTCTATTTGTGGAGAGCAAATATATCTGATGGCTTTTTAAAGTTCTGTAAGCTTATATCAAACCTGATACTAGGTCAGATCATTGACTCAAACTACGGCTACAAACGTGCATAAACTTGCCACATAAACTGTCAGCGTGAACTGTGCAAGACTTCATGAAATTAGATATAACAAAAACAAACATCAAATACAATAGTTACTCAGGCTTACCATTCGAGATTCAGTTCCTGAAAGCTATCAAGGAACGCCACAGTTGCTTGAGACTTTTAAACCCTCTTACTAAGCAAGGTGAAAAACGAAAACGATGCCATCCGAAATCGAATTACCGAATTTTGACAAGCGACGCGTTTCTCAACAAAAAACCCAGTAAACAAACCAGCCATAAATAACAGAAGACTCTTGATAGCAGCTGTATTTCATTTTGTACATCCAGAAGAAAAAGACAGTTAAAAACATCACAAGTTGATGCAAAACTCTTCAGCTTCAGCTGTCAAAGTAAACAACTTTCAAGATGCTGCATAATTTTTTCGCATGAACTCACCTGTCAAATTTTGACCAATCAGAGTATAAAAATTGGACGTAGAGCGTGACTACCGCGTGACCATGGTAAGATAAGGTCTTCCCCGCCTGTACTCTTAAAAAAACTGGCTCAATTTTCGCTTCCGAAGTCAGTTTGAAATCAAAATCCTAATAGTGCGGGGCCATAGTGACATAAACACAACATATTTGATATGAATCCTTGGAAAAAATAAACTTGAGCCTGCGATCATCATCATCAGCAGATAACTTCAAAAAAATACTCGACCTGGCTGGGTCGACACTTGAGCCCGCGGTACGGTCAGGTGATACTGGTCAGCGGATGCCCTGTTTTGACAGCTGTCAATTGATCACAACATTGATGTGCAATTAGTTTTCTCTTGGGCTCCCAAACTAGCTAAAAGTGTGAGAGTAAACATTGGTTGTCCTGTGGTGCGGACGGACGGTCGGCAGTCGGCGGTCGGTGTACGGTCACGTGATTACCAAATTTTCTGGGATGGGTAGATTTACTAAGCTATGGGGCTCTGCCCACGTGCGCGCGAAGCGTGCGCGTGGAGCTCCGCTACAATGCTTTAGCAGTTTCATCTACCTCTAGGTCCATTATCTTAGCTAATGACTTGCGATAAGAGATAAGATTACTACTATTCATTTGTCATATAATGGATGGGTGCAGTTTAATCGTAGCTAAAACAGCCAACAGTCTTGTTCCTTATTTCACAGATGAGGCAGATATTCGTTCAAAGAGATCCATGGAAACTAAAGACTCTCCGACTGTGACAGCAAGTACTCCGGTATTCAAGACTCTGAAAGCAGCATTACTGTACCCTGAACCTCTAAGAAGGAAATACTCTGGGTCCTTAAACAATTCCCTGGGAAGTGTTGAAAACTACCTGTTGATTGTTGCTAATATGGTATGTATTAATTGTTTTCCTTTCCCCTTTGGTGGCTTTTTGCAAAATCAATCAACTGATCGTTTGTTGCTTACAATACAATAATGAAAATAATAAAACTAAATTCAAAGTCCATTAAATTGGAGTGTTCATGTTTAAAATTTTTCTTGAAAGAGAAAACAAGCTAGAGCAGTCTTCTGGCATGAAGTTCCAGAGAAAAGGTGCAGCTACAGTGTAAAAACAAGCGCTGTATACCTGAATGTAATAAGCAAAGACCACAAATATCAGTCACCTGATACAGGACTGCAAAGATTACGACTGAGGAGATGACCGTGGTGATACATTTCAGAAATGATGCCACCCTATATCTGATACAGTAAAAACCCACTAGTGAGAAGTTAGTTTTAAAAGAACCCATTAAACTAAAATTTGCCAGTTAGGCCCAAACTACCCCCAACTCCTCAAGAACCTGCCCAGCCTTAAATTTAAAACGGGTTCTTATTATCATACAATTCTGTATACTTGGGCAAATAAGATTATAAAGAGTAATTTAACATTATTTTTTTGATCATAAGGGTTAGAGCTGAGTGCAATTGGACTAGGCATTACAATACATGGATGTTATGTCTTGAAGGATGCAGATTTTATTTAAGAAATATGCTGAATATCTCTAAGTACTCTTAGCTAAAAGACATTCTTTAAGAACCTAATACCCTAAATTTGTGCTTATTACCGTATATATTTATGTAAGAACCTTTTATGGTAAGTTGTAAAAAATGCGGTTTCTTACCTGCGGGTTTAACTGTATTCGATAATTTTTTATTTTGTCAAGAATAAACTTTTTATAGTATGACTGCAGTGAAAACAATGACTGTTTTTAGGTGGCTGGCATGTTTCAAGACCCCTCGATTGGAAAGATAAAAATTACCTATGTGATCACCAACGTTACCCAGATAGATCCCAAGCAGGTACTAAGAATATTATTGAGCTGGCAGAGGAGGTGTAGCCATCTATTTAGTAGTTAAGATATTAGAGTCACTTCGGTACTGTGTAATATATATATCTCGACATTGCATGTGATTTGGGCGATACCTTAACTTTTACCTAAGTTTCCCCTTAAATTTTAGCACTTTTTAATTGACAAATTAATTAATATTGAGCAATGTATACATTTTTAAACGTAAATCACTCATAATAAATTTTGAGGAATTTACTTAAAAGTCAGTAACTTGGGACAATAATGGAGCGTTTGTGGGATATAAGACTGACTATCATGTAGTTTCATTCAAACAGTTTGAAGGTTACAAGATATCAAAACTGCAACTTGTGATTTCGAGTTAATTTGGCGATGACGAAATTAACGCCACACTTGGTAGATTCTGGTGCTGTTGAATTTTTCAATTTTCAGAAGAACTGTCTCCAGATACCGTTACCAATGAACACTGTTAAACGACCTCCATTATTTTAAAATCTTTATTGCAGTATAAGTTCAGCTTGAGTGATTCTTCGATACCGAAGCTGAAGAGATTAGCGGCCAAAATTAAAGAAGACAATAAGGCATCCAGAGTACCCTACGATGTCTTTAGTTACGTGTCAAAGTAAGAATTCTGACGGGTTGTTGATTTATGCAAGTTTATTTGTATTGGATTATTAAAATTTATATCTAATTACATTTAAACGTTTCTTTACTTTCAGTCATATTGAGGGTATAGGTAAGTCGTAGTAATTTTTTTAGTTTTCTGAGGGTCGCCGAAACTCTCTCGTGATTTTATATTCTCTATGCCCTTGAATTAGCGCTAGTTTCAGTTAACGTTAAGGCAAAATATTTTCTTTGGAAATAAAACAAAGCTGTTGAGACTTTCATCTCATTGAGGGGCATATTGTCAATAAAGGACAATGATGACTGTTATTTTATTAAGGTGGCTCCGTAATTAATACTAGAGCATTTAGCTGTGACAAATTTTCCGTCATAACTTTTTCGTTTTTAACGCGATGGCTGCGAAACTTTGCAAAGAACAACAGAAGTCAATCACTAATAATGTGAAATATTCCGATTTCATTGATGGTAAATATTTCTTGAGAAATTAGCGCTTAAAAGGACCCTATTGATCAAAGAAAATCGCGTCTAGCAAAACATTTTGCTGATACTTTTTACTGAAATTTCTGGTATTGGCTTTTATTGATATAATAAATATGCGAAAGAAATTTCAGTAAAATCGTTCGAGTAGAAGTCCGTAACTAAAAGTCGCTCAAAATTCAGCTGTAAAATTATTTTAGAATTTCAAAAATAAATTACTGTCAGGTAGTTTGGTAGTGGACAGTTCTATCTGAGCTCTGATACGAGGTAGCGTCCAATCTCAATACCTTTCTTCTGTGTTGGAGGCAACGAACAGCAGTAAAGGTCGTTGAAAATGCATTTCAATACATCAAAATGTATGTAGCAGGAGTTTGAGCCAAAACTGCCAAGGGATATTTTAAAAATGTCAAGAAACATGTCATTCTACTTCACAGCAAGGTTTGGAGAAATTTATAGTGCTTCTAAAACTAAAAAGTACCTTTTAAAGAATAGCACGATAGGCAATCGGCTTTTGTTTTAAGAATTAGCAAACATTGAATTTACTTATCCCGAAAATTCAAACTGGTGTCTCCTTCTATCTGATAGTAATTTATTCTTGAGATTCCAAAACAATTTCACAGCTAAATATTGAGCGACTTTAAGTTACGGACTTCTGCTCCAACGATTTTTCTGAAATTCCTCAGGCATATTTATTATATCAATTAAAGCCGATACCAGAAATTTCAGTAAAAAATATCGGCAGTTTTTTTTACTAGACGCAATTTTCTTTAAACAGTAGGGTTCTTTTAAGCGCTAATTTAGCAAAATATATTTACCATCAACGAAATCGGAATATTTCGTACTATTGCTGAATGATGTCTGTTGTTCTTTGCAAAGTTTCTCAGCCATCGCGTTAAAAACAAAAACGTTATGACGAAAACTTCGTCACAGCTAAATGCGCCTGTATTAATGACAGAGCCACCTTAAAATACTGTCAGAAAACTTGCTCTCATTTCTTGGAAGACAGTTTTTACAATACAACACTATAGTTTTTGATCTGGTCAGCATGTTTGATACATTCTCTTTTAGACGTACATACAAACAGTCATCCGTGCTTCTTCATTTCTTTGCCTCTGGCCAATATCAAGTATAACTAACGTGGACAAAAGATTGTAAGAGTCAGCAACGCGACTCTCCAATAAGTATTGAGGTCGGGAAATGCGGATAGGGTTGCCATAATAGACGTTTATACGCTCGGAAGAAACCTGTCTTAGTGGAAAGAGTCGCAACACGTTTTTGTATACGAGCTGGTAGCCGAACCTTGTTAAAGCGATCAGTTTTTGCCGACCATTTAATTCCATTTAGGTCGCGCCATTTTTAATCGGATCTGTACAGGGCCTACTGGAAATCTAAATCATGACAAGGGTCTTCAAACGGCACTCCACATTGCCCATGAAACAGGACACAAGTAAGTAAATCTGCCCATTTGAGACCCATCACTTGGAGAGGTATCCATCTCTCAAGCTCTCTAGGCTAGAGCATACAATCAACTGACGAGTTTAAGGTGGCTGAACACAGTTTTGCGGGCGGTCAGCGGTAACTCGCGTGACCGCGCGTGTTTTTAATTAGACAAACAAACATGACGGCGAAAAAGCAATGATACACAGAAGACGATTTCTCAAAATCTACTCATTAAAATTTTGTGATATTTGGCAGAATTTTTACTTTTATCGTATTTTAGGTAATGAAAACTTTAAAATGGAAGTTGAATAGACGAATTTCGTAACACATTTAATAATTACAGTACAATTATATTATTGATTATCTAAAATTCCGCCTGTTAAAATTTGATCAAATAAGTTTCAAATGGTAATGACTAGTTACAGTAAGCTGTGTGCAAGTTTATAGGAAAATCTAAGGAGCGAATTTTATGTAAACTGAACAAAAGTGAAATTTTAAGGTTGTATTCAATCGTTCATGTTGCCATGGAAACTACGAAAACGTCAAATTTTACCTGTCAATCACAATCTTTTATCAGTATATTTTTAACCTGCCAAGTTTCAGCTTGTGAGCTGCAACCTTTCTCTTGCCATGATTTGGCAAATGACTACACTCACAAACTGCCAAAACTGTGTTCAGCCACCTTAATTGGTTAAAGATTCTTGAGGGTAAGAAGCAAGGAGCAGCTTTCTGGAAGATGTATTGTCAGATGTCGGAGTAGCTTTATTACCTTCAATGCCCTCAGGGCTTAAATAGTTTACTTAGTATAGTTTTACAATTTTTCGAATTACTTTTTATTACATTTCTATATTCCTATTTTTTAACAAATCACAATATTATTTTTGCATTCATATAGCGTTTTCTAGACTTTCTAGTAGTAGGTTCTTGTAGATTTCTATATGGTTATATTTTTTAAGTAATTATATTCATTTGCAAATAATCACCTAATTCAACAACCAGTTACAATTTGATTATTAATAAACTATCTATTTATCTATCTACCTATTGGATTGTATGGAAGTCTGTTGAGCGAAGAAGGAATGATTTGTGTTATTTAGGCCCCGTTGCTAGGGAGAAATCTTTCCTCTAGTAGAAGGGTCACCCTCCCAGCAGAGTTAGTTTACGCGAGCTTTTATATTAGTTAAAAAAAGATAAAAGTTGGTTCACCCCTGGTGGCTAGGGCAGGCGAGTGACCCACTTCTTCCCCTACCTTCTCTATATAAATGGGGCCTTAGTAGCCGCGCCCCTGGACTTTCCCATAATATAAATAATATTCCCACGATATAAATAAAGTTTATTATTATTATTATTATTATGGTCAGTTACCGACAGTTCAACCTACTGAAACTGTGATCTAGCGTCACTTCGTGTCTATATAAGATCCATTTTTTATATACCAGATAATCGTAACCTAAAGTTAAAAGCGGTTAAATTATGAAATTTCTGGTGTCCACGCACTTGCTGATTATTTACCCATTGACTCGTCGGCTGTTTAGGTCAGGGTAACAAAGAACTGCCGTGAGATTCAAATGTTAATTATATAAAATTCACTATCATTATTTTATGTTTTGTGTAATTAACCACCTTTTATTTCATGTTATATTTTCGTGGAGTCGTGTATATAGAGCCACTCAAACTTCCATTTGCTAGACTGAGCACCTCTTCCTTTGATAAATTATTGTTAATAATGACATGTCTTTTAAATCAGCTTGGGGCTTGGTCATGATGGTGGTTACTGTGGAGGACGCATAATGAGCGGTGCTATTCCTGGAGGAGAACACGCATCAGAGTGGTCCGAATGCTCTAGGAAGGTTATTCAACCATTCCTCTCTAACAGGCATGTTTAGCAACTATAACTTGTCTCGTTTACTTCAATATTTCATTGATACCTCAACTGACATCAATATATGTGTCAATATGGCAGAGCACGTCCATCTTCTATACATCCATCCGCGCACCCAGTTACAACACCCACCCAGCCAGTTTTTAATCACGTGCCCATCTCTCAACCTAGCCACTCTCCAATCAACTCATCCCCTTATCAATCCGTTATAGAGTTTGCTCAATTTTCTCTCTATCAGTCAGCCAAGTTACCCGACTCTGTTTTTTACCTTTGATTCATACTAAAACTACATATTATTTCCTCAGCAAAAGGTCACATTGTCTCGATGATGGACCCACTGTGGATGGTCCCTCCCTTCCTCTTGAGTTTCGCGATAAACTTCCTGGTCAAATAGTTGATGGTAATAGACAGTGTGAAGCACATTATGGGAAAGGCTGGAAAAGATTTGAAACGGTAAAACTGACTAGTTTGATTCTTCATGTCTTCAATCATGCAGAAACTCATGTTCTCATGAATTCTATCTTGAAATATTTCGCTGTATCAATCTGTATTAGATCAATTTGACAACGGTACACTCATCATAGACTTAAAATAAATCAATTTGTAATATCAATTAAGGCAGCTGTATATAAAGTTTCGCATAATTAAGCCCTAGTTTCTGCAGTGGACGAAAGGAAGGCCTGTGAACGAGGTTGTGGTAAATGGAATCGAGGGAAAGAAGCATGCGTTATTAATAGGCTAAATGCGGTTGAATTATCCGTAAACTCATTATCTAGACGATAAATAGTTAGAAATGCTCAATTATCTCCTTAAGAGGTTTTGCAACGGAGTCAAGGATACAAACTAGTAGGCCGAAGATTCGAACTTGTGTCTACCGAGAACAATCCAGCTATATAGCGGTCAGGGTGAGAGTTTAACCAAGAGCCTCTGAATTTCAAGTAATGGCTTTAACTGCTTGGCCAAGTTGCCTCCCTAGCTAACGATCACTGCCTCCCTAGCTTACGATCACTGCCTTCCCAGTTGATAATCACCACCTTCCTTATCAGCTGAAAATCATTGCCTCCCCAGCTGACGATCACAGTCTCCCTAGCTGACGATCACTGCCTCCGTAGCTGATAATCACAGCTTCGCTCGCTGCTAATCACTGCCTCCCAAGCTGACGATCACTACCCCCCTATCTGACAATCACCACCTTCCTCAGTAGCCGACAATCACTGCCTCCCAAGTTTACGATACCTGCCTTCCTAGCTGATAATAACTGCCTCCCTAGCTGTCGATCACCAACTTCCTTATTAGCTGACGATCACTGCCTCCCTAGCTGACGATCGCTGCCTCCATAGCTGACGATCACCGCCTTCCTAGCTTATAATAACTGCCTTCCTAGCTGACGATCACCACCTTCCTTATTAGCTGACGATCGCTGCCTCCCTCGCCGAAAATCACTGCCTCCATAGCTGACGATCACTTCCTCCCTAGCCGATAATCACTGCCCCCTAGCTGACGATCACAGTCTCCCTACCTGACGATCACAGTCACCCTAGCTGACGAACACCGCCTCCCAAGCTGACAATCACCACCTTCCTAACTGACGATCACAGGGAGGAGAGAGTAGAAGAAGATCTCTTCTCTTGCCACATCTTCTTTCCTGCTCCCTTTGAATAATCCCAACTCCCCAAACTTTTTGGAAATCAGCACAACAGTTCAATGTAATTTAATTTTGACTAGGGTGAGCGTTGTTTGACGAATTTTACTCGGTTTTGATGCGGCTGTCCTCGTTGGAAGAAATATTACACAAACATAATAATAATAATAATAACAATCTTAATACAGGGAGCTCACTTCACAAAGAGTGATATTCAGTGAGGCGCTGTAAAACAATAGAAAAATAAATGATCGTAGATAAATGAGTATGTATTAGTAATAATAAGTAAAACGTTAAGAACTAAAAAGTTAACTAATATAAGCTACAGGTTAAAAATGTTAAAATGTTAGATCGATTAAAATATTAAAAGCTATAAAATATCTTAAAATATACAGCGTTTTTTTATGCTCCAGTTGATAAGAAGAAGAGAGTTAATTTTTTAAAAAATATGCGTCTAAAAAGTTCCATTCCTTAGGGCATTGATAAAAATGTCTCTGCTTTCCATATTTCCTTTAAACGAGAGGAATCTCAAAATATTAAAATTGTGATGCGCAAGTCCGTGGATGTACTTAAAAGTGGTAATGTATCTATTTAAATGGGGCTCTTGAGATTAAGTAGGCCATCCGAGTGTTTTGAGAGCGTCGGTAGATGAAGCATAGTTGGGCAAATCAAGGATAACTTTGGCAGCCTTATTTTGTAAGACTTGTTAATCATGTAATATTATCTCTGTCTCCACAGATGGCAAGTATGTTATTTTTATGTTCTTTTATTTATGTTACAGCATCAGTGCGCGCATTTAAAATGCATCAAAGATTATACTTTACTGACCAAATTTGTCGTGGTCGCTGATGGGACGAAATGTGGACCTAACGAGGTAGGCCGACCCATGTTTTAAATTGTTTTCATTTGCATTCTGTATCCAATTTTCGTACGTTATTCAGTTTTATTTCCACACTCAAACGTTAAGTACCGTACTAGGCCACTGGCACAATGACATCATTTTACTTGATGTAACTAGAAGCCATTTCGTTTTTCCTTTATATTTAATTTTGGTAATCCCAGCGAGGTTTAAGTAACAAAAGTGGATGTACTGCCTCTAACTCTTTATTTATTATTATTATCATTTTATTATTTGCACAAGAAATCAAAACCCTGAAGGATTCTGGTCGTAGTAGTTAAAAAAACGTCATCGTGCAAATGGCTTATTGTTTTTTAAAAAATTATTTACGTTGAATTACTTACGGCCCTTTTTAAAAAGTAAATAAATAGTTCTTACATGTCTTAGCACTCGCATTATTTACTTTTTTGAGTAACCACAGAATAAATCAAATTAAATGGCATTCCCATTCTTTCTTTCGGAAATATCTTTTGGCAGTGGTGTATAAAAGGAAGATGTAGCGACCGTGGAATGGGTTTTCCAACTATGCCCCCGAAGGGACCTGGTAAATGGTCCAACTGGGGAAGCTATTCTGTTTGTAGTGGTGAGTGCGGGAATGGATTTCAACAGGTTCAGCATAGAAGCAGACAGTGCATCAAGTAAGACTATTTATTCTTTACCTCTTTTAACTTTACAAATCTTTTTTATTCAACATCTCAAAATACAATCATCACAAACAGCGCTGAAACAAAAGTTGGTACGTTGCATCTTCTTTTTCAAACAAAAATTTTGTGGGGTAATAACAACAAATGAAATCTTTATATAAAGTGGAGCACGGAATATTGCACTGTTCCAGTTTAATATGCGTTTAGTCCGGTACTCACTTTCACGCTTTCAGCAACATAATTTGTTTCATATAAGTTGTGTAATTAAACATTTTCAACTTAAATATACGATCTCTGTCTCACTGGCTTCTTAATGGACACTAAGGCCCTGTTTACATGGAGTGGGGGACCCCGGTCTAGTGGGGTAAGTTTCTTTTGTTTTGTGCCTCCCAGAGCGTGAAAACAAAAGAAACCAACCCCACTAGACCGGGGTCCCCCACTCCATGTAAACAGGCCCTTAAAATAGAAACTACCCCTAATGCTACTCCTAGGTGCAGAATATGTGCCGATTTGACCACAACGCTAAAAAACACAATGATGTGAAATGTGGTACCAGCGAGGAGCAAAAAAACTAAAACTACTGCATGGTACCGGACTTACAGTTAGCTATCGGTTGAGTGTCTGTGTTTTGCATCCAGTTTTCTATTCTTTTATTAACTGCATTTTTGTAACATTTTGATCTTCTCTTGCACCCGTTTTGACGAGCTGAGGAGCTAATTACGGGGAGAAAGCATTGTCTTCTATAATTGAAAGATTTAATTAAAAGTTGTTGTTGTTGTTGTTGCAGACCGGTGGCTGAGGCCAGCTGTAAAGGACCAAATAAGGAATACAGAACCTGTCAAATAAAGGTTTTTACGATGATACCTGCACACTACTACGACTACTGCTACTGCACTGGGTTGTGTTTTGTTTTTTTAGTTGCCCAAGTAGCAGATATTTATGATTATGTATTCTAGCACGAATTACGCACACCATCATTCGCCCCTCTGTCCAGTGTTTTAGCAAGAGAATTCCCAAGAGTATTCAGTTGTTTTGCATGAAATACAAACCCTACTTAATAGGTCCGAAGTAGGTAATTAGTCCAGTCGTAGATAATTTGTATTTCACATCTAGGGTGAGGCGCCGGGAGAAAGGATTGAGGTATAAGGGGAGCGAGATTTATTTGTTTCTTTTTTATTTATTTAGTCACTCACAAAACCTTATACAACATGAACAAAAGTTGTAATTAAATTATAAAATTAATGCGACAAGGAAGCCTAACGAAGCTTGAAGCTTATATTAATAGGCTTCCTTCAACTACCTAATGAACTAAATTCATGGCTGAGTGAAGAGTGAGCAAAATCAGAAAATTAAGCGACAGATCGGCTATCAGTGAGATATAGAAGGAGAGCTAATATAGTGAAATAAGTAACGAAATCCAGATTTTAGGTCCTCTGTAAAGGATACTGAATTGCTTTATATTTGTTCTACAAAAATGAGGTCTATACTGAGAGGCTAGTCGAGTTTCGTATTGATGGACTTGATTACTACTTAAGAACAAGTCACGAAAGCTACTAGGCAAAAGATTATGGTGACAAGAATACATAAAAGTAGCGACAGAAAATGAATTAATACTAAATATGTCAAGGACTTTAAGCTGGCTAAATAAAGGGGCGGTATTTGCTAGATAGTGAGCTTTAGTTATGAGACGCTTTTGCAAAAGGTAAATAGAGTTTGGGTTGGAACAGTAGGTGGAGGACCAGGCGACATTACAGTATGTTAAGAAAGGATATACAAGGGAGTAATACAAGGTCAACAAAGTTTGGTATGATAGGTAAAAGCGGGCTTTCGCAAAAATTCCCACACTTTTCAAGATTTTTTTTGAGACGAAATCTATATGTGGTTTCCAAGAGAGATGCTGATCAATGAGAACACCTAAAAATTTTGTCTCCATGACTTGCTTGATCACAGTATTTTCCAGAGCAAACAGTAAAGATTGAGTGAGACTAGAGACATTAGGAAGATCATTAATGTAAATAATAAACACTAGAGGTCCAAGAATTGAGCCCTGCGGGACGCCACATAAAATTTTCCGCGGATAGGACCGATGGGACCCAAACTGGACAATTTGAGTCCGAACCTCAAGATGGGTTTTGATCCACGTCAAAGCAGTATCCCGAATACCATAGTGTTGCAGTTTTTGACGCAATATTTCATGATTAATGAGGCTAGTTCGTTAACGAACACTTAAGTTATTTAATACTTTAGGTTAGCCTCTCTTCGTAATCGTTATGTTCCTGCCTTGTTTTATGTTAGTTTAAATTCTATTTACTGTATAGTAGTGTCTTCACTGTTATTTAGTCCATCTATATATAAATCTTGTTTTGTAATATGTCTTCAGCTCCCCCCCTCGATTAGTTTATAAGCTATTTGCGGGTGGGAAGGTAATGTAATTAGTTATTTTCCAATTTTCAATAAAATTTGTTGTTGTTGTTGTTTGTTGTATTTGTTGCAGTCTGAAAATTGAAAAGATATTTTTTTAATGATTTGTAGGTATGTTCACTTAATGATACTGTTACAGCCAGCAATTTTAGGCAGAATGCTTGTAGGAAACGAACAGATGGTTTTAACAATTACTACCTGCGTAGCCGTAAGTGCGTATAATGTTTAACATAAATAGTCAATTTCTAACCTACATTTGTATCAAACAGTCAAGTTTGTTTGCAAACCGTTTTGTCTCCCTTAATATTTTTCAAATTAAAGTTTGAAACATTCACAATCTGTAGTGGGTATTTTAAAATAACAAGCTTTCATGTTCCAGGCTTTAAGCTTAAACTTTGATGTATAATAATGTACTAACGTAATAACTATTTAGATTTTGACTTGTAACTAACTTGTAACTAGTATACTTGTAAACAGATTCACACTTTTTTGTATTCCTGAATGAGTTTTTAAATAAATAAAGATTAATTAATTGATTCCTCCATTGCATGTCTTTGTAAGTTTCACGCGCCGAAAATTGTATCTCCGTTATAAACAGAAAGTCCAGATACTCACTCCAGTTTGCATTATCTTCTTTTTTAGCTTGCCAAATGTGGTGCCGAAAGGGTTGTTGTCTTGCTAGGCCGATTGGTCAAATGCCAGATGGAACCATTTGTCGACAAACTGAGACGTATTCCGCTATCTGTGTACAAGGCTCTTGCAGAGTGAGTTCATCATATTTTTTCCCATCAATCGCCATTTATATGCAATATTATTGGGTTTTCCACAGTCTTAGCTTTACATCGAATTTTAGCAAAACAATAATTAACACTAAAGAAACATAGCAAATTAGCAAGTTTTGCTTCACCACAACCCACGTTTCGATTAATTTCGATTATCTTCACTTGCAATTTTTTACGAATGATGTCGCTGTGAACGGAGTTTCAATTCATAGATACAGTTTAAAATCAAGTTGTGCATTATTTAGAATTATTGATAATGTAATAGCAATTTTCTGCGAGGCAAAACGTACCAAGAAAACCAGGTAACGTAAATTTAAACTTCTGCTAAGAATCAACAAATCACTGGAAATAAAAGAATATCAGTAGCAGGGCAGGCGTTTTCAAATAGTGTAAGTTTTTTTAAGCTTGTATTTTATCCCCGTTTTTTTAACTGCAATGGTAATTAATAAGCAGTTTTAATTATTATTATTATTATTATTATTATTATTAAGTACCAAAGGAAATAGAGAACTCTGCATTTTTAACCCGCTTTTACAGTTTCGGATTGGATTTGTCACCTGATGTATTAAGTGGCTTTCCTCAAGAACGAAAAAAAAATATTCAATTATCATTTTAGTTTTAAAGTTCTTCTTAATTTAGAGAAGCAACGTCTCCTTCCGTTGCAATTAAAATGCATCCAGCGTAACTGAGCATTTATCGATGAGTCAAGGGGAAATTAAAAACAAGCTGAAAAGAACTGAAGAAGGGCAAAGTCTTCGGCATATGTTATACTATGCGTACTCATGCGCTTAACCGAACTTCGAACATCTGCAGATTGTTGGCTGTGATAACCGAGTGGACAGTAAAAGACGTTTTGATCGCTGCGGTGTATGTGGAGGTAATGCGAGTACCTGCACAAAGGTATCCAAGGAATACACCGATAACCCGGCAACAAGTGGTAAGCATATAATTCAGTTGTTGTATGACTTGCAGTATGATATTTCAAGCGACAGTATAAGAAGCTGGTCACAGAGTAGTCGTCTTCGTCTTAGTTCGGCTTCCAAACCCTGTCTTTCGAGCTCTCCGGATTTCTTGTCAAAGAAAGGAAAAAAAATCTTTAAATAACCTGCTTAACTTCTGTACTACATTTAAAAGTAAACAAAGCAGCATTAAACCCTAGAATTTGTAGCATTATAAAAGATTGTTAATAGCACTGCTATAGATACTCCCTCCATGGGGGAGGATCTAGGGAGGGATGGGAAGGCGTTAGTACAAATGCCTGAGCATTTTGATCACAAGGTTTCATTTGTCTATGTGAAGGCGTGTGTGGTGGACCGGTTAACGCCTCAAACTCCGAATCTGGAGGTCCGGGTTTCATTAGACAAGGTTCTTTACTCCACTTTGTCTTCACCCAGGTGTATAGATAGGTACCGGCGACATACTGCTGGGGTGTAACCATGCGATGAATAAGCATCCATCCAGGGGGAGTAGCAATATTCCTACAGGCATGATTCCGTTCGTTTAGGCCTTTGGCTCGGGTGTGCCTTTACCTTGCCTTTAGTAAAAAACATTGCAGTTTAGCTGACATCTAAAACTGGAAGAAAATGCCAACAGGTTTTAATCAAAGCTTAAAGTTAGGCTATATTGAATGATTTAATTTGATACATTATGCAATCTATTTGCAATAAATTGTTCCAAGACCCGCTCTGGAGATCTGGTTCGTCCTTAGCTGGCAAACAATAAAAGAGGAAAATATCAGCATCAATTGAAGATACTCTTTTTTAACTCGTTGACGTTAGGTCCCGGTAACGCGGCACTGATCGTTACACTACCCCCAGGAACTCGATTTGCTAAATGTGAAATGAAAGAAGAGACCACTAATTATCTTGGTAAGTGTATTGCAGTATATTTGTAAGTAGGTAGTAAAGTAGGGACCGAATTATCCCTTTTTGTCACGTTAACAAGGAAATATGATTCAATTACCCCAACACTGGCTACCTGTACAATCCCATATTATTTTTAAGCTACTGTTATTAGTCTATAAAGCACTCAACGACAAAGCACCTTCTTATATTTCTAGTCTCCTAAGTCATTGAAAGTTCTCTCGGTGATTACGTTCCAGTGGCCCTGAACTGCTGACAGTACCACTTGCTAAACTTAAGACTGATGGAGACCGAGAGTTTAGCACTACTGCGCCAAGGCTATATGGAATAACTTGCCTCTCAGACTTATCTTTTTAAAGAAACTTGTAACTTTTATCTCTAGTACACGTGTTTACATATTAATTATCTGTAAATTTATCTTAGAATATTTTTAGATTTTGCATTTTTGACTTATAATTATTGGACTCGTCGAGCTAGTTGGTACAAAGAAGGGCGAAAGCTATGCGACTACCACGTCATGGATCCGGGCTTAAGTGTCATTTGCCTTGCTAAGATCAGCTTTGCTTTGTTTAAGAGGCTCGCGAGTGTTCAGAAGAGTCCATTTAGAAGTGTCGGACACAGATTTAGGCGATATTTTATTTCCCTCTTTTTAGCTAGAATACGTTTACGTTTACCACAAAAGTTACTTTTAAATCGAAATGTTTTTTCAAAAATTTAAATGAAATGTTTTTAATAAGAACAATGTTTTTGATTGGAAAGAATTTTTTTTACTCGAAACTAAGAGCTTTTTTGTAATCGAAAGGAATTGTAAATAGTGCCTTGACTGAATAGTTTTTTTAAGCGAAATTAATAGTAATAGGATTCAGTATAGTTAGCCTTGTTATTATTAAAAGAAGAAATTATAAATTATTAACATTTTCATTATTATTATTATTATTATTATTACTATTTTTGCTGTGGTGGAATTTCATTAACTTGCAGTAAAATTTCCTTTAACTTCGATGACTCCGTAAAACTTTGTATGTTCTACTTTTTCATGATTCATGCAGAAAGTTGGACAGATTGTTTAGTTAAGTTTAGTGAGCTTTTAGGGATTATAAGTCGTTAAAAGGGGAACTGTAGAGGCATTGCTGCGTGCAAACGGACGCAACAACTCCCAACATTGTGGCGCCAGCGATGCTGGGAGTTGTTGCGTGCATGTTGGCAGTGGTCTGCAAACGGATGCAACAACTCCCAACAATTTTGGGACATTTAGTGCATCGTGAGAAGGATGCAACCCTTAAGAGCCAATGTCAGTAATTTTCGAGAATCGGTTGACACTCGTGAATTTTTGAATTACTTCATATTTTGCCCAAAAAATCTCTATAGTACACTTATTTTAAAAATCACATTAAACCTTTCAACGGCTTTTTAGTTTTTCCTGAATCGGGCAAAATTTGAAAAACGCCAAATCGGCGCTCTTTCGAGTATGAAATTAGCGAAAATTGAGCATTTTCTTCGCGCTCGTACATAAAAACGGAAAAATATCTCTAGATGAAATCAAGTCACAAAACAGACACACATTATTACTTTATAATTCAGCAGTTAATTTTAAATAAACCGTTTAAATGTGACTGTACCGGCCGCAAGAAGAAACACGGTTTCAGCAATTTTCAAAAATGGCAAATTTGACCTAACTTCACCATCGTAAAAACCTAGTTGGTACACGGAATTTCAACATAAAACAAACACTATTTTAAAGCAAATCCTTTGTCGTTTCTTGCATCAAAAAAATTTTGGCGGCATTACAAAAGTGCGTCGCTGAGACATCGAAACGTGCAGGGTAGTTTCGCACGTTGGAACGCTGAAACAAGCTGGCCGCGAGTGTAGGCACACAAAAGTTTTGGCTAACTTAGTTTCTTTTACAAGGGGCACATTACGGGAAGCTCTTAAAATCTTTTGAAAAACGCTTTTCAATTTGATGGTTATAAAAAAGAGCTAAGCAGATTAACACTACATTTGATTGCACGCAAGTAGCTGAAAAAGACAACGCTGTTAAATTCTCATTGAGTGTAAATATTGACCTCGAGTTTCTGCACCTCAAAATAAAGCCGCTAGAAACGGCGTGCTAGCTCTAAATGAGATTCGAGATCTCTAAGAATTACTTACCACAGTCGTTTCAACTGCAAGTGGCCGCAGTTTACCGTAATCTCCCGTCGTTTTATAGCCTCGGACTAAACACTGTGATGCGTGACGGAAAGCCCGTGTGTAATTTGAGTCTGGTCACGCAACTGTACAGACAAGGGTAAATCATCGCACGAGTGTACAAGAAAAAATAAAATGACAATTTAATAACACTCTTTTTTTTAGTTTTATATTTAATATTCCCAAAACATGTGGAACTAAACTTGATTTTAGGATGTACCAGCCGAATTTAACACAAATAGTGAAAGAAAACAAATAGAGTAAGCCGAGTCTGCAAAACTTTTCACACTAGTTTTCTTTTATTTGCACTTAGGCTTCTGAGCCTTTGCTTGTAATAAACTAATCTTAACCCCGCTTGGCGTATAGACTTCTTTATCGATCACCTCAGTATGAATTGAGGGATTTAGGAACACACGTACGCCATATGCAACATGAAGGTAGAGCAGGGAATGGAAACGAGTAAAACTGTTTAAAGAAAATTGGCCAACGCTCCGCAAAAGAACATTCCTGAAAAACCACAAATCGACAATGGACAATGGACAATGGACACATTTGATGAGCGAAAAATCGACAATGGACAATGGACATATTTGATGAGCGAAATACAAGTATTTAACATGTTTAAATTACTGAAAGTAGTATTGCTTTGCTCCTCTGCAGGAATGGCATCTTCTGGCAAGACCTCAACCTGTTGTTGACGAATTGTACACTATCTGATCCCCTGCCCCCCGAACAGAGGCCCTTAAAGGCCAGTCTACACAGTATGGGGTTAGACCAGAATGCACGTACTGCTAGCTCCCGCCTGAAGAAAAGGAATAGTCACCTGGCTCTGTCCGCCACCACCCCCGGCACTTGTTCGCTGGCTAGAAAATAGACCAATTCACTGACAAGTTCTTTTTCATAACGTCAAAATCCGTCGCGTAAATGAAAAAAATGCTTTAAAATGCCTAAGCCATTTTACTTACTATCTTTTAACCAAATACGTTGCGGAGAAAAGAGACAAAAGGCTGAAAATAGCCTTTCATTTCGATTTAAAATTTCAGATGGAGAATGCCCTTTTCCTAGGTCTGCACCTGCAGTGACTTGTGTGCTAAAACTCCTTCGTGGTGGTATCTCTCGGGCAAAAACGACCGCCTAGCGGCGAGGAGCGAGCAGAGAAGTCAGTGGCCATTTTCGAAAAGAAAAAGAAGTGTAAAGGCAGCACCTTCGTGACTTAGAAAACGTATGCGTATATAATTTTCTTCAGGCCGCACAGAGTCATCAATTAATGTGCCTTTACGGACCCCTTTTAAATGAGCAGCCAGCATGGCCAGTGGCTGTTCTGGAACTGTACAACGTGATTTGTGCTCCGCCACCCGGAACCCAAACATTTTTCATGCGCCAATTTTGTGGATCAAACAAAGTCTGCTAGCTCTAAAAGTAGTGATAAAGACATGAATTGTTGTATGTGTAGGGTTGATCCTAATGGAGAACCCAATGCCAACCAACCCACCCATCTCCTCCCCCTGCTCTAAAGTTAAACAAGCTAAGTAGACTTTTCAGGACGTTAGCATAGTCACCGGAGACCTCTTGTAAAGTTCACTAAAATAGTAGCAAGCACCTTCGAAGCCTGTTCACTGACCCTCTACTTGTTCATTAGAGATCGTCGATCTATTTTCTCTTTGGAGATCGTCGATTTCGCGTATGAAAATAAAAGCCGCAGGGGATTTATTGACCGTTAGAGCAAGGGGCTCCGCTCTCGCGCGCTCGCTTCGCTCGCGTGCTCGTCTATTTTCAAAACGAAAGAGGAGTGTAAAAGCTGCACCTTCGTCGCTCAGGAAACGTCTGCGTATATCATTTTCTTCAGGTAATAAAGAGTCATCAATCAATGTAGGTTGATCTAGAACGGTACCACGTGACTTGTTGCACCGCTACCCGGAACCAAACATTTAGAGGCGGTGAGCAAAAACTCTTATTTTCATGCGCCAATTTTGTGGATCAAACAAAGATCACCCAACGTAAATGCAGAAAACCGTACTTTTATCATTAGCGTAGTAGGGTCGATGTTTGGTTATTGCCCTACATGTTCACGTGACTGACAAGTCAGGAGCATACCAAGGGACTCACGACATCTCTTCTAAGATCGCAATACATTCAGCATTACTGGGGCCACAGGCGCCATAAACCAAGTTGAATATGTGCGATATGCTATACGAACATACAACAAAGACTTGAAAAGTAAAAAACTTATACCAGGAATTTCTTTTCCGGCGCGTTACGCGTCACGCACTTCCGGAATGTCATCTTTCCTCCTGTCGACAGATTGAAAACATATGCAAACTTAACTTCGATTCTGCCGTGATGCAGAATTTAGTTAGCGGTACTGTGACTCCGTCTAGCATCTAAATTCAGGTAAGTAAATAACTTTTCTGATTTTAAGGTTTCAATGCGATTAAAACTATTGCAAACGAGTATTTCGACAATATTCCTCTCTACTAACTGTGATTTGAACTGCGTATTCGTCTCTTCGTTATCGTTTATCGCAAAAATCAGTTGAAAGGAATCATTTTAAACGGAACAGAAACGCCAAAGTATAATCTGAAACCGTTACAACTCTGACTAGGGTTTAAATGTCGAAGTAACTTACGTTTGCGAAGGATTAATATTCCAAGCGTCCAGACTTGCTTATTGCACGCGCTTTCCTGGTGTCAAAATACCCTTCAGGTTTTGGTCTCTCGACGGTGCGCATTTGGAATGCCGCCAGAAATATTTTAACACGAACAACAGCAAAGGATATGCTTCAATACAGTTTTTGTTTCATATTGAAATTCCGTGTACCAACTAGGTTTTTACGATGGTGAAGTTAGGTCAAATTTGCCATTTTTGAAAAGTGCTGAAACTGTGTTTCTTCTTGCGGCCGGTACAGTCACATTTAAACGGTTTATTTAAAGTTAACTGCTGAATTATAAAGTAATAATATGTGCCTGTTTTGTGACTTGATTTCATCTAGAGATATTTTTCCGTTTTTATGTACGAGCGCGAAGAAAATGCTCAATTTTCGCTAATTTCATACTCGAAAGAGCGCCGATTTAGAGTTTTTCAAACTTTGCCTGATTCCTGAAAAAATAAAAAGCTGTTACAAGTTTTAACGTGATTTTTGAAATTAGTGTATTATAGAGATTATTTGGGCAAAATATGAAGAAACTCAAAAATTCATGACTGTCAACCGATTCTCGAAAATTACAGACATTGGCTCTTAAGTCTTTGTAAACCATGCGTTATGAGCGTGCGTGGCCCCAACAATGTTGGAAGAGCTTTGCAAACGGATCCAACATTGTTGCGCTACTCTTCGGCGATCACGGAACAAAAGAAATGTTGGGAGTTGTTGGCTGAAAAGTTTGACCGGTTTCAAACTTTGCGCAACAACACGCAACCACCTCCAACAACATGCAACAGGGTGTGCAAACGGACGCAACATGTAATATCCAACAATGTTGCGTCCGTTTTCACGCAACCTAAACTGTTTGCTTGAGTTGAGAAAACTTTATATGCCTCCCTGCGACTTTCTGCAATGACAGCGTGGATCTAAGTAACCTACATTTTTCGATAACCTATAATTACGGATCCGAAAGTTACTTATAGTTGTCGTTGTTGCTGTTTCCAGGCGTACAGGATGCTTTTGGAAATCATTTGGTTGGCGGTCATTTAGGCAATAATCAGGTCAAAGAGGCCGCTGGCTCACTGATACACTACTCCCACCAAACGAGAGGCAAAGACATCATTCTAATAAAGGAACCAACAAATGCCACTTTGAGGGTAATGGTAAGTAAGACAAGAATTACTGCAAGCAAGAATTTGAAAATGCAGGTATTTTTTACATGTCAAGTAAATGTCACAATGAGTAGTTTCATCTGAAGACCTAACTGCACACAAAGTATAAAGGAAAGTTTCGTTTTAACAGTTTCACATTTTTCAGGCATTAGCATGATTACCGACATTCTTTCTTAAGCTGATGTGTCTCTAGTATGATTTGTGCTTAATCTAAAAGTTAGCACCTATCTTCACATAGACACCGCTGCTTTTAAACTTGAAGGAAGAAATAACAGGCGGAATTATTTTTCCATCGGGGAGAATAACGGAATAAAATATAAGTTACTTTTTCAGGGTACAAATTAAAGTAACCAAAAGTGTCTTGAAACGTTTTTGAGCGATTTTCAATGCTCAATTTAAATTTAAGCAATAAACTATGTGATCTTTTTTCAGTACATAAGAAAAGGTGATCAGTCCATTAATCCAAGAGTGAAATACACCCTTATCATACCCACTCAGCATGCGATTGGTATACCTGGGTTGCCTGTTGAGTTTGATTGGATTAATGAGAATTGGTCAGGCTGCTCCAAATCTTGTGCATCAGGTAATTATCCAAATTAACCCAACTTTTATGTTAACCATACTGTACTTTTATATAGTCCTGTACCTGGCCTGCGCCACAAACGAAAATTAACTTCTGGTTAATTCCGTCTACGAAACATCGCCGAAATCCTTGTACTAGGTCCCCACTTGTGTACCAGGATTTGAGTACGCGCCATGATAGGACTCAGGCTATACTATATCATATTGCCACATTTACCATATTGAAGTTTTTTCTTTTCTAGGAATCAGAACACGAACCCGATGGTGCATTGTTAAAGATGACCGAAGTCCAGTTAATACCTCCGCATGTGGGGGACCCCCTGAAGAAACTGAACCATGCAATACTCAACCTTGTGAAGCAAAGTAAGTTTTTTCACAAAGTCATGGAACATATCACGTGACAAATTTTAATACATTACTCATTCGTTTATTAATCATTTTCGTATTTGGTAGGTGGGTGATGAAGTGGACATCATGTTCAAAAACCTGTGGCAAAGGCAAGCAAGTGCATACCACAAAGTGCCTTCAACAAGTTAACGAAACTTTATTCAGAGAAAGTGACACATGTAAAGATCCTAAACCTAACCCACCCCCCGTTCTTGTTCGGTTCTGCAATGAATACCCATGCCCTCCGCAATGGATTGTGGGAAACTGGTCAAAGGTAAACTTTTGGTTGTTATTTTCATTTAAACGCCTAGAAACTCCAATAAGGAGTTCCAATAATCGGCTGTTAACTCTGTGCAGTTCCTGTCGTTGCGTTCATTCTGATTCTAAATTTGTTCGTTAATAGCTTTAATGGGGTGTGATGTTATTTGCGGTAAATATTTTGGCTTTTCTATGGCTAACGATTAATTTCTCTCCGTCACGGTTAACAGACATTTTGAACTAAGAAGAAAAAGCAATTGATTTAAAAAAGTTCAAAATTCTCTATTGTCTTAGGCATCTAACTACTTTCCGGTAGTAAAAAAAAAAAAGACTGAAATAGGGTCATCAGCCACGCGACTTTGACAGCGTCTACATAGCAGATTACGGCATGAAACATTTTTGGACGGTTGGGGCTTTTACGACTTATTATTAAAAGCCGTGTTTACCCCTAAAGACTAGAATTTTGGGCTGTTTTATGAATAAAGATTAATGCCATTAGGGTGGAACTCCATTAAATGGGTTGGACCAGGTCCGACCTGAACATAGACAGCGAAATAACTAAAACTTATTACAACTGAAAGAAAAGTAACCTGTGTTAGGACTGTATGTAGATACCCAAGAGATGCACCCTAGACAAAAAGAAAAGTACATACAAAAAAACAGATTTATTTTTCGAGTCCAGTTATAGTTTACATACAATTTAATACATGGTGTTCGCTGCTCATGTTGTTCCTATTTGCAGTGTCCTCTGAAATGCAGAGTTGCGACGATACAGAGACAAGTGTTCAAATGGAATTGGAATTGGATATCACAGTGTTGTTTACACATTTGGTATTGACTATAAGGACTGTGGATTTTTTGTTTGCGATTGTTTTTAGCTTATAGAAAAAGGGACCTGAAAAAAATGCAAAGTGCAAACACAACGTTAACGGTAACCGCCAATGACACTATTATATTCTAAACCTGCCACCGATATTGCCATTAATTTTTTTTGGTTATTTTAATGAACGAGGTTCTTCTAGCATAACAAATTTGTTGTAGTTGCAATGACTGGAGACCACGTCAATGCAAATAGCACAGCCGAGTTTATTAGGACATAATTGCAGCCTGAATAAGCCCGCCATTTGTACCTCAAGCTGACCCTCTTACTGTTATTATCTTTAAGACAATTGTTACAGAGCAGCTATTTACGACAGTTCCTTTTTCTTAAGTTTGCTCAGTTGGGAGAGCGTAAGTCAGTGCTGAAGGGCAGGTCGCGGGCTCAAACCTCGGCCGAACCAACACTCAGGGTCTTAAATAACCGAGAAGAAAGTGCTGCCCCTGTAATGACATCTGCAAACCGTTAGACTTTCTAGTCTTCTCGGATGAGGACTAAAAACACTAAGTCCCGTCTCACAGTACTTTCATATATTTTGTTCTTTTTGAATGTAAACGAAGCCACATTATACTGTTCGAAAAGAGTAGGGGACCTGGACCCCGGTGGTATCGCAAAGTCTCACGAAGTAACTGATGCTTTTGTATTTGCATAAATTAACGATTGCTATTTTGGAACTGTTCTACTTTCTTTCCTCGCCTGTGGAGATAAGTATACTCTATATGTTCCCGTGGTTTATTTTTCAGTATTAATTCCTCTGTTGCAGATCCACTACCTAAATTTGAAGCAGTTGGTTGTTATAAAGACAAGCGCAACCACGCTCTGGATACTATGTACGCAAATTTCCGACCGATCAAAGACTGGCATAACATGGACGCTACCATACGTCAATGTGCGTTGGTAGCACGTGACATAGGTTACAAGTACTTCGCTATTCAATTTTACGGAGAATGCTGGTCTTCCTGGGAGGCTTCTAAGTACTATGACAAATATGGTAAAAGAAAAAAACTCTAAATATTGTTGGGCCAACGTTGGAGGACCCATGACTAACTACGTTTACCGCTTTTCTTAAGTAAGTATACGGTAAAGTAGAAACACCTGTCATAAGGAGATCATATTCGAGTGAAATCGTTCGATAAGTTATCGCATTCGTTTTCGGCTTATGTTTTGCTCACGCTTCTATGGAGACGCACGAGATACCCAGAACTCTCCAGGCGAGATACCCAGAATTCTCCTGGCTAATTTTTTACCTGGTCTTCTGTTCTTTTTTGCAGGAATAAGCTTAAAGCAGTTTCGCCCGCAAGGAAATCTTCCGTTCCTGCTCAGAAGTCATCGGCAGTTTTTCGAATAGTCTAATTTCACTTTCGAGTCACGTAATTTAATGTAAGAATAATGTAAAATCTTTTAGACTAAACGAGTTAAGCATTTTATGGAAAATACTTCATTAAACAAAATTAAATTATAGGTCAAAAAATTTGTCTGAGTATATTTCTGTTGTTTTGTTTAAAAGTTCCGTTATTACAATGCGACCCGCACCCACGAGTTTGGTTGTTACGTGTACTTCAATCAACCGATATCGTTTCAAGTGATTACTTGCTTGCCATTCACTTCTTTCAAACTGCTTGAAATGTTTGCCTAATTCAAAATCTAAAAAGGTTTACGGAAATCTGTGTTAACTTTTTTAATTCAAGTTTCCATTAGGACGTCTTTTTTCGCGATGAATGTAACATAAAAATATCATGCTTGGTGTCGCAATTTCTTGTGTGCTGTTTTGTTTCTTTACAACCTTGCCTTATCAAACACATAGTTAAGATAAGCCGTTAAATATGTCAGAACCAAAAAGCACCCTATCTCAAGCCTCAAAGTTTGTTTCAAAAAATACGATTTCTGACAAATTAAGGGCCTGATGATAAAACAAAAAACCAAGACAAAACAAAACGGGCAATAAAAAACCCTGAACAGAGGTTCCTGAGGGCTCGAAATGTTGCTTGAAAAAAAGACTCACTGATTCTAAAGCGCAATTACCTCTTTTTGATCAAATGTATTAAATGGAAGTAACGCTAAAGTAAAGATAAAATATTAAAAATAAAGATGGTTTGTGCAATGACGGAAACAAGGAAACTTGTATTAATTGTTTTAAGTTTGATGGGCAAATTCAGGTCGGTACAATAGACCATTTCTTGATACGCATAAATATTCAAACCAACATACTGCTCTCTAAAAATTCTCAGGCATATTTGACATAAATAAGGACGATTTGATTTTCTTTACTAAAATTACGTGGACACAAACCAACTTCGGCCACAACAATTCTGTTAGAAAAGAGAGAGTAAGTGTTACTTTTAATATAGAATTGAGAGAAATAGCGGAAAAACTGGGTGAATAACGTAAACAATTCATCTCTTAAAAACTCATTAGCACTTCTATTGAAATATATTGCGGCAATAATCTTGAACATTTTAAGTTAATAAAAAAGGATTTTGGAGATGAATTAACGTTGACGCTCTTTGTTTCTAAGTTGAGATCAAGCGTTTAATCCCTTTGGTTTTATCGAAGCTAAATGGTTGGTTCTTTCACCAGAAATTCATTTTCTAAAAGCTGGTATTTTAAGGCTTAACAAGTCAAACATCCGTTTCTCATTTTCATTCAATACGTAATGACACCATGTGCTACAATGACACAAAAGACAGTATTTTCAGATAAAATAGCCACTCTAAACTCAGTCACAAACGAAAGACGCTCGTCATCTTTGCTTTTTTGAACAAGAAACGCTTCTCTGGTGAAGGTAAGCCATAATTTTTGTCCCCTCATTTTAATTTCCATTTCTCTTTATATCTGACGTATAAGCTCGGCTCAAAAAAGCTACATTGTCTCCAAGGCATGAACTGATGCACGACATTATGTCAACGTCTGTACTTAAAGTTTATTAGGACCTTAAACTTTGTCGGAAGTCTTGGGGCGGAATTTCAAAGTGTGCTACTGACCAAGAAAGTATTCCTCAGTCAAGAGCGTGTTTTAAAAGGCGCTACAGTATTTGTAGGGCTCTCCACAAAGGGAAAAAATAACCCGCAGTTTGTTATTTTATTTTGGTGCGATTCTGAAATCAAAACAATGGAAATTGACTGCCATGCATGTCCTTCCATCTTCGTCTGATAGTAAGTTATTTATTTATCAAAGTCAATCCAATTTTTGCAAGCCTCATGAAGCTCAATCTTATAAATAGCCCACTAGTTATAAATTTACCCCGGTTAGCGTATCATTTAACGGTCGAACCCTTGAGTTTTGATGTTAAACAAACACAGACGGCTAAGAAAAGATTTTCTTTTGAATTTCAATGTTCGTGTCATAAGGTTGTTCATGTTGTGTTGTAATTTTTTTTTTTTTTTAAAAAAGGCCCTTTAAACTTTATCTATACTTGTAACAAATGACCCCTGGTAACGTTTACTAATAGTGGATGCAGGTGGCGTAAGAACATTTGCAACGTGTGCTGCCTGCCTGGCATTATTGTTGTTTTTTCCTCTCAAGAGGGAATTAAACAGGAAGGAAAGTCAGTGAACCTAGTTTATAGCTCTAGTTAATTTATTGAGCTGGAAGAAGTTCGTTGCCTTAGCCACGTACAGTGGAATTCAGTCACACTATTCCACTCTTTTCCGCATTTCGTTAACATGGTATAACACGATATAAAACGACAAGGAGGCTGGCAGGAAGAAGATAATTATTTATTATAGCCGAAGGAAGTAGCAAAAACTAAGTTTATCTGAGATAACAAAAACATTAGGGTACAGTTCGTGTATTATGAAGAAGTTTGCCAAGAAGTTGAAAGAACATTAAAAAAAAAGGCCGAGTTCCCACCCTGTGGAGCTCTCGCTGTATGGACGGCTTTGCAGTGTTAAATACATTTTGTGAAGATAGCTAACTAAGCTTAATTGAAGAGTTTGTTATTGTATCTTCTTTATTATTCACAAAGGGTGCATGAGGTAGTCGCAGCTGTTTGACGGTTCTATACAGCAAATCAAATGTATAAGTTTAAGCAAAGAATTGGGGACTGTTTATTATCCGGCTTTTCCCCTCCGTGTTTTGAGTCTTCAGGCTCATTTCAATCTGGGACGCGTTATTGAGCACAACAAGTGGTTTTCCCGTAACATTTTGGCTTCTTGCTTCAATAAAAATTTGATATAGATATTTCTATAAGGACCCAAAAATCTTCCCTCCATTTTTGACATTACGAAACGCTGAAATTTTTCTTTAAAGCTAATAAAATGCCTTTTTTGTTCAATTCCCTTTTGTTCTTTTTTCTCAATTGACAATAAGTATTAAAACAGAAGCTGAAAACACGTTCAAACCACTCCTCTTTATTGCACCAGTTAGGCTGCAAAGTCTCGGCCAACAGCAGTCTTAAGTATAAATTAAAGGTAAGCTTAAAACCTTACTAAAATTTTGTCAATGGTAGTTAGGAAATGTGCTCGTACGGTCATCGATTTGCCTTAATGATAGCAATGTCGCTGTACTGCGAAAGCTGCTTGCAACTCCAAAATACCTTGTGTTTCGTCCGTCAATCACTAGATAAGACACTGTCAGAACCGTTACAAGTACTACATGAAAACCCCTCAATAGCTTTTAAATGGTTGTCAGGGAAATTTTCTGCAAGGGAAACAATATTTCTGGGAGTGGTAGTTGGAGTGTGAAAGCAACAACAGTTACACGTACTGTATTACCTTTACAGTATTTTCATTTTTTGCAGTTGCCGAAATGTCCATATTTTGGATTCTTACGAAACAAATAACCTGGTTTTTCCTTCTGAGTCTTGATATTACAGGTAAGTCGTTTCGATTCCTAATCTTTCTTGAATTATGTGATATGCTCGCTTTTTTCACTTAACTAACCGTACGTTTGTAACGAACTTTCATAAATACGAGGGAAAAGTATACTAATCAATATGAATAGTGTGCATGACAACTAAAGAGGGATTTGAAAAAACTTCAACAAAACTATGAGCAACAACAGCAGCAGCAGAGAATTATCAACCTCCTGACTGTTTTGTTTTTCTTTTACTTCGGTGATAATTATCTTATTACAGTAGTAGTTCTTATTACGGCCCACCGCCAAAATTATGAATATTACAATTAGTGAAACAAAGGGTTTATTTTTGTAGTTTTTTCAGAGTCGTCAGAGTACTTAGCTGGATAAGTATTAAGTGCGTGCTATTGCTTTTTCGTTGCCGTTCACTTTATTTCACAAGTCCCAAATTCAGATGAAGTCAGGACACTCAACAGAGAAATTGTAAAAAAAAAAATCCTTCATTTTCTTGGACGGATAATTAGCATATATTTATGACAATGAAGGGATCGGGACTCATCTTTGTTGAGAGAATAATGTTATATTGAGATAATTGTTATAAGTAAAAAAATATGCAAAGTCTTTGTATTATCTTCTAGTCTTAATTTTTTACAAATTTCTAAACAATTATACTTTTGGTGTCCGTAAACTGTTCCAAACACAATCTTTAACTGAAAGATTAATCTGCGAAGTACTGGGAAAAAACTGTAGCAACAAAAAGCTATAACTTAGTTCCCTCATATGCTATTTACATTTCGTTATCCATTCTTTTATCTGGGTGCAACGTGACTTGAAAAAATAGGCTTGATTAGAAAATAAGGAAAAGAATTGATAATCGAAACTCCTCTGCTCCGCAAGACAAAATGAAGCAGCTGTTATCAGAGGACAATTCTTTGCTATCAGCGTCGTTTACTTTGAACCTCTTAGCTCATGTAGCGACGTAACATGTGGTTTAACAAATTTATTCTGCTATTCCATGGATTAATTCGCTGGTAAAGAACACTGAATCGTTGATGGCTGACGCAGGCTACTTTTGGCTGGCTAATCACCACTTAAAACGGAAATACGGGAGCGGGATAAGTGACGCATCAATGTGACGTTATAACAGGATGATCTAAAATGAAGTAGGCTTGCCAACAGCTTATTGTGACATTTTTTTTGGTTTTACTGTGACAATGTTTCAATTTTTAAAGCTAAGATGAAGGGAAAGGAATGTATAAGCTCACAGTTAAGGTCTCGGCTCATATGAGTTAAGTCAGTCCAGTTAGCCAGTTAGTCGGGCCAGCCTGGGCTCACCTCATTTTTACCACACCTTTAGAGAAAAAAATGTGTAGGCGAAAGATTGAATTGTGGGAAGACATCCAAAGGAGCTGGCTCGCAATTATAGAATGCCTTCGACATGGTATGTCTGAGATGAAAAGACATGAATTAGCAAAGGCTATATATATTTCTGATTTAAGGTGTTTCGATACAGTTTTTCAGAAGCCATACCGATATTTTTCAATCGCCTTAAAAATGGTTTTTTCCCTCTCCGATTGCTATAAAATTTTCACCAGTAACTAGCTATGGATTGAAATTTGTGAAAATGTAGTTTTAAGCAAAATCGGCATTACTATAACAAGAATAAACGAAAAAAATGAAATTGATAAAAGCCGAAGTTTGTGTGATCTAGACCAGTTACTAAAAATCCAACACTAGGAAGTTAAAGTTTGGTGTTTAGCAAACAATCTCCGTAAGAAGTTAAAAAATTCTGTAAGTTTGAATTCGACTAAAGCTAAAATATATTTCAAACCTTAAATTTTCAATAGCCGTGATAGATTATTGAATAAAAACGTTATAAATCACTCAAATTATTCTTAAGTAGCGTCAGAATGATGATTAGTATCATATTTTGATGCTAGGAAATTTTGGTGTATTTTCGTTCTTGCGATCTTGAAAACTAACCCGTTTTCTCACCACCTGTAGAAGTGCAACTTCATTCCCAATTTGGTCTTTTAGCGCTTTTTTGTGTATCTCTGAAACGAATCGAACGAATTTTTAAAAAATCTCTTTACATAATCTTCATAATGTATACAATAATGTCTGAAACTTTCATTAAGATTGATTCACTGCAACACCTTGAAATTTCAAGACAAACCTATCCTACTAAACGATGAAAAATCTGCTTTACAACATTCAGTTTTGACGTTATGCTACTTTTTCCAAAATAATGCGCACTATACATACCTCCATGACTAGTACATTTTAGTTTGAATTTATCGCATCTTTTGAATTTAAAACATTGACAATGGTCACACTGAAATTTACTAGTCATGGATATATGTATTGTCCGCATTAATTTGGAAAAATTAGCATAACGTCAAAACAGTGAATGTTATAGCGCGGATTTTTTACCGGTTCGTAGGATAGGTTTGTCTAGAAATTTCAAGGTGTTCGTTTTGAATCAATCTCAATGAAAGTTTCAGACATTATTTTATACATTATGAAGATTATGAGAAAAGGTTTTTTAAAAAATTCGTTCCAGTCGTTGCAGAGATATACAAAAAAGCGCTAAAAGTCCAAATTTTGAATGAAGTTGCACTTAGTCAGGTGGTGAGAAAACGGGTTAGTTTTCAAGATCGCGAGAACGAAAATACACCAAAATTTCCTAGCATCGAAATATGGTACTAAGCAGCATTCTGACGCTACTTCAGAATAATTAGAGTCATTTAAATTTAAGGTTTGAAATATATTTTCGTTTTAGTCGAATTCAAACTTACAGAATTTTTTACTTCTTACGGAGGTTATTTGCTAAACACCAAACTTTAAGTTCCTAGTGTTGGATTTTCAGTAGCTGGTCTAGATCGTGCAAAATTAAGCATTTATCAATTTCAAAGTTTTTTGTTGATTGTTGTCATAGTAATATCGATTTTATTAAAACCTACATTTTGACAAATTTCAATCTATATTCAATCATTGGTGAAAATTTTATAGCGATCAGACAAGGATAAAATCACTTTTGAAGCGATTGAAAAATATCGGTATGGCCTCTGAAAAACTATATCGAAACACCTTCAAATGTATGTAACCTGAAATGCTATTTCAAGGCCAGCTTCGAAAAACATCATTAACAGGTCAAAAGTGTTGCCTTGGTTTTTTTTACGCCGCTGAAGTGTTATGAAACAAAACATTGAAATAGTACGTAACGAAAGTTCTAATAAAAACAGTTATTAATGACCAGAGTCATTGAATTTAAATAATGTAATAAAATTATCATGTTCAAAGAAACAATAACCTTTTGGTCATTTAAGTTTAAATTAACCTAGAGCCACACCTTTATACGAGGAGTTTGAGTGTCCATTTGCTGATTCAAAATTCATGTCTTATTTAGCAGTTTAAATATACACTGTTAAATACTAAGCGAGCGGAAACTCAGCAGCAGTTTTATACTTTTGATATTTGAAAGCAGTATTTTGTTTTTGTTTTGAGATGTCATTTTCTGTCCCTTCAAGAGGAGAATGATAATTTTTAATTTTATGACCTAATCTCAACATCCGACTATGACTGACGCTCAAAATTTGCCACCAAACACGTACAAAATGCTCTAAGAAAAAGGCACAGTTTTTCTAAACGCAATACGTTTGCCAAGATGCATACAGAGTGCTCTACATTCAAACTGTTCATAGCGTTGACAACTTGGACTGTTTATAGCGGTAAATATATTGTGTGCACTAACTTTAAGAAACAGAATTAACAGGTATAGGTGTATCAGACGTTTTACTGAAATAGATCTCAAAGCTTGAGTATTCCTTGTATAACACTAGTAAAATTTAACTAAACCGGTCAGTTACACACGAATGATCATTGTAGACCTTGAAGCTGGCTTATTGACATTTCTATTCTAAAGATTGCCGCTAACGATAACTTTATTTCATTTTCTTTCAGATGCATTTAGATTAGCACCATCAAAAGAAAATGAGGTAAGCTAAGCTAAGATCGTCATTCAACAAATGTAGTCATTCTAGCTTCAAAGACATTTACAGTTAAATAACAAAACTTGGAAAGGACGTCTGTCTACGGCAAACGGTCATTTGTTTATATGGCTTTTTATCACACAATGAGTTCAGTTTTGAAACAGCATTTTTTCAACATTTAAAAACTATAATCATTAGCGTCATTGAACTAACCTAATCGTGCTGATTTTCAGTTCAGAATACAGCATATTTTTTGGAATGTTGAAATGTATCTAGCGCAAGATAAATACAGATCTGGTTAATCATTAATAAATAGGGTTTGTGCTATCAGTCGTCTGTGACTGTGAAGGTGCTTTAAAAATAAACACAGTTATTTCACTTGGTGTATTGCTACGGTGTTAAAACACGTTTGCGAAACTCACGTAGAGATATGACACCTAGTTTACGTCTACCAACTTAAGTGTTTTTAATATTTCTTATCTTTTTTGTTGTAAATTACATGATGTGGAATAAGGTCCAAATTTAAGACTGTAAGAAGAATCCCTAAAAAGGGTGAATTTGTTCTTCGCCCCAGGCCATAAAATTACACCATCTCATGACGAAAAGGGAAGTAAAGCAGTTCTTTGGTGTTGAAAGTCACGATGAAGGTAACAAACAATAAACGTACTCCTCTCAGTGTACATTTGTCACACATTCAAGTTATCCTTAGAGCTCTCTTTAAAAACCACTCTATACTCAATCAGTAATAATGATCTTGTTGGCATCAAGATACAGCTCCTCCTCCCCTTCCTTCTCCTCCTTGGGTTTTTTGAGATCTCAGACCTAGGATACACTTCGCTTCACAACAACTCTTTTTTGCATTCAATTAAGCCTTCAGGAGCCAATATTGAGGAAGGGCTGCATGTTAACATTCCTCAAGAGTACCCCACTAGAGAGTTACGAGTTTGAGTCTAATTGTTCAGAACGTATTAGAGCATTTGCTCTTTACTAGAAATAATTTATTAATAAGATAAGTGGAGTCAAAATCCTCAATAACCGGTATATTTGGCATTGACAAAGTTGTTGAATTCAGTTCCAGAATATCACGTCACAATTCCATTCCAAGCGGATGAATCAGGTGAATTTCTCAGCTACAAACTACATGAGCATGCGCGGTTCAAAAGAGGCACTGAGGAACCGAAAGTCTGGTATTACAAAATGGAGGCCTTTGGAATGTCACTTCATTTAAACCTGAACAAATCTCCCAACCTATTTGGGCCTGATCTGGTGGTGGAGAAGATACACAAAAATGGAAGTAAAGAGTACAGTGAGACGCCTCACACGGCCTTTTATGAAGGACACGTGAAGTCTGATCTCAATTCAATTGTTGCTATCAGCAACCATAATGGACTGGTGAGTGTGTTTACGTCGTTATTCTCACAGTAGATTTGTTGAAGGACAGCAATGCTTTTACCTCACATTTTCGTTCAAACATTTCAAAAATTTAAGCAACTGGACATTTCATTGCTGTCAACTTAAAGGCTCATAATAGTGAAATGTGGGGAGTGTATGCCAAACCAGATTTTAAGACCTGCGACAGTTCACAAAGCCAAAAGACGCACCTCCAATTTTGCAAACGTTTTTTAGAAGTAAACAACAAGGTTTCTAATGTTGCTTGTGGAGCTGAAGACTTGGTCGCTTACCTTAAATATCACCATAAATCAAAACATCCTCAACTACATTTTGTATATTAAATCTAAAGATGAAGAATCTTTCGTTAAGCAATCCTTTTTAAAGTCATGTGATCTATACCGCAATGGTAAGAGTAGCTTTCACTCTCACTTGATGGAGATGTCAGAATATTTCAACCTACCTGACTTCAACACGGATATGTTAGATACCGTTATAGTAAAAAACTTCTTAGGTTTAATGAAACAAGAATATATATCATCTTGGCAAAACATCTTTCACTACCCTCAAAAACCATAATTTGTTAGATCTTTTAAAAGCGATCATACCACTTTCAATTACCGAGACTTCAATAAATTAGTAAAACTACGAATAAGTAACCACACACTAATGATAGAACTTGGTAGATACAATCAAAATCACACATGATAGGAATTGCCTTTTTGTGGATCCAATCAAATCGAAGACGAAATTCACTTTCTTTTTAATTGCTCTAAATACTATTTGATTAGGAATAATTTTTACAATAAAGTTTAGATTCTAATTCCAAATATTACCCAGTTACCTGTTAACGTTTTGATCAATGAACTGATGAACACATCTAATTAGTATATCAATTTCCAATTCATGAAATAAATTTCAGCTTGCTTTGACTTTCTAATAATTGTAAACAGCTTTTGTACTACTGTATGTACTCGTGTGGTCCTGAAAATAAAGCTTGTTGTTGTTGTTGTTGTCTTCATTAAGACATTTACATAGGTGGAGTCCAGTTGTGGGAGGTTTGAGTTGTGGAATGCGCAAAAAAATATGTGCGCAATAATCGCAAGAGGACCACAGAACAAAAAAGGGTCAACAACAACGACAAATTTTATTTACGCGAGGTATGATTGCAAAGAGAGCTTAGCACGCAGAGCACTAGCTAATTGAGGCGGCCTAAAAAGCAAAAATTAATAATGGCAATAATAGTGGTAATAAAAAGTCAAAGTAATAATAAAGTAAAAAAGTAACATATAATACAGGTATTACTAATTATTATGATAATACTAAATATTGACATATTATGGGACTATCGCACTTCACGGTGCACAAAATATAGAGATAGAGAATTAGACGAATTGAGTTGATTTGGTCCCGCAGGAGCTGGCGACCGTACCTGAACAGTCGACCAACAGTTTTCTTGGCATATAAGGCCTCCTCAGCATTCTCACTGGAGAATTTAAGTGAAAACACCTGGGCTGAATCAACAAGAAATACTCGAACAATTGAAAACTGATATGTTCATTTCTGTAACTGACCGTGATGGGATCATAATATAATTGTTTCACGTAGAGCTTGTATTTGACTGTTTGAATCGATGAGATATATTATTTGTCCCCATCATATCTGCTGTTACTTTTTAGAAAGGAATAATAAACTTCATGGAGAGCGCTTTTTTCGTTCATCCGCTACCTGATCATCTCGCAAAGCATTCTGGACTATATGGTGGTTCACGACCTCATCTTATTTACCGCCGTTCTGTTAATCCTCACAAAGAATACTGTCAAGTGAATGGTAAGACGTTTTCTGCACATCCCTTCATGCTCAATTTAGGAAAGGGGTGAATTAATTAACTTAAACAAGGAGCATACATGTACCAACCCACGACCTGGCCAAGACGGTGTAAGTAAAATCTGGACAGCGACTGCCTATGTAAATGTTTGTGTATACCGCAGCAGAAATCTTAAATCGCTTTTAACTTAGATGTCACAGTGAATTTAAACATTTACCCATAGCTAAAACCACGAATCAGGTCATGTATTTTAGGTTTTGGATCAGTAGAACGGTTACCACTCATAGGCTATTATAGTCAGGCAACAGTCGGGCGAACGCTTGTATTTCAAATTTATAGTATTTCGAGACTGGCTAAATGTTTAACTCCTGATAAGGATACAAATATTCATTTGTTACAAAGAAGATGAAGTATTTTTCATCCCCATCCAAAATCCCAAATACTTTGAACTCACTTATTTTTTGACAGAAAAACGGCGGTCAAAACGAGGCGTAAGCTTAGCTAAGGAGACAAGCCAAAACAATTATCGTGAAACAAGATCTGTGTCAAACAAACACTTGGAGGTGATGATGGTTGGTGATCACTTATTCCTACAGAGATTTGGCAGCGAAGACGAAGCAGCTGAAATACTCTTATTGCTGGCTCACATGGTTAGACAAAGAAGAGATATTTTTATTTTTTAAATTGTAATTGTCCTTACTGACTAACATTGTGTTTACCCTTTGCTATAAGGTCTCTTTCTTCTGATAACAAATGTCTTTTAACTGGCGCTGTTTAGGTGAACGCGATGTACCACGATAATAGTGTTGGAGATATTAAGCTCACCCTTTCTGTTGTGAGGCTGGTCATTCATAAAGACGTAAGTGCTGATTAAATGAATGCATTCAAATACACCTATCAACCCATAATACACAGAGTACCAGTGTAACTCGACTATACCAACAGCGTCTTCTCCATGACAGGCAGCCAGTTTTGTTCTTCCCGAAGGGTGCATAAACTCTAGTTTTAACCTCCCTACAAAAAATACTGAGACATTTTCCCTTGTTTAAGGTAGCTGTTATGGAGATGTTGGACTATTTTTTAGCTATGTAATCATGCAAAGGCATTATAAAGTGACCGATAACCACAAAAAAAAATCAAAAGAAGGCGTTTTGGCCTGTCTACGAAATAAATAATGACACTTTTCTCACGGTAGACAAACAACAGCATGGGTGAAGTTTTGACTAACTCAACAGTTAGCCCGGCCAATTATGGTTAATAAACTTGCTCGCCTTTAGTTTAGCTATTCAAGCAGTGACGACAACATGGCAAGACTGAATGCTCTGGAGGTGTGGGTAAACGGTGACAATATGCCTATGTCAGATGCCGATCCAAAACATGCTGACCAAGTAATACTTGTCACAGGGTATGTAACTATGGAATGTTATTCACTCTAAGGTCTTGTGTTAACTTGGTGTCACGGGACATTTTGTTCAAAAGTAAATTCATAAATTTAGCTTTTCTTTCGTTTGGCGCTTGGCAGCCACTTTGTCTTCACTTTGCAGTAAATAAATACCAAAGATGGCGCTTTTTTTCTTTCTCTCCCTGTTTAGGGCTGGATTTGGAGGTTAGTGTGTTGTCCATGAACGAAATACATTGATTTAACATCGCTAACTTTCAGCTCCTTTTATTACATTACATTTGACTTATCTTTTGCAAAAGAAATAGTACGCACGCCTTTTCAAATATTATTGCTATAATTTTTCTGTCTCATGATTATCTTATCTTATTATTATCTTAGCGGTAACTGTTTTTTACAGGTACGCTAGTCCACGTACAGCTGCCATGATTGCAAAAGCATGATAAATTGTTTGTAATTTTCTTGATGCAAATACATTCTGCCTCCTAACCCTAACTAACCCTAACCCTACATTTCCTAGGCCTGGCACAAGCATCGTCTACTTGTTCATCAACGTATGGACCGAGTATAAGCAACGGAGACATGGGACTGGGCACAGCATTTCAGATAGCTCATGAAACTGCACACTCGTAAGTAAAATATGTCTTCCACTGAAAAACATTGGAAAACTTAGCATTAGTGAACTCACCACGGTGAGTGCCTATAAATTATTTTTGATGTAATCGATGGAAATGGGAAAAGGAAAGAGAGAAGCCAACTCTAATTTATGATATGAAATAACAATAACTAAAAGAAATGTTGGCTAAATGCAATGTTTTTACGTTTTAGTTAACAAGCTCGGGTACCAAGGCCTATTTGCTTCAGTTGAGCGATAAGCATTTTCGTGAAATCAAATATTAATTGACAAGAGTGAAGAGCAGCTCGTTTTACTGGAGTCTCTGGTACTAACTCATTTTTATTGTTCTTGCTGACAGGCTTGGTGTTCGCCATGATATCGAAAGCAATTTAACAGCATGTCCTAATGGAAAATTCATCATGACTACAACCACAATTGGAGGCAATAATGCCGGAAAATGGTCTCCCTGCAGCCGCCAGCAAATACAGACAATCTTGAGGTAAAACTATTCTTTCGGCATTAAAAGCCACTGTGCTCGTTGGTTATTGGGCATAACTGGCGGTATCTCAGTCAGGATGCAAGGACGGCCTCGTTCCAAGTCCATCAAAGGTTCAGTTTTGACATTTGCAATGTAAAGCACATTAAAGATTGCTCGATAGTCTGAGTTTTCTCTGCAAATTCTACAGGAAGGAATTGCAGAATAAGTGTCATTTGAATGGTCAAAAATCTGGATTTAACGCCAAGGTTAAGATTTAGACCCCGTCTAACTACGCGAAAGAAAATCAACCCTAGCTGAAAATTGATTTATAACGCATAACTTAAAAGCGGAGATATGCTACATGCGATTTGAAGGCATTTTGTCGGGGGAGGGAGTAATGAAGGTAATTTAGTTGCAATAAATTATAGAAGACCTTACTTTGTTTTGTCTTTAGTGGACCAACCTCTTGGTGTCTTGACGACACGCCTAATAATGTCCATGCTCTCTCAAGCAATTACCACCACAAACTTCCAGGTCAACTGATCGATGGTGACGCTCAATGTGTTCTTCAATATGGAGCTGGTTTTAAGTTCTGCAGCCAAATGCAGGTAATATTATAATAGTGTTAAAGGAAACATTACGCACGATTGTCCTTCTCCTTAGGGATTAATTTCTTAGGGGATGGGGTGGGGGGGAAGAGGTGCAAAACCATCTGTGGTACCTCACTGAAAATGTTTCTGTGCAGTTTTTCTAAATGTTCATGTCTATCAAAGGATATGGTGGATACGTAGCATTAACGTGGCATAAACGTAAAGCCGTCGCATTTGTCCCGTTAAAAGTTTTTGGTTTTAAGCTCAGTCAGAAACAATAAAAAATCCTGAACAGGCAAATACGACGGTTATACGTTTATGTTGGAAATGAATCCATCCACATGGTAAACACATAATTTTATATTATATTGTGCGTTATGACTCCTCTCAGAAAACGTACTCTCGCACAGTATCTCGGCTTTCAAAGCACCATACATCAAAAAGACAATCTTTAATGTTAGGAAGCACTAAACAGGACAAAAGGAGGTCTATTGCTAATTGGATGTAGGCTTCCTTACGTAGCGATGTTAGGGAAAAAAGAGCCTCAAAGCTTGGTAATCTTGCTATATTCATAAGCGATAATACTACCCTTTTCCTAAACAGTTATTATGAAGCATACCAGATAATAGAGGAATTACTTCAGGACAGTATTTTATACCAAAATAAAGACAAAAACAAAAACAAAAACTCTCACCTGCTAGGGTGGTTTTTGGACATAAAATCAGAACTAGACGGGAGCTAGATCACTCTAGAAAGTCAACCATAACATTCCAGCCATTTCCTCTATATATGTGAAACTATGTATTTATTTTATAAGAAAACATTAACAAACGATATGCACTTTCCCTGATCGTTAATCCTTTTAATTTTCCTAGTCAAACTGTGGTTCTTTGTACTGTACCAAAGATGGCTTGTCCTGCCCTAGCAATTTCGCTCCCCCTGCAGATGGAACGAAGTGTGGAGAACGAAGAGTAAGTATTCAATTGGTCAAATTCTTGTACCCTAACTGAACATTGACATTCTACTAAAACAAGACTTGTCCTGTTATCAGAAACGTAAAGCCTATTTAAAGCCAATCTACCTAAGATCGTGTATCATGAAGCAAAGTGTCAATGAAGATGCTAGCTGTGAGTTGTCTTCGCTATGAACAATTTGTATCGCGCATATTCCCTTATAAAACTGATAGATCGTTAAAAAGGATGAATAAGAAAGACATTTCTTGGCCTCTTTATTACGACGACATCATTAAATCACAGCCTTCTTTCAATTTAGTGGTGCATTAAAGGGGAATGCGTCGATGATGGATCATCAATGACTGACGGAGGGTGGAGTGAGTGGTCAGACTATTCAGCTTGTTCATACCCCTGTGGGGGTGGAGTGCAGTACAGATCAAGGACGTGCACAAACCCCCCGTAAGTTCAACTTTTTTTTCGTTATTTCATTTATTTTGACATATCTTTTAAGACGAACTATATATTAAAAGCAAATAGGTATGTACAAATCTACGAGCAATAGATCATACCCGTGAGTTTATACCATCATCGTTCATTCTAGACCACAAAATGGAGGTATGGATTGTGAAGGAGAGAGCATTGGTCACTGGAAAATATGCAACTCACAGGTAAATTTAAATTTAAAACATTTTACGTAGAAATTTGTTTTTTCTCTACTCTTGAGGTCAGCAATTTTGCAGTTTTCTTTGGATCTTTATTTACAGGCATGTTCTGAAGGAACTCGAACTCACAGGCAGGAACAATGCGAATCCAAGGCTGTAGGATCAGTACCATATATGATGGCAGGTACAACAATGAGTATCCCTTAATGTGATTAAAGGGTTGCCTTTGCAGGAGCCATGTAACGGGAATTTGCAAGGTGATCTTGTTCATCGGTTTATTATGGCTAAGTTTGAATTTCTGACCAAAAAAGCCCTTTTTGTTAGAACTTTTTCGTTTCGTTTTTGTCCTTGATGTCTCTCTAGATATACGGGGAAACCGTCTCTATGGATCTACACCTGTAAAACAAACAGTGAACATGCGCAAGGCTTGTGTTTACAACTTACTGTGCCTTTTTTTGTATGAAACTGCCAACCCAATCGTCAACCTCGTTTTGATGTGCGTTGTCACTGAAAGGCAATATGGTAACATCGTATTGAAATTTTCTCAAAGTTAATGAAACATATGTCTGTGTACTTTTCGAACAAGGATTCCACGACTTTGGGTAGGAACTAACAAAAGGATTTGGCCAAGGGAATGTGCCATATATCTTGAATATAAATTGTGGACTTCTAAGGCATACCATCCGTTTGTTTAGATACAATTAAAATAACTAAATGTATATTAAAATAACTAAATGTATTTTTAAACAAGATAAGGCAACTGAGGTTGCACATTCTCTGAAATAAGAGGTACAATCACTCTCCTTCGTTTGTAGATAAAAATCCATGCGACTTATACTGTAAAAAAGGAAGCATGGTGTATCCAAAGGGAAAAGTGGAGGATGGAACTCGGTGTAAAATGGACCCGAAAAACAAAGACGTCTGCATCAAAGGAAAGTGCAGAGTAAGTAAAGTTTTAGTGAGGTTTAGCTCTAGCATGGCTAGAACTGGCTAGAATTTTCCATAGCTTGATGAAGACTAAAAATTTCTGAATGACCGTTCCATTCATGTACAATTTTCGAAGCTTATCTAATGAATTCCCTACGATGCTATTGGAAAGATGATTCATTACTTTAAACCCTGGTATTTGGTGGTCAATAAATAAACCGTTTCGTTTCCTGTATCTCTTTATTTAGGCTGTTGGTTGTGATAATATACTGGAATCCGGTGTTAAAGAAGACCGCTGTAGAGTGTGTGACGGAGACGCAACATCTTGCAAAACTATAGGCGGAAAAGTCACAAACCCCTGCCAAGGTCTGAAAGCAAAACCAAGAGTATTTTACTTTAAATTTGCGCCTATGCAAAGTATAAATGAGAATGAAGCAATTGATTACACCCTCGTAGTTTCACAGAGAAACTGTCCCTACCATTTTTGGCCGTTTTGTTTGTACGAACCAAAATTCAGCAGGCATGAATTGGCTTCATTATAAAAATGCTGGGATCAATAGAGTGGGAAATTCTTTTGACAAAATGGAATACACGTTGCCTACCTACCGAAGTGAATTGACCGAGAGGAACAGGCAAAAGGCCATACAGGGACTAGACAAGAATACAGCCATGTATTTGCCTTCAGAGAAAAACATTTTCCTATCCAGTGATAAAAAGGGCTAAAATTGTCTGATTGATTGATTGATTACCCAGGAACTTGCACAGTTCTTGACGTTCCACCTGGATCAACAGAAGTTCGAGTTAGCGAGGAAGTGGAAGACTGGAATTTCCTGGGTGAGACTTAATGTTAACCCTGGCAGTGTTCATTGTGCATTTGTTAATTTAACTTCCTCGCTGCAATAGTTGGCTATAATTTTTAGCACATTACGTTATGATCACCCAGTGAATATGTATATAGATATTAGCCTGGAGAGATGGACCATTAGAAAACTTATGGCGGGGGCGGGGGAGGGGGGCGAAGTACAAAAACAAAAAACTCCCGCAAGGAAAAATTAAATTGAAAAAATCATACACGCCAAGGAACTCTACAAATTATTCATGCATTGGCCTAAGAAAATCATACAAGGGAAATGTTAACGAAAAAAATTCATGCGGCTCGAACATTTCCCACCCCCATAACTTCCTGATGGTCCGTCCGTTAGCGCTTTATAAACAAGTAACAACTAAAACTTAAAATCACGAGTTTACTTTTGAGTTTGCCCCCCACAGCAGAGTGTTAACAAGTGGATTGTATTTCAGTGAGATGTATCGTGATTATCGTTTTGATTACTGGAATTGAAAAGATATATACCTATTGCAAGTGGTTTAATTTGGTGCAATACTATAAGTTATTTTTTTCTTTTCTGATTGTTCTTACCAACTGTGAAGAACACCAATTCTTCTTTCCTATGTATACATTGTTTAAGGGGTGAAGAATGAGGCAAATCAGAATGTGTATAATGTGGGATATACTTGGAGTACAACTGCAGAGGCTGCCGGAACTAAAGTTTATTACACTCATGAAAAGAATGAGGATGCTGATAAAATTTACATCCCTGGACCGACCAACGCCCATCTGTATGTCTACGTAAGTTCAACCAGTTTTAAACTGTGCATCAATGCTGAACATGATTCTTGTAGCCTAGGTAATGATATAAAAGCCACTTATCTGAAGGCTCAGACCTGGTGCTCGGGTTCTGTTATTTGTGTATAAAATTGATCTTTGGATTGTCGAAACGTCGTTTGTTTTTTATTGTCATCGGTTAATCTTTGTTGTTTCTATAAATTAAACCCGCAGTACTGGCAATTTGTCCAAAGAGCACCAGTTGACTTCGCTATTACAGAGCCTCTCAGTGCTAATGAAGCTCCGCCAGTGATAGAAGCCATATGGGAGGTCTCTAAATGGAGCACGTGCTCTCACTCATGCGCAGGAGGTAAGAAGGGATCAGACAGCTGTTTTTTAGCTTATTTCAGATGATCATGAAAATGAAAGAGACGCCGACACGCACGCCCCACTAAACCACACCCTAGGTATCTTAGCACATCTCGTCATAGCTTAAAAATTTATCTGAGCAGTGAATTCTCATTTCTGTTGTTTCTCTACGTTATTTTTCTCAAGGTGTTCAGACACGAAGTGTGGAATGTGTTGTAAAGGAAGATAAGTCGTACCTGAGTGACGCTGTTTGTATTCGAGACTCCCGAAAGCCAGCTACTGAACGTCAATGTAATACCCAAAAATGCAACCCGTTGTAAGTAAATTGCATTTACTGTCGGAAAACTTTACGTTGGTCCATTTTAAGCAACATGGGGAAGTAAATTAGTACCAGCGGACTCCAGAAAATAGAATAATTCCAAGCTGGAGCTTGAACTTTGAGATTTCGCAAACATGTCTCCATTTACTCTCCCGATACTTCAACGTTTCTTACTACAAAGTAGTTTAGCGTTAACTGAAAAAATTGTGTGATTATCATTCTTTCATCTGGATCTGACAACTCAATTAAAACATTTACTCGCTTGTTTCAGCTGGTACGTATCAGGTTGGCGACCCTGTTCTAGAACATGCGGTAAAGGAGTTCAAACACGCAAGATTTTGTGTCGACAGCAAGTATCCAGAGGCCAATATAACACATTACCTGACTCAAACTGTGCTGCTACAAAACCAGAGGGCCCCGAGACACAGGACTGTAACAAAATTGACTGTCCAGCGGAAAAATTCCCGGGAGAGTGGTCATCGGTAAGAAGACCTCTAAAGATATTTAAAAAAGGAAGAGAAAAAATTCTGCGCGAAAAAAGGAAATCAGATATATTGATGGCCAACATACTTGGTACTTCTTGATATGTAAGCCGTTGATGCAGCCACGTTTATAGGGGGGGGTCCCTTCTCTCACGCGCTCTTCTCAACCGTAAAAGCGCCACTTTTAATAAAATACAGAATATATGTTGACATGACATTCTAGTAAGTACCCTGAAAAAATCCTAAATACATCCCTGGATGGATTCAGTTTCTAGCGATCTCTCTGTTTCCTCTCAGTGTTCCACTTCGTGTCGAGCCGGGGTAAAAACGCGTTCAACTTCATGCAGGAGACTGAAAGAAAATGGTGCGTATGAATCTGTACCGGAAGTCATGTGTTCTGCTGCTATTACGCCAGTCCTTCAGGAAGACTGCAATCAAGACTTACCATGTCCAGGTATTTCATAAAGCATATACCACAATAATAATAATAATAAACAATTAAATTCATGATCAAGACCTCTTTAAGAAACATGTGCCGCGCGTTTTCTCAATTCTTGCAAATACAATAAAGCTTCTTAAATCCTTACTAATCTTGATTGCTGACAGACATCGTCTCCACGTTACTTTTACTCTTTTTTTCTAAGTTTTGCTACTAAACACTCATTACCGCGATCAACGGTCCCTTATCTGTATCGCTGTTTTCCTTCCACATACCTTACTTATGCAGGAAGTTGTTTGTACTGATAATTAACAATTAATGAATGAGGCTGAGCATCTTATGAAGAATCATGGAGATCGATGAGGGTGTTATCCGTCGAGGCCGTAGGCCGAGGCGGATAACACCCTCCGAGATGTCCATAATTCTTCACATGATACGAAAGCCGAATTCAATAATTGTTTTATTATTCATTCAAAATAATTCCTAGTTTAAAAACAAAGCTAAAACATGCTTACCTCCATCGATGTTAAGTTCACCTTCGATAGTGCACGTTTAGGGTTGTTCAGCTCCCCAAATATTCTCCAAATAGCAGATGTCGTCGTTCGAGTTGTGTTCTTGCTGTTCTTGCCATGTTTTTAGCTATAATTTCGCCCAGTTCTTACTCTTGAAAGGAGTGAAATGTCCACCATTTTTTATTTTCACATCCAAAACAACTCAACCTCGTCCCCAGGTCTTCTCGATTAACGGTGCATTAACCAGCAAGAACGTTGCATTTTTGACGCCATTTCCTAGTGAAACACAAAATTCTTCCAAATTTGGTCATCAGTAACTGGTTATGGTGAATTATGCGGGTGCTTTTAGCCAATCAGAATCGGAGAAATATTTTGAATGAATAATAATTTTAATTAACAAGGGTTATAAAAAAAATCGCTAACTCTTTTAAGAAATATTCCCTACTTCATTTGTGCTATTGGCGAATGAAAATTATTCTCCCTTTGATGGAGTTTAAAATATCAAAAGATTACTGCCAAAAAGCCTTAATTCATTACCAGGCCTCATTACAGCACTGCCCGTGAACCGCCCTCTTTAGACTGACTTTCAATGCTTTCGATGTGGCGTTTATTTGAAGGTGGCGTCTGTTGAACTATCACATTTCTTAAATTACTGACACCATTTACGTTAAATATATATTATGTAAAAGCAAAACATGTTTAAAGCTCCATGTCTCGCTTTTTTGCTGTTATAGAATCACAATTGACTGGCTAGTTTACAATAGGTTACCAAGTTGCACAGTACTTGTTCATTTTTTTCGTATAATCCTCGAATAAACACCGCATCCTACTGCATAAGTGCGGCGTTTATTTAAGTGCGGCAGATATCAGTATTTTTTGCTTCCGTGTGTAATTGAGTTCGGCGTTTGTTCGAGTGAATCCCTGCGATGTTATTCAGGGTGGAGTAGTTGTACTCCTGGGTTCTAATCTCCGTTCATAAGGGCCACTCTGGCTCTAGGACAGTGCAACTTTACCTTCATTACGCTTGTGATTTCCTTTGTTTTCTCTTTTGAATTATTGACGAGTTTGAGAACGTCTTTTCTGACAGGTGATCGAAAGTATGTGCCTCTGGGATGTTACTGGGACAAACCAGATAGCCGAACACTTCCAATCCTAATCAGGAATTTAAGGAAAGATATTAACTGGAAAGACATGTCCTCGACTATAGATACGTGCGCAAACCTAACAACCGCACGTAACCACAAATTTCAAGTGTTTTCGATACAGTTCTACGGGGAGTGTTTCTCTGGTTATGATGGTCTGAAAACTTATGACAAACATGGTGCGCTCCCGTATAGCGACAAGATAACTCAATACTGTTGGGCAGGCGTTGGAGGTCGAGGAACCAACTTTGTATACAAGTTTACAAATTAGATAGGTTAGTAAGCTTACTTATCGTAACACCCCTGGGTAAGTTATATACTGAACTTAATAACGTTTTAGACTGTAGTACTTTTTATATACCGATAATTTGAAACTGAAAGCAATGTATATAATCAACTGTGCCACTGTTTATTCCTTCCATTTCCACGTTAGGCCTAAGAAAAATTCTGAGCCTCGAATTACGTCTCTGCGCTGCTTAAAATTGAACCAATATGTCGAGAAGAATTTCAGTAAACAGGGACACGCAAAGACGGTTTCCTACTAAATACAATTGGTATTAAGCAAACTCTTTTACTGTTTTACTGTTCCCGAAAATTTTAGATGCAACCAATTTTACGATGGAGATAATTTTTCTGATTCCTCTTTCCATCACATTTTTGAATCCAAAAATTTTAGGTTTCTTTTTTTCTTCGAAAAACAGCCTAACCTTAGGAGCAAAATGTGAAAAATTAAACTTTAGAAGATCGTAGGGAATTCATTACATGAACTTCGAAAATTGTACACGTATGGAACAGTCATCTAGAAGTTTTTAGCCGTCCTCAAGTAAAGAAAATTCTACACAAAATTTGCTTCTCCGAACAGCTATTTTACAGAAAACAGTCTATGGGTGCCCCTGAACAAAAATTTTGTTTACAAAAAACAAAATTTTGTTTACAGTACCATAATCAAAACAGATGCCATCAATTGTTGTTGTTATTATTTGTTTTTACTTCGTAACCATATTCTTTTGTATTGAATAATAAACTGACTTCTTTTAATCATCAGGAACGCTGTTGGACCGCTGAAGGAACATGCTCAGTCAATGGAACATAAGTTACCTGTTACTCATAAAAGGATTTAGTTAGTAATCATCATGGAATGAAACAGTGCACTTTCAATAACACAAGAATGTAAAACAAGTGAAAATTATCGATCAGTACTAAGTTGATCAGTAGCTCCGGTCAAAATGTAGAAACTTGAGCAAAGGGGAAAATAAAGATTTCTAATCCAACAGAGGTTGTTTGATTCCTGGTGTTACTATGACTTATAAGCTATTATAGTGCCTGACTTATTTCCCTGGGCCAGATTGTTCAAAGCTGCGTTAAAATAACCTAGGGTTAGTGCGAGATTTGATTTCAGATTTGAAAGCTTAAAAAGCATTTCCGTTTTAATTCTTTTTGTCTGATTGGAAGCTCTAAAAATAACAGAGAAAATTATCCGAGAAAATGCTTTTGAACACAAGAAAAAGACACCCGGGTTAAGGGCTAATCGACCTTCGAATAACTGGGCCCAGTATGATGCAGGTGCCGTTTGTTCATTTGGCGGGTTCACACTAGAAAAAAATTCTGTCAGGTTACTGGTTTTTCGAGCTGGAAAGATGAGGGGAAATCCCTGCTCTGATTGGCTATCGAACAGACTAAAAAATTGGCTATACAGTAAAAACCCGCGAGTAAGAACATCGTGGTTTTTAAGAACCTCTTAGGCTAAAATTTTCCCGTTCAGCCCCCTCTATACAAGACCTTGCTTAGCCTAAAATTTGAAACAGGTACTTATTTTCTAAAATCTTACAAAAAAAATATATGTACACTTGGGCAAATAAGATAGGTCAACATCCAAAATCCACTTTGGAGACAGAGCTGCCTTATTACTCCAACTGCAATTGTAATGATATACAGGTTTTTACCTAACAGTGACTGACGTTTCGACAACCTGTGCGGTAGTCATCTTCAGAGTCAAAGTGAGTTGTTTCACGTTAGCTGATGGTATTATACTCTGGTTATTGACCTGATTGGTCGTCTGCACTGACAGACGACACCAATAACATCGCGACGTAATTGACCAATCAGGTCAATAACCAGAGTAAAATACCATCAACTGACGTGCTACAACTCACTTTGGCTCTGAAGAAGACTACCGCACAGGTTGTCGAAACGTCAGTCACTGTCAACAACAACAGTCTGATTCAGGACTACGTTCCCCCGGACGATCAAACTCAACCTACTTTTGAAATGACTCCTGGGTTCAAACCTTTCACAGAAATAAATAAGCTGCATCGTAGGCTTTTAAGGTGCTAGGGATAGAAATGTGCAATGTTTTCTTATCAACTACACTCGAATGAATCGCGAGTCCCTATTTGCCAAGTTACCTGGCGCTCGTATCAGATTCCAAGCGATAATTATGTAGGCATGGCATAATCCCTTGATTCCAAAATCATGGTCATGGCCCGAACTGCATTGTTAAAAAATATCCAAGACGCTAAAACTGCTATTTCAGTTTGGTTGGAACGGACATTTATGCTCCCCCTCGTAGCTGATTTGCTTGATAGATACTAAAAAAAGGCTGAGTACTTTCAACTGCTATCACATTTTTCCCAAGAAAGCTTTAAGTTTTTGGGTTGTTTTACTAGTCATATCCTGCTTTGTGAATCCCCTTATAATTCTTGTCAAGTCATTGTATATTAACAGCTGCCCGGCTTGTAAATACCGTAGATTTACCGTCAATCAAGATACCCAAATAATGTTCTGCAAAAATACAAATACTGCATCATGGTTAACCCGTTGTCTGTCTCCATCTGCTCTTTATTTCTGTTTTAATTCTATGTATGCGCTGAGGTAAGTAAAGGATTTAATAACGCTATAAACAAATTTATGCAACAAAACTTAATTTCTACTTAGTAGTAAAGTGCCCTTTTTGCAAGAAAAAGCTTTGATAAGACTAGCGATTGTAATTAGTACATAAAAATAGCTCGCTTTTCATATCTATTCAAAGTTCAATGTTCCCTTATCTGAAATCTAAGCGTATTACATAGTCTTATGTTATCAAGTTCACAACGTCTACAAACGTTCCACACAATGAATCAGTTCAAAAAGGAGAAATGAGTTATTTTTTAACTTTTTTTTTCCTGTTACTTTTCTGTTGTGTTTCGTTATTGCGTAGACAATATAGAAATTCATGAACTGGTTCTGAGTTGCTTAATATCCCAAAGGGTCCGTCCATAAAATAAAAACATGATAAGTTTGACCGGCAGAAGTAACTTCTCAGAGTATGAAAGGAGCTAAAAATGATATGTTTGTAGAAAAGATCTTTTACACGTAAAGTGTACAATATATCCACACCGAAGCTTCCGCTGAAAGATGAAACACCTTTAAAGAGTCAAGATCAAACAAACGTCTTGCCGTACTTATTGACTCTTTTTCTGTTACGATTACCCGAGTTTAGCTAATAAAGAAATTGTTCGATCATCAACTGTCGCCAAGAACGAATCTATATGTCTAGAGTTTGGCCAACCCAGATCAATACTGAATGCGATAATGTCTGTAATTTTTAAATCACAGAAAAAGATTAAAACCTTTTAACCTTCATTCCACGTCTATTTTTCTCTTCTCTTTTTGATATATATTACACCCATGTGAAAATAAGCTGAATAAAGTAATCGAAATATTTTGCTCATCTTGACAGACAAATATAGTCAGTAAAGGTCGCCAAATTAAGTTGGGTGGGCTTTGTAATTTCTCTGAAAAAAAATGTCTTCCAGTAGATATTCTTCAAATAAAATGTAGTTTCAATTTATTGGGTTAGTTATTGTCAACAAATAACTGACATGTGCTGTGTGAAATTCAGTCTAAACCCAAACAACGATAAGGGCAGAAATCGAAAAATCAGAAAAGACAGGATCGGTCATACAAAAGCTTATTCCGTTGGAAGAGACATCTGAAGGCCCAGTGTGAAAAGTAAGGAAAAACGGAAAAGATTTTAGTTTCAGTATTTTCTTTGCATTGACGAAGATTGATTTAGCACTTGAAAATGGACAAATATTTCACGTCTGTGTACAAAAAAGCCTACACGTCCTGTTAGACCTGTCTGATTCCCTTTTCCGGTTGTCAAACATAAATAATATCTGCCTGGCCACTCTAAACAAAATGTAGAAAGGTTTTACTGCGCTGATTGTGCTGAACCGTCATTGTCCATTGGTTAACGTGCATATTTGCTACATTTACTAAGGTAACATTTTAAAATTCCTTTGTTAGGACAGCAAGTTGTGGGACAAGTAATAACGGAAAATTTGGTTGCTCTGTATGCAAAGTTTAGAGGGAAAATATGAATGCAAATTTTTGGTCGTCAGGAAATCATCCTTTACCAAATATCACCTGTCAGTGATGGAAGCAAGTGTAAAATCGAGCATACTGTCGAGCCATTAGCAACGCTTTGGTGCCTTAACAACCCAAGAATTAGAAGTGTTTTTATGTCGATTTCTAGTAGTTGTTTTCAAATCTGAATGATAATCACTTTAACAAAAAAAGTCAATTGTAACTGTTTTTGTTAGTTTCTGTCCACCGTCTTAGTATCCCTCCGAATGACGTCGATAGTGTTTTTGTATGTACCTCTAATTTTTGATGTTTAGGAACATTCTTCGAATAATTGAAGCGCGAGGAACACTTCCTTGAATATATGGAGAGATTTCACCAAATTTCTTGGCATTAAGGAAAACATAGGAGTTTTAACCTCAATTTGTTATCCTTTGATTTCAGCTTCTAGAATGAAAGTATGTTTCCCTCCACTTCACTGTGTCTGTTGGGTCTTGTCCTTAGCTTCGTAACAGCAGGTGGGTAATTTTGGGTAGATCGAAGCTTTCTTAAACTGCCGCAATGAAGTTAGTATCATTAAAAAGGGGGCTTTGTTTGTTCTGCCTTATTAGGGCTACTTGCGCTCTCCGATGGCACAATCAAGAAGGTGAGTTTTCATACTCTTTTCATAGGGTCCAATTTTCAGTCAAAGATATACTAAAAAGGGATGATGTGCACGGCGATATAACATAAAACAATTGACCCCAAGTGTCTTTGTTCTTGCTTAGGAGACTGCTCTACATCATCGGATGACCAAGCGGGAAATAAGGAAATATTTTGGAACAAACTCACGCGATGAAGGTCAGCGGTATTCCTGGTCCATCTCTCAAGCCCCAATCTGCAAAATTAAACAAAAGACAGGGTTTAAGCTGCGGCTTTTTTTCTGATAAGAAATGTATCTTATTGTAAAGGTGTTGCCCAGTTTGTGCAGAAGATGGCCGCAGTCTACTGCTCATTAGTGGTGGTTGGCTCTTATCTGGCTTGTGAATAGGAAAATACAACAAACAAGACTGTAATCCTAGAATGAAACAAACAAGCGAATGCTGGTCCTTTATGGGCACTGCACCAGATACTGTTTTCTATCGTTTAGCAGTTTTCTGTAGGTCTTCTTTTTTTTAAAGTACTATTTGTTTGTTCAGTTTGTTCCTCTGTGTTGTTATTGTTATCATATAATTTCAGTGCCGAAGTATGAAGTCATTTCACCTTTCCAAGCTGATGAGACAGGTCAATTTATCACGCATGCGCTTCACAGACGAAGTCGTAGAAAACGATCCACAGGCCAACAACAGTTCTGGTTTTACAGCGTGAATGCATTCGGTTCGTCACTTCATTTAAACGTCACCAAAGCAAAGAACATTCTGTCACCAGGATCCATTGTGGAGACAACTCATGAAAACGGCAGTATATCATACTCAACTCCACCAAAGAATACGTTTTACAGGGGTCACGTGGTGTCACAACCGGGTTCTGCAGTTGCCATTAACAACTTAAATGGATTGGTATGAATATCGCAAATGTTCTCTAGTATAAAACAGGGAAATAAGTTAATTTGGTTGCAACTACATTAATAAGGGCCTTTCTTTCAATTCCCTTTGTAAAAAACGCAGCACACAACTTAATTCTTCACTCTTTATTATTGCTAAAAGTGAATACACGTCGATTTACATAATGAAACTACAAAATCCCCAACCCACTGAGCAAATAGATCATCATGAAACACCGTCACACCGAGGGTTATGCAGCAGTACACAGATGCATTCTTGTCTAAGTCGGCTCCCTCTTACCTAATATCCTGAGGTTTAATAGTAAATTCATACACAACCTGCTTTCATTAATCATTTATAAATCATTCTTAAATAATTTCGTTCAGTTTACTTACTTATTCATTCATTTATTTTTCATTTTAAAACATGATTTTGCTTCAAACTGAGCTTGAAAAGGTTTATTTTTTTAGTGTCTTATCCTCTGTCCCTTTTTTGGCTTACATATCACTTGACACTAGTGTTGTGATTTCTCTCTTCAGACTGGTATGATTAATATCATGAATCAGGCGTTTTTTATCCATCCATTACCCAGTCACATCGCAAAAGATTTTGATACAGTTAGTGGAGCCCAACCTCATTTGATTTATAAAAGATCGCTACAAGATATCATTGGACAGCAATGTGATGTCAAAGGTAAATAAGCTGATGTCGTGTAAAGCAACAGGCTTACTTTATTCTCGGAATTAACGCAATATGGTCATTCACTCTTAGGACACATTCTTAAGACACCACACATCCGTAAAAAAGGGGAGAGTTTCTTAAAAAACGGTGGTTTTGTGTTGGTCCGGCAGTAAAACAGAGAAGGCGGCGTTTCTAGCAATAGCCCTTTTTAATTAGCTCTTTGTCAGAGTGAGCACCAGCATTCCAAACGTCAGCTTCTCTAGCTCCAACCTTGTTCCAGGGCTTTTTCCCATAGAAAGGACTACTCTTTAGAACCTCTTTCGTAAATCATCAACATAATAGCATTACGTTTAAGATACTTTGCATTGGTTAATGGTAAAAATAAACGGGATTGCCAACTTTTCTTTGTTATGGCATTTTAATTTGTTTTCGTTGTGATTATTTTTCTTTTAGGCCTTGAAAAGCGAATCAAAAGAAGTTCTAAATCTATCAGAAGTAAACAATCACGTAACGAACGCTCGACATCACACAAACATTTGGAAGTTGCTATGGTGGCAGATGACTTGCTTGTTAAGAACCATGGAGAGAAAGACCTGGACATGCATTTACTTATGTTAGCTCACTTGGTAGGGAAAGCCAAAGAATTGTTATTGATTGATTCAAAATGAATATAAAACAGAGAATTTTTTTTACCTTTTTACATAATAATCCTTAATATAGTAATGTAACAATTTTTATCCTTTTATCTTATAATTTTTTTAAGATGTCTGTAATTTTTTATTTATTTTATTTTTATTTATTCATTTTGTTTATGACTGTTCTGAAAACCACTCTTGTGAGAACGCCCCCTGTATAAAGATTATTGTTATTATTGCTATTATATTATTATTATTATTATTATTATTATTATTATTATTATTATTATTATTATTATTATTACTATTATAGAGAATATCCTCCTTTTTAAATTGATATTCCATTTTTTGGTGTTTCCCAACAGACTCATCCTGTTTCAACCATCTCTCTTTCGTTTAAGGTTCTTAATACTCTTAATTAGTTTTTACTATGCTAAGAGTACGAAATAAATGTCCAAGCATTGCTGAACAAGTTACTATCATTCACTGTGGAAAAAAGTGAGGACTATTAGAGGTCATCGAACTCCCCTTAAGAACGTTTGTAACAGGCATAAAGATATCTAAACACTGTTACCGAAAAGATTGCTCTTTTGCTGTTGCGAAGACATAAGAGAAACAATGAATTCTAAACTCAGAGCAAAACATTTAAGGAAAGCAAAGTTCGAATCTCGTGTAATTTTTAAAAATCGCTGATAAAGTTCGTTGTGCTCTGAGTTTTGGAATTTGATGTTTTCTTAGGTATAAAAAAGTATTCAATGAACGTAAATCATCATTTTGTTGCTTTTAGGTCAACAACATGTTTCATGACGAAAGTATTGGGGAAAAGAAACTAGCATTTGTGGTAGTGAAAATTTATATCAAGAAGGATGGGGTGAGTGTATAAAATTGACAATATTAAAAGTGGATTTTCTTACAGCGGGTCTTTGATTAAATGATTGCCTCATTCATTTTTTCCTCTTTAGCTTGGTTATGATTCGTCTGCTAAAAATCGAGATCGGCTAGATAAGCTTACGGATTGGGGCTTGAACATGTCACTATCAGAGAAAGGTCCTGCTCATGCTGATCTTGTCGTTCTATTAACCGGGTAAGTAGTGACCGAATCTGCACTTAATTCAAGAAATAAAAACCAAATCTCTAGAGTCGTGAAGAAAATTCATGTATTTATCCAACGTATTTCATGCCAGCCACTCCTGTATACACAAAAAGGCTAGTCCCTGCATAGAACTGTGGTAAAACTTAGAAGATAAAGCCTAGGTAATATCAGGAAACTCAGCAGCTGTCTCAGTTATCCGAGAGCGAAGGACTTCAAATACGATCGATTTTCTATTACAACAAACCTTATTCTCGTTACCCGCCATCTTTGCGCGCGCTGAAGGACTGATGGGATAATAGTAATGTCACGTGGTTCTCAGAGGGCAAACAAGTGAAACATTTTGCTGATGCAAGAAATCGCGTTTGAATTTGTTTATTCTAGACAAAAGAAAATGAATAACTTTTCATCTTAAAGCTAGTGATCGTTGTTACTTTTTTAAGATGCAATAGCGACCGTAGATGTCCTAATAGCAAACAATAGTGACGTAATCTTGTCGAAACTCGAATTGCACCTTTTGCATAACTACAACAACAATAAGCTTTATTTGCCGCATTACTATAACAAAGTATTACAGTATAATTACAAAAGCTGCTTGAATTTAATTACTGATTCCTTTTTGAATTAAATATTTAAAATAACCTTAAATATAATAATCATTGGTTATTTTCAACCATCGGGGATTAATTATTCCAGAGATAAGTTTGTCTCTCAATTCAAAGCAAGATGATATAAATGAAATTAATATGAAGTTATTACATAGTCAGTAGAATTATTTAGATGTGATTATAAGTTCTCATGTGATTGTAGTCGTAGAAACGGTATTTTAGGTTCTAGTTTAGAGAAGAACATCTTTCTTATCGAAGAGAAACTTGGACAATCAAATAAAAAGTGAGTTTCACCTTCAATTCTCTTACAATTGCAGAGACTGCATAACTTTTCATCACGTGGTGTATTATCGAATCTACCTGCCTCAATCCTAAGTTTGTGACTGCTTATTCTCGGTTTCACTAATGTTTTCCCAGAAGGGTTCTTTCTTCAGTGTTAGATCTAGGTAGGTAGGTAGGGGGGCTACAATTCGTTTTGATTTTGTACTGTAAAAGTTATGTTGAAGGATATGATTCCAGTAAGAGATATATTTCCTTTGCATAAGATCTAATATTGCTTAATTTTACATTCATTTAGTAAATAACCATCAAAGCCTGAGAAATCATAGTCAGTCATCTTCTTAAGACTGGAGTAACAACTATTTTGACCATTATGATGAAGGTCAACAGATATTTTTAAAGACTGTTTAACTATACAATTTTCATCTTCTTCCTGGAGATAGTTAAGGCAATTTTAAAAGTATCTTTTTGTTTATATCAATGATAAAAGGGAATCTGCCAAGTTCAGACCTGCATGCAACATTGGATGACTTGTTATGGACTTCTAAATATCGTTTACAGAAGTGTAAATGAGTTTTTTCGATTCCGGAGTTATCCCATGACTTAAAATCTGATTTCACAAAGGCACCCAAAACTTCACTATTGTAGGTTAAAATCGGTGAGATCATTGTGTCAAAAATTTTACTTGCAAGGGAAGGTTTCAGTTTATTAAAATCATTGTTGCGTCTTAGACTAAAAAGAGGGATGAAAAGCCTTTTGTCGAAGATGTTCAAGTGAAAGTGTAAAATTTCTGGAAGATGAGATGCGAGTCCCTACTTCAGAATAGTCTTGTGTAATGTCTATCATTTCAAACAAGGCTATGTAAAAAAACATCACTTTTTTTTTTCCTTTTTGGAAAACTATTATCTTGGTTTTCTTGTGGCTGATTTTAAGCACCCAGGAGTTGCAATATGAAGATAATTTGTTAAAAGGCAATTTTGCAATCCTAATTTCGATCGTGATAATGTAATAAGGTGGTCGGCATAAAGAAGAGAATTGAGTTTGGTGGCATTTGGTAGCACAAACGGATCAGATAAAATATTGTTGAATGAAAAAGCCAGATCATTTACGTATAAATTAAGAGAATAGGACTTAAAATGCAGCCTTGACGCACACCTCTAGTGTATTGAAAAGGTTGTTTTTGGCTATTTCCAATCTTAATAGAACAGGTAGAGTTTGAGTATAACCTTTTTATGACTTAATAGAAGTTTTGTACAAAAACAACTGCGAAAAACATCTTGCTAACTTAAAATATAAGTACAAGCAAGAATTGGCACAAAATAAATAAACGTAATGTTTCGGTTCTTATCAAGACTATTATCAAACGTGAAATGCAAGATGGAAAAGCGCTGAACTTGATAAAGGTGCTGAATATTAACAAACTAATAATTATAACAAAAATGCTGAATTTTTGTTATACTTTTCTCCACATTCCTGTCAAATTATTAGTTTGTTAATATTGCTCGTGCAAAGATGGCGTACGGTCTACTCCTACAACAAATAACCTCCAAAAACTACTACTAATTTTGATTTCCCTTTCTTTTTCTCACAGGGATAGCCTTGGAGGTAAAGTAATTTTATTTCTTTGGTTTAATATATAGATTTAGCCAGGGCTAAAAGCGAAGCTCCCATTAATAAATTTATAATTTAAATCAAACAATAAACTTGTAATCCACAAAAATCAGTTAACTTAAGTGTACATTCATGTGACTTTTGAGGGAAAGGATATTATTAAAAGTGATTTTAGAGTGAAACATCTTATATCAAGTGATAGCCTTATATCACTAGTGTACATCCAAAAGATATTTAAAATCACCTTCGATCACATTCAAGAGCCATAATACTCTTGATCACGGTAGATTAGGCCCGTAAAACAAATTCTTGGAAAATAAATCAGGCCAATTTTTTTGCATTCGACGAGTTTACTTTGTTTAGGCAAGCTTCGCACACCAAATCTTTTGTTTCCTGCAGTTTGCTATATGTTACACGGTAAGCGTGCGTTTTATAGCACACTTAACGTGGCGTACAATTTGAGTATTGGACACGCTAAGCACACTAGATTACAACAGCAGAGGATGACAAAAATTAAATGGCTTGCGTGGTCAACGAAATGAATCGCAACTGATAACTAGTCGATAAAAGGTAACTTGAATAAACCCGGTTTTGTTACTAAAAAACAGAGATATACCTGTATAAAAAGACATAGCCTGCAGTGCAGGCGTTTCCTTTGAGCGCGAAATATGCTCGCGAAAGTGCCATGTTGAAACTTCCCGAAGAGAGGAAGAGATGGGGCGAGGGTTACTATTTCTACTCTCCCCAATCTTCCACTGTCATAAAATCAAAGATGGGGGCTACAACAACATTACGAACACGAACAAGGTTTCGCCCACCCAAAATACGCCAGCGCTGCAGGCTAAAAAAGACACTTAGATTTGTTTTATTGAAGTTGATTGTAACTGACTGTTCTTGAAAATCATCACTGAGTAAAGGGTGCAGCTGTTTTACGCACACTGAAAGAGTGTTGTACTATTTCGCACGCAGCTGTCTTGTCGATATTGCACAGGCAAGGCTTTTGTTAGTAGCAGACAAAAGATTAAATTTGCCTCGATGTTAAGGACCTTAGCTTAATGGAAAAAAAAAAACAAAAGAATAAGTTTGCGTGATTGCTAAGCTTCTTAAGGCAAACAGGAACACTTAGGAGCGTAGCTGTAAAAGCACTTGACATCACTGACCACACAGTGAGAGGCGTATAAGTATAAAAAAAAACAACCTCCAACAACATTCATTTCTGTGTCTATTGAAAGTCCCTGAGTGCAATGGAACAAGAACGCTGTTATGCTTGCTTAGACCTACTTTTCCTTGCAAGTCTCGAAGGACGCCGTGCGTATAAAAGAGATTGTTGTGGGACATCATTTCATCATAATTGTGTGAGGCCAGAATACTTACAATCTGAATGTGTATCATGCAATGAGCATCGAAAAACCGTGTCAGTTCCCGATTTAGTTGTAATTGACGAGGAAAGTTCAGAGCTGGTCCGGTCAAAAGACTTATGCGTTGTTTGCATGGATCCAGAATCTGCTCGCAACAAACTTCTAGTAACGAGATGTTGTAAACAATTTGCTGATATTTACTGTCGTAGAATACATTATCGCATTACCGAGATGTGCGAGATAGCGACCAAGCTGTAGACGAAACTACAAGTATGAATGCGTAAGGTGGAAAACGAGAGCAACAACTTCAGTTATTTTATTAAGGGAAAATACGTTATAGAGTTTTCCCCGGAATTCACGCGGATTCAGCGGTTGACCAGGTCAGTTCTTGAGCATTCGCTGGATGCATTGTAAAAACACCTCCTGGAATTCACGGGGTTGCGTTAAGCGAGCTGTTGGAAAGTCGGGCGAAGTTTCCTCAATATATCCGTCAATTGTTCTATATCGGCCAACATGAACAGCAAAGGTACAAAGCAAATACCCTTCTTTACAGTTGGACAAGAGAAGCGAAATTTTGGAAGTAAAAGCATCACAGAGTCTACTCAGTGTTGTATTTGCATCTTGAATCCTTGTTTCGTTAACCTCCGGGTTAATTTCTGGTATTGATTGTCGCACAATGAGATCGTCTGACGGTGCTTCTCGTTCAGGTCCACTCCTGCAAACGAAAGAATTTTCGCTATCTCTCAAGACCAAAATGCAGGTCCTGCATTTGATCTACAATGGAACGCTTAAAACTTGGATGTTTTAATGTGAACAGATTTGAAGTGAAATTCTGCGAACAAGAACAATTATGGTAAAAATTGGCTTAACTTACTTGTAGTTAATTTTTTTGCATGAAAGTTGCATTTTATACTGTAAATAGAAGGACTATAATAATGGTTTATTAGTTTCCTATTTGCATCGGGCAGAATGGCTAGACATTTACGCATAATAATGAGCTACCAAGCTATTCAAGCATGAACGCCGCACAAAAGCGCCACAATAAGATCGAGAGAAAAGGAAGGATTTTGGCGAAGATCACTCAGTAAAATCGTCAGTTTAAATACCTATAGTCTACTTTTTTTAAAACAGCGGCGTTTTGTAGTTAGAGGGCTATTAAATCTTCAACGTTACGTAAAAACCAGGAAAATTTGACGAGAATAACTTGTAGACTTTTTGCTTTCAAAATTCTGTTTCTTCGGTATTTCTAGTATGGGTTAAGAGCGCATTAAGACTCCGTTTGGATTTTTTTTGTCGAAATAATGTATCGGTCAAATCGAAGCTTCAACATGCCCCCCTGGGCATACCCCGGGCATTTGACACTTTTGCCGTCCCGGGGAGGAGGGAATTTGATTATCAGAGTCTTCCCGGGGGTGGGGAATTTGATCCCCATGATTTAGGGGTGGGGAATTTGAACTGCACCCTCGATTTCATGTAAAATCTTTGGCGCGGCGAGCTATCATGGGGGACGCGGTGTTAGGGGATTTTCGTGGAAAAGATTGTGGCTTTGCGGCCAATTGGTTACGAGGAAAGGGCTTAAACAAGCTTTGTGTCGTATTTGAAGTATTTAATTTTATTAATTTTATTATTTTTATTCATTTTATGTATGAACGTATTTTATTGTTGTGTTTACAATGAAATACAATGCCTATACCGGCGATTCAATAAAACAACATATAAAAAAAAATAAAATAAAAAGCTCAGGTCAACTACTTTGACCTACTACAAGTATGTTAATTAATAAGGTGAGTGATGATGCATGTCAGTGAAATGATCATGATGTAGTAATCTCAACAGGTGGGATCTTTTTTTATAGAACGCTATGTATGTTGCATGACGAAGAAAAGCTGAGCATTCAGTGACCTTGTAGCAGCGATTTCCGCCGCTTTTCACGAGACTTTTGTTCGTGTAAATTCGCTAACAGTGTTTCTCAGTTTTTGTTATATTTATAAAGATTTTGTTCGCCAACTGAAGGCGTTTCCGCCGTCCGTCTGTCATTTTTGTGCCTGTGAAATGTTCTCGGGCTGGGGGCATTTGATCACCTGAATGGACCCTAGTGTGGGGCATTTGAACGGCATTTTGACGCGGGTAGGGGGGAATTTGAACAATAATTTTCAACCCGGGGGGTTGCCCGGGGGGGGGATGTTGAAGCTTCGATTTGACCGATACATAAGCAACAAACTACGTATGAAACAACGGATTACCGAAGATGCACATCTCCCATACACATTGACAAATTTTTCGCCTAAATTTAGGCAGAAGAAGTTGAAGACTTTTACCCTTAAAAATCCGAGGTTCAAAATCCGTGCGTGTTCAAGTCAAGTCTTTGTCTTACAGCATAACAATGGTTTCCATGAATAAACAATAAGCAGCTAAACTCCATTGTCATAAACTAAATGTAGTCATCTGTAAACGGGGTGTTTATATAAATCAGCTGATTAATAAGGGCTTTCGACGCGCGAAGTTTGAATTCTGATCGACACTGCTGGCTTGCGTTCGTAAAGTTTCAATTAACCGGATAATGGCTAACACCGCGATCGCAAATGACTTGGACCAGGAGTTCTTTTTAGAGCTCGTAGAACCCCTGGTCCAACCTTTGCTAATACATATGGTTGCACCATTTGTAAACGGCGACGACAAGAACTTTTCCCTGCAAATGAAAGGGAAAATTGTGTGGGAATGGAAGACGTTGGAAGGAAATTTAAAGAAACTGTTTGCGGCAATGCGTCACGGGAAGCCAGAATCCATGTGCTCGATGGAAAGAAATGTCTTACGGTGAAGTCGTTACTTCGGAACGTAGTTTTCACGGTTATCGTTTCTTTTTACAGCCATATAGAGGACACAAACTTTTCGAAACCGTACAAACCGTACAAATCGTACAAATTGTACAAATTGTACAAATCGTGCAGCTCATCTTGTGGTACAAGTCTAATACAAGCTACGCAGAAGCTCAAGTACTTTCTATTGTAAACGGACAAGCTTAACTATCGTTTCTATCGCAAGCGTTGGTCGTAATCGTCGAATGGAGTCTTGAATTCTGTACGCGTTTCGAACTGTGTTTCCCTGTGAGAGATTAAAGCAAGATCGTAGTGTTGTTCTGTTGACTTTAATGCACTCACACTCTTAACGCATCAAAAAAGGTAAAAAAGAAAACGATGCCATCCGAAAGCGACGCATTTCTCAACCAAAAACCCAATAAACAAACCAGCCATAAAGAACAGAAGACGCTTGATAGCAGCTGTATTGCATTTTGTACATCTCGGTGAAAAGACAGTAAAAAACATCACAAGTTGACACAGAACTCTGTCATCTTCAGCTGTCAGAGTAAACAAGTTTCAAGATACTTCATAAATTATTGGCGTGAACTCACCTGTCGAGTTTTGACCAATTAGAGCATAAAAATTGGACTTAGAGCGTGACCAATTCGTGACCATGGTAAGAAAAAGTCTTCTCTGCCTGTATATTTAAATAACTGGCTGGATTTTGAGAACTAGTGACTTGCCAGCGGATAACTTCAAAAAATACTCGGCCTGGATGGGTCGACACCTGAGCCCGCGATACGGTCAGGTGATATTGGTCAGCGGATACCCTGTTTTGACAGCTGTCAATTGATCACAACATGGATGTGCAATATCAGGTTGCACCTGGGCTCCCAAACTAGTTAGAAAGTGTGAGATTAAACATTGGTGCCCTGTGGCGCGACCGGACGGTCGATGTACGGTCACGTAATTACCAAATTTTCTGGGATGGGTAGATTTACTTAGCTATGGGTCTCCGCCCAAGCTCGCGCGCTTCGTACACGCGTTCAGCTCCGCTATAAACGAAGGTTGCTTTGAGGAGCTTATGTCAGTGTATACTCTGTTGGGAAGTCCCAACAAAAAACAGTGCTGCATTGAAGCATACAGAACATATTCTAAAAGGTGTGTTTACGATACTTTGCATATTCAAATAATCACTGACATTTTGCTCATTGCTCGTATTTTTCTACTGCGCAACTCGCAAAATATCCGCCCGTATTATATGCTAAACCATCGAATAAGGTGTATGTATCCAACAAACAAACAATCAAACAGCACTCTAAATTCAAAAGCTTCGGTGCTAAACACTAAATTGACAAACAAAAGCCTACTGTTAAAAAGTTTATTATTATGGGTACATTTATTGCAGCGTCTCATCGGTAACTGTTTGGACATTTTAACTGTGCGCAAATACTAACGTAAGATGTGAAGATCCTACCTAAAGAAAACAACAAGACGGTGGCAATATGTTTTATCCTTGCTGTCAGAAGAATTGTTAGTTTAACTGGTTGTTAACTTCGTCTTGCAGCCCGACTCTTTATTGATCAGAAGTCGAGTCTCAAAAAAACAAGACGGTACCAATATGTTTTATCCTTGCTGTCAGAAGGATTGTTAGTTAAACTGGTTGTTAACTTCGTCTTACAGCCCGACTCTTTATTGATCAGAAGTCGAGTCTCAAAGGTCCTTTTCCTGAATACTGTCCTCTGTGGGTACTCCCCGTGATAGCCTTTACGGGGACGCTCCACCCGAAATAGGTAGCATTTTCAGAGTTCAGGGACACAGAAGGGTAGGAATTGAAGTATCCGAAAATATAGGAAAATCTGTCATTTATGTATTTAGAAGGTATTTTCTAACGCCGAATCATTTTCATCTCATTGGCCTTAAACGCTACTTGCAATGAGAAAAAGTCTTATATATACTGTTATTAGGTCTGTGGGGAGAATATTTTTTTCAATGGAGAGTTTAAGAAAAGAGGCACGGCCTTTTCTCGCAAAAGTGGTGTATAAAAGGGTAAGGGGAACTCGGGGTAGGCCGCTTTACTAGATTGTACTCACAAAAGTAGCATAATATGCTACTAGTAGTGCTCGTATATTTCTATAATTATGACATTGATTATGCAAGTTTATGCCCATTGTAGCAAAAAATTCAGAAATTATGCTTGTGCGTTTTACATTAAATTTGGTAAAAACACCTCAATAACTATGCAACAAACAAGTATATGGCAAAAAAAAAAAAACATGGGTTTCCGAGTTAGTTATGCACATGCTTTGACTCCAATGGAAAGAGGTTTGGGTCTGTTCCAATAGGATCCAGGCCCCATGAATGTAACAATAGGAAGAAAAAAATTTTTTTCGTCACTAAAATTTGCCTACAACCTTGATTGGGCCTAAAAAAAATGGTTGCATGCCATGCAGTGATCAATAAATGACAAATTTGAGCTTTAAAACTAGCCAAAAGAGCAAATTGTGGTAGCAGTGCTTTTCTCATTTTTCTGAGATTATGCTCGTTATACAGAATTATGGCAAGAAGGATGCTAGCACAATCTGTCAAAAGGCTACTCGAAGGCGAAGCCTCCCCTATAAACGTTGTTGAGTTGGCCCTCCCGGGATACTGTTTTTGTTAGTCTAATAGTTTCTGCAGTACCTGCAAGTCCTGAAAGTAGGACCCACCTGGGATAAATAATTCAGTATAATTCTAGATTCTAAATTCAATTCAGTATAAAACTAGTCAATTTTCTCTTTAGGTTTGGCAGCATTGGGTTCTACATGTGCAACACAGTTCGGTAGGACTGTTAACAATGACATAGGACTCGCGTCTGCAATCATCATAGCACACGAAGTAGCACACACGTGAGTTAACATGGCAGACTTATTTTGAAAACACTTTCATTGCCTTACAAAAAAATCAATATCAAATGACGGCGCTGTTTTGAAGCTTTGAGAGATTCAATGGTAGCATTCCAGGATTTCATTGAGGTAAAAATAAACCTCCGCTACGGCATGCATGAACGGGAATACAGCGGAAAACATGATGATTTTTATTGTTTCTGTGTCCTGATGCGGACAAAATATTAACCATTAACGTTTCTCAAATGTAGGTTAATATAATGATAATAATAATAATAATAATAATAACAAACCGTTTATTAATCACAATTGCAGTTAAAAATACTCAATTACAGGGATAAAATACAGGCTTCAAAAATTTACGCTATTTAACAATACTACACATCATATACTACTACTTCTAGCATTTACACACTGTACGCTTGATTGAAGACAATAAATGAGCCAGAACGCTTCGCACGGCACATGTCCCTGTCGTTACATGCCTTGGTACTACTAGTCGTCCTTGTCCTGAGGTTGTAGTCATGAGTGTGACCTCTGCTACTTGGTAGTAAAAAGTGATTTGGGTGACTAATATTGTGTAACTTCTGTATGTAGGTTTGGAGTTGGACATGATGGTGGTCAGTGTGATGATGGAGAGTATATCATGGCTAGTGCTGTTAGTGATGGAGAAAACGCTTTCAAATGGTCAACATGCAGCCGTGACCGTATGCAGGAATTTCTGACGTTAGTATTGTCGTTACTCTGAGTAGTATAGTAGGGAAGTTTTAGGTCCTATCAGCGGAAGAATCTCATTTAGGTGCGGCCAGACAAGTAAGCTTTGAGGATGTTGATGGAATGGAGGAGAAAGAGGAGGAAGTGCGAATGAATCAAATTCAGAAAGGACTTCACCTTTCTCACTAGGAAAGCTCCCTTAATGTGGAGGGGGGCTTAGGAAGATGTTAGGAAGATTGAGAGGCGAAGAAGGGGAGAGCGCAGAATTTTCTCGATTCAATTTAGTATAAATTAGTCTGCTATATGAACGAAAATTTGTTATGGCTGGAACGTGAACAACCGTGAAACGTCTTTGCAAAGTCCGAATACGTACTTCTAACGTCTTCAAAACCTAGGAAAACTCCGTTGTTAGTCAAAACGAGCCGGGCTTCGACATTATTCCAAAATCATTATTCCTGTTTTCCAAATGTCGCACCAAAGGAGAATTTTGCTTGCCAGCCAGTTACACAGGGTATTCACTAAAAGAAAATATATATATTTAAAATGTCAAATTTTTTCCAATGTTATTTTTCCAGGGGATCTGGATCGTCGTGTTTAGATGATAACCCAAGTGACTTTATGCACGAGCCAAGCATATTTCACAACAAATTACCAGGACAGATAATGAATGGAAGTCTGCAATGTCAGCTGCAATATGGTGCAGATCACTACCAATGTCCACAGAGAATAGTGAGGCCATACTTAGTTTTTTTTATCTTATGTATACAGCACAAGTGGAAATTACAAACCATAGATTTGAGTGTAGTAAGACCGTACCAATTGCATTGTATCATTGCTTGTTCCAATCTACTAAAACCAATCCAACTTCAAAGAGAGTATTTAGGCTATGTTCACACTATGCCGCGGGATCCCGCGAGATAGCTCTTGTGCCCGACACGAAAACCTAAACGGATAGAGATCCCATTCACGTTTAACAAAAGTGATTTTGACGCTGTTTCTGTAACGTAGTGAAGTTGCGCCGCACTGATCTCGAAAGTGGAGCGACACATATCGGTTTGCGTCTTTGCCACACGTTGGTGCAGTGTGAACAGGTATTCGCACCCGAGCAGAAGTGAATAGGTAAGAGTGAGGACTAGAATCCACTGGAACGGAAGTAAAAATTCAGGAGCGAGGACTAGAATTTAGATTACCAAACTCTCTCGTCCAACCACTCCGGCATGATCTTCGATCTGTGTGAAAGACCTGTTCCAGCTCTGTACCGTTGCTCTTCATACTAAAATCGGATAGCCGAGTTTTCGTGTCGGCAGTAAAAGCTATTCAATACAGTGTGAACACATGTGGAGCAAAACGTGTCGGCACGAAACGCTATGTAATATAGTATGAACACAGGTGGCGCAACACGTGTCTGCAGTAAAAGCTATGCAATATAATGTGAACACAAGTGGAGCAAAACGTGTCGGCAGTAAAAGCTATGCAATATAATGTGAACACAAGTGGAGCAAAACGTGTCGGCACGTAAAGCTACGCAAAATAGCTGGGATTTTGAAGGAGTTACCTCCCCCACATCCACACCTCATTCCGGCTCAGTCAATACGTTTATAACCAACTATTCGAGTTTATCGCTGGGTTACATTCGTTTTTTAGGCAGACTGTAGAGCCTTATACTGCACCAAAGACGGCTACGCATGTGTAAGTTTCCAAGCACCTCCTGTTGACGGTACTCGCTGTGGAGATCGACATGTGAGTGACATATTCATTAACGCCAATAAAGCCACTTTTTGACAGAATGAAAGTAGTGTAGTATAGTATGATACGAATTGAGCCGCCATGTTTTTGCCTGGGTAGGTAGAGTGAGATCTCTTTGTAAGTTCGTAATGTTAAAATAACTGGGAGAAGGTAAAATGACCGCATTTTCAAAAATGTAGACTGAGACTGAAGAAAGCAATAAAAGGCGCACAATTAATGGTGTGCTTCCAAAAGCTCTGGATTTGCCACGAAAAATCACGCCTTTTTAGCCACATGGGTTAATAAATCTAGAAAAGAATTTACTTAATTTGTGGAAAATTCATCAAGTCTGTTAAAATCATCTCGTGCTTTCAATTAAATTTGTCAGCTCGACTTTAAGCACTTTACGTTCACTTTCTGTTGACCTGTAAACCTCGCTGTTTAAACTGTGTAGAAGATTGCCCTTGTATTCCTTACCCAAAGATTTTGCCATTATCCCTTAACCCAACCCTAACCCATTCAGTAGTTCTTTTTTGGAGATTAGTGACCTTTCCAAAATTCGACAGTCTTAGAATAACGAAATGGTATTTCTTTCAAAATCAACCCATCCACTTTCTGTCTGAGCGCAGGTTTTACTGACAACGTTGAGTAATTTTAGTGGTGCATCAAAGGCGAATGTGTGGATGATGGGTCTCCGATGATTGATGGAGGATGGAGTGATTGGCAGGATACTCACTCGTGCACACGGTCATGTGGCGGTGGTGTACGATGGAAAACAAGAACATGTTCCAACCCAGTGTAAGGAAAATTTTCCAGTTTTTATTTTTGTTACAGGGGTACTGACCCCCAAAAAGCACAAGAGCCACAATTCCTCCCGTAAAAACGACTTATCCAAATGGCGACAAAAACATCTAGGAAATCTCATTTAATATATTTCTGAGTTTTACGCCAGAAAGCATAAACGATAGTCATTCTGATCATCAGCAACATGAATGATTTGCAGCATTCCAATGTTTATTTCAATAGTTAACATTACTGCTGTGCTTGATCTTGTCACACAGCCCACAGAATGGAGGGGAAAAATGCGAAGGATCAGACAAGGGAATGTGGACAATGTGCAATACTCAGGTAAAATTATTATGTTTGATTAAAAGCAACACGACATAATTCAAGTGTTTATTCATACATTTTGATGCGGGTTGTACGTGGGACCTTATAGCGATGATGATAACTGAAATTCATTTTGGACATCATGGTATTGATGCAGTCACCCTCGGCCCTCTCCTCCCATTAACGTGGATCCCTGCTGACCCTGAATTAAAAGGAAAGTGCCGAAAGATACAAGAGATTAATATGATGAATCGTAAAATAAATCTGAAAACTTACAATTTACTTCAACCGCAAGTTTCGTCTATCCATTGATTTACTTCCTGTTTAACGTTCTTCCTGTGGTTAACAAATCTCATGTTTTTCCCAGCCGTGCCCTCCAGGATCCACCGACTATCGCCTTCTTCAATGCCAAGCTCTTCAACCGACGACTGCTGTGCAGTGGGAAGCTGGTAAAGTACACAGGCTTTTTCTTGTTCTTTGAGAATAACAACTGCGTTGCGCTTATTTTTATCAAATTTATTAACTTATTTTTGCACCTCCAACACGAAACGAAATTATTGGTGTCGTTCTATTAAACAGTCGACTCACGTTTTTGCGCACACCTTCGGGGAGAAGATTTAGTGTCCGTAATAGCGAGAGAACGAGAGAAAAAAATGTGCTCTCTTTAAATTTATGAAATAATATGTAAAAGTCCCAGAAGCATTGTAGTTTCAACAATTCTTTACTTCTTTTAACTATGGACCATAAAAGATTAAAGATAAGATTGTAAATAGATGTAAAAATGCTGTATTATCACTTCCAAGCTCCTGCAATGACAAGGGATACATAAAAAAAGGGCTTAAAAAACCAACCCAAACTCCTCCAGTATAACGTGAATGGCTAAAATGTTAACTTGCTGTCAAATATAATCATGTTTTTATTGTTCTTGGCAGCTCTTTTAACGCAGAAATGCTGCACAGTATACTCATAACAGAAACCTGTCTAACGACTTTTACAGTAGAGCGTTAAAATAACGCAAAATGTTTGTAAGCTCTGATGGCAATGTCTTTTCTCCCTAAAATGCGGTACAGGAGCGGTCGATAGTACTTAGCGTCTTTTTTTCCTTTATTGTAACGTCGCTTCATTCTTTATATTATGTGAGTCGGGGTTTTTGACGAAGTACTCATAAGTGTCCGCTATAGCGAGAGAAAAAACAAGTGAAATGTCGCGCTTAGGGGCAGGAACGTGTCCGCATTTCCTTAATAGCGGGAGTCCGTGATAGCGGGAGTTTGTTTCAGTCGTTTCTTTACGCGTTTCGCCGGGAGTAGGGGGGTTGGGGGCTGGCTCTTGTCTGCATTAGCGGGGTGTCCGTAATAGCGAAGTGTCCGCAAGGCGAGAGTCGACTGTACATTGTGCAGTAGGATAAAGTAGGGAAAGTTGTGATCCTGTCTATCCATTATACTAATGACAAGAGATGGGGCTAAGGATATCCGTGGAGAGCACGACGACCCCAAAACGGCAAAGTAGTCAAATAGACTCTGAGATTGAGTCACAAAGAGGAAGACGTGGAGTACTGAAAAAAAAAATGAGATTATGTTTTTGTCGTGTCGACTTATTCACACACATAATATATATGCTTTTTGTAGTATAGTATGAGATTCCTCCGCATTTTATTCAGGAGATAGGCTCATAAGGCAAAAGACTATGAAACTATCGGAGTAAACGCATCCTAAAGGTTTAAAACGTCCTTACTACACCACTTTAATTTGTGCTAACTCTAGGTTTGTATCACTGTACGCGCGGCTTTGGTGCGAGTATGAGGTTTTGTTATTAGTAAAGCAGTGACAAGCTGTGAAGGGAGCCTGTTTAGAGAATTCAGTGTAAATTTTCCTCCTTAGATCCTTGCATATTGTCGTGTCGACATGGAAGTAAAGTCAGAATATGGGGCAGAGTTAAGGACGGTACAGCTTGTGGCACCAATTCAAAAGTCCACGATGTCTGCATTGAAGGGATCTGCAAGGTTAGTGTTCATTCTTCAGTCAGGTCATTACAAATCGATAGTACACTTTGGCAGAAACCTCTGCTTTTTTAGGAAGCAAGTTATATATCAAACTCATCTAAAATATTCTTTTCACTATTATGTCATATTGTACCTGCAGAATTAAAACAAAAGAACTGAAAAACAGGAATTGGTAGTGAATAAAACTATTATTTTAAAGGGCGGTCACTTAAATGTATTTTCTAAAAGCTTTCTTAGAATATTTTCAATTCATTGATTAGTTTATGTTGTTAGTAAGGAAATGTTAAATATACGTGTCTTATAATATAAGATGTGTACACTTCATTCCAGATTTGTTAAGCGTATTAGACAGGACTAAGTTAAGTTGAACCTTCCGTAAGCGAGCACTCATCGTAAATGGGGGTCTCTTTCTTCCTTTTTTATTTTTATTTATTTATTGAGGCAAGAAAAGTCGCGTGTCGAATCGAAAATACTTTCTCAAAACCAAACCATGGTCACTTTATAAATCGATTCTAGATTTATTACTACAAGTATTATGAATACTTTACATAATTTTCTTTCAATTTAGCCTGTTGGCTGTGATCATAAGCTAGATTCAGGAGTCAAATATGACCGTTGTGCAGTTTGTGGAGGAGACAGTTCTACTTGTACCTATGTCAGCTCTAACTACACTAAGAACTGGTTCAGATGGGGTAAGAATTAATAGAACATTATTTACCTGGTTACCAAGAAAATATACGGTTTGTTTTATCTTCTCTCTCGAATGAGACGCTATAAAAATGTTACTATGCAAAACGTCTTGTTATAATTGTCACATGCCGAATTGAATTGCAACACTTTTTATTAGTCTGCCTGAATTCAAACCTTCCTTATGTTCACCTGAGGGGAGAGGAAGTAACTAAGGTACCTTACCACGTTGAAAAGGGAGGCCGAGAGGGAAGTATTTTATCTTTAAAAGTGAACTCGATATATGACGTGTTCTGATAGAAGATTAGTCACGCAGCAGTTTTTGAACTCACTTACAGGTTTTTTTTTTTGACTGAAAAGGATATATGACGTACCCTTTTAGAAGAGTAGTCACGCACCAGTTTTTGAACTCACATACAGGTTTATTCCGGGTACTGTTAACTGCTCTCTGTATACTTTTAAACACTGTGGACTCCGAGACTGCGACAGAGCAAAAAAAAAAATGCTAACTTATTCTGCCCTATCTTGATGGTTTTAATTTTTCTCTAATGCCGCGTAGTCGCTTATACACTTAAAAAATGTCCTCGGGGGAGTTAAGTTGATAATTAATTGGGCGGAATGCAAAACAGAAAGTTTTCAAAAGAAAGTACCCCGTAAATTGTATTATTAATGATCATTTGGCTGATTTTTATTTCTAAGGACCAAACGATCCAGATAAAATTGTCACTGTCCCAATCGGTTCAACAAATGTTTTTGCCCAGATGAGGCATAATACTAGAAACATGTTAGGTAAGTATTCTGACTGACTAGTGAGTGTAATAACGGTTTATTGGACAATATATGAACATGACGACTCTTCACTTGTCTATTAACCTTAGACTAACCTACTCTACAGCGAAATAAAAATTAATAAAATAACAAAATTATCTAAAACAATGTTATCGCTATTAAAAACTATCATAACGAAGACTCGCTATCCAAATATCAATTCAACCGAATGTTTTAGTGTAAGATTCATGTAAGATGAAACTTTTTTTAACAAAGAAGTTTGAAGCAATATCAACACGAATTGAAACAACTTCATAAACTATGTTTTTCTCTCTTGTTTTTTACCTTTGTTCAGCTGTAAACTACTGTTGAAAAAATTTATCTTTAGACACAAAAAAATATAAGGAACGAGTCACAAGTAAGCGACGTGTTCACTGCTGTCGGCTTCGCCTCTCGTGGCGACGCTGTTTCCCTCTGGGTCAGCAAAAGAGTTTGTTCGCCCACTAGTAAGCGGAGATCAAGCAAAAGAATTCTCGCAAAATGGGAGGTAAACATTTTCAAACAAAACGATTGCTCGACATCTTGAAATCTTTACAAAACCTCATCACTTTATTGAAGTTTATATTGCATTTTTCTAGGAGTTGAAGACTACAGCAATCGATGGGTATACAAGGTGGGATATACATGGAGTACTACAGTGAAAGCCGCGGGAACACGAGTGGCTTACGATCACGAGTCCTTCGTGTGGAAAGATAAGGTGGAAATTCCTGGACCCACCGAAAAAGTTCTAAAACTCATGGTGAGTGCAAGCCTCGTCTTTCCTTTAGTTAAAGGAGACTCTGGTTTGTATTAGAGGCTACGTTTTAATGGTCCCATATCGAAAGTGGATATAAGTGCTTGGCAGCCTGTGAAAACATTCCTTTGACAGGTAGATTACTGTGCCCAATTCGCTCTCTTCGTTAATTAATACACATTTTTTTAGGTAATTGATATAGATATTCATTAAGTGTGGTTTCCGTCAAATAACACTTTTAAGTGTTATTTGGTCTTAAAAGAGCTACAAAAACATTATGCGGGTTACGACCTTACAGAGAACCTTTTTTCCTCCTTTCTACTGTAGTTTGTTCATATCGAAGGCGGTAACCCTGGAGTAGACTTTCACTTCATGTCACCACAGAAAAGCATAGTATCTCCTTACCAGGTCAAATGGAAGGTAGAGGACTGGGGAGACTGTTCTGAAGACTGCGCTGGAGGTACGGTGATAAAATAGTTGTACTTCTGGGTTTAGTGCAGGAGAGTTATCAGATGTTCATGCTGAGGGAAGCAAGGAAATGCCAAATTATCATAACTTACTGCTAGAAAAAATTGCCAAAAGTCGATTTATAAAGCGAGAAACGTGGTCCGAACCTCTTTGTATGCGTATTAGTTACGTTTTTGAATCGCGTTTTCAAGAAGGAACTATTTAACCGATTTAAAATAGGGACAAACACAAAGTAAGTTTGATGAACAGAAGTTCTTTAATCTCACGATCAGCCCGCATTCAGCATAAAGTTGTTCTTCTTGTAGAGTTAGGTGTATTCGCCGTAGGTTTTTGAATTCTCATTTTCTTGCAATGGCGCTTTGGGTAGGAATATCCTTTCAGTTAGCTGGAGGTAGTCCGTCGGCAATCTTTCCTTTACTTGTGCATCAACTTTCACAAATGTTTTAGCGTAGCATTTTAACGTTAAATTTGATCAGGATATTATGGAGCGAGTTGTATGGTCATTTATTTTCAATTTATTTATTTAAAACTAGAGAGCTCTGAGGGCTATCTGCTGAAGTAAAGGAAAATCTGTCGCATGATTTTGAAGATATTTACATTTTTTTTCTAAAAATGCGGTTTTAAATATATGCCAATATCTCAAACGTTTTTATACCTACAAGAAAATTAACAATATTTTCTTAAAGTTCCACCATTTTTGTTAAGGATGCCAAAAATCAGATATCGTGACCAACACGCATCTAAATAGGTTCAAGCCACCTTAAAAGTGATTTTAATAATGGCCTTCTTCGGCGACATGTTACAGGTTACCAGCAGAGACTGGTGGAGTGTGTGCGCAAAGACGACGGAAGTTACGTAAACGACAAAATGTGCCTGAAGACAAAAACTAAACCGCTGAAGAGAAGAGCCTGCAATACACAACCTTGTGCAGCTGAGTAAGTATGGGCATTTCCTTAATTAGCAAATCAAAACTGTTAGCGGTCTTAGACACTAAAGCCCCCCTGAGTCTATTCTAGGACCCTCTTTAACTCATCCTTCGTGAGTCACTCTTGAGGACTGAGGATGTGGCAGGAGTCATCGGCTCCTGGAATGTGGCCCGTCCTCAAACGTTCCTCATGACTGATTCTCAATCCTGAATTATTTAAGTTTGAAAACGTTTTTTGAAAATCATGTGAACGTACGCTGCGTCACCCACAAGAAAAAAATGTATAACTTATTGGACATGATGTGTGCCCGGTCCTGGCCACTTACTGTATACAAAGTGCACGTCTACCATTTCTAGTAATGTTCCGGCTGGTATATAGTACTCACACTGGTCCAACAGGGTTATTTCTGGATGCAATAGTTAAAAGTCAGTTTTGGGGAGGCATCGCAGCGGAATGTTCCAGCCACACTTGCGGTTGTGTTGGTCGCATCAGTGACGCATTTTTTTCCAAACCCTGACAACACAATCAAGTGTTATTTACTATCAACACTTGAGTTAATTTTGTCCTCAAAACATTCTCACTACCTATTTTGTTGCTTTTAATAGGCCATTTCCGAGTTCCAAAAACCCTCACTTTCAAAACGAGGCAAAGTACAAAATGTTTCCTGTCAAAGAGTTTCATTTGCATGAGAATTAATAATCAATTCATATCACTTAGCCTCGCTTTGAAACAGAGGCTTAGGGTATCTCAGAAATGGTCCATTGCATTGTCAGTATACAGCAATACAAAGAGTATAACGAACATAGTTATTCCATATTATTAATACCTCGGTTTTCCATAGTAACCACCATAGTAACTCTTTGTTTTTTGTGTTGATTATATCAAAACCACGAAGATGGTACAAATCTGGCTGGAGACCCTGTTCAAAGACATGTGGTAGAGGAATTCAGCTGAGAAAGATTGTTTGTAGGCGAAAGGTTACTCAGAATCTCCATGAAACGGTCAAAGATTCATTGTGCGTTGAGGAAAAACCAACAGGAATTCTACAACAAGAATGCAATAAAGTGCCTTGTCCGGCTGAGTGGAAACATATGTCTTGGAGTGAGGTAGGTGTACGGCAATTTGCCAGTCTGAACAAAAATGCCCAGCTGCGCGCTTGAGATTAACTGGAACTTGATATTTTATAAGATGTCTTTCACATCAAAAATCCTTTGCCTGGATAAGTGTCAACCCAGTGTAGAGCAAGATCAACTGTTAACTGCCCCACGATAGCCGCCATAAGATCGAAGAATCGACTTTTTGAGCTACAAGACTCAGCCCTCTTTGTGCTTTCTTTGTAGTTATATGTATGGTACACTCGCTTTCATTTTTATTCTGTGTTTTACCTTGATCTCAGTGCTCTCGGTCATGTGAAGGAGGTAACAGGACTCGCAGTTTGAAATGTATGAAGCTAAATGCCAATGGAATGCTGGTATCTGTGTCCGATATCCAATGTGCACACGCAGTCAAGCCAAACACAATTGAGGAATGCAATACAGACGTTCTCTGTCCCCGTAAGTGATCAAGACAGATTTCATTTCTGGTTTTACATTGCACCTTTTTAAGGTAACAAAGGTATAAAGGCGTACTGTTGCCTTGATTATAGGGAGTCTCTATTTAACTGATGGCACCTCTTTGGTACTTGTTACTGACAACAGTGAAGCTATCCCCGGCAAGTTCAGCTACAATTGGCACAGTATATACAATGGAAAATTCTCACGGTCAACTGACCCAAACATGTCTTCAATTTGACCTTTTAATTCGCTGGTGATTGGCTTCTTAGTTAGAACTTAAAAGACAGAAGAAGTAGGAGAAGCCACAGTAAAGAAGAGTAAACAGGAAGAATAAAGCCATCTAGTCTCGTTACCTCTCGTTCAATTGCTTAAGAAGGCATTCGGTCTCCTACTTGCGCCCAACACAATATCTACACTACACAATCGAGGGCATCTGACGTCGTAATTGAAAACAATGGAACATATTTAGTCAAAAATTCTGCTACCCTCCCCTTTTTCTTAACCGAAGCATTGATCCCTTAAATTGTTTCCGTGTGATTCTGTAAGTTTTTCAGCTTTCCTAATGATCTATTCAACCCAGGAGTAGGAAGGCAGCCAGAAATAGCTATGGAAACTGGACAAGATAATTCTAATAAACCTAATTTATCTTATAGACTCGATAGTAGGCCCCGATGGGAAACATTTCGTCGCCCTGGGCTGCTACAGAGACAGTTCACACTTCCGTGCCTTACCCGAGCTGGTGGCAAATCTACGTAAGAAAATAGACTGGAGGAAAATGGAAAAAACTGTTGAGGACTGCGCACACAAAGTGGTGCTAAAGAACTCTACATACAAGGTGAATTACCTAGTTTGGTTACCTATCGGCTCCCAGGGGCCCGGATAAGGTGATTTAAGGAAAAGGCGAAACACTTTATACTCTCTTTCTTTATGCATAGTGACTAAATCATGTTTTTTTATAACTAGAGGTATTTAAGGCTCGTTTGAAATGAGACATTAGTAGAAGGGAGGGGTTGTTTTGCACCCCCTTTTAGACAAGGTTGGACGTACCAATCTAGAAACGTTTTGGGATTGATTTTGAAGCAATCTTTTGATAAAATAGTAATGTTTTGCGTCTCTTATTGCGATGAAATCTTCTAAACTCACGATGCAATACGCAATCGTCGATGACCTTAGAAAAAAGGGGAGTTTTAAGGTAAATAAAAGAGAAATGTGTCGGCACATCAACAGTGACATAACCATTGGTACACACTTTGGCCATGACTTTGTGACTTCATGAACATTAATATACGCCACTAACTGCAAATTATTAAGGTCAGAACGTCTGATGGAGGTTTCAAACTGGTAATTCTTCTAAGCATCAGTTAATCCGGGGGCGGATCCAGGATTTTTCTTAGGAGGGGGTGTGGGCACCCCTAAGGTATGGCGTAACTGACTGGTGACGAAAACAAATTTTCATACAGAAAACCAGTTGTATTAGTAAGCCGCAGGTCTTCTCAGGGGGGAGGGGGTGCCCACCCCCTGCACCTCTCCCCCTAGATCCGAAAATCTTATGGCACGGTGAAGACTAATTGTTTGGGGTCGTTATTAAAGGGAATTCACGTAGAAAAAGGGCTTATTATTCACCTGTCACTGCTTGTTATTGTAGGTATTCGGAGTCCAGTTCTACGGCGAGTGTTGGTCAGGAGATGAAGGAGACAGGACTTACAGTGAATACGGTACATCACCGAACTGCTGGAAAGGCGTAGGCGGTTCAACCGCTAATTTTGTCTACGCGTTTGTTGATGATAATAAGGTGAAGACTAAACACATTGCAATAGAAGGCGTCTAACTAGTAGCTAAATATCTTTTATTCATTGGTAGGGAGGGTCCGTTCCTAACTTGGAAGGTAAGGACGGAAGGAAAGACAAATATCAAGTACTCCTGCTCCTATTCTACGTTACTGATAAATATTCATAACTTACTCAATAACAAAAGGCCTAATTTGCGTTTTTTTCTTCTTTCTCGCCAGAATCCTTAAGTCGAAGCTTATGAAGGAACTACGCAGTGTCGTCTGGAAAACAAAAAAAACGCTTAAACTTGGTGGCGCTCTCTTGTTCATACCTTGTAGTTTAGCTTATGAAATCCTCAGTGCAAGCATGTACCGTAATAAAGCATATGTTATAGACCTTACGTAGTAAGAATAATTGTTTTGACTCAGTGAACTTTATTCATCTTTTCGGAAGATCTTTAATTGCTCCTTGTAAACGACACAGTATCTTCGCTAAAAATACAAGAAAGTATAGCGTGTTTTCGCGTAACTTTGAAACCGTTGAACGAAAGAACCCAAGGACATGAAATGTTACAGAGGACTCATAAATATACAACATAGCCAAGTCTCAGGTCTTTGTGGGGCACCATTTTTTTCATTTATTTACCGAAAACTTTCACGCAAGTTTATAGACCTTTGTGTGGGGACCGCATACTGACCTGTACCGACATGGGACACCAATATGGCGGCCGAAAAACGACAAAGAGCATGCCAGGTTCTCACTTTTGGAATTAAAATGCCTCCTTTTTTGCTTTTAAGCTATAATTAACATGCGCAAAAACACATTTATCGCTTAAAATTTATGAACCACTGAAAATCATAAGGAGAGAACTTTCAAAATGCTAAATGCTGCATTTTCAAAATGAAAGAAGCTACAGGGCTTGAAGCTTCTACAAATATTTATTCTTCGGTCACCTTCTCAACCTGGTGTACATAAGAATTCAAAGGACCCTGCTATTTTGATTTCAGAATTGGATGACGTCATGGTGACAACACACATGGGTAGGTATACCCTCATAAACTAAACTTGCTGTGACCCTACAATTGTAATCTACCCAAGCGGCAGCCAATGTTTCAAAGGTTAAAACCAATGGCTGCAAATACACTTATGTGATTCCACGCACGTTGAAAAGTTTCTTCTAAACAAGACTCCTCCGGATTTTATTGACCTTACACTAATGCTATTCAATCATAGAAAAAAAGGCCTAAACTGCTATGATATCATGACGGAGCTAAAGAAAGATCCTGGGAACACTTGTAAGTGAGAGTTATTTACGCGCGTACCGTAAATAAGTACGTAAAAATTACGCAACAGTGGAAATCTACCCTAAAGCACTGCAGCCATCGACGCAGCCGATCAGATTAACCCTCTATTCCCATCAATCATGATCAAGACACTGGCTGAAGATCCCACCGAGATCTGCGACCCTTCGATTTGACTACGAGCACGAAATCGAATACGAGTTTGACTTTGGAATTAATTTTGTAACTCGAACTACACTCGTCCGATCTAAAGGTCACTAAAATCACGTCATCTTCTTCCGCCTCGGTTAGCAAACAGAGATACAATCAACAATATTCATTTGAACATAACTGTTTTTTTATTACTACTATTTTGAGATGGGTTTCACAAATCAAAGTGCAGGGTATATATCGTTAAATAGGCCTGATATTTTCTGTACAATTTAACTTGTGATTATTTTACAGGGATTTAATCTCTAAAAATAAATAATATATCTCTTCTTACATCTTCAATAAACGTCAACGCTTTACGAATTACACATTCTTCAATTCCTGAACCCAAACATCTTTTATTACTTACGATCACTAGCTCTGCAGGATGTGGATTTATATCTCACTATGCACGGTGACTCTTCCACTCTTCCTTTTTTTACTTTTGATAGGTTATGATTAAATCAACTCAATTTTTATGTGAATTTTAAAATAAACTAAACCATCTTAAGTCTGGTTTAACAAACGTTGAAATTAAAAAGAAACGTATTTACCTCTACATTATTATAATTTTGCAACAAAGATACCCTGATACCCTTTTATTTCCACGATTGGCTTGTGGTTAGGGTGTTTGCGCCTGAGGCTGACTGAATGAAATACTGATCATGGCTTTACAAGGTGGTTCTAACGGTTTTTGCCTGTGTTGATCATTTTTTTAAATGAAAGGAACTGAACAATCCCTTTCTGTTGTAATATTCATGTTACTGCACAAGTGGTGCTAACGTTTTAGTCTGTATACGGAAGTTATTAGCGTTCATTCTGAAAGCTCTGTAGCAGTGCTTTCTGGTGGTTATGTTTAGTATGCTGCTCAAGGTGAAGCTGATTTTTAGGGCCTAGGATGAAGTCACCGATTAAATAAAAGCCACCAAGAAGTAACGTCTTCTGTCACTGTTCATTATCCCGCAGAAGGTGGTGGTTATAAATTTAGTTTGTGGACAACTCTAAAAGACCTCCACAAAAGCAACAGCCATTGATCAGTATTCTAGAATAGTACTGTGCGCTTTCCTTTAATTTGAAAAGCGGGAAATGAAAGGGCCAACTATACTGTTGTCATTTGTTCAGAGTCACTGATGAAGGAACTCAACTGACTTTATCTTACACGCTATACTCAGAGAAATAATAATCAGGTGAAAAAAGGACACGCCTACATATTGTAAGTGTCGCGAGGGATTACGTCAACCGCTAACACTGTCGAATATCGAATACTTTTGTTTCTTGATTACAAGAGAAACTGCTATCATAGTTTCAGCTATAAGCTTGCTACAGCTGCCGTCCAAATGTTATGCTCATCTCCTATGTTACATCTGTTCCTAGTGTATTAATATTTTTCAAATTAAAACGCACGAAAAGGGCAGATGCCAACCAATACAAACCCTATTCCAGCATAAGAGTTTCGCATTGATTTTCAATTCTTTGCTCGCCGACGTTTTAAACCAACTCAAGTTTTACATATTTTAGTCGAGTTGTCACTCTGTACGATGATTTAGTCAATGCTTTTACTTATGAATTGGAAGATAAAGTGTTGGTCCGAATGACAATCTAAAATGTCGGGGATGTTACAAAGATGCTCGCCTTTTGAGTGAGCATCCAAAGTTCTTTCCATGCAATAATTAATGATCTCCGTTCATCCTTTTACATTGCAGAAAGAGCTCAACAAGTCGAGAGATAAAATAAGCTCCCACTCAATTCAGCAATCTATCTGCAGTCTTGCGAGAAATTTAACGAGTCAAAAGGGATTCTTTAACCCTGGTCTGTTGAAAGACCAAGAACAGCTTGAAGCTAACATCTTGATCTTTGCTTATACGGCCTCCATTCAAGCCACTGTTTCGCTTATCTAACTCAAAGATATACAGGAGTGAACCCAGCGTCACTCAATTATTACATGAAAAGGAAAATTTGTGACCAAGGGAAAGGTCGCGCATATTTTGTTCACTGTCTAACCCATTATAGGATACTTTCTTTTTTAAAATCTCAAAGATAAATTCCGGAGGAGAACGGAATTTTCTTAATAATAAGTAATCTATCAATCTAAAGAATAAATTGAACTGGTTTCAAACCTAAATCCCGCAGAGTACACAAACCCACTTGTTTGCTAACCTAACATACCGTAAAATTCTGAAAATAAGCCCCTCCAAATATAAGCTCCCCAAACGGGTAACGCAAAAACCGTCCGTTAAATCGCCCCTCCAAATACAAGCCCCTCGCGGGCTTGTACTTGGAAAATTGCGACTCAAATACGAAGTAAAACAAAGCAAAAACGGTAAATTCACCTTCAACTATAAGGCTAGCCCAATCGATTTTGAAACGCAAATGTCCCTCCGTACATAAGCCCCTCCGAATATAGGCCCCTCAAAAAGGGCCGTTGAAAAATATAAGCCCCGAGGCTTATTTTCGGAATTTTACGGTAACAATATTATAACTAAACAGATACTATGGCCTCAATTTCAGTTAAAGGCGCAACATGAAAGAAGCTGTCGGATTAAGTCGTACCCACGAATGTTCGTACATAACTTTCGACCATATTTTTCGGGGTGGGGAAGCTGTTGAGTTGGTAGTCATAAGATGCAAACAAATTTAAAAACATCTTGATTTTCCAGCGCAGCTTCCCCTGTTAACACACATCTTTGACATGCAGAATAAATAAACAAGGTTCCAATGGGACACTTGGTGCTTTTGACCCAGAAGACACATTAGCGCATCGCACACCGATTTTTCGAGGCACTTTTCTCTACACAAATAAACTTCTTTTTCCCAAAAATAAGGACAGTTAAAACCTCTTATAATAAACATTTGACTAAACCAGACATAAAAACAGGACATCTGTACAAAGATTCACTTACTTTTTGTAATCGCAATCCAAGCGTCTCTTTCGAGACGTCTTTACATTACAAACTGGTGTTATCTAAAAATACCGGATTGCGACTGGTTGAATATTTCCCGCGGTCATTTATTAGGATATTGCGTAGGAAGTGCCTCAAAAAGAGAATGCGATATAGCTGACACCGCCGTGTCCTTGCTTCAAGGGGCTGTGTCACCGCTGGGTTGCATTGTTCAATTTGTTTATAATCAGCCAATTACGAGTCATTACTCGCTTTGGAACGCGATCACAAACAAATATGTCTCCCAAGCATTGTAACAAATGTTATGAACAACAAAAATGAAGACTGAAAAACAGGTTTTCAAAAACCTCAACTGCAATCTGTTTCAATCTTCTTCAAATCTGTCTGCCCGTACCAATTTTCGTATTTTATGTTATTTATATATGAACGTTTTCAGCGGTTATTTTTGTGTTTCACTAAATTTTGAGGCAGTTCTCAGTTCTCGTGACACAGCTCCATTAAGCGTTTGTATTAAGAGCTCTTACCGTATACCTAATACTAACGAAATGTATTCTACAGTGAGTGGGATATGACTGACTAGTCTGAGACTCCAAACAAAGAAGGTAGTAACAGGACTACAGCGATTGCCAACAGAGAGAAACCACAAAAGAAGATTACTGCCCACTGTTTGTCTGTTAAGGATATTCTGATGGTCTCCTTTACTTCCGGTTCTTGGTCACTGTCGGCTGCGCTGCTCTCCGAAATTTTCTTCTTTCGGACAGTAAAGCTCCTTGCTGACGTCACAGATGAGAAGACACCCTTGACGGGGATAGGTGATTGGTCTCCACCATTCATCATTCGTACTGCGCAAACTCGGAAGCGAACTTCAGAGGAGGCTGGGATCGAGTTGTACTCGAATTTTGTGTTCGGTCCTTGATAAATCTAAAAAAGAAGAGAAAACGGTTAACATCACTGCTACAGGCATGCGGTGATCTTTACCAAATGATGGACTATATTTGGATAAATCAACAGCCATGAGACTCGGGACACTTTATGCATAGCCAACTACAAGAATATGTTCTTCACCTGATTGACAATGCGAATAAAAACAAGAGTTTTTCTAACCTGAACAAAATCTTGATCTTTTCCACCGCACTGACTTTGTAATAAATATTCAACGCTTTCTCCTCTTTTGACAACTTGTACGGGATCCCAGCGAAGCAAAATCGAGGAAGCTGTCGAAGCATCTGCAACAAGCGCTGTAAGATAACGTTTACAATTAAATTCCTTGCTTTTTATACAATATACACTAACAAACATTTATCAATAACTATGACTTTCTTCTATGAACACCAAAGCTAGATTTTTACCACAGTAATCTGAACACGCCGAACAGATCGGCCATCACTGATCCGCTTTCGGACAAGGTTCGGTTCATTAATCGAGACTCGCACTGGTAATGCGACCTTTTGGGTCAATGACGCTTCACCCATAACATGCATCAACAAGGAGGCGTGGATACTCACGAATAGAAATGCTACATTAGCAGACCCCCAAAACAAACAACTCCTACGTCTCGCAATAACAGCGATTATACCACTTCATAAGAAATTTCTGCAATTTGATTGGCTTAGAGCAGTGGCATTTCAGCTTAATTTGAAATACCTGCATGTGAAAATTACAATCCTTTCGCGAGTAGTAGCATAAACAAATAATAGCATGATTTGTACGTGATATTTGGCATAAATACCACTCGTGATATTTCAAAATTATCTCAAATTTCACTCGCCTAACAGCTCGTGAAATTACGTACAACAATTTCGAAATATCACTCATGGTATTTATGCCAAACACCACCACAAATCATGCTATTACCTATACGAATCAAAATCGACCAATCATAGCCGACCTTCGCGATACACTCCGTAACCATTCAACGAAATCGCTTAAAAACAACCAGCAGCAGTCGAAACAAAGCGATCTACATTATGAGACAGACCACAACATAGAAACGTCAAGAGATCAAACTACCAGCATTAACGTCATCATCAATAGCAATAAGGGCCACTACTTCGCTCACTCAGAATGCTGTTTCAATATTCCTCTTTCATTACTCACTTTTCACAGTATTTGGAGGCTGCGCAGTAGTTACAAAGGACACGGTATCAGAAAAGGACCCAGGTCCCGCCTCGTTACTCGCTTGGATACGGAACTGGTACTCAGTCCTCTCCTGTAGTTTTCCAACTTTGTGTGACGTCGTTGCACCGTTAAACACAGTAGAGAAACTGTCAAAACATAACAGGAACTTGTTAGTTTGTTAAAGAGAGAATGGACACGCGATCTCAATTTGCGGAATGAACAAATTAAGGTGTCAATCAATTACTATATTTAACAGGAGAGACACTGTTTTATCACAAGATCAAACACTGATCCGACTGCTGAGAAGAGAGTTGAAGGAATGACTTACACCGGAGTATTTTGACGTACAACTAGGTGTTTGATCTTGTGATTTAACACTGTGTCGAGTGTTTGATATTGCTTTTCCATCAAAATGAAAAAAAAAAAAAACGAAAACACGCACTCATTTGACGATTACTTCCTTTGTATTTTCTTTATAAATTATTAACGACTTTGAGAAGCAATCATCTCCAATTTCCACGGGAACTGTTACTTCATTCCCTATCCCTGAACCGAACGGTAGCTCATCACAAAGTCAGATTACCACACTTTATTTTGCAAGAATACCAAAAACGTAATTCACCACTTAATGTGGGCATTTTTCAAAACACAACCCGTGAAACAACAATACATCAAAAGTAAACCACACCAACAAGGCAGCTGCATTCATTTTTAATCCAATCGACGTAAAATATATGACTAGGTTTCATCCCCAAAAAAGGAGCTAAAACTTTATTACAGTCTGACCTGCCATTTTTGTCCAGCATCTGCAGAGTGTATGTCACGCCAGCTACACCCGTCTTGCTGCCCGTATTGCGTGACGTCCACCTCAGTTTCAGACTCTGATACGAAGCAGTGGCGAGCTCTAACAGAGGAGCTGGTGGAGGGAGGTCACCAGTTGAAGCAAACACGGTAGAGCTGAGAAAATAGAAGAGCAAACCTCAGAGGCTGCTTCAGTTAACCCAGTAATCACAAAAAATATACAAGTGAGTAGGCTTTTCACAGGTGTGCTTCGCGCTTCATTTGGAAACCACCGTGACGTTTGTTCTTGGCGCATACCACTATACCCATTGATCAACTGCTTAAACTGAACAAATAAATAAATACATGGATAAGGCAGGCGCATTCACGTTGTGTTCTTCAGCTACAAGCCATGCAAGAGGGGACTCACCTGAACGGACCACAGCCAATTTTGTTAACTGCTTGGACACGAATTCTGGAAAAAGAAACACAAAAAAATGAAGTTTATCAATAAAAAATGGAGGCCCCTCAAAACCTCATTTGGACCAGTCTCAAGAGATGGGACTTTCTATAGCTAAAGCGGCAATAATGTCGCTACATCCTCTCTATCAATGATCTAGCGTTGCATGATTGATAAAGAGAACCAGAAAAATAATCTCCAAACTATTGTGTGCACACCTTCTTACACGGCCGTATACTCATACCTGTACAAAGTGTTGGGCTGAAGATCAGTGATGTCATACTCCTGAACAGCAGGAGACTCTTCTTCTGAACCCGTCACCACATCAAAGCTGATATTCTTACAACTGGCCACCTCTATATTGTATGACGTAATAACAGCACCATTGTTCCCAGGATGTCTCCAGCACAGGCGCACATGAGAGGAAGACTGTTGTACCTGCAATATGAAAATCTGATTTTAGTGACATTATCAACATACAGAACTTCAAAGTCTATTTTATGGTAATTTGTTTATATACTACATTAATTACACCAAGCTAAGCTATGCTTTGTAATGGCATAATATGAGAAAGCAAAAATAATACCAAAGGTATGCTGCCACCATGCAGATACTTTGCTGTCGCTCTTATGAAAATACATAAGTACTTACAATTTTGATAGATGTTACAACAGAAGGAGAGGCAGGTGGTGTTTGACAAGTACTGACTGCACTCCAGGTACTAGGGCCAGCTGCACTGAGGGCCTGGAAAGAATCACAAGCAAGACGCATTAAACACCTTACAGGAGAACATTCATGTCACTTTAGTTCTTGATACACATCTTTGCAGTTACTTAGTAATATCAATACAAACCTTAACTCTGAAGTAATAAAAGCTGGCTGGGCTAACTCCTTTACGAACTTCACAGCTTTTGTCAGGTCCACTATAGAGCTACAAAAGAAATGCAGGATAGTAAACTCACTGTAAGCTGCTCTGTTCAGCTGATCTCTGTAACGTACCACAACATCAGCGCCCAGAAAAAACACTAGTGCAGTATATAGTACCTCAACAAATGTTCCATCCTCCATCCACTCTAAACTGTAGCCTGTCACAGGCGTGCCATTTTCTGCTGGGGACTGTGAATAGCAAAGAGAAAGTTAATAAGAAAAATAATAATCAGATGTTCAGAAAGCTACAGATGGCTTAGGAAAGAAGTCCTTACTTAAGCTAATTTCAAGATGAATGGTTCCTATTTACAGTATTATTGGATAATTCCCTACACCTACACCTAAACCTACATTGTAAACATTATGACAAAAACTGTCAAAAATACATGTAATTAAGTAAATAAGATGAAAATACTTGCAGACTTAAGAAGAAAGGACAAAAAAGTCATTGCTGCAGATTGCAATGTCTGCGACAATTTCTTGACACAAAGAATCTGTCGCATTTTACACGACTGTAAGTTCAATAGTTGGAAACAAAGCACCTTACTCACCTCCCAAGAAACATTGATTGCAGCAGCTGAGCGGCAGACTGTATCAGGCTCTCTTGGTGAATCAGGGGGGCCTGGGGCAGTAGTGATGTGGGACACAACTGATACTTTGCCCACCTGATAACAAGTCCACATAAGAATATCAGTACTAAGCTTTCCCTGCTGTAATGATGTCAAATCACTACAATGTACTCCTTTACAGGGTTCGTACAGATTTTTGGATCCAAATTCAAGACTTTTTCCAGACTTTTCGAAAACAATACTATATGTTTCCGGACTCAAGGTTGACAAATAGCTGATCAATAGACACCTAGCAAAATGCAGAAACCAAGATTTTTTCATGGTGAACTGCAAGCATACGGTAACCACGGTACAATGCAGACGTGAGAGAAACTTCTCATTCTGTGATTAAATGTCTTGGCTACCGGCGAGACTAAATGGGATTTGACCACGGGGAAAAACATATTTTTCACTCATTAATCACGTAACTTGTTGTAGCTTTGAAAAAAAAACTCCACACTTTATCTCTATTTCTTTTTCCAGGTCTGCAAAATTGCTGGGCGAATTTCAAGACTTTTTTTCAAGAATCCAAGACTTTGAATGAACCCTGCTTCTGGACTCAACTTAGGTAAAACTACATTGCACTAACCAGAAAATAGATAGCTGATAGGACTAAATGAATACGTGACCTAAAGGTAAAACTACATCAGAATGATGCATAACGATTCACTAAGTCTTGTATTAACTCTTACCCCAGCGTCATTTAATGCTTTTACTCTAAATGAGTATGTTTTGCCAGGAAGAAGACCACGCACTGTACAAACATTGTCCATAAGATGGTGAATTTCTCTAAACTCTGTATACGCAAAAACAAACAAACAAACAAACAATACATGTAGTTGTTTTAAGTCACTAAAATTTTAACAGAATAACCAGAGATCTTACACTTACACTGTATAAGTCTGGCTTGTAAAGTAAATGCATTGGATTAAATAAAAAAGCTGTTCACTTGGCAGTATAAAAAAGAAAAAGGAACCCTACGTCCCTGTTATACAAAACTTTCCTTATCACTGAATGTAATTTCTTATCTTCATAACAGAGAGAATAAAATTTATCATGATTGAAAATTGTTGGTTGCAGTTACATGTATCTTACAGCTGAGTGTAAATGAAGACATCTGTAAGTTCTTTTACCTTTTGTTCCTGGATTCTCCATTTCAAGGACGTAGCCAGATATTGCAGCACCTCCATCATAGTCAGGTGGATCTGCCACGAGAGATTTTAACACCGTGAATTTTTCGGTAAAAAGAAAAAAAAGGCACTTCATTTAAGTTTCAATGTATTTAGCACGAAGTTGCCAGTCGTAATGGTGTTCCAGGCAGACCTCTTATTAAATTCAAGTGCTAGGGCGGCAGTCAAGTAATGCCTATCAGTTATATATAAGGACGCTGGCTGGGGCCCTGGCATCCCTTTCTGAGAAACTGACTTAACTGGTTCATCGCCCTCTCAGCGTCGAAGAAGTTGATGTTAGTGGATTATTGGTTGCATGCACAGCAGCAAAATTTCCTTCAGTGCTTAGCGGGTGTGATTGTGGCATGGCATAGGGAGGTGCTTGACACCTCCTGGCTATACCTGAGGTGCTCAGGCTCCTGTCTGACCTTTAAGGAACCAGTTCCCAAGTTCATCTATTGGCGATGAGTTTAAATGTGGCTAAATGTAATTTCAGCAAAGTTAAATTGCGGGCTAATGTAGTCTGTGTTCTTCCGCTCAAGCGTATGAGATCCGTGGGGTGAACACAGGGGCCTTTGCTTACTTTGTGACTTGCAATGCATTTCATGCTGGCATTTTGAGCTGATCTTTGTGTATCTGGTGTTAAAGCGAATCTTTGCAGATTCTGGCTCTGAGCCCTTCCCTCCCTTTTTGGGGTTGTGTGATTCCTTCAGTGTGACAATGCCAGTTGGTAGTTGCATGCACGGGTGGTTCCAGCTCGCAGTGTTGCCATGGATACCTCCTTGCTATGCCTGAGAAGGCACCAGTTCCCAAGCTCATCTATTGGCGATGAGTTCAATGTCTCCTACTGACGATGGGACCGCCATTGTACTTGGTCAGATCCGAGCCACATGAAGGTCTAGCCGTTTGCAGGGCAAAGGCAGTACCTTCAATTCTCAGTTATCTTAAGGCCCCCCGCCACCTCCTGCCCTGCAGTCAAGTGCTCTACCGACTGAGGTAACCTTGCCACATACAATGTAGCGTTACCAGTGGCCCATACAATGCGATTCTTTTTCTACCATTATGGATTGAGTTGCAATGTTTTTGTAAATATTAGGTTTTAAGGAGAGGGGAAACCACAGTACCTACAGTAGGAAAAAAACAGTCAGAGTAAAGATGAGAACCAACAACAAACTCAACCCACATAAAGGATCAAGACACCTCTGGGATTCAAATGCTGGCCCCACTGGTTTGGGACAAGTCCTGTCATGACTGCACCAACCTTCCTTCCCTGAATAAAATTAATCACCTCTGGTCCTGCTTGATCAACAGGATAACACAGAACAATAATGCTGCACCATCACTAAGTGATCCAAAGATTTTCTGTAGTCAGGTCTCAATGACAACAACAAAAAAAGAATACAACATACCTGCCTAGAACCACAGCAACTATTTATTTACATTAAGATGCCTTACTCAGCAAACTTACCCCATCGGAGATCCAGAGTGTTAGGTTGAGGCTTGTGAGCTTTGGATAACACTGGTGGGTTTGCTTGTCCAGGAATCACTGGTAACGTTCTCACTTTCATAATCTTACACCACTGAAATTGTATAGAAATGCAACTAATGATCTCCTAGATAATTATGGGAATAAAAGCTTTCTATTCTTATTTCCACTCCACTGCCAATAATATTTCAACAAAAACAGATCAACTGATTACATGTATTCAACTCTTCACACAGATTGTAGCTTTCAATTATGAATTGCTGTGTTTCAAAATATTTATACTTCTTGCATGCCCTAACCTCACTTGTGCCCCCATCACTAACTGCTGCAGCACGAATCCTATATAGGTGTCCAGGGGACAATCCACTAAAGGTATGTTCACATTCTAGCCCTCTGTACACCTCTTTAAACTCTCCTCCTGCAAGTAAAAACAAGACAATTACTGGAGTCCTCATTTTTGGACAAGGTACTGTTCAAGATATTACTGGCATATAGTTCTGCTATAGCTTTTTCACATTAACAAAGTACAAGTAAGAAAATCTAATTATATTGGTGTGATCATTACCAACAACAGCTGCTTTTGTTACTGCACACTTTTAAAAAAGAACATATACTAAGTGTATTACTACCTTTTCCAACATCTGCTTGTAACACATGAGTGGTGATATCAGAACCTCCAGTGTCTGATGGCGGGTCTATGGGATAAGTTAAATTCAATTGTTGTCAGTAGTAATATTGCATGGTTGTTTAGACAAAACGTGTGCATAATAAAGTACTTTCAATGTTGCATTATAAATTGTACATTTAATGATTACTATAACCACATGACACATGACTGCACATGCACTTACCCCATGAGACAGTGAACCCTGACGTCCGGACTTTCCCTACAAGAACAGGATCAGATGGTGGACCTGAAGGGAAGAAATAAAATTAAGCATTAATAAATATATTCACTGAATGGATCTGTTTATTCTGCTTACATTTGTGTCTACATGTATATAGTATAAAAATTACTTCCAATTAGGAATATGGTATCCACATTGCTTGAAATGATAAATTAACATGGCTTTATTTTGTTCTTTTGCCAAACCACAAGGTACAAGGAAGTCAGAGTTAGCATTACCCAAGCAGTACCTGGCTTTTCAGGATGTGTACCAAATATAGCAGTATCACTCCACTTGCTTTTTCCTTGCGAGTTAGAAGCCAGAAGCTGTAGTACAACAAATCAAAAAAGATTAAGTCTGTTAAATTACATTAATGCTAAGCTTAACTTACCCACAAGCCTTTAATACTTACAATATCCCTAGTGTTGAAGTACATTATTACTTTACTGGTATTATAAATAAATCAGAGGAATGGGTTAGCAGTGTCCCAAAGTAACCACAAAGAACTGATGCCTCCTGTTTTCTTTATTCCACTAGGAAAGGACGTTAATCATGCTACAGGGTTGGGTAACAGTAGTATCAATTAATGCCAGCCTGTCCTCCTCAGACAGATAACAAAACAACATAGCTTTCTATTGCGTTAAATACATTATTTAATCACAATTTAAAGCAGGTAATAAAACAGCTACATGTTAATGAGTCAGGCAAATGTTAAGCAACAAAAACGCTGCCAAATTTTAAAGCATGCCAGATTGACTGTTCATTAGCAGGCATAGGCCACTTTGGCTCTTTATATTAATAGGTACATGTAGTGGAACTTTTAACATCGACAGTGATTTATAATTATTTTACTGCACTTACCCTAAATTTGTAAAAAGTGTTTCTCTGAAGCTTTTCTATGACACAGTAGTTTTCTATTCCTCGATATACTACACGGAAACCATAACCCTGGAAAATCAAAAAACAAAAAAAATCATGTACTTTCATGCATGGCCTTTAATAAATTTTTTGCAACATATACACCTAGCAAGTAATGAATATAATACAGTCACCATGGAACCTCTCCAAAACGGTCACCTTGGGGACAGAAGAAAGTGGCCATTGTGGAGAGGTGGCCATTATGAGGAGGTAGGGGGCGTAATACATGAGAATTTTTTCTAGGGAGTACAATATGTTCATTGGTGCTTATTTTGTGTTCACTGTATCTCATAATGGCAATCCAGTCATATAAAATAATTATTTGGGGAGAAAATAAACAAAGAACTTAGCAATGTTTTGAATCATACATATAATATAAACAATGACAAATTACAGCAAGCAAGGTTCGCAGGATTCGTAATAAGTACTGTAGACAATTATTTATGCTTAATGTAGCAGTATAAATGGAGTGATCAATAATGATTGCTGCGATTAATCATCAAGACGCCATACGGATCAAATTTCATTGACATTCTTGACTTTTTCATCAGTTGCTGATAAAACTGTCTGTTCTCGAGAGGTTATTTTGGCAGTTGGGGACACGCTTTGGTGGTCGCTGCCGTTGTAGAGAAGTGGCGGTTATAGAGATTGGTTTAAACAAGAAGCAATTTATGGACTGTCCACAGGGACAAAGATAAGTAGCTGTTGTAGAAAGGTGGCGGTTATGGAGAGTGGGTGGCCATTAGTGAAGGTTTGACTATAACTGCGATCTTACAGTAGTACATTTGTAGACTTCTAAAAAGTAAAGATTTTATTTCAGTTCAAATAAGGTTACAGGTATCAGCATCGTGCACTTACTGTAGAGTCATCTTCCATTTCCACCAAATACTCAGTTATCTCAGCTACATTAAATAAAAATAATTAAAGTTATAAATATCTGTTGAAAATAATAAATTTTATTATAACATTTATTAATTTGAGAACTACAAAGAGAATTTAGAATAAAGAGGAAATTTTACACGCTTGTCACAAATCATACAAAATTTTAATGACATAACTATAATGCATGTAGTTACATGTATAGTGAATCAATTTCAGGATATTGTATAATTCTAACCTCCTTTTGATTCTGGCTTACTCCATGACAAGTGAATGGAGTTAACACCTGCCTTGTCCATCTTAGGAGGCTCAGGTGCTGATGGCACCCCTGCACTGGATACACACTTTAACTCCTTGCTGAACTTACTGAGAAACAAAAATACATCTTTACATATAAAACATTTCACTCCCAAAACATCTAGCAAAGTAATAGTCTTTGAAACAACAAGCAAAAGTTTCAAAACGTTTGGTCTACAGTCTCATCAACAGCCATGAAAACGTGCATAAAAAGAATGATTTGTTTTGAAATCAATATAGCATTATTATTATTCATCATGTGGTTTATTTGTGTATCATAGAATTTGTTTACTGCTTGCAATAATGTCTCATTGAATGCTATGTATGTTCTACAAGACAAGTGTCCGCTATAAAACTTCCTCTCCTTAGAATAGTTTTATTTTTTCCAGTTGCTCTGCATTTTTGTAATTAGTTGCTTGAAAGGGTCTGAGACGGAATAACGTTAACCTGACCTGATTGTTTTTTTTTTAAGGAAGTTATTGAAACTTACATCTTGAGTTGCTGCTGTGTTGTGAAGCATTGAAAGAAGCCACCATGATAGTTGTGACATCCTTGCCAGATCAATAACATTTTTACTGTATTTACTTGTTTAAGGCAGGAATTACAACAAAAGAGGAGTGAAAAAGCTATAATAGCAAACACTGTTAAAAGTTATTGTTGTAAGTACAAACCTTGCTCCAATGCCATTCACAGCTTGTAATCTGAATGAGCATGGAGTTGCTGGGGGAAGCTTGTGAGAAAGTTTAAACTGTCGCTGGGGTCCACAATACACTTCTGTGTAAGCACCTCCCTTTTCACCTTTGTTCCACTCCAGCCTGTAGAGTGTGATTTGTGATCCATTATCTGATGGGGTCTGATGAAAAACAATCAGCCACTGTTAGAAACCATTAAAATTTTTGTAATAAAGTCCTTGTGGATTTTAAACAATCCATATATTGGAACCTTTTATGCTATAATATTAATAGTGGTAATTGAACTGAGAGGAGGAGTGCAATTTGGTCTGAAATCATACGCATGATTTCAAAATCACAAGTATGATTTCAGACCAAAATTGCACTACACGAAGTTCAATTACCACTTTATTACATCCATTTTGAAATCACTCATTTTTTTGAATCTGTATTGGTCCACACGGCTGGTTTGTAAAAAGCTGAACTGGAAACGCATTTACACTGTACATGTCAACAAAACAGAATGACAGATGTCACTTTACAAAAACTCATTGGAGTGCAAAAGAAACAAGAGTAAACTTCATTCATGCAAATGCTCAAGCATGAGTTCTAAAATCTTGTTACTGCAAAAAATTAATAGCCTTCTTCAAAGTTTAATCCTCGTCGTAGGACTCAATAATATAAGCCCTTCGCTTCTTCAGCCGTTGTGGCTGAGGCATCGTGTTTTCTTGGGTGAAAAAATTGAAAGTACAGCCAGTGTAATTCTAACAAAAAAAAATGATAACTTACTGTCCACTTAATAGTGAAACTGGTTTTTGTTTTATTCCCAAGGTAAGGCTGTGCAGGTGTCGATGGCACAGAGCAGGGCATATCACAAGTCACCTCCGGTGAAAACTCCCCTTTTTCATCATCTTTCTCAGCTTGGACCCTTTAAAAAATAATGTAAACTTACATAATGCTTGGAAATCATTCATAAAAGAGTCATTATTCAGATGTTGTCTTGTGGTCACAGGACTGGCATTTTCCTGCTATCTCGACTGCTGCTGTACATGTACTGTGGTCATAAGTTCATTAAATACTAGATTTAAGCTGAAATACAGTGAATGTTAATTATAGTGGTTCTGAAGCATGAGTCTGCAAATGAAGTTCAGAGGTGCGAACAACCAATTATTAAAAAGCTTTTCTGTGGAATCTTTGGTTTTATACAAAACTGCTCAAAAGAAAGTTACATGTACCAGTCGCATCTCGTTTCCTGCGTGACGAGAATCTCATTACGTGCTACATGATTCTCATCGCTTTTAAATGATCAGAACGTGCATTTTTTTACTACCTTAAAATTCTGAAAATAAGCCCGTGGGCTTATATTTTTCAAAGGCCCTTTTTGAGGGGCTTATTTTTGGAGGGAAATTTGCATTTCAAAACTGATTCGGCTGGCCCTATGGTTGGAAGGAAATTTACCATTTTTGCTTTGTTTTACATTGTATTTGAGGGCAATTTCTAAGTACAAGCCCTCTGGAGGGGCCTTATATTTGGAGGGGGGACTTAAAGGAGGGTTTTTTGCGTTACAAGTTTGGGGGGCTTATAATATTATTTGGAGTGGCTTATACGTGGAGGGGCTTATTTTCAGAATTTTAAGGTATATTTATAGTTATTTCATAAAACATATATAGAACTACCTTACCTAAACTTATACTGTGTCCCTGGTTTGAGGTCTTTAATGGTAAACTCTTTATCTGTGCCACTAAAACAGACAAAACAAAATTAATGAAAATGTTATGGTTATTGAAAATTGCAAAACAGCTGAGTGAGTGCTGTAACTTAATTGACACCTTCTGTAGAGAACATAATCACCAAATAGGACATTTCCGCATTGCCTCAAGCCTCTGTTTCAAAGCGAGGCTAAGTGCAAAGCCATTGGCATGAAAATGATTTTTTATTTTCATGCAAATAAAACTCATTTTCACCTTTTGGTACTTAGCCTCATTTTGAAAGTGAGGGTTTTACGAACTCGACAATTGGCCTATTCAGTCCAATGAATCAATCATCACATTTCAAAAAGTTGATATGAAACATAGATGCAATGGATTGAGTATGAAACTGAATTGAAGGATTTAAAATCACGCTCTTTCATTAGCAAGAGATTTTGACAGAATGCTTGAAGTTAGCACAAGCACATATGCACATAGATACATACATTAACTTTAAATATTTAAACACAAATTTCAGAGTAGCCTGAAAGGCTAATATCTTCGAGAACATAAATGGCACAAAAAAGAAAAAAAAAACTTAAATAATTAAAAAGGAAAATCTCATTACATTTGATTACGTTACGTACATGAAAAATGTCAAAAATACCATTATGTGTGAAAGGAGATTAATTTTAGGAGTCTTCTAAAACGAGTTCAAGAAGGCTCAGATCTTACATTATTAGGTAGGGAGTTCCAGGACTTAGATCCAAAGTAAAGAAAAGAGTTGAGGCCATAAGTAGTCCTTAACAGGTTTTACAAAGTGCTAAAGTATTAGTACTTCTAAAAGAGTATTCACACTGATGCAAAGTGAGCATGTCTTTAAGATATTTTGGAAAACTGTCATAGCTCAAACATTTGTAGATAGTGATTAATATATTTTGTATCCTTTGGTTGCATGGAGTAGTTCCTAATGATTTATGTAGTAGCATAAGTAATTCGTACGGTGCGCTTAGTAAGAGATTCTAATTTATCACAGTTTCTAATACTAAAAAAATGCCAGACCGTAGAACAGTATTGAAATTGGGGCAAAATGAAAGCATTATACAACTTTACCTTGGTGGCAGTACAAATTATTAAGGTTACAAAATCATGACATTACAGTGTAAGTTGATTGTTGACTTTTTTGCATACTAAAGATATATGTTCATTGAAGTTTATGTATGTTGAACTGCCAATGCATTGAGAAAAATTAAGTCTGTGCTTTGGATTAAACTTCTTCTTTTAAGGGTCATTAAGGAAAAAAGCCTTAAGAGATCTCTGATCAATGGCAGCCATAATTCTCCATAAAACAGTGTTCCAGCCAGAAAATTCTGCTTGAGGGCCAAAGTGGCCCCTACAACCCATTTTTGGGGGCCAGATTTTTCAAGAAAGGGCTAATATACCAGTATCTTTCTAATATGCAAAAGAGAAGAAACAGTTGGAAAGTTAAGGAAATGAAAATGGCAGTTTACTTGAAGCTGAGATGGAGCATCCCTTTTTATACACAATAGAGGAGATCTTTGGTAATAAAGTAAACAGTACAATCAGAATGTATGCAATAAAAATAGTAAGTTTTTTTTTTCATTTTATTTTCCACTTTACCGTCAAGATCTGCTTCCTTTCGCTTCTTCTGAACTGCTTCGCCTCCATCCACTTTTTCGTTACTTACTGAGGAAAAACTTTTGATAGACCTCGAAGATGCGTTTGTCAGGTTTATCCTTTTTCGGGTAAGAACGTCATGCTAAAAAAGCCCACGGAATTAACGAAGGAAAGGGCCATAATGGCCCTTGAACGCTTTTAGTGGGGGCCTTCTCTAGATCTTTTGCGGGATTCACGCAATGGCACACTCTGGCTGGAACACTGATAAAACACTATTGTTTTGTTCATGGAACAAGAACAGAATTTGGCACGAGACTGAGAGTCACTTTGCTTCTGGGGTATGCACCCCTCCGTTAAGCAGTTGAGAGGAGTGGCTAGAGACAGAGACAGAGAGAGAGAGGGAGAGTTTTAAGAAAACCCTCAGTCAACAAAGATACATACACCGGCATACACCAACCTATAAATTGAATGATAAGGTGATGTTTTGGAGAACATTTGCAGATCAAAGTTGCATCCTGTGAGATGACTGTTGTTATTAACTTGTCCACTCCATGACACTTTCACTGTGGTACAGTTTAACACATCAATCTGTAAAAGATCAAAGAGGCCACTTCATTTATTTACATAACAAGAGCAATTAATTCAGCTAACAGAGAAAGGACTGTTGTGACTTTCAGTTTACTTTTTTTAATATTACAGGTGTATATGTCACAAGTCAAGATTATATTCAGGTTAAAATTTTTTCACCTACAGTAGGTTGATTCTTAGTTTCATTTGTCTCCTTGCCCTAATAATTCACAAATTAGGGCTAGGATAGAGGTAAACGCTAGTTTCCATATCTCAAACCGCCCTTGGATACCTTGTGATGCCTACACAAAGTAATTGCATATATGTTTATATATATGAGTGAGCCTATAGAACTAACAATACTGACTTGGGTTAAGCACTGAAAATACTGATTAGGGTTAAGCACTGACCATACTGGTTAGGGTTTAAAAGCACTTAGAATAGTGATTAGGGTTAACAGTTAGCTTTTATTTAGGGTTAGGGTTTTCGCTACAGTAGTTAAATTACTCTGAAGTCCTGCAGTGAATCCTCCTTGGTCTAGTGGTTAGGGCAGGAGACTGCAGATTTAGCACTCTAGGATCGATTCCTGCTTGTAACTGGCAAATTTTTTTCCTTTAAAGTTGAAGAGACTTGCACTTTGACGACATTTGTTGAGCAGAAAATAAGTCTCTGAGTCAAGAAACTTAGAAATTTCATGTAAGTGTAAGTGAAAAGGGGGAGGGCGGTTTGAGATATGGACTGTCTCGTAAATCGCAGCATGCAACGATATTTAAACTAGGTTCTGTCATCTAAGTACTTATTTCACATAGCGTTTTTACAGCGAGCAGTACACATTGTTAGTTTAACATAAGTTTTTCTTTGGCATCAACAGGTCTAAAGGTTTAGTTGTTAATCAGAAGTTTAATACTGATTACATAACCCTAAGATATTGAAGTTAATAAACGATCGCCTTGACCTCAAATCTAGCCCGACTCCTCCTTCTGGGCTGTCTGCCTCATTGCATTTTATAGCTTTTTCTGGAAATTGCACTTACTCCCAACAACAGCGACACTTTTTAACCCTTCTAGGCAGCTTAAGACTGATTTTAAGTTGTTTCATTGGGGCAAACTTGTTACTATCCGTTGGAGCAAAACTATTCAGTTTCGTGAGCGGGTAGTGGAAATTTCCATAGCTGTCTTAATTCGGGACTCAGTATGAGTCAATATCAATGCCTCCTGGTTTACTGCCCCATTTTCCACACAGGGGTCCCCATCCTTTAAAGGAACAGTATCCTGTTACTGCACATGTACAAAACTTTGATTTTCTGACAGGATGTTGCGAATTCAAAAGATGTAAAGAGAGTTAGAGAACCTTGAAAAATCCGTTTCATTGTGCTTGGTCGAGTTTGATTGATATTGTTTGTATTACTAGTACAAAGAACTGTAATAAACTGCCTGACCCCAAATATTGTGGCTTTACATGAATCTTGGTGCTTAGCTAGTTTAAAATTTTAAACTAAATATAATTTTGACCTGTAACATACAAAAGAGAAGCATAATGGACCAATTCACAGCTGAGGTCTCACATCACTGGGTCTAACCAGTATTGTAAACTACAAGATACAGCTGTAACTGAGGAAATAAAAGGCCACTGATGTTCATATGTTACCTCGGGAGCCTTGTGTATTTTTAACTCTTCAGATATATCTTTACCTATAATAAAGCCAAAGAAACAAAAGTAATTATAATTACATGGGAATCAGGTAACCTTGCATGATTTTACTGTTGTATGACTGTTAATACAAAACAAACATCTGCATAATTAACCAGTATGCAGAGCTGTCATTAAGGGCTGTAACCTGTAAAACCTGTTATGGCTGAGCACACTTGATGTTACAGGTGATCTGAGTAGAAAACTCTAAAGGTGGCACTATAAATGTTTGTGAGATGTTACATGTGAATTTTCTTTTGCTACGGCTGCTTCAAGACTTCATTTTAGCCCTGGTATGTATATCGGCCTCTGAACTGAGATTCCAATATCATTATTATTATTATTATTATTATTATTATTGATACCCAGAGTGTTCAGGCTTGTAAGGCTTAAGAGTTATACCAGTATCATTTTCAAAAATGATACCATTCTATACAAGTTACGATAAAATTACACACCAAGTTCAAAGTTTCTTTGGATGTTTGTTTTACTCACTGTAACTAGAATGAGAAATATTTCAATTGAAAATGCACAAAAATCCATCTATGCATGCAGATCAATGATGCTTGTATTTTGTTTGTGAAGTTTATATGGTATAACATGCACAAGGTCGATAGTCATCATCCTGTGGTTGTTGTTATTATTTTTCTAAATGATGTGAATTTTGAAGGCTAGTATAACCTTTCAAATTTCCTTTTCAACATTTTTTCCGTTTTCAATGCAAATAAAAGTTTCATTGTTAATGATATGATATCCTTATGAGAGCAATTGGTGCACCGTGGCCAGGGCCCGGTTGCTTGAAAGGAGGATAATGCTATCCATCAGATAAATCTCTATCCATGCATAATTCATCATAACCAGCTACTGTCGACCAAATTTGGAAGAATCCGTCATTTGAACAACCAGGACCTGGCCATTATTACATTTGCGCGTGATACAGGTTGTAATACGAGGGCTAAGATATGGTACCCAACATGACACATCACTGTGCAGAGTTTCCGTTGCTTATGGGTCAACAAAAATGCACTGGTTAATAAGTGACTGCAGATAAATACTAGTAAGCATGTGTTTTTCACCATCTTGTCTGTCATCAAGCATACAAAACAGGGATGCACAATTTCCATTTGTTTCCATCATGTTTGCAAAAAGTCATACCATGGCTAAAAAGCAGAGGCTGGGTAACCTCATTATTTTAGTAAAATCCAACTAGTGGTCTATTATCAATGCTGTGTTCTGATTGGTTGAGCTACTACTAGGCTATATGTTATAGCCTGCTAGTAGCGAAAGGCGCCAGCTTTGAAAACCAAAACAATGGTGGCTGAATCATGCTTTGCTAGCTAAAGTTGTTTTGTCTGAACATTTTTGACCAACTAGTTGGATTTACTATTATTCCTCTCACCCTCATGGCCTCTGAGTCAATAGCCCATAAGGCCGGGCTATCGACTCATAGCTCATTCGGGCTTGATGAATAATAATTTGTTGAATAACCTAGTTTGATTCAGAATTTCCTTTTTTAATAGCCCTAATATTATAGCCTGCATTGCAGACATAATTCAACCTTGGCTGGTAAACGTCTTCCAAGCAGTGCTGATAACCTTGTTGTGGGCCCTCAACAGACTCAATAAATTGCCACAAGAGTGTTTTGAATTTCCTTTCATCTGGATTGGCAAATACACAATGGCTTTTTTAACAGGCTATCATAGTGCATACTCAAATCCTGTTACACAGCTGAGGGACCAGAACAAGGATTTTGGCACTGTCTGGCAAACGGACTTAACAAGAGTTTAGTTTCATCTACGGTGCAGGCTATAATTATTACATGTATTGTTGATATGAGACATGAAAGAAAATTCAAGTTTAACAGGAGGGTGGTTTATACACCTATACTTCTCATGGTTGAAATCTTTTTCGTTTTGTTCCATCCTAATATTATCATAGAAAAGCATCCCCAAAACAAAAGGAAAATAAAAATTTCACTGCAACAGTAATATTTATAATGATACAATATCATGTCCGAGACTAATAAATTACATATTGCTACTGTATGTAAAAGTAATAAATTATGCACAATTTCTTGCTGTTCTAATGGCTGGAGTAGTTTTACTCAGAACACCTGTGTAATGAAACAGTGTCACATTACCAAGTACACTTTATATTGCATTTTTGCTAGATGTAAAAACACAAAAAAAGAAGGTCTGACACAGGGACCAATGGAATTTTGTCTTATAAAATTCACTTTGATGTATGAGCAAATGTTTAGTAGTCTCAAATGTATGAGAAATTTAGGAAAATGTCCATAACAAATTCCCTTTCTTTCACAAAGTGACCTAGCTTGAAACAAACTGACCTAGGTTAAAAACAGATTGACCTAAAAAACAAATTAACCTACAACACATATACATGCATAAAAGGCCCGTAGGATAACTTTAACCCCTTTCCAGAAGATAACAGATCTTATGAGTTCCTTCCAGATGTTGTATAAATAAAGGAAACATAACTTAACATTTTTTAAAATTTTTGTTTCCTGTGAGACAAAAAAGAGTATAATAAAATATGAACATCATACTATTAATGAAATAATATACTATTTTTATAAAGGGATAATTTCCTTTTGAGAAAATATAATATTTTCTCAAAAGGAAATTATTCATTTACTAACTTAATTGTTTCGAAAGAATCTTTGTCTATTTTCTTGCACAGAAAGGACAGGTACTAATGTAGACTGGCTAGTACAAGTAACACCATGTTCATCTATAACTTATGATCGTGTTTGTTTTTAACAAAAATTTAACAACAAAAACTGCTTGTTAAAACTTGAAACTAAAAACAGACTCTACTGGAGTAAATTATACGTACCATTTGTTGTAGGCTTCGTCTCCAACGTCATGTCTGTGGAGAAATAAAGAATTTATTTTTGGTTTATCAAGCACTTTTTATTTCTCCTAGTTTTGGGGGTTTCACTATTAATATTAAAGTGTGACCAAACCATAAAAAGGTGACAATCGGAAGCAGACAAAGCAAGGACTATAAAAAGAAGAGAAATTTCCCGTACTGAACAATGAATAATATTAAACTTGAAATGACAGGAATTTTTGTTTTAGATTTTCAAGACATCAAGTAAAGCTTACTTTTTTCCCACAGTATCACTACACGACTAAAACAGAAATAAAATAAAAAATGAGACTTGGTTTACTTCTTTCAATTAGCGGTTCCAAAAGAATGTTCCTGTACACTTAATCCAACAATTATTAAAGAAACAACATTCAAACGTCGTATTAAAATAAATTACCGCTTTTAGAAGAGTCAGTCTTGTTTTCTCCATTCATACCGGCTGAATTAACCCGCACATACTGTTTAAGCCCGTGAATTGGTAATTGGATGATTTGATGGCAATGGCCACTACAGTTTTCGTCGTCTTTACTACTTGCTTTTCTCTCCCTTAATTTCTTCTGAAGTTTTTCGCGCTGTTTTTCAAGTCGTTCATCTCCTTTGCGAACGTCGGAACCGTTGAGTTGAGGATGTTCATTCGCTGAATCACCACAGTTACAATGGTGGCAATCGTTCAATTGTTGAAGTTCTTGTAAATTTGAAGCACAGTCTGAATCCAGCTCCTGGTAGACCCCGTCTTCCGAGCGAAAAACTACAGAGTGATCGGTATCTGGGTCGACAAGGCGAACAATTTTCGGTAAGACTTGGTCCTTCTCTGAAAAGTTTAGGCAGATGACCGTCCCAGAAGACGTTCTGAGTTCGATTTTGCTTCCCTCTGTTACTTCTTGCGAGGGCATTTTCTTCAGCTCTGCCGACATTACAACATAGAAAACACTGTTCTGTATACAGTCGATTCGAAGCCAATCGTTAAATCAATCTATTTTCCCTTCTTACAGTCGCCAAGATGACCCCGTAGACCTTGGTACAAGCAGCTTTCAAACGGATGAGGTTTCGGCGCGTCTGGGGCGATGAAAATGCCTCATAACAACAACACGCCAGCCTTGAATGATAACTTAGTTTTTTTTACAAGCTGTGAGACCCAAAGGTAAAGAAGAAGCGGTATTTTTGCGTAAATTTCTCTCTCGACAGCTGCTTACCAGCGTCTTGTTCCACGTAATCTTTTTGTTTTTGCTCATGACATCCGCTGACCGCAGGAACTTTGCAAGAACAAAAGATTTAGCGGGGGAGGCGGGGGTGACACCGGAAACCAACATGTTTACTGTCATATTTTATCACTTTCTTGAAAATCTACGAAAATATTTTTTCCTCCTGAAAACTGTAGAACATGCGTTTCGTTTTCGATGCTTCTACAAGCTATGTTGTTAAAAATAAACTTTCAGTAAGCTTATAGCAGTTGAAAATTTGTATCAGTTTTCATGATTTCGGTATCAAACCTTCCGACTCATATAAATCAAAAGAGAATATGAATTACAAAAGGGTTTTGAGCTATTTTGAATGCAGTTATTATTAACAAGAGAAATGTCTATCCTGTGTGGCAGATTTCCACTTAAACAAGAGAACCACTGACACTACTGTGTTCATTTTTTTGTCGATTTTAAAACATTCAAATATTGTTTCTTGCTCAGTAAAATGCTGTTTTAAGCTCGGAATTTAAATGTTATTGATACGAAAATAATATAAGCCTCACCCTCTGTGTGGGTGGTTCCTATTAGAAGGATTGTTATTTCTTTCTCTTCACAGTATTTACCTTTTTAGACCTAAAACCCTTAAAATATGCCCATAGAGGACTAGTGAGTTTAATCCCGCCCCCTAGCTATTTATTATAATTGAATTCTTTTGTTTTGAACTTGTGTGTAGTACTGTTTAAGGTCTAAGAATGCCATGGGATGAAAGAGATCTATTTCTTTCACGTTGACAAATCTTTGGTCAAGGATATGCGCTCATAGCATTTTCAGTTGGCCCCTTAATTAGGCAAGCATTAAAATTCCTGTTTGGGGATCATTTAACTTCCTTGTTTTATTGAATTTTCAAAAAAAGTCTGATAAGCACTCCCAAAATAAAACGAGGCTTAAATCAAGTTACAATCCAAAATAACCCTCTCAGAAATAGATAAGCATGTCATTTAACCTCCAGCTGCTCAACTATAAATGGCCTTGGATGAACAGAGACAGTAAACAAATAATTACACGTTAATCTGGAAGAATGAAGATTCTTTAATTTTCCATTAAAGCAAATATAGTTACTGTATTGCCAGACGTGCACCAGGTAATGCCGATATCACGTGGTGATCATTTTATTTGAACTAGTGACCTTCCACACAATAGTTCAACAACTTCAGCAGGTCAATTATTATTTAAGGCTCACTTCTTTCAAAATTGACGAGATGGTGCATTTGCTACCAACTGTTTACGAAACTGTTTAACAATTATTCCTTGAGCCCAATTGGGCTCTGAGTCAATAGCCCATGATTGCCATGGCTGAATGGGCTATTGACTGAGAGGCCATGTTTTAGTAAAATCCAACTAGTTGGTCAAAAATATCAAGACAAAACAAATTTAACTAGCAAAACGTGATTCAGCCGCCAATGTTTTGGTTTTCAAAGCCGGTGCTTTTCACTACTAGTGGGCTATATAACATATAACCTAGTAGTAGCACAACCAATCAGAATGCAGCATTTATAATAGACCACTAGTTGGATTTTACTAATTAAATATATATTTGCACATGGTTGAGAAGGTCACTACCCATTGAGGGCATTGGAACAAAAGTGCAAAAATATGCTGTCATGAGTGATGCACCAGGTATCAATCTTTAACCAGATAGGGCAGGAAGTGGGGTACCAGCATAGGTGTTGCATTTGAACACTTCCTTTGTCCCTCTCTGGGGATTCTGACCACAAATTTTGCCCCAAACTGCAGTTCTGTTACCCCAGAGGGATATTTTATCAAATTTAAACTATTATTTTCCAGACCCAGGGATCCAGAATTTGACCAGAAAAATGCAAAAACATTCAAATGCCACACCTATGCCCATACCTCCCTGCCCCTCCTTCCAAACATAGTTACTTGCATAAGACCTGCTAGTATTAAAGACAGCCAATAAAGATACACATACTTAACACAGAGGTGTTTGCAATCTGCCAATAATAAGAGTTACCGCTACATAGCAGGCACTTGGAAGACAGAATGGGGTGTAGGAGGGAGGCAAGCGCCTTCCTGAGAGGCCCATGAAAATTATTTCCCACCCTCCATCCTGGTGGCCGAGGACTGATCTGTCAAAACTTTTGACAGAAACAATTGACCTCGCACAAACAAAGCATGCCAGAGTGTTGTACATTTAAATCCTCGGTCTAAATATATCTGTTAAAAAGACCAGCTAGTCTTGGTTATCTGATTATAGAATGATGGAGCAAAACACCGACAATAAACACACAGGATTAAATCGTTTTTAACCAAAGGCATGATAAATACGAAAAACAGTCAAAAATGGACGTTTTTAAAGAATGCATGCTGTGTAGTATAAAAAGCTAAATATTGTTCTCTGAGATTACAAAATCACAACTGTACAGACTAGGGCTAGCATGATAAATATGAAAAAACTGTCAAAAATGGGCATTTTAAAAGAATGCATGCTGTGTTGTATAAAAGCTAAATATTGTTCTCCGAGATTACAAAATCACAACTGTACAGACAGCAAAGATTAAGGCGTACATGGAAAATGATCATTGCTTTTACTAACTTTCAGAACACAAACCGTACTGAGACATTTTTATAGGCTGTATAAGTAATGAGACATTAACATCAGGAGTCATGCGCCTTCAAGAAAATAACAACAACAGCGAAAGGTTTTTCAAATTCATGCCCCTGGTAAGTGTTTCATTTCATCAATCCTGTCCAGGTTTTGATGGCATGCATCCAAACGACAATGCCAGCACATGCATATCATATGCAACTTGATGACATACCAGTGGCCTGCAAGACAACTGGGAAGAGCTCCAAGTCTTCAGAAAAAATAATTGATGTTTCATTTTTTACTATAAGTGTCTTAAATGTCAGTTGATTGCTCAAAAATAAGTTCATGTAAACAAAGATGTTATCATGCAACAAAGTGCAGTTTAATACAGTGCTGTAGCATCGGAAGGGGCCGGGGGGGCCTGGCCCTCCCCTGCCAATAATTTTGACAGGCACTTTTAATTGGGTCAGAGGTCACGCTCTTCACACTGCTCTTTCGTTCAATGTGTTCATTTCTAATCAGTTCGACAAAGCCTGAAAATTATTTATTTATGGCTTCAGCAAAGAAAAATTAAGCAGGTATTAAACAAAGTACAGTTCTTAAATGGGAAATTAACGCTCTTGGAAGGCTGAAAATGCTATTTCAGAGACCGACTGGACCCCCCTAGCAGCTTGTGCCTTCCGCGCTCGTGATTGGCTCCCCTCCAATAAATCTAACCTTGCGACGGCACTGTAAAATGCATTAACAAATAATTTCTATCGTGACAGGATGCCAAAAGAAATCCAGTGAATACTAATTAAACTTCCAAATAATTAACCCACAGTTCTAGTGAAAACAGTTGATAAATTAGTAAAAATAGTTTGGTTTAATCTTCTTCTTTAATAAAGAGTTCAGGAGCATTGAAATTGTGCCTTCTGTACTTCAAACCCACCACAACATGTGGCAAGAGTTTCTGAGCAGACGGATTCAGCTCAAACATGGTGAATACACCTGTTCCCATTTCAGAAATATTAGAACTTCTCAGCTGTTTAAAATGATCACTGTTGTCAGCAAAATTACTTGTATGTGAATGCACATTAATCACATTGCCTCCAACAGAATTTCTGTCATTGTTCAAGGTATCTTGTTGGTCCAAGTTTGTACGCATGTGTTTCCAACTGAATACTCTTTTACTACACCCAGAAAGTGAGCTATCTACACTCAACAGCACTTCTTTATCATGCTTTCCCACAAAGAAAATTTTAAGATCATCAGTACATTCAGATTCTCCTGGCAAATGAATGTCAGCTTTTTTATATTGTACTTGTTGGAAGGATTCTCCCCTTGTCGAAATTTGAGTTTTATCCCCAATGAATGTTTCATCACTCTGTTCATCAGAATACCATCGTAGCAGGTCATCACTGAAGCCTTTTAAAATGCTAAAGGCAATTGGGTACAGAGAGCCCTTGAAAACACCATAAGCATCCTTGCTGAACCTGTAATTATTAACAAAATATCAATTTTGGCAATACACTTAAACTCTGATAACAAAAGAATGTTTGAAATCCTATTTACTTTTACCATCAACTAATTCAAAGTACTTTTAGCAATTAATGAATGAGGCTGAGTAGGATATGAAGAATTATGCAGATCGAGGAGGGTGTTCATCCTCGGTGGATAATACCCTCTGAGATATGTGTAATTCTTTATAGCCTGCGAAAGCCAAATTCATTATATTATTGCTTTATTATTCATTCAAAACTGATGTTGCCTGTCGAGTTGTCTTCTTGCTATGTTTTTAGACATACGAACTATTAAGAAATAGATAGTTCGTCGTGAAACAAGTAAAATGTTCCGCCGACTATTTGGCCATTTTTCTTTTCACAACCACAACAGCTCAACCTCGTCCCCAGGTGTTTTCAGTTAACAGTGCATTAACCTGTAACTGTGCTGCACTTTTGACGTTATCGGTTGATTAATCACAAAATTCTTCCAAATTTGGTCAACAGTAGCTGGTTTTGGTGAATTACGTGTGTGCTTTTTAGCCACTCAGAAACAGAGAAATACTTTGAATGAATAATAAATCACATTTAATGCTGAGTTTAATATCACTATTATGTTGATGATTCACCAGGGTCCACCAGGGTTTTATTTTACACTAGTTTTAGTATAATTTTTGGTATATTGGAAGTCTTAATTCAGGTATTTTGGTATTCCACTACCCCCCCTGGCCGACCCTGATTCACAAATTTTAAAGTAATACTGTAAGAAAGGCCACAACTCCACAGCGTAGCATATCTGTCCCTCTCTACCATGGGCCTCCTGAAGGACAGAGACAGAAATGAGTGGACGCTGCAAGAATTTGATATAGCACCAACTTTAGGTGGAGAGAGGAAAATATTTTAGTCTTTGAGATGTTTAATATGTAGCACAACAAAAATTGTCAACAAAATACAAATTAAATGCTCAAAACAAAAAAGGTCAGTAAAAACAATGGAGGTGTAACAAGATACTATGAGAACATATCACATATAAAATAAGTTAAACTGCCAAGAAAGAATTTACCCCTGAAATTGCTTCAGCAGCTACAGTAACATTAATTCATCCCAATACAAAATCTTGTAATGGTTAACAGTATCATGTAAAGGAAGAAACACTTATTTTGGTATGAAATCTCTCTTTTGGTGGATTAGATCAGGTGGCCAATGCATGCTAATTTCCATAATTTAAATCTACAATGATGTTATCATGTTGGACATGGGATAAGGAGAAACATGTAAAAATCATCGAAAATATGATTATAAATCAAGCAGTGTTCCCAATACAGTGGTTATCTGTGACAAAGGTTTTCTCATTTTAACACTCCCTTACCCCAAACGTTGGATTTCAATTGAAAGCAGTAACTCCCCAATCAAATCTATTAAGGCCTGGCCTTGTCTACCATGTCAGTTTCTTGAGTCATATACAGTATAAGAGAAACAAAATTATTTGTAGATGACTACTACTTTATTTAAGCTCAGGGTTGGTTAGATAATTATCAACTTATAGGGCTTTTTGTACCCATCCTCGGAGACCCAGGAGCAGATAGTGGGGGCAAGGGAAAGTCTAAATGGGCGGAAAAATATGGCACGAAGAAAAGTAAAGAACGGTAACAAGAGCCCCTGGGGACAATGTCTTACCAGACCAGTTCCAAACAGTCACAGCCGTTCTGGCTGCTGATTGATGCCAGAAAACGTTTGTGTTTTTCTGGCCAATCAGAAGCCAGAATGGCGGCGACCGTTTGGAACTGGTCTGGTAAGACATTGTCTCCAGGGGCTCTTCTCGCCGTTCTTTACTTTTCTTCGTGCCATATTTTTCCGCCTGTTTAGACTTTCCCTCGCCCCCACTATCTGCCCCTGGGTCTCCGAGGATGGTACCCTGTGAGCAGAGGTTTCTTTTCTTGCATGGCTTTAGTGTATATTCAAAGTCATTTGAGTAGGTTGTCAGTTATGCAGTTGGTTTGTTTTATATGCCCCCGTGGTATATAAAAAAAAAAAAACTAGACAGTGACAGACAAGCAACGTAAATGACTTCATAAAATGCTAAAGGCCATTCAAGAGAGAAACGTCATCTGTTAGCAGGGTAGGCTTTTAGCAGATTATGACAGGCAAAAACAAATTGTTAAAAATCATATGTAGATTATAGACTACTGTGGGACTGCCGTGGCAGCTTTCTGAGGTTAAATGTAAGTGAACAGGTATTCTATAATCTTCTATAATAGCCACACTCCCCCGCCCCCTCCTGCCCTTCTGCGGATGAGGTAAATTAACAGTTGACATGGCCTCTAAAGGAATAAAGGATAAAATATATCGACCCAGTACCCCCCTTAGAAATAGCCCAGTTTTGCTCATAGCCCTCATGATCAGCGAATCTCCAAAGATCAAAGTCCACACGCTGGCCACCACCCTCAGAACTCACTTTTGAATCTGCTCCCAGAGAATCTCATTTATAAAAGGAAATGGATGTTAAATAGAATAGCCTCAATCATTCAGTTACTCACCCAGACTCTGAAACAATGATACCCAAAGTTCCATTCACTTCATGGGTCAAGGTACCTTCCAATTCACGAACATGTTTAGGACCTAGACGCCTTTTGTACCTTCTACACTGGCCTATTATAGGAACAGACGTGGATTTCAAATGCCAAAAACCTTTAAAATCAATGCCTCTGTCCTTTGGCCCACCACAAACAGCGACATCAAACGAAAATTTCCGCAAACTTTCAGCTGCGATCTCTTCGAATTGTCGACCAAATTCCTGCCTAGTCGTAGAGGAGTAAAAGAGAATTTGTGGAAAGGTACAGATCATGTATGTAAATTTAGATTTCCATAAACTTCGTCTCCAGATTACCACATTGCAAATCATTTCAAAACTGAGATTTTTAGCACAGGAAAACCACCGTCTGTTGGTGTAGCAGCCCGTAAGGACGGCATAATTTGCAGTGGAAACGATAAAGTTCTCCCGCCATCTTGGAAGTTGAAACTCACAGAGAGGGTTGGGGCGAGGAGGGTGACAGGTCTTACTGAACCTACTGAACCCTCCCTAGGTGTTTCAATTCAATCGTGGAAGAGAATTGAATAATGTACCACTGAACTTATATTTTTCCTCCGTTATCCAGAGATTTTTAAATCAAAAAATCCCTATCATCAACGGTTACTAAATAAATGTAATCTGTTCCTAAGAAAAAGAGAAAAAGTCAATAGACCAGCACTTTCTTATCGGGGTGCAATGGCTTGGAACCAACTGTCAAATGAAACACGTGAGATGGGGGATCTTACTAGCTTTAAACTCGCCATATCTTAGGATATAACTTTTATCATGTTTTTATCTTATTTCTAATACTTATTTCTTGCTGTTATATTGTATTGTTAGTTAATCACTAGTCTTAATTTTTATAAATTGTAATTATCACACGGCATGTCTGAAAACCAGCTTGCTGAGCCATTTACCGTGTTTAAATAAAGTTGATTGATTGATTGATTGATTGATTGACTTGGCCCCCCGAGCTCTCCCCCGCTTGGGCGGAGCACTTGGTCCCCAGGGCTCTTCCCCCCCCTTGGGCGGAGCACTTGGTCCCCAGGGCTCCCCCCGCTTGGGCGGAGCACTTGGTCCCCAGGGCTCCCCTCCCCCCGCTTGGGCGGAGCACTTGGTCCCCAGGGTAATAGCTTGTGGTTTTACTCAGGTACCAATAATAATTACCTTTTGGTAGAAACACAATGGAGCCGTACATCTCTTATGTGTACGCTTGCCAGTATCGTTCGTAATGTCAGCAGAAATCGTTTTATTAAATATACCAAACCTGTGATGTCTTAAAGAAAGAAATTTAAGATATCAAATTGGATAAAGCTGATTAAGTTCTGCAAATGATCGACAGATATTCAGCTTATCAGATTGCGTTCATGCAAAGAAAGAACACTTACCACAGGTTTGGCATGTGAAAATAATCAATAACACAGACAAAGATTGGCTGCAAGTTCCTGTTAAGGACATTGGCAGTTTTAATATTTTATTGTTTTTGAAGGCCTTCCTGCATGGCATGGTAATTTTTGCTCTTCGCATAATTCTGTACACCTGGAAAGAAATAATACGTTTTAGCACGCTTTGCAATTACCAGCATTTTAAATTATTGCAAGAATTAACTTTTACTGTTTGATAGGTAGTTGTTTGTTTTTTACGATTTTTTCTAAACCACCCCTTCGTTTTTTCCTTTCAACTGAACCGTCACAGAGCAGTGTCTTCCTCCCCTAAATACGGACAAACTTTCTGCTCAGCGCAAAAATTTTAAATTACACGAGAACTATGTACAATCTTAAATTTTGAACATGGTAAATTCGAATTATAATTCAGGAAGTACATTCGGCCGGTCTTAACCGATAAAAAATTAACTTTATTCTTGATCACATGAAATGAAACTCTGTAAAATTCATTGACTATTTATTAGTAGTTATAGCAAATGTTTGGGTAGTATTTGAATCCTATGTACATCTCGATATAAAACTCCAGAATAGAAATCAACTAAGTTGATGAATTATTAGACAGTTGAATTAACTTTTGAAACAAACACCTGCTTAGCTAATTTGGCTTCAATAATTTTTGAAACAGATCTCTACACATTTTATTATTCATTTATCTTATAAATTTGCACTAAGGTTACAATAAGTAATCCTTCTTTTTTCAAAACAAATCAACCGGATTTTTTGATATCAAACCGGTTTTGATATTTTTATCAAAGTAGCTGTCGTGTGAAAATTGATTGTGTCACAAAAATCCTCTATTCAACTTTAATTTTCAGGTTTTCAGTGACACAAGTATAATATCGACAATAACTTCGCCAAATTTCGTAAAATTCTAAAGAGTAGATATGAAGATATCGTCGTTTCTTTCCATTTTCTATTGAAAGTCAACAAATTAAAACATTAGCGCCCTCACATTTTCCCGTAGCGAGCGCAGAAGTGTTGAGCATACGTACTTGGGGTCACGCGATATTACAAAAGCGCGAAAACAATAAATTTCTACAGACAACTTATGGCCCTTTTTACCAGCTGGTACTGACATGTTTTCTAGAAAATCCCATTGGCTGCATATGTACTCATAATAAAGATGTTAACAGTGGGGGATAAAGTATTTTAAGGGGCGAAAATACCGAGATTTCAATTTTTCTTTAGATCATGTGCGCGCTAGGGGTGGGGGGCGGCGTTGTGGATTGCGTCTGTGAGGTTTCTTAGCGCTCGCAACTTAATGTCAGAGAAACTACTTTCAGCCACCATAAGAAAAGTGAAAAACCAAGCTTCAAGCCCTGAAAAAACTTCGTTGTCTATTTTATAGCGAGAGCATGATATGTTAATTCACAAATTAAACTAAAGCTCTCTCAATTACAATTAAACCCAAGCCAGTGCAGTTATAATTAAATTCCAGCTACACTTCCACAGTTTTATGAGCGTTAATATGATGACATTATATTTCCATCGATGCATATAAAATTACCTTCAAATCTTACTGATATAGGGTAATAATTCAGACTTTTAATAGCATGGCTGTTAACTTAATATAATAAAACAATATTCGGCTAAGCATATTGTTTGAGTCAAAGAAAACCTTTGCAACAGTTGAAGTCAATCTCTACTTGTTTTCTGTACAGCCGTGACTCTGACAACTTTATTTACTACGCTACGAAAAATTTCCACTATAGTCATCAGAAAAAGTCACATCCGGCCACCTGAGTATGTCAGTCTTGATCCTTTGTTCAGTGACAATTCTTATAGTTACATTTTGCCCTTTATGTTTATCATCGAAGCAATATTAGTAGCCTGAAACCTGGGATTGTTTGGCATGTTCACAGAAAACTTGGGACAACGCATAAAACACTCAAAATGAATCATTGCTTTGAAACGTTGATCTGCTACGTAAAGTTTAAAAGAATCATAGCTTTCTTCGGAAAACTGAATTAAGCAGTAAGAGCCTGTACAACTTACGACCGTTAGCACGGTTTTTATCGATAAGATTTATTGCCCGCAATTAACATAACAGATAGTCTAAAAAACAATAAAATGAACTAAGAACAAACCTTGCATCGAAGAGGTGGACAGGAATCTTGACAATCTTTCCAGGCCATAGATCGTTTGAGCTGTATTTGATCTTCTTTGTACCAGTTTTCTGACTAAAAGCAGTTTGAATCAACCTGAAATTGGTGTCTTCATTTATACGATCGCTTGATTAAAATTCATTCCTTCGCCGTGAGAAATATTCTTGGTGTTTGTATAAAAAAAATATGCAAATGCATCAACAGAAATGCTCTAATGAGACTTTTCTCAAAACTGCGAGAAAAGCACGCACTGTGGGGTCATTCAACGACTGGTAATCAACGCTTATAAAATGTAAAACTGGACACATTCAATCAAAGTGGAAAGTTTGCCTACTCTCTTAGGAAAAAAGATGACTACGCATAGACTTTGAGAAAACTGAGCTTTTGAAAGTGATCTAAACTGCAAATTAAAAGTACAAGTGTTGCTGGGCTTTGGCAAACAAGGGATTTTTATGGCATTTGATTTCTCCGCCTTTCGGTCATCTCCGTCATTTGAAATCCAGCGTACGTACCCCCCTGGGATTTCTATACGCCCGAGTAAACGCTTTTAGAGCGTCCAAGTTCCTCGGTTTATTATAATCAAATTTGATGCCACTGATTGGCTCTTGAACAAGGGCATTCTTTGAAAGTTAATACACAAACATCCGAACAAAGCCTCTCTCGAATATACCTCTTCCAGTTGCGTGTGAGAATGAAAGAACTGTTTTGTCCATTGGGAACTTGGGACGTTAAAATCTGCTCATACTGAGGCCAGATGAAGAATCACCTGGGTTTATTTCTTCTACTTTTTCCCATACTAAGTGCCGTGTTGCCGACAGAATGTTCGGTAAATTTGTACATCAACAGCACCGAATCGAAAAGAATCCTCGGTGAGTTGGCTTGACAAGAGCACGAATCAAGTTGTTTACCATGAAGCTTATTCGAGATTTAATTCTCACAACCATGGTTATATGCTTCTTCACAGGAATCGAAGGCGATATTTACTACATAAGAGACGGTCAAATTAAACTCAACGCCGTTAATCTCAACATGACTGTACCTTATCGAGTAAATTGCTTGAGGTTCATTTGGTTCTCAAAACCAGTGGTGAGTATATTCAACACAATATGGAGAAGCCGATGCTCTGTTTTTGAATACAATTACAAGCACTCCTTAAACGGCAAAGTTATGTTGTTGTGCCAACTGGTCTGCCAATGCTTCAATCACCCGCGAGTTGATCATGCACTCTCTGGAAATGTTTGATTGAGCGTGATCAAACTTATTACCTATTTAGTATGAGGTTTTTATGGTATATCAGTTGAACCTCTGTTGATTTCGCTCATGAATATCTTGTCCGCAAGGCGTTTTTATAAAGCTAACGTGAAATCCGTGGATGGTGTGTATGCTGACAGTTTGTACCTTTTGTCCTCTAGGGATACTACTATAGTTTACAACTCAGATCTTACACTCCCGATCTCTTGTTCCAGCCAAGAGTGAACATTCAACATTTTGGACCTGTTCCTGAGACCAAGAAAGGTATTCGATTAAAGATAAGAGCCAACGTTATTTTAAGCGGTCAGCGCGGGTTTTTTTTCTTTTTTTTTTTCATGTAGGTAGAACTTGAAAGAATGAACCTTGGTCTTATCTTACAAAACACGTCAAAACGTTTAATTTAAGACTTATTTACATGAGGTTTTTAACTCAACAGTATGGGGTATTCACCCAGCAGACTAAATTGTCTACAACGTACGGTTTGTGTAAGAAATATGTCAAACGAAATGTCGCTTGACGATTAATCGACTCTTACAAATGCCCAAGAAGGGCAACAGTACATTGATTGTTGCCTTCAATGTACGGGTGACTCTTTCTACTGCATTGATCAAATTTTAATGAAACTGATGATTCTTCTCTGTACACATGTGGTAGCAATCACAAGACAGTAACAGTTGCACCGTGTCCTTTCTGTAATGCTTGGCTATGTGAAAGGTGCTGATGACGTACACCTTGTTGCTCCTCCACTGGCAGATAATCTGATTGACTGATTTGTTTTACACATGTGTAAAATATCTCTTACAGTCAGTGGCATGTATTTCAGGCCACAAAGGATTGCCATGCATCCTTAATCACATAGCAGGCAGGGTGACTCCACACCCCTTTCTTGCCCATAGTAAAAATTGCCATTTTACATTGTACATACTATCTGTCTTCTTTCTGTATTGCCCTGTTTTGCTGCCTTTTCTATAAAAAAAATTACAAACATGACGGGTTCGTGTGTATTAAGTTCAACTTCTGGCAGAAGTGTGGTGGGCTGAAACTTTGATCCATTGGCAGGGAGAGCACCAAGATTAAATGTGGGTTTTGTGTTTGTAGTTTGCCGTTATTTGCATGAGCAAAAAGGTTGTCGATTCTCCAATGAAAAATTAACAGTGTGAGTCTTTGCCTGGAAACTTCACACTGAATGATGTGTATTAAAGTTTGTTTACACTTAGTTGCTTGGTAACTGCAACTACTAAGAAGATACAACTACTATGCAAGACAAAGTTATAAAAGATACATCAAAAACCAGACACTATTTGTATGATCATAGCTTGAGTTTATCATGGTCCTTTTTTATCTTGATGTATAGCCACTGTTCAGGAAAATATGCCAGCACTTATCAAAGTCTGGACTAAATAGAGAGTTGTAGAATTTTTTTTTATGGAGCTCATGTCTGATTTTCTGTAATTTAAATGAATTCATTCTCTGTAATTTAATTAATTAAGTGCCTGTGACTCTGTACATTCGTTATTTATCTACAAAGGGATCGCATAATTAATTGGACACTGTAGTATTTGATGTCACGAATGGCATTCTATTAACAGCCACCTCTTAGGAAAAAATCAATTTGATAGCCATAATTTCTTTAGTGACATAACTGAATACCAGATTTCTTCTCTTTGTAGAATTCTGTGTAAATATGACATGCAGAGGAACAAAAGATGGTACTGCTCACATGCTAATCCAGATTAACATCACTTCAGACATACAGTTTGTCAAAGATATAACTGTGTTGAACTTACGACGAATAAAGACCTGCCAAAAAGGTACATACATATATATATATACATGTAATAATGTTCAAGCCTCACTCTAATCCTTCTTCTCCCATACACTCCTGGTGTCTAGTTTGATAAGTACTTTGTTAAGTTTTACGTCTTTTTTTCTTACAGCTGTTGTTCCACTTACTACCAGGAAACCCACTGTTGCTCTTCACAAAGGTACACATGCTACATGCAAATTATTTTAGAGTTTTTGAATGATTTTTATAGCATATAAACTTAAATTGTGAGTTATCATATGCTTGTCTGGTGCTTACTAAGTAGAGCAAAATTTCCTCCAGACTAATAATAAACAAAGTCTCAGAAAAAATGGGAAGGGAAACGCTATTTGCCCTTGCAAATGGCTATGTAGGCCTTCACGTGGTTCAGATGACCATGTACAAGAGTGAGGGTGTTGAAACAGTTTTGTCATAAGTTTAAGCTTGGTGCCATATCAAAGCATTCACCGTTAATTCAAAACGTGAAATATTCTGTGGCATGACAAGCTTCAATAACTCATTAGTTCTGATTATGGATGTATGGATATTGTTTTAGTGTACTGCAAATTAGAAAGTAGTTTTTGATAGCCCAGGGCTAGTAGATGGCTAGTGACATCTGTTCCTAACTTGCCTGACAGACAAGATCAGACAGAAGAACTGTGATCAATCCTGCTCTTCAAAAATAAATATTGTCTTTGGCTAGTTAAGAAATGACTTTTGGGCTAGTTATACAAGCTATATTACAGCTTGGCAGAATAGCAAGCTGTAAAACTGCACCCTGTGTTTCATTGCACGAAAAATCTGCCTCAAAATCTGCCTCAAAATCTGTCACTTTTTCAAAAATGTCAATCTCAGGTGCAGACTAATCCTGTTTTGATCAGTAAGCAAAGAATTTTATATTTCCAAAATATCTAGGGATTAAAATAGAAATCACTGTTTGAGACCACAGTTCCTGTTTTCCTTATGATCCCCTTCCTGCTTATCATGTTTATGTTGCAACCAAACACAGTCTGTCTGACTTTACTGGCACCTGCAGTTTATAAATAACCCTGCTATTTCTGGCAGTGTTTTAAGTCTTATTAAATGGACCTCCAATAAAATACCTTACATCTTATTTAGCCAAAGGGAAAATGCAGCCTACAAAACGTCGTTTTAACAAATTAAATTGTAACTGTGATAAATGATAAATTAAAGCCCAGTTCATGTGTTTTGCTTCTGCTGTACACCACATGATGCCTGAAGAAAAATTCTCAATGTGGTGCAGCAGAGCAAGTTCCACAAGGTCTCGACTCTGGTACAGCCGTAATTCAAATGTCGTGCTTATGCCGTGTCAAACTAAATGTATAAATTTCGGAAATGTATTTTTGTGGGAATTGCTATCCCGGAAGTACCCGTTAGTGGTATCGAGGAAAAATGACTTTCCCTGAGCATGCACATTGAGTCTGTTTATATTTACAAGCATGCTTTGCTGCCCATTGGGGGTTAGGGTGAAGAGATGGATGACAATTCAGGCTACACCACTTGCTAAACAGTAAAGGCACATTGCCAATCTAAATGCTGGTGGAATTGGATCCTCTGTGACAGTATCATGTTGTAAATCATGTTGAATATGACCAAGGATGAAATTAAAGGTGGCTTTTAATATGAGGATTGTTTTCCTGAATTTCTCATCAGTGTATGTGTTAGCATACTTCTTCGAACTAATTAACCCTTGTTACAGGGAAGCTGCCGACATGATTGATCAGGAGTATTTTCTCAAAAGAAATAAGATGAGCAGCAATATAGCAAACTTCCAATAATAACATTGGTCTCATGTACAAAAGGAGAAGGCTTTTCTGCTGCATTTGTTTCCTTCCTCCCTCTGAATTTTTTAAGAGCTTTATGAGTGGCAATTTATGCTGTCAAGTTTACAGTGCATTGTCATTTTTACCGACTACTGTATTGACTACTGTACAAACCCAATAATTAAGTTAGACTCTCGATCTAGCACAACTTCTGAATTGAAGTTGTGCTTTTGCCATGCTTCTATCGAACCCAGTATTGATTAAGTTCAGCGCGTCAGTATCCCAATGCATGAACGGGGCCTTAGTCTTTAACCTTAATTGGCCATTCTGAATAATTATTAAAATGCATAGTAAAGAATTGATGTTATTATTCTTTTCAGGTAAGACTGAACCAAGCACAGCTGCTGATCCTCCGATGGATAAAACCACTGTGTTCTACATTGCAGTTGGAGTAGCCTGTGGCATCATTCTAATCATGGCCCTTGCTGTGGCTGCAATTCATGTCCATTCCATGCCAAGTCCAAATAAAGAAGGGTTAGTAATGTACATGTATGTTATGTTTGTAGTCAGAGCTTGCTTATTATGTCTTGCTTCGACCCCTTGTACAGAGTACATTGCTCAGATCATCAAGCGTCAAATTGCAATGCAGCAAATTGGTTATTCCAGACAAAATTTACAGCCTCCCAACAGTCAGGCACAAATATTATTTTTGACCTCCTCCTCCCCCTCCCCCCAGATTTCCAAAACTGCTTGAGTTTCCCTCCCTTAGGATTTCCAGGTTCAAAGAACCCCCCCCCACACACACACACACACACATACCCTTCTGGATTATGTAACTCTTGTTTAAATGTGTTGCATGTGGCAGCAGAGGGGGGAAAGAATCAGGTGAACTTCCTTCTGTTTCCAGTCATTCACTCCACTCTTAAGGATGTGAAATTTAAACAAAAACTCTATACGCATCTTCATTTAATATGAACTAAAACATTATTTTTGGTTAATGCCAGCACTTTTTTTTCCTCTATGCCTACAGTGAAACTGATGGTGGAGGTGGACAAGCTAGCCAGTTAAAAACACCCCTCATTGCTGCGGATGCAGATGTACTGCCATTACAAGTACAAGTAGCTGTTAGGCCAGGTATTAAGACCTATGCAACCCTTAATGTCTTAATGTAAAACTGGGTGTTTGTGTGAACATTTCTTCACAAGACTCCATAATAAATTAATCGAAATTTCATTCAGTGCCCTCAACTTGTATGGTTTACTCTATAGTTCCAGGAAGCCTATAGTTTATAAGCCCCCGGCTTCTATACAGCCTTCCTTGCCTTTACCACATTTGATCTTGTAAATAATTTAGTTGGAATATTGTATATTATCTTTAATGTATTTCTGTATACTGTTGTTGTATTTCTTGTTAAAGGCAAAATAAAATGAATGAATGAATGAATAATATGCATGCCACGCACCATGTTAGGATTATTAGGGAGCTTAAGCAACAGCATTTTTGAGCAACGGACGTCAACCGGAAGTGGACTTTTTGCATCATTGGGGAGTGGTTTGGTTGAAACTCTCGGGTAAATCGTCTTTAAAAGAGAAAAGAAACTCAGCAATACAAGTTTGTTAGCGTCAAGGCATATAAAAAGGGAGAAGGCCTCACTTCCGGTTGACGTGCATCGCTCAAAAACATCTTTGCTTAAGGTCCCTATTATCTTGAGAAAATACTGTGTGAAATAAAACATTGCTTTTCTCACTAGGCTTTAGGAATTCCAGAGGATTAAGATGCTTTTTGTCTCATCAGGTTGTTTACTTTTTGTTCTCCTACACTAGATGGAAATGACTGTCCTCACAACATTTATTCAAATCAAAGTTCTCTGACAGCCAATGTGCAGCCTGGTCATTCTGTGCCACCGGTAATGGGAAATCATACTGTCATAAATGGTGATATATCTCACGTGAGACCAAGGCTGCCCGGTGGGTTCCCGGTAAACCGAGACAGTGCCATGACTCTCACTCCCAGTGACGGCTATTACAGTGGAGGGGGACTGCAGTCAACGCAAAAGGGAAAATATGGAAACAGGGATATGAAGACTGAATTGCAGGATATAACGGTGGAAATGGACAGAATTACGTTAGGTGAATTACTGGAGGAAGGTAAGCTGACCTTTCAAGGTGTAGTGGGTATCTATACAATGTATATTTTTTACACCATCATTAAAACTGCTTTTAAAAAGTCAAATTTTCATTGTCATGGAAAAACTCTTCATCGAAAGCTTGTTTGTTTATTCATCGTCAAGAAAAAGGTATTCATATTTCCGCATTTACGCGAGTAAATATTTTTTGTGTAAAAATCTTGCATGGTTGTATAATGGCACCAGCATAACAGCTTCATTCAAGGAAGGTAAAAGGAGTGGCACAATATGGCACAAATATTTTTATGACTTGCTATTCTCAGAAAACCTCATCTTTGTGTTACAGGAACGTTTGCCCGTATTTATAGCGGTGTTTTAACTGGACCTGGAGAAAAACAGCAACACAGTGTGTTAGTAAAGACAGTTTCTGGAATGGCTACAGAGGATCAAGTGAATCTTTTGCTGATTGAGAGTTCCATGTTAAAGGACTTGACTCATAGAAACCTTCTACCTGTAATGGCTGTGTGTTTGGAGGATGAAAAACAGCCATTAGTGATGTTTCCGTTCATGAACAGAGGCAATTTAAAATTGTTTATGAAAAAGTCCAGATCACCAGAGGGAGGTTCGAAGGTAGGTGTGGTGTAGTAGTAATAAGGAGGAGTGTAACCTTAGCTACCCTGTACCTCCCCCCTCCCTGCTGGGATTCAGAATATAGCGGGTAGACCTTATAGGTACGTTGCCATCGGAGAGCTGAAACTTGCAAATAATTTTATTCAAATATTTTCATCTAGGAAGGTTAACATCTGCATGCCAATTTACAACTATGGTATAAAATATCTACCAAAAACTATAGTTGTTATTAAATCTTGACTTGTATAACCCGCTCACCCAGATGAAAGTTGCTAAAAAGACCTCTGGCTGCTCAATGCCCAAACAAACCATACAACTTGATTGTGCGCAACTTTAAATGTCAAAATACGTTAAACATTCCTTCACGTATTCGATATTATTTCAACTGTGCTCGTTTCATAACGCAAAATCCGACGCTCCTTTTAGCTAGTCTCCTCCTCGAGTACAATGTGACAAAAAGGGTGATCAGATGTTACAATTGCACAGCTCTCTCAGTTAATTTTTGCCTTTTTTGTGTTTTTTTTAGTCGTTGACGACTTCAGATCTTGTGCATGTTGGAATACAAATTGCTAAAGGACTCCAGTATCTAGCAAGGCGAAGAATTGTCCACAAAGATGTAGCGGCAAGAAACTGTGTGTAAGTATACTGAAACAAACCGTTAACAAAAATCTAAATCTTTAAGCTACAAAAGGCTAAGCAGAAGACTCACGTAGTTGTCTTAAAAGCTATAAATGGGCAAAAGAAGGGCGTGAAATACTCTGGCTGCCTTTGCTCCCTTCGGTTTGTTTGCTTGTTTGTTTGAACTGCCGCCCTCGTAACTCAGTCGGAGGAGCGCCGGACTACCGAGCGGGGGGACGTGGTTCAACCCTCCTCCCCCCCCCCCCCCCCCCGGACCAGAAACCAAGATCATGGTGGCTGTGATTCACGATCTTGTCTTAGTTCAGGTGATCGCGTAGTTAGGTTCAAGTGGGGTATTTCACGTAACATCTTTGATGAGAAAGAAAAGACGATCATACGTTTTAAGCTTAGCGAATTAACTGATTCACTAGAGTAGCCTCGTGTCTCGTGGAAATGCTTCAATAAAAATGTTTCTCTCTTCTTCTTTTAGTATTGACGATGATTTTAACGTGAAAGTAACTGACTGTGCCTTATCAAGAGACTTATTTCCACAAGATTACTGTTGCCTTGGAGACAATGAAAATAGACCTGTCAAGTGGATGGCTGTGGAGAGCTTGGAACACGGCAGATATACAGTGGCGAGTGATGCGGTAAGTTCATCAAGAGACACTTAGACTGTAAAATGTTTTGTACTGGGGTAAAACACGGTGTTTTAAGGGGTTACCGGTCGTTTCGATAGAAGTTTAAATAGTTCCACTCACTTGGCTTAAAGGAAGAAGAATATCCACCCCAAATGTTTTTTCTTGTTCGCGCGCAAACTATACTTAAAGTGAACGAAATTTTTGTGCAATTTCATAAACGACTTGTATCGAAACTACTTTGTATCGAAATGACCGGTTTCCTTTCTGAAAAGAAGAAGGAGGAGAGATAAGGAGAAAGGGAAGAAGGCCTGTCACAAAGGCATTCATGGACAAGTTGAGGTTTTCATTAATGAACGTTTATTAAACACAGTTTTGAAGATACTCTTCTCTTCGGGGCCGGTTGTACGAAGCAAACTAAGTGCGCTCCTGGCTTACACCTTTTTGTTCTTGAAACAACATTCTCGTACTGGTGACCACTCTCCCTTCAGCATGGTAAGAAATAAATGGATGGTCACACTAAGTGCAAAACTGACCCTGCCTGTGATTTAAACTATTTTATAAACAACAGTCCTTTTAAGGACTACTCTTCCGTCAACATTGTATGAAACACGTAGACGGGATCACACCAAGTACAGAAGAAACCGATTCTTTGAGAGTGGAACACGATGCGCAAAATATACAACAGTCCTTTTAGGGACTACATGTAGTTTTGCCCATTGCCCAGACAGTGTTGTCAATTGAAGAAAAAGAAAAACCGATTTGCCTGGCCCTGAAACATTTTCTTTATTAACTCTGTTTCTGTTCTTTCTTGTGTTCTATTCTAACTGGTCAGTGGTCGTATGGTGTTCTTTTGTGGGAACTTATGACCTTGGGACAGCAGCCCTATAGTAACATTGACGCCTTTGAAATGCTGAACTTCCTTAAACAAGGACACAGAATATCACAACCGGTAAACTGCCCAGACGAACTCTTCAAAGTCATCGCTTGCTGTTGGGCACTATCCGAGGATGAGCGACCAAGCTTTGGGCAGCTCATTGTATGTTTGACGGACTTCTTGAACGCTCTCAGCAATTTTATTTGAGTGGGAAAAGGTGGGCAAGATGATAGACAAAAATCGAACTGTGGTTTCTCTGTAAACCATTGCCAATACTTCGACATGTTACTTCACCTTTGTGGGTTGGGTGATGTTTATCTCCCTGCATACACGATTTAACCGTATCGTGTAACTTATTGCATTGCGAAAATACCGTAGTTCTTAACAGAGTCAACGGACAACCTTCATAGCAACCACCATCAAGACTCATGGAAACAAACTCAGAGCCTTTTCTGTCTAATAAGCAGAGTTCTCCTAGCAGATTAACAATATTTACCACTGCAGTTCATTGCAGCTCAAAGCCCGCCGCCCTCATGAGCAAGTGAGGGCGCATTGTATGTAGAAAATAGATTATTAATATATTAGGTTTGTCGTCCAGAGAAATCGTCTGGCAATGAATCAAGCAAGATAGAAAGCTGTCTGTTGTGTGTGGAATACCGGCATTTAACAAACAGTTAATTTGGTTTCCCGAGAATTCTCACTGAATCGCATTGAGATTCGAGGGACACAAAATCAACTGTTTCCCGAGGGACCAGTGATTTGTTATCTAGCTGGAAATTTTGAAGTAGGAAATTTATTAAATCTCGCTGTCGTCGGTCAACATTCGCGGGTAACAGTGCACTGTTCCCCCCCCCCCCCCCTGACGTGATAGATACAATGTTATGTTGCCCTCTCAGAGATTTGGGGGGGAAGCAGTTTCATTGTAAGATGTCATGTAACCTCGAAGTAACCACATGCAATAAGAGCGCGCGCTGTTGGCCAAAAATTTTCAGCTATATAAAAATGTGACATTCCATTCTATTAAAGCAGACTCTCAGTTTTTTATTAAAGTTAATATAATTTAGTTGTACATATTTCTCTTCATTGATCATTGTAGCAGAAGTTTCGCAGCTGACGATGTCAAGTAAAGAGTATATTTGCTAACATGCACATTGTGGCGGCCAAGTTCACTATCGTTATGTACCTTAAGAAAATACCTCACAGAAGGCTCTTTAGAAAGGGGCAGGTTTTGCAAAGACTTTTTTCCCGCTTCGTTGAGGGTAATTGCAACAATGAATATAAAGAAAGGGAACAAGGAAGGAACGAAATAACAAACTTCAAAATTCTGCCCCCCTGGTATACGCAGAGACAGTTTTGTTTCAATTCAACGATCTCCGTCGTGATACAAAACAAAAATTATCAGGTGCGTTTTTTTGTGATATCCGTCTGTCTCTGTTTGAGCGGAGCTGTTAATGGGCTTTGATAATGATGAATAAAGCTCAAATGAACTGCAACACGGAAGAGGATGGTCTAACAACAAATGTTAAGGGATTAAACACTTATTTCTATTGGAAAGAAACAGGGATTCCTTTTGGGGAATGACTCGATCCAGTTTGTGATTGAGTTTTTTTTAGCTGAAATTGGTTTGTGCTTATTCTCTCTGACCCGTGTTTAACTCTAATAAGATTGTGTTTTTCCTTCCTTTATCGTTTCTGTTCCTGATTTCCTCGATCAGTTTCCATTCCTTCTATGCTCTCGCCCTTGCTTAAGCTGTTTGATACATCACTGACGGCCTTCAGTTTTGGGATTTTTTGAATATTCACACTGAATTTGACAGATTTGATGAATGCCAAAAGCGGCGTGGTCTGATGTCGCTTTTCAGAAAAAATTAGCCTCTATAAAATTACTCGCCCACGTTATTACTTTATTTTCATAAACTTCTGATTGACATTTCGAGAGGTGGTTCCGCTCGCTAAGATTTGAAAAGCAATTAATATTGAAGTGGTGGTGAAGTGGACCAGATTGTCAAAATTGGAAAATTCGCCGGAAATGTGCTTATAGAAATCCACAAGAGACCGACTGTTTCAAATTCTTTTGTTCTATGACTGAGGTAGCGCAATCTCTGCTCATGAACAAATGAGAAGGCTTGGATTCGGATAAGAAAAGACAGCTCTTGCTGATCAATAGAAATTTAAGTTTTCAACCGACATACAACACCAATGATTGCCCGGCAACATAAGTGCTCACGGAAGGGCTTTGTGTGACTGAGCTTTTCCACTAAAAAGATTTTAGTATTATTTTTATCCAAATCCAAAATGTATAGTAAAGTAGACATTATCACACAAAGGTATGGCTTCCCCCGGGACTCTTGTTTTCGTTTGAATGGTCTTGCACTACGATTGACGAGTCGGACCTCCCTTGTACATTACGTATTGTAAGCACTGATGCTGCTTATTTGTACGGGATTTTACTTTGAGACTTGAGCCTGCGGACTCAACAGTTACAATTACCTTGACGGTACAAGTCTCCTACTGATCCAGCCTCACAAAACCCAACATTTCACCCAAAGCGAGGGGTTAGTGTTGATCAACATTGGATTAGGGGAGGGGTAGGCGGGCAATTAACATTGGCGCTAGAATCTTACACTAATCGTAAAGCACTATAACATCAAAGAGAAAGTATAGCAATTTCAACCGTTATGTTTCCTACTTCATCCTGTTCAGTTCACTCGCTTTACTCGCGGAGTCGCTTGGCGATAGCCAAGCTCAGTCTTGGTAGGATCCTTGTTACTCATCTTAAGCTCCCCGCCCACGAGCTTGCAAACAATCAGTTAGAATTGCGCCAAGAGCGGAGAGACAGTACTAAATTGAAAAATCAATATTGCAAAAAAGTCGCTAAAATGAATTTTGTCCCACGTAATGGGTGTAATAACAAACCTCTAAATGCACTCCTATGCACTTTTCACACTAAAAGCATCATGACAGATTAAATGTTTTGTTTTGGTTTATTTGTTTGAATTTTGTTTTTGCAATGTTCACCCTTAAAATAATCAAGTGAAACTTTTTGAACGCTTTTCTTGTATTCTAAGTGATCTATGAATCAGTGAAAAAAATTAAACATGCTGTAGTAATAAAAGCCGGTAAGGAATTCATATTGAGAAGATTGATTCACACACAAAAAACCAAAAACAAAAAAAACAACAACAAATTGGGCTTTCATTTTCAAGAATAAATTATCGCAGCGCTGTCTGTCAAAACAAGGAAACAATGCTTATGCCTATAATAAAGAACAGATTAATCTCCACGTTATTAACGCCAAACTAGTTCCGGAAGTGGAATATCGCTCATGGCAACGTAGTTTTTCAAGCTTAATTATGCTGAAACCTTTGAGCTGTTTAGAAAAAAGACCATCGGGCAAATAACTGTTGATTTAAATCTAAGTAAATAGTAAGGTAAAGCTCTGAAAAACATGCATTTTGTCCGACTTTTTCTTAAATCTTCTGGGAAGTTCCGCATAACTTTTGCACTGCCATTTCCTTGAAAATTTTGTTTAGAGCATTAAACAGTTAAAACAACTCTATAAATTTCAATTCCGAACCAGGAGTCCATAAACTGAGTGGTATATGCCATTTTGAACAAAAATGTTCTAAAGGAAAAACTATAAGTTGGAAGAATAAGACTTTCTGGTACCTGTTTATCGTCCTGGGTGTTGTCCCGTTTATCGTCTGGTAACACGGCCATGAAAATTCGATACTGGCATTGCAGTAGCAAATAGGCGGACTGACGTGTCATATAATTTTGCACATATATATGTATATATTTCTGGCGTTATAGAAGTTAACTTTCTATCTTTACTATTTTCAATCAATCTCTCGCAAGCAACATGCAAATCTCAATTCTCTATACGATATACAAGACTTTCGGCAGTTCAGTACTGCTGGGAACTCAACGGTTCATCAGAGCTCTCATTATCGCTACCCATGTCCAGAAAGTATTCCTTCTCTAGATTTTTGCCTGAAGGAAAATGTACCATGAGCGCTTGTTAAGTGAACAATCGGTGCAGCTTTGTAACAAATAATTGCAGTGGATTAAATCAATTTATTTGTAGAAATCCGCTGATTTCGGAAGAACGTATTTGAAATTGAGTACTATGGAAACGTAACATTTTGTTTAAAAAAATAATTAAGATTCGCCATAAATTTCTGTAAATTGTTTGCTAACGTTTGTTGTTGCTGGGACATCTCATTATATTTCTTTAAACGCAGCAATCATGGGACACTAGCGAATGTAATCAGTCCTGATAAGCGAAACTTTGGCCGGAAATGTCTCATGTTTAATCGTTTAACTGTCACTTTTGTCAGCAAAAAAGCAAACATAATTTGTTAGCGCTGGTTCATCTGCTCTTTATAGGATCTAGAAACTGATTTGTGGTTACAAGAACTAAGATTGAAGTCCTTGAGAGCACTAGCACTGCAGCAGCCATGAGACTTTTATGGAGTTTACGCGGTTTACTCGCAATTGCTTCTCTTGCAGGTAAGTATATCTACTGTTCATTTATCAGCAACAGAATTGTTTTTGTATCCGATTTGAGAGTTTCAGTGAATTAAATCAACTGAATTTTGCAAAGTTAACAGGAAAACTGACAAGACTACTGCAAGGTTCTGTTTCGTACCTATTACAATGGTCACACCTTTTGTATTTGCACTTCAGTGTCATTTATCGCCCTTGTCCCACTGCAAGTTAAAACCTCCCAAAAAAAGAGATACAAAAATCCATGCAGTTCTCGGCGTCGATATTAGTACTGTTTCTCTTATTTGCCTTATTGAAGACTGCAATATTCCTCATGCAATTTCCAATTTCGTATCAAAATTATCTCGGCTACTCCACATTCTCAACATGACAAGAAATGTTCCCGTAAGGACTAAAACACATTTTCAAGAATCAAAATATTATAAGTGGTTTCACCACATTTAAAGCTAAAATGCTCCAACTGTATGGGTTTTTGATTACACAAGAAACTTTAAAATTTTTAAACTATGGAAAGTTATTATAGTAAGATATTTAAAATCCAGTGATTTAATTCTCATCGTTAGACATAGACCCTCATCCCTTTTTTTGAATCCTTCGTCCGATTTTTCTCCTTAAAGCCAGGAGTGCTGGCGAATTGAGAAGTTTTACTTAAAAAAAGATAAGCAGAAAACAAAAATTTCACTCCTGTATACTTGCGATAAATTTTCTTCGCTTAATTTCAAGAAGTTGAGATTATTACGAGTTATCATATCACGGACAACGTTTAGGCTTTGAACGCCGTTGGTTAAAATTAAGTTCAAAGTGTCAAGCGGCCAACACCTTTTTCCTCTTTTCATAAATTTTCGCTTTCTTTCTCGAATGGTAACCAAAGTTAAAATTAAATAAGTCATATATTATTAGAGACAAAAAGTTAGAAAAGTTCAGACCTCTATGGACAGCGGAATAATATGGTCTGAAAGGATTGCTGAACTCATAGACCGGACGGCTGTCAACGTATTTTTTTTTCCCATGTTTTCCTAGGCTCAAGACGGAAACACAAGGTTTCACTTGAAAGAAATAGCACCTTATTTTACTTATTAATTTCTTTGCGTTATGGGCAAAAATTAACCATACCTTTCTATTCAAATTATGGAGTAAAATTTATGAAAATCATCCGTTTTTCTTCTTAGTAAACGAGGGACAACATGGCCGAAAGTGGGCTCAGCTTACAGCTAAATAAATTTCGTGGTATAAAGCTCAGTATGCACGTCAAATATTGATTATTTCTGTAGGGAAACTGATGACCCAGTTACAAGAAATAATTCAATGTATTGTACAAGTGAAATCAGTGCCATTCAAGCTCCTTTGAATAGAGTCTTTTCACTCACGTAGCCAGCATCTATGCAAATTTATTGGAACAAAAGAAAGCCTTTGCATAAGAAAAGAGTTCAACTACCACAGAATTGGTTGGCGACACCAACATGGGGGCGGTTTCATTGTTTTGGGACACCAATATGGCCGTCGTTTCATTGTTTTGGGACACCAATATGGCCGCAAATTTAAAACTTATTGTTTTTTCAAACGATTTCAAGTCAAAATGACCAAACAACCACTCTTCAAACGTTTGTTACCTATGTTTTTTCGAAATGAACACACTTTTTGTTCCAGTTAAATGGAAAATTTTCAAATTAACACTTCCTAGGCGCTCTTCTAGTTTTGATCGAGAGTTTTTCGTATTTGTCAGCTTATGTAAATAAGTTCTGTAAACTACATTTAATATCCAATTTAAAAGCTACTGAGCTTTGCTCCCTTCGAAGTCCGTAATCAGGGTGAACTGAAACAGTCGGGAACTTGAGTATCAGAGAAAAACAAATGGGAAATTTCTACCGAAATCCAATTTTTTCCTTATCACCCGTCTCCTCTTTCTCCCAAACGCTTGTTTATCGCAATAACTCACCGAATCTTGTACACTAAGGGCCTGTTTACATGGAGGTGGGGGACCCCAGATAGGTGAGGTAACCCGCTTAGGTGAGGTAAAAAAATAACCCCCCTTTACATGCAATCTTACAACCCCGCCATCCCGGGGTGCACTTTCTCAAGATTATTGAATGGTCGTTAAGCACGTAAACAAGAAAAATGCTGGCGAAGCACGAGTTTTGGCGATTAATGCACTTCTTCAATCACTTGTTGCTCTTGCTGCAAACTGTCAGTGCAATAGCTTTCTATTGTTAACTTTAATAATAATGCAAAGCCACCGCCATGGTGAATTTTGCGCGAATTTGATGTATCACGAATCCGACCCCGGCCAGGCGGGTTACCCCACCTTGAAACGTTTACATGACAAAATGTGACCCCGGCTGAGAGGGTAACCCGGTCTGGTAGACCGGGCTACCCGCCTTGGCGGGTCACCCCACCTTTCATGTAAACGTGATCAAATTAAAATGAGAGATTATATGGACAGGCGGGTTACCCCACCTAGGCGGGTTACCTCACCTACCTGGGGTCCCCCACCTCCATGTAAACAGGCCCTAACATTTAACACCGAAGAGAACGTGAAGACAAGAGGCTTATTTTACACTCGGGCTAGGAATTCGATAAGAGGTTCGCCTTAAAGGAGCTGCGTCACGAAATTCGGCGAAATTAGGCAACTACAAAATGCCCGTTAAATTAAGAGAAACATGAAAATAACCGCTTAAAACTTTAAGGAAGGTTAAAATAACACAACAGATACAACAGATACCGGGGGTGAGCAAAACGGAAGAAGATTGAAACGGATTTAGGGTTTTTGAAAACTGTTCAGCCTAACAGTTTGCAACTTCAAACATAATGCTCAGGAGACATATTTGTTTGTCTCGAATCTCTGACTTTGAGGGCGAGTAATTGGCAAAATTAGACAAAATGAACTGGACTGCCGTGACACAGCCCCTTTAATTTGACCTTTAGATCCTAGGATCCCTTTTGATAGGGCACCTGTAGACACACGTATTACCGTAGATTTTATTAGCTTTTTTTTAAATTTATTCACACCTTAGAAAATACTTGCAAATGTGCGGCCTTCTTATTGGGGTTCTAATCCATTTTTGTCAACAGCGTTCAGCAAGGCAACCATCCAAATACGTAAGTTGATTAATAATAGACAGTAACAATTGAATTTAGGAAAAAACTAATTTTTTTATCGTTTTAAGAAAGTGCACTTTGTTTTGTTGTTATTTACTTGCGAGTTTGTATTAAAGTAAAAATCAATTCTCATTCAATTCGATATGCCATGATATTTTCAGTTGTTCCCCCGTTGGTTACTGTATAGTTATGTTTTCACACTTTTTAGTAAAATTCTCTTACACTCATGTCTAGCCGAATTTTTGAAAACATTTCCCGCCAAATAGACCTCTTCCGTCAGGCCAAAAACTATCTCCAAAGTAACCAATATAAAATTATAAGAGTGCAACCATTGCTTTTTTTTCTCTTCTCCTTGTACAACTGTACTGAGCCTTTGGCTTTCTGTGGTCTCCTTACTATGTTCAGTTGATCCTTTTATATTACCTTTTTTTAGGAGACTGTTCTTGTTCAACTCAAACTGTATTGTTATCAAGATTAAGTTATCTTGTAATTACAGTTGTATGAATTTTATCGCAAATTTAATATGATGCTGTAATCTCACGTAAAAAGTGCATGGTGGTGTAAATAAACAAATGATGAACTAATCCTCCCTGCTCTTTTCTTTTCTTTATTTCCTTTGCCTTCGCTTTTTTAGAGTGTGATTTTCGGCAGGCTTATCGGGTGCAAAAATACCTGCCTTTTGGCCTTTTTTCATTCAAATGGCTGCAAATTTTGTTAGGTTCGTTTTCAAAAAATCGGCTAGATGTTCATTTGATGAAATGATTGCCATCAGGTGCATGCATTTTCAAGACGCACGGAGAGCAAGACACTTTCAGCGTAAATGGCCAGTCGTGTTAGCTACAGGACACTGAAAGTGAATCTTGTACTCAAGAGAGCACCCAAAATTTAAAAAAAACCTAATTAATTTGGTAGGATACTAAAAAAGGAATAGCACCTTTTACATCTAAATGCGTGAAAAAAAAAATCAGCAGCAGTTTTCCTTTACCCGGACGGAGGCAACAAAATCTTACACAACAACATTGTAACAGGTGAACTCGGAGACCAGCTGACAATTGCTTATAATCAAAATCATTATTTCTATCGATGTTCTTTTTACGGGAGCGTGGTTTGCTTTATTTATTGAGAGTTATTTATTTATTCATTTAAATTTTATTGTTTTTTTGTTTTTACTTATTTTTTCAGCGTACAGAATTCGCTTGATCACTGCAAATGACGATATTGGAGGGGGTCGTATTGAGGTCTACCATAATGGTCAATGGGGAACAATCTGTGACAAAAGCTGGTCCGAGCAGGCTGCAAAAGTGGCTTGTAGGGAGCTCGGCTTCAAAACTGCACTGTATCCATCCAAACGAGCCTTCTTTGGAGAAGGATCTGGACCGGTAATGACCAAACATGATCCCGCGGCGTATAAATAACATCATTATTCATTCAAAATATTTTTCTGTCTGGGTCAAATCCTCTACCTAATTCTTCTTAACCAGATAACGTTGACCAAATTTGGAAAATGTTTGCGATATCCGATGAAATGACGTTAAGGTCTCGGTAAAGGAAAACGAGGTGCCCACAGAGAATAATTCTAGTCGCGCGAGTATTTTCGCTACAAAGGCCAGTTATATATCAAATTAAAGCTAAAAGACTAAATTACCTTATAAAATATTTTATTTCATCGAATTTCAAAAGGCGCTTAAGTTTTTTGCTCTCGAACTCAGAGGTATCGAGTTTACTGCTGAAGCTCCAGCCCTTTCGCGTTGTTAAATATTCACTTTCTTTTTATTGCATCTGATTGACAGATAAAAGACCTAAAAAATGGTGTGAGGAAATTTGCATATGTCTCGTATTAGTATAGGTAATAGCATGATTTGTAGTGATATTTGGCATAAATACCACGAGTGATATTTCAAAATTGTTATACGTAATTTAATTTGAAATATCACTAGTGATATTTATGCCAAATATCACGTACAAATCATGCTATTAGTTGTTTATACTACTACCCGCAAGAGTTTTGTAATTTTCACATGTAGGTATTTCAAATTAAGCTGAAATACCACTGCTCTAAGCCAATCAAATTGCAGAAATTTCTCATGTAGTAGTATAAGGGGAATTATTACATTTCAAACTAAAAAGTCGAATCTCGAGCGCGATTTACGCAAAGAAACTGACATAAAATGAGTTACAAAGGGAAATCGGAAAATTCCTCACACTCTTTTTGAGTCTATATCATTATCCATCATATCTGAAAGTTTCAAAGCGATAGCTTAAAACCTGTCCCGACTGGAGGTCGGAGAATTTTGATTTTTGCGTCTGAAATAGAGTGAGAGAAAATCAGCTCTAAAGATTTAGCGCGAGGTCCACGCTTGGCTGGTTAGCTCAGAAAAAGCTCATTTTAGAAGGGTTAAAAAGCACTTTCTGATTTTCTTTTTCTGCCAAAATAAAATTTAGGACCCACTCATGCCAAAAATCCAAAAAAAACAAAATCGAGCAATGTACTAAAATTTTCATTTACCGAGACCTTAATACTATAGGATAAAAGCGAGAAAAAGGGAAGGTAATAGAGATGAAATCCTGGGGTCGGGAAGAGATTGCGTTGCGTTGTTTTGTTCCGTAGCTGAACTACTGCCTAGAACATAGCAGGAACATACAAAACTGATACAACTCGAAGGATGACATCTGCTATTGCAAGAATGGCTGCTAAAACATCTCTTTACAGCCTGAATTTTCTTTCTATCTGTTTGTAATTATAGCATCATATTTCACGTTATCCCTTATTGTTGAAATATATATACCCATACCTGTAGTCATTTGTTTTAATAGGCCCTGAGGTAAAAAGGCGGCAATTATATCAAGTTCCTTTGAGGAAAATAAGCCATTCTTTTTTCGCTGATTCATAAATCTTTAATCGTAGCTGACTGGATCCCTCATATGGATCCAGTGGTTATTTCGCTGTTCCTTGCTTACCATGCCAGTAGAATGTGCCTTTTATACCCCAAACGCCAAGGCAGGGTACCTAACCTTATACAAGGTGCCTGGCCTTCTATCCTCCCATTCAGAGCCCATCTTCTAAACTCAGTTCGATTTTGTATGTTTTTTTTGCAGATTTTCCTATCTAATGTTAAGTGCACTGGAGATGAGCACTCACTTCTTGAATGCGAAAATGATGGCTTTGGTGTGACTGGAGACTGCACTCACAAGAATGACGCTGGAGTTCGATGTCTCAAGGAAGGTAAGCCACTTTACCAAAAATAAATATACCAGTTACTTAGTGCTTCCCATTCTGCCAAAATTTCCAGACATTTGAGTCGAAACATAATTCCGAATACGCTCGATTACCAACCGCTGTTCGGGGAAATGAGCCCACACTCACCCCCTGTCTTCGGAGAGGATCAAAGACCGGACCCGGGAGACGGCGGAAATCGAGCCTAAATTACGAACTATCTTTCAGTTATGTTAAACTCCAGGCCTGGTTAAACTCGGAGATTGACAAACTTTCAAACTGGTTTAAAACAAACAAGCTTTCTCTAAATCTTAAGAAGACTAAATTTATGGTCTTTAAACCAAGACAAAAGCGTTCAATTTGTAACATTCAAATAAGTTTAGATAATCAAAATATTGTTAAAGTAAAGGAGGCAAATTTTCTAGTAGTAATTTTGGATGAAAACCTAAATTGGAAGTCGGAAATATCACACGTTGCAAATAAAGTTGCAAAGTCAATCGGTATAAAATCTAGATGCAGCTCCTTTCCTCCTAAATCATCTCTACGTATGCGCAACATTTTTGTATTGGACTCGTATAGAAAACGGAAACAGAAATGTTTTGGTTTGTTTGCGGCGTCCCCGGTGATTTTGTATCGGGAATCTAACGCGAATTTCGTGTCTGAATATAAGGAAACGGTTCTCTGATTTACCGATGTGCTTAAATACCAGCGATGTCGAATTCTCTGAATCTAATGAAGCCGGAATTACTAATAAATTCGGAAAAATCTACTAGAGTAAAACTACCTTCGCAAATCCGCGTTTCATCTTTCAACTTGCTTAGTTCCACTGGTCTCTGACCATGTAAAGAGGCAAACTGATCTGGTGGTTGTTAAGGATCTTTTCATGATATCTGCCAATGTCGCTTTTGAACTTGTTTTATATATGGAAAATTACGCGCTTTGCAACATGCGATGTTATAGTTAATTGCCACCCTGCTTTGCTTATTCCTTAGTTTGTTCTTTTTGCGCTGAATCTATTTACATTTTATTAGTTCTATCTCATGAAAAATACAGTGCCTAGAATTATGGTCGTAAAATGACCAAAAATTTTGTGCCGCATAATCATAACCAAAGACTACTATTCTGTTGTTCGCATAGTATTTGAGCGGAGCCTAATATGCTAGTTGTGTTTCCTTCTTAGACTCCCCTGAACTGGACTACTTGGGCTGCTGGATAGACAATCCTAACAAAAGAATTTTGTCGGATTTGTACTCGAACCGCAGAAAAGATATTAATTGGTACAACATCGGAGAAACCGTTTTGAATTGCGCTAGGGATGCTGCGAACTCTTCGAAAGACTATAATCTTTTTGCTGTGCAATACTTTGGCGAGTGTTGGTCCGAGGAAGGAAATCCTGATTACAAGAAGATGCGGGGATCACCCGAAGGTTGCCAGTATGGTATGCTATCTTTAAAATTCTCTCTTAACACTAAAAAGGCGCGAGCAATTCATCAAAATCCACAGGGAACGTTTTGGCTTTCACACACCAGAAGCAAGATAGGTTCGAAGACTGCAAATATCTTTCAACGCACAATAAACAGCACCACGGGAAAGTACTTTCTGGTAATCTCTTATTTGATTGTCAAGCTTCAGGACCCTTAAAAATTGTAGTTTAAAACACATTCCAACGCTATTTTTGTTTTTTATAACTTGTCTACTTCCCCCCCGATTCTAAACATTTCTCATTTCGATATACACTCTATCAATTTACCTTGCTCAATTCAAATTTCACTCTCTTTCAGAAATTAAGCGTTAGTTGAAAAAAAAGTACAAAATCTAATTATGTGTTAACTGAGCTTTTTAAATTTTTTTTTTTCGGCCCAAAAGACCCCTTAACCTTGGGGACTTAAGTACAGAATTACTTAGGGTTTTTTGAAGTTGTTCAGAATTCTCGAAGTTCCTGTTTTACGAGTCGATTTTCTATTTCTGCTGAGTATTTCTAGAGCAATAAGGTTGCTATATTGACACACCAGGAGCCGAGTAATCGGCTCCTGGACACACCCAATCGCGGTTTTCTTTTCTTTTCTTTTCTCATTTTGTCGTAAGAAATGTTCTAGAAACCCCTCTGTGCTGTCCCACAGCCTTTCTAATGAATACTTTCTTGGACAGGTGTTGGAGACCTGTCCCACAATGCTGTTTATGGATTCAAACCTTATTTTGACCTGGGCTGCTGGAACGACAAACCAGGGAATGGTCGAACAATGGTTCTTCTCAAGAGTCTTCGCAAACATATCGACTGGTATGATTTGGGAAAAACAGGTACGTAGGACAACGGTTATAAAAGCCGGCCAAAAATACAAAGACGAAAACGATGGTGTCCATTTTCCGTTTGGAGCTCCCTGACAAAATAATTTGACTGCGCCTGTTACTCAGGCTACACAATCTTTGGTCTTTGTTTCGCAAAAAGTGATCAGATAAAACACATAAGAAAGTAATCTTTCGGGTTTCATAACCATTGTACGTTATTAACCATGCCATAAACAATATCTTTGTACTTTCATTGTCGGCTTTAAGTCCCAATAGTGACTAACGTCAATTTTCTCCCAACAATATCCATACAATGTCAAGAGATAAGGTTATGAGAATTAATAAAATGATCACCTAGAGGAAAATGCCTTGATCTTTTATTAAATTCTCTCAACTCATTCATGAAGGAAATGTATGGAGATCAGTTTGGAGAATTTGTATGTGGATATTGGGGCTTAAAGGGTTAATGAGGGATTGAATGGGTAGAGAAGAGTTTCGCGCGTAGGAAGGGAATAAATAGAATTTTTATTGTTTATTTGTTCTTTTTTATTATTTATTTTTAATCTTGCAGTGACTGCTTGTTACAACTTAACAAAGCAGGCAGGAAAGAAATACTTTGCGGTTCAGTTTTATGGCGAGTGTTGGGTGTCCGATGATGATTTGAAGTATAAGAAATATAGCCAGGCTACAAATTGTTACCAAGGAGTCGGCGCTAGCTGGTCCAATTATGTTTACAAGATACGAGCGTAAAGTAAGAATGGCGCATTTGAATATATTTATATAGATATTTGCGCCTTATAACTTTTGCCGAAATTATATTAAATAAACTTAAGAAAGAATTTAATGTAAAATATGATGAATAATACTGTTAAAATCCGTTATCAACTTTACACTTTTCAGTTTGTCTGTTACGGTGAGAGAAATGAACAAAAGGGGACACTAAATCTGTCTGCGTTCGCAGGCTATCCACAATTGGTCTCTGCCTTTCTTTTGCATAATTACCGCTGGCCTGTTATATACGTGTTAGGCGCGAAGTCATAGAGCTAGCCTGCGTAGCAAGCGTTTCCGTGCGGTTTAGGAACAAAGAACGAAGAACAAGAGTCAAAGACGTCGCGAAAAATGGCGCAAGTAAAAGAGCGGGCAGGGGGAGGGGAAGAAAGGAAGTTTCCTTTCTTCCCCTCCCCCTCCCCCCTCTTTCATTTTTTGGCATTCGTTTCATTTCTCGCGCGGCCAAAGCCGAGGATCCCGTTCCTCGACCTCGGTCTTTTTTTTCTCCCTAATCAAACAGAAACGCTTGCTACGCAGGCTATCATAGAGCGGGAAACTGAGGAGGAACTGAGAGGGAGACCCCCTCGCTCGCTGTTTTTCCTTCTTACATCTCTTTGAGCCGTCCCCAAAATCTAAACGCCTGAAACAGGCTAATTTACTGCTTGAAAACAGAGTACTGTGTTTGTTTGTTTGCTTGTTTTAGAGTTATTACTTATGCAAAAAACCTTGAAGTGATAAACGTAGTAATTTAATATAGTAATACGTAATATATTTTTTTGTCTTTTTCTCTCCTTTCAGTTTAAGATGTTCATCCAGTTTCCTGCTAGAGGCTCTCATATTCCAGCAATCCACTTTATTTACCCCGGCAAAGTATTTTGATTTCTTGAACTTAGTAATTGGCAGTTTAACAGACGTTTATTGCACGTAGACAAACGATTTCGATAAGGGATGCTCATATGATGTAATTTGTATCATTAGAGACATCTGAAATATCTAAATAGACAAGTTATTGACGAGAAATAAAGCAATTGAACTGAAAATTGAACTTGTTTAGTCCTTGAGTTGCGGATTTCACCCCCGGGGGGAACTCAAAAAAGTTTTATACGGGGATCCTCCACCCCGCTGTCCAACCCTGTACTCTTTTATTTATCATTTTTGACAAAAAGTTGCCCCTTTCCTATACCTTCTATTGACAAATGGAAACACTTTCACATACCTAGTTTACAACTTTGCATCCATTTTAACCGCTGTAAAAGCGCTGTCCTTAGGTCAAGTAGAATTGTCCACACGGCTAATTTGAAAACCAATTTTGAATATTGAAGTTACTACCGTACATAAATAACGTTCATTCATTCATTCATCCACCACCACCACCACCACCACTCACCACCACCACCACCACCACCACCACCACCACTCACCACTCACTCACCACCACCACCACCACCACCACCACTCACCACCACCACCACCACCACTCACCACCACCACCACCACCACCACCACCACTCACCACCACCACCACCACCACCACCACCACCACCACTCACCACCACCACTCACCACCACCACCACCACCACCACCACCACCACCACCACCACCACCACCACCACCACCACCACCACCACCACCACCACCACCACTCACCACCACCACCACCACCACCACCACCACCACCACCACCACCACCACCACTCACCACCACCACCACTCACCACCACCACCACCACTCACCACCACCACCACCACCACCACTCACCACCACCACCACCACCACCACCACCACCACCACCACCACCACCACCACCTCACCACCACCACCACCACCACCACCACCACTCACTCACCACCACCACCACCACCACCACCACCACCACCACTCACCACCACCACCACCACCACCACCACCACACCACCACCACCACCACTCACCACCACCACCACCACCACCACCACCACCACCACCACCACCACCACCACCACCACCACTCACCACCACCACCACCACCACCACCACCACCACCACCACCACCACCACCACCACCACCACCACCACCACCACCACCACCACCACCACTCACCACTCACCACCACCACCACCACCCACTCACCACCACCACTCACCACTCACCACTCACCACCACCACTCACCACCACCACCACCACCACCACCACTCTCCACCACTCACCACCACCACTCACTCACCACCACCACCACTCACTCACTCACTCACTCACTCACTCACTCATTCATTCATTCACAATATGTTGTCGGTCATGTCGCGATAATTCTCATCCCCAGTTTCCACGGTCTCCACTAGGAATGCGGCCTGGGACCCGCGATGACTTCCTGAGTAAATTTTGCTGGGTGTATGTGCCGCTGGCCTCTCAGACCCCTACCCCATTATAGTCTATTCTGTGACCAATTATAGACCCCATCTTAGTCAATTTTGGGTAAATATGTAATTTTCGCGATCCCAATTTGGTCACTTTCTATTTTCACGAACGGACCCAAAAAATACGAAAATGTGCGACCCAATTCTAGTAACTCTGTTGAAAATGCTACCCCATTATAGTCAATCCAGTCGTGAAAATGCGACCTCATCCGGCGGCACATCCCCATTAATAAAGGATTAAATTAGCTGCAAAAACCGTGGACGAAGATCCTGCTAGTTGTAAATGTTGGATCTATAGAAAAGAGATCAAATCAGCCAAAATATAAAGAACCAAGAACAAGAAGTCCAAAGACTAATGCAAAGCTGATTTAAAACAACATCCCCATTAGCCTCTTTTAAGGAAGTAGCGTCCTCCCTGGGTTCCACGGATAACCAGGTAAGACATTTGGCTAACGGTTAGGCTGAACCCCCCAGCCTCCCCTCCCAGCCCAATGGCCACCTTACCTGTGGTCCTTGTACTACTTCACTATCGTTCTGCCTGTCGTGATAGGACTAGCCTCTGCGGGGAGGCTATGATAGGACTGGATGTCTAAGAAAAAGTTATGTAAAATTGGTAGTCTTTACACTAGAGCCTAAACAGGCTAAGAAATATTTCAAGACAAGTAAATTTTAAATTCTTCAAGTAAAAGAAAGCTTCACACACAACCTATCTTTTTTACTTCAGGTTTACTTAGGGCCTCTTCATATGAGCCCGGTTGACCGGGCCGGTGAGATCTCGCCTCACCTCTAAATCCTTTGTAAAATTTTCGATGTGTTCATATGAGAGGGCGGGCTGACTCGGTTCCGGAGATCTCGGTTTTTCCAACCGAGATCTCGGTAAGCGGGCTGGAAATTTTGCCATATGAACACTTCATCCCGGTTACCGGGATGAACGGCGGGATGAATTCTGGCGGTCCGGATGGCATCGTCTTGCAGTGCCTGCTGTATTTTCCACATCATAAGCATCCCATTTAACTGCAGTGATACAGCTTTAAGAGTTACCGATGCTAAGATAAGTCCAAAAGTTAAAACATTTGTGTTTCGCCATGTTTGCTTTGTTTCCTAAATTTGGCGCCAGAACTCGTACCCAGGATCTTTGACCTTTTCTCATCTCGGAAACCGGGCTGAAATTTCTCATATGAACCCAAAGCAAAATTCATCCCGGTAACCGAGCCAGCCCGGTCAACCGGGCTCATATGAAGAGGCCCTTTAATAAGCCTAGTTTCCCACGAAACATAATTAAGATTGATTGACATGCTTCGCCTTTTTCAAAGCTTAGAAACCGCAAGTTCGCTAAGTTGGTTTTAAGGATCGGTGAGGGTAAAAGGCGGAATGAGTTTGCGGAATGGCATGTGGCATGGCTTGCGGAATGACATAATTATGCGGAATTTAATATACGCTGCTGAATGATCAAAAGAAATAAATTAAACTGAAAAGAGCACCCTTTTTTGGCGCCAATCAATTTGCAAACGCAGCCGCTGTTTTAATGTTGCGGGCTTAACCTTTGATGACAATAAAAAAAAAACCACGAAGGCTCATTGTCGACCAGCCTTTTCCGCACAGCCAAAAAGATTCTTCGTCTATTGAAGAAAAGATGTTTTCGAAGGTCACGCTCCCTTCTACTTTAATTTTTTCTACAAAAGATGCTTGTACGATTAACTCAACAGTTTCTTGTTACCTATATTTGTATTCGAAACCGTGTGAGAAGTGTTTCTTTATGAGACTGTGGGTTACGTGATCGTGACATAATTGATAATATTATTCAGAGATGAATGAATCTTGTATTTTGTTTCCTCAACTGCGAGCTTGAGACGTGCGAAACCGGAAAAATCGACCAAAATCTTAATTTCGTGACAAGAGTTGAAAAATCAATTTCTTTCATTTTTGTTCATAGATAGCTTTTAGGTAAAAGAGAAACCTAACGTAGATTGTTCCCGCCGAAAGCCTTTTATTCGGGGAGAAAAATAGAAGATCGGTTTTCGATGTCGCCGGAGTCTCAGACTGCATTAATTTTAACCTGAAATTCGCTAACATCAACTTTCCTCGCGTTCGCAAACGAAGCTGGATGGAGAAATTTGGACGCTTTCCACGAACAGAAAAATAATTTTCCTTCCACTAGAAGATACTTTCTGGACAATAGGGAAGCTGGTCGTACTGAAATAATTTTAAAAATGAGGGATAGGTTTTCAGGATAACAAAAATTATCAGTTCGTTACTCATTTTCGCCGCCAATATTTAACATGTGGTATAACTCCAAATTCTCTTCTTGCGATTTAAATCACACATTTAGACATTCATTTAAAATATACCTGGGAATTGGCTTGGGTAAGTGAAGGAAATCTCTATAAGACACCATCGAAGTTCAGGAATTTTCATGGTAGGCTGGCGGTATAAATTGTCTGTATTCTGTAAACACTTCCAATTTCGAAACGCACATAAACAGATATTTACAGCCCAATGACTCGTTTTTCGTACGTCTTTTAGGTTTTCCCTTTGCAAAATTGCTTTTTTCAATCAAAGAATGGGGTAAAAAGGTGAAACTGGGTCAATTTTAGCCATTTTGAAACACTGAACTTTACCTGGCGGCGACTCTGCGTGACAGTCTGTTCCGTGACTGCACGTGGCACAACGTACGTTTGAAGAGACGGAGCTGTCAAAATCACAGTCACGAAATCAAGGTAGTAACGCAACGTAATTCTTGATCGAAGGAGTAACACTTTCGGTGCCGACAGTATTTTGAAGAAGCAAAAAATCAAATGCACAAGTATTCTGGGATTCACTTTCTATCGACTCAAAAATAAGGACTCTAACAATGGTATTAAATTCGCTAAGGATAATGGAGAAAGAAGATATTTCGTCTTGCTAAGGGACGGACCATTAGAAAACTTATGGGGGGGGGAGGGGAATTTTCGAGCCGCAGGAATTTTTTTTCGTTATCAAATTCCTTGTATGAATTTTTTTTAGGCCATAGCATGAATATTTTTTAGGGTTAATTGGCTTGCAAGAATTTTTTTTCATTTAATTTTCCCTTGCGCGAATGTTTTTTTTGGACTTCGCCCGCCCGCCCCCCCCATAAGTTTTCTAATGGTCCGTCCCTAATCGAAGAAACTAAGTTATTTTGCTCACGCCTCAGTATATTTACCGGACTTCAATGTTTTCGTGTGGAGGCTGTCTTCAGGAACCCTAGCTAATTCTCGGGTATGTTTTAGATAAATGTCTAAATGCGTGAACCAGTAAAGCAGTTGTTCACTCAAATTGGCGCCAAAAAAGGGGCGTCAATGACCCGCGCATGCCTTTCAGTTTAATTTATTTCTTTGCGCCAATTTCCATATTTTACATTCCGCATAATTATGTCATTCCGCAAGCCATGCCACATGCCATTCCGCAAACTCATTCCGCCTTTTACCCTCACCGTTTAAGGATGGTTTTCAAGTCACTTGAAACTTTCTTGAATCGTTTCAACTTTCGGACTTTAATGAGATGCAAAGTAAAGTTCCTTGAGAGTGGTGATGTAAAATTTAGCTGCTAACAGCCTAGTACACTCACCAGAAAGATTTTGGAAAATTGGGGATCTCATGACTAACACGTGACACGCTTAGACAATCTTTGATTCAAGATGGCGGAACGTAGTGGAGAGAAAACTCCTCTGATAGGAAGCAAAGATTTATATGGCTCTGAACAACAACTGTCTGGTTGCGGAGCCACAGTTTGCTGCGACCCGAGAAGAAATCTTCATCGTTATTTTGTTCTGGGTCTAATATGCTTCTTGAGCTTCGGTAAGACTCGCTACTTCTACTGTCACGAACGAATCTTAGCTCGTAGATTTCCTGGCTGCAGTTGACGGGAAAACTTAGTGAAGAGGGTTTCTTTCTTATAGAATCTCAACCTTATTTAAGCCTACCGATAGGAAACTTTCCTCAGTGCAAGTAAAAATACAGTGAAAGGTTAAAACAGAGAAAGGGCACTTGGAAAGTAGGAGCTTTCAGGTCACTTCCGGCGAAAGACACTTTAATTTTGTTTTTGCCACAACATTTTATAACCTAACTCTCTGGACTTTTAAATGCTAAAAATTATCTAGTCCTAGGTACAAAGAGAAACTATTTCCCCGGGGGGAACTGCCATATATGGGCTACTGATAAAGACTAAAAGTTGTAGAGTTTGGGTCTAGAGTTAGGCTCGATTACCAGCTTTTGTTCGGGAAAATGAGCCCGCACTCATCCCCCCCCCCCCCCCCATCTCTCTTCGGGGAGGATCAAAGACTGGACCCGGGAGACGGCGGAAATCGAGCCTAGTCTAGAAATGGCCACAAAGAAAGGGCACGTGAGGAAGACACGCGAGGAGAAAGGGACATCAAATACACATTAGCGGAAGCGGCGACAGACAAAACATTTGTCTAATCGTTGATCAGAGGAAATATTCTTTGTTCAGAAAGAACTTCACCGCTTGCATTGTTGATCGAACGCATACCATCAAAACCTGGACAATATTAATGAAATGAAACGCTTACCAAGGGTATGAATTTGAAAAACCTTTCGCTATTGTTATTATTTGCTTGAAGGTGACCTGATTGATGTTAATGTCTCGTTGCTGCAGCCAATAAAAACGTCTCGGTATAGTTTGTGTTCTGAAGTTTAGGTCCGTTTGGTAAGACATGTCTGCTCCAAAAATGGCTGCCACTTTGTGCAGTAAAGGCAATGGTCATTTTCCACATAGGCTGTGATCTTTGGTGTCTGTACAGTTGTGATTTTGTAATCTCAGAGATCAATAATTAGCTTTTTATAATACACAGCCATTTTTGAGTCAGTGTTTTTATTTTTTTGTATTTATTGTGTCTTTGGTTAAGAATGATTTTATGCTGTGTGTTTACTGTTGGTTTATGACCCCATCACTCTATAATCAGATAACACAGCTGATCTTTATAACACATATATGTAGACCGTGGATTTAAATGTATAATGCTTTGGCACGCTTTGTTTGTGTGAGGGCAATCGTTTTCTGTCAAAATATTTAACAGATTATGCAGCGTCTGCCAGGTAATTGGATAGGGGGCAGGAAACGATTTTCATGGGCCTCTAGGGCAGGTGCTCCCTCTTCCCTAACGTGTCTCCCTCATGCGCTCGGTTCTCTCTTGCGCCCATTACTTCCAAGCACCTTCTACGAAGGCTAAACTAGAATAGGCTATCCCTTTCCTGGAAACTGATCAACTGGTTGAATTTTCAAAATTTTGAACTGGTTCGAAAAAAGTTTGAACCCAGAAAAAGTATTCATACCAAGGTTGTTTTATCATGTCAAATAGATTACAGTGCTTTCTAATCATTGCTTTTGCATCAAAAGATCAGCATTATCGTACTGTTTTTGTCATCTAGGAAGCTATTATTGTTATGACAATCCAGCAGCCTTAGAGAATCATATAAAACAGGTATTTATTAAGTCTTCACACTGTTTAGCATTCTAGTATCATACTTATGAAGAGGATTAAGTGGATCTACCTCTTATATACATGATCATGGCATCATGGGATGGTTACTGGTTTATGATGACTATTTCATGTCTGCTAAGCTAGATCAGACAACGGAGGAAATTAAGATAGTATTGGAATACAACTTGTATTTCACCCTGCAAAACTTTTTACTTCAGAGCCTAAGTGTAAAAAAAGTGCTCACTAATTATTTCACAATTGTGATTTTCTTCAAGTCTTTGACTTAAATGATCACTTAACTGTTACACTATAACAAACTATGGTTTGCATTTGAATTTTTGTCATTCTCACGTGACCAGTACAGGTGTCCCACATGAACATGTGACTTTTTCTCCATTTTAGAAAGGCAGCAACATCAGTTTGCAGTTGAAATGATCGATGTATTACTATGCGTTAGGGAAGAATTTTTCTGTGTGGAAAATCAATTGGAAGAGATTATGGTCACTGCTTAGTGATAATACTTTGAGACGGTGGTTGAGATGTTTCAGCAGAGTTTTCTCCTGGCCTTATTAAGAGCATTTATCTTTTCATCTAGAACCATGAACTTTTGTTATTATTAGCCTTTCTAAAAGGGAAGAAAACAGTGACAAAACCCTTCATAATAATTTCTTACAATTCTCAGTAATAATTGATTCTACATTTTTTATTCTTGACTCCTGTGGCAACCAAACTAGAAGAGCCAGTGTTCAGTTTTTCAAGTCATTGTGTTATTTGTTGAAGAAACAACTTTTAGAGCCTTTTAATTTTTGACAGTATGTATTTCTTTCTTTCTCTGTTCTCAAGGACATGGATGTACAGACTGATAAATATGTGTTGCTCTACTCGCTCTACTCATATCCTAATGTGATTCTCTGCTTCTTTGGTGGATTTTTACTTGACAGGGTGTTTGGTGTAAGGTAATAATTTTTTCCTCTGTCTTTAAATGTTTTAATTTAATGTTAATTCTAAATCAATCCATTTTCATAGCATTAATTGACACATATAAAACATGAAGAGAGTAGTGGGGAAGGACTAACAGAGAACATAAGAACCATACAAGCTACAATGAGGGACAAAAGTGTTGAGACACTTCTATAAAAAGGCCCCTTTTTGCATCGTGGAAATAACTGTTCCCTCCTCCAGTGTACTCTCACCCCTAACCCTAAAATCAATATTGTATTTGACACCCTCAAGTCCTTCTTTTTCTACAAACAACATTGGTTTGGGGGTAGGGGGATTTATGGCATTAAAACAGAATTAAATAACATATGTACACGAATGAAAATGTTGATAAAAGCTCGTGTTGTAGACAAGTGTCAGCAACTTATGTCCCTGATTGTAGTCCATCCAAATGTATGAAAAGAAAAGGAAAAATGTCCGACAAAGTGACATCTTTAAAACTGTCAATAATATCAACTGAAACCATGAAGATACTTTTGTCATTAGGCCAGTCAGGGTCAAAGTCCCTATTCTTTTTCTTGCATTTATTATAACTCTTGGTAATGTTTTTACGTGTATGAAGTATCGCAGGCTTAGTTTTTCAGTCCTAAGCTTACTAGGTAAGTTATTCCATAAAGTGATAATCTATTTATATATCACTGAAGGCATTTCTAGATGCTCATTTTTCTAATCTTAAATAAATTGAGCCTTCCAACTTTTCCCTCAACAAATTATAAAAATAAGTTTCTCCATTTACAACGCAGAATTATCTGGCTAACGTTAGGTAGCTTATAACTAGTTTTATTCAGACGTGAAGCCTCTTTCAAAATGTTCTCCTGTAATGTTACACCTTTCTCTTGCTACCACAATTCTTAATGAAAACCCTGATACGTGCTCAAATACTGTCTATCTCTCTTAGGCTTGGGACCATCATCTTCAGTTTGTTTGTGCTTACTGGTCAGGTGAGGTTGCTTCAAAAATGAACATTTCCTGCTTTCTCTCCTCCCCTCTTCTTTTACTTTTCTTTTGCCACTATTTTTCTTTTTTTCACTGGGTATTTACTAGGCTTTATTTCAGTGTCAAAAGTTACCCATTTTGGGAAACGATTTAGAACCATGGAATTTGATGGAGTTACAGTACTGCTCAAAAGTAAGTTGACAGTCAATCGTGTCTTGATCCTTGAGACTCGAGACTCAATTCTCGGTTCTCCAAACTTTACAGGATCGAGTCTTGAGTCTCGATGATCGAGGATTGAGGATCAAGTTTCAAATTTTGAGTTTAAGAGAACTTGTCATGAAAGTGCACTCTTTAAAAGTGTACACTTACCTTTCATTCTAAAAAATTACCGCTCTATGCATTGGGTGAGACTCGTTCACTTTCAAGTAAACAAAGCTTCTGCTTTGAAAGCGAAAAATGTTCACTTCTGGTCTCCTGTTAATAGTCCTTTTGAAACTTGCTTGAGTTCGGGCGGGTTTTCATCTAAATTTTCAGGTCAAATTTATTTGTTTGTTGTTTTTGCCCTCTTCTCTGCCCTCCATAATTGAATTGTGCTCATTCTGTCATGGTTGGAAAGATCTTTTTCTCCACTTATGTCCAGAAATGCATGCAATGGCGAAAATGGCGAAACTGGCGAAAAATCGCCAGCCGCTGGCGATTTGAATTGGATGCCAAAAGTGGCCCCTTGGAGGCTGGCGATTTTGGCAAAAATGGCGATTTTGGCGAAATTGGCGATTTTGGCAAAAATTGCCATGCATGCAATGGCGAAAATGGCGAAAAATCACCAGCCTCTGGCAATTTGAATTGGATGCCAAAAGTGGCCCCTTGGAGGCTGGCGATTTTGGCAAAAATGGCGATTTTGGCAAAATTGGCGATTTTGGCAAAAATCGTCATGCATGCAATGGTGAAAATGGTGAAACTGGCGAAAAATCACCAGCCTCTGGCGATTTGAATTGGATGCTAAAAGTGGCCCCTTGGAGGCTGGCGATTTTGGCGAAAATGGCGATTTTGGCGAAATTGGCAATTTTGGCAAAAATCGCCATGCATGCAATGGCGAAAATGGCGAAACTGGCGAAAAATCACCAGCCTCTGGCGATTTGAATTGGATGCCAAAAGTGGCCCCTTGGAGGCTGGCGATTTTGGCGAAAATGGCGATTTTGGCGAAATTGGTAATTTTGGCAAAAATCGCTTGAGGGCTGGCGATATGTGGCAAAATATTCAAATTGGATGCCAAAAGTGGCCCCTTCAAAGTAGATAACTAAAGAGGTCCTTATAACTGTGAGGCAACAGTACTAAAAAAAAGTTCAAATTACTTGCCTAATAAGAGGCCCCAATAACTGTGAGGCAACATTTATCAAATACAACTGAATCAAATATATGACAAAACAGCTTTACCTAACTGTCAAACAACATTATTTTATCAAATACAACTGAATCAAATATATCTGAAAACAACAAATGCAAGTCGTTTCAGTTAAGCTAATATGTATTTGTGCCATGTACTTCACAGGTTAAGTAAACATTTCCTTACTTTCGATGTCGCTTGACTTACCAAAAGTGATGTGATGCGCTGAAATATCACACTAGCATCACTTGCTTTTGTATGGTTCATTCCTTTCAAAGACTTACAAGTCCACTAATTACTCGAGGAGAGAACTACCAAGTCCTTGAAATCATAATAATTCCTTGCCATGGACACTCTAACTTTTGAGGTTCGATGTAGACCTTAACAATCCTCACTGGTTACAATTCTCTTCACATTGGTTCCATTAAATTGTGAGGCAGCCTTAAATCAAAAGCGATTGCGAAACGCATGGTTCCTGGCTAAAAGATGCTTTCACGATAACCAGCTAGTGTGTGCCCTTCATTCTTTTTTGGTTCTCCACTATACACATTATCTTCTTTCGTCGTTTTAAACTCTTCACTTTCTTCTCGCACTTACTTCCTTTGCTCTTTAGAGAAACGGTCCCCTAAAAGTAACGAAAGCCGAAATGTCCAGCAGCTTGCGTGCGCCATTTTGAAATGTGTGATTTCGCTTATTTCCACTTTATGTAAACCTGCACGAAATGTCACTTGTGCCCAATACTTCACCGCATTTATTGAACATAAACATTGGATCAAAGCAATAACTTGTTTGTCTCTTTCATAAAACATATCCCATTCAAACTAATTCTGTATCTTTTCATCAACTAGATATATAAAAAGAGAGTGTACATGTTTGTCTCGTTCTTCAAAAATGTGTCCCATTATTGCTTTATGAGGTGGGGCCAGAAATTTAGAAAATGTATTGTTTTTTTGCGCTGAGACCACCAAACCAATTCTCAGTACAATATGTTTCCATTAAATTGCTAATGCTAATGCTCGTCGAAACACGTCACCCGGCCTTTTTACCTTCTATTTTAACAATTGCCTGAGAGTCCCTGTGAACGACATTAATCGTTTTGCTTACATAGAGGAGCTATAAACATAGAGTGACCACCAAAGTCAGCTGGGAATGACACTAATCGTTTCTACTTACATAGAGTAGTTATCCAAAATCGACTATTTCAACATGGTCGCCGCGTCTGTATAACAACTACTAAACCTTATACGTTCATGTTCTGTGAAACTGCAATGAACCAGCTCGTTTATATATACTTGTACGATTGAACGCCATTATAACAAACAGGATGGATGTACAAGGCAATACGGACCATCTAATTATCTGACTGCGTAGCCAAGAACCAACCTCCTCATAACATATAATGTTGAACTGTCGCTATTCAAACAATGCCTACAAGCCTGGAAAATTAAGGATACCTATCTTGGATTTTTTGGTAAGAAAGTTGCCATGAACATTACGAAGATTACCATTTACTGATAATTGAATACAACTCGTTGGCCATTCGATTTGAATTGAGCAAGAAATTAGTTATAAGTGGTAATTCCCGACCGAACACTCTTGTGTGGGACGAATTTCAAATCACAAGAGGTTATCAATTAAAGGTAAAAGCATTAAAAACAGATTAATGACACTTAGTGTCATTATTAGTATACAATTATACTACTGGAAACATTTTTATAGTAATATGTGGTTAACTATTTGGCAATTAATAGCCATTTCAAAAGGGACCCTTTGCTATGTCATTTCAATTTGTCTTGACAAATTAGGTATTTCATCGAGTAATTGCCATTTCTGCCAAAACACGTTTTAAGAACAAGGCCAACATGCACTCTATATTTTTTTTTATTTGTGGTTGATGAAAAGATACAGAATTAGTGCACGCCATTTTCGCCAAAATCCTCACTTTCCAAAGGGCCCCTTTGCCATCTCATTTGAATTTTTGTTTACAGTTTGGCGATTTTGGCGATTAATTGCCATTTCTGCCATTTTCGCCAAATACGCCATTTTCGCTGAAATCGCCACTTTGCAAAGGGCCCCTTTGCCATCTCATTTGAATTTTTTGTTGACAGTTTGGCGATTTGGTGATTAATTGCCATTTCTGCCATTTTCGCCAGCCATCGCCATTTTCGCCGAAATCGCCACTTTCCAAAGGGCCCTTTGCCATCTCATTTGAATTTTTGTTTACAGTTTGGCGATTTTGGCGATTAAGCGCCATTTCTGCCATTTTCGCCAAACGCCATTTTCGCGAAATCGCCACTTTGCAAAGGGCCCCTTTGCCATCTCATTTGAATTTTTGTTTACAGTTTGGCGATTTTGGCGATTAAGCGCCATTTCTGCCATTTTCGCCAAACACGCCATTTTCGCGAAATCGCCACTTTGCAAAGGGCCCTTTGCCATCTCATTTGAATTTTTGTTTATAGTTTGGCGATTTTGGCGATTAATTGCCATTTCTGCCATTTTCGCCAAAACGCCATTTTTAGCGAAATCGCCACTTTCAAAAGGACCCTTTGCCATCTCATTTGAATTTCTGTTTACAGTTTGGTGATTTTGGCGATTAAAAGCGCCATTTCTGCCATTTTAAGCCAAATCGCCATTTTCGCCGAAATCGCCACTTTGCAAAGGGCCCCTTTGCCATCTCATTTGAATTTTTGTTTATAGTTTGGCGATTTTGGCGATTAATTGCCATTTCTGCCATTTTCGCCAAAACGCCATTTTCGCCCCGAAATCGCCACTTTGCAAAGGGCCCCTTTGCCATCTCATTTGAATTTTTGTTTATAGTTTGGCGATTTTGGCGATTAATTGCCATTTCTGCCATTTTAGCCAAATACGCCATTTCGCGAAATCGCCACTTTCAAAGGACCCCTTTGCCATCTCATTTGAATTTCTGTTTACAGTTTGGCGATTTTGGCGATTAAGCGCCATTTCTGCCATTTTCGCCAAATACGCCATTTTCGCCGAAATCGCCACTTTGCAAAGGGCCCCTTTGCCATCTCATTTGAATTTTTGTTTATAGTTTGGCGATTTTGGCGATTAATTGCCATTTCTGCCATTTTCGCCAATGCGTGCATTTCTGGACATATCTCTTTTTCTCCTGCACAAGTTACATGGCAATGTAGTCCTTGACCATTAAAACTGATGATGTCACAAGGGGTACAAGGGGTGTAGATCTGACAGCACAGGCGGTTACATGTTGATCAGGGGCGAATGAGTTAAAAATGTATAATCAAACAGACTTGTGTTTTTGTTCAGGCTGTTGGTTACCCTACATGTACATTTACGTACATTGTTATTGTGGAGCGTTTATTTTGAGCAGTATGCTCACTAGGCTCATCTATTTCATCCTTCTTTCTTTTTTAGCTCATTTTTGCGCTTGGAGGTTACATCCATAGTTTTACAGTGATGGAGATAGGACGATTTGTTTTTGGGTAAGTGCAATATTTAGAAATACTATGTAATACTAGGAAGTGAAATTTAAATTATAATATTGTTGTGATTTTGACATGAACCGTACATCCAAGGCACAATCAAGAATCTCTTGGTCATCCCGAGGAAACAAAGGCAGATGCCATCACTTGAAATAAACGCTCTTTAGATAATCTTTAAATAATACAGTTGATGTGGTTCACTTGTACGAGTATATTCCATAATAAGTTTAGTAAATGAATGGAGAGGTAAAGGAAATTTAGAATCAGACTGGGTTGAAACCATTTTAACCTGAATTTCATATTGAAATACGCCAAATTCAGTGTACATATGTGACAAAAAGACTATTCAGTACACCATTGCTTTTAATTGACAGTAATACTACTGACTAGATGTTTTGCAACATTTTTTCATGTTGTATTGTTAGTTTAGGAGGAGAGAATTTGGCTGTTGCTCAGAATACCTACTCCGTGAGTTGGTTCAAAGGAAAAGAGTTTAAACACTGTGTTTGGTCTTCAACTTAGTTTCTCTAGAGTGGTAAGGTTGGACACTGCAGAACTGCAAGTCCTTAACTTATAATTAACTAAGAGAATATTTACAGCTAACACTGTAGGCACGGAACAGAGTTTTAATGGGTGGGTTCACACTTTGGGTTCAGAGGGTGGGTGGGTTCAGAGCTTATAATGTATAAGTCAGCTTCCTTACAGATCAGAAGACTTCAATGAAGTCCTAACCATTTAGTGAGAATGATTAAAAAATTACATATAACTCTAATAGCAAGGTGTACTGGCCCTGGAATCTTGTGCAAGATGTCTCTAAAAGCACAGTACCCAAGTATGACTTGAAATTGAGTTTGAAGCCTCCAATATTGATATCCTATCTCACTGAAAATAATTGTAATGAAAAGTAGACACTTGTGCTTGCAACCACTATTATAAGAAGGAAATTAAAGAATGATCTGTTTCTTCAGGGCTTCAAGTATTAAGACATACTTTGCATAGTACTGGGCTGTTGTATGATAGAAACCTATTATCAACTACTGTTGACAAGTTCCACTCGTTGTTTAATTGCCCTGGATAATCTTTCACAAACTTGTGCTAAATGACGGCAAGTCACCGGTTTGAATTACAGAGTGAAACCAAAGACGATCATTAACAATTAAGGAAATTGAGGAAATGTCTCTCCCGTAGTCGTTGTAGGAAGCCGAAAAGGGTTTTATTTTAAGTCACTTAACCTGAAAAAGCTTCTTCTACTAAAAAAAATTAAATAATCGTGGCAATATAATACAGTTACAGAAAGAAACAGCTTACCTTCCTCCATCGTGCTCGCTCCTGCGGAAAACTATAGTAACAAGAATCACTTCGTGAATTTTACCGGGGCCACTTTTGTCTTGGCAACCCACGTGGAAGGGTCGTTTTCATCAACAAGTTTGTCGGGCGACATGAAAATCTTTTTTATTGCAAATATTCTTTAGAGATGAAAACAAGGTGTAATGAATAATGTGAAAAGAGAAAATGTTAGGGAATCCCCCATTTTGAACAGTTGAGAGTTTTCGCCTGTCGCTAACGTAACTAGAGACCTTTAGATTCGAGGACGAGAACGACTACGAGTACGAGATTTGACTTGAAGTTTTTTCGCGTATTCTCAAAATATAGACTTCCCGAAAAGCTTCATTTTACCGTTTTTCACTAGAAAAGTTAGCACTGTTACCTTTAGTGAAGGAGGTTACGCGCTTTCCCCATCGCAAAATGATAAAACTTCTAACATTTGACAACTTGTTTTCGCCACCACGACATTCGCGCTAAAACTCGTAGTAGAATGACGACGGCTGCCGCGTTTTCCCGCCAAAATGACGCTGGTTCACGCACGTGCACTACTTAGTGTTGAGAAAATCTCGTACTCGTAGTCGTACTCGTCTTAGAATCTAAAGGTCTCTAATATTGCGTGACAAAGGTTATGTGAAACAGTCTTTTTTGGTTTTTCATTAGTTAAAGCGTCTAGATCGCCTTGTACCACGTTTTTTAAGATAATATAAAGTTAGCTTTGATAAGTGTTCGCATTGATTCTCGATAAATTTCTTGATGGAAGGTTCACTCTTAAGCGATCGCTCGTAAATTTGTCTCTCCAAATATTCACTCTCAAGTTTTCGCTCATAAACTAGTACATCGTAAAGGTTGGGGAACCTGTCGTTCCCAAAAAGCTATAATCTTTCTCTTGACTCTCCTCCATACCTCGTGCTTTTCAAAATGGAGGATAAGATTTCAGCGAACAATCCCAAAAGTAACGAGCCAGCGATATATCTTAGTCAGCGATATATCCCTAACAATGTAACTTTGAAAAGACAGAAACGCGTTGCATTTTATGACCGGTACAAGCCTTCGGCTAGGCCCCGGTAAAAATTTTCGCTGTGGCTGTATGGCCGGTAGACTGTTCACAGCACCCTATTTTTTCGTGACATCGTTTAGATATACCGCGTCTTACCGTCAAATGTACTGAAGGGTGGGCGTCGGGGATTATAGCTCTGTTTTTCTCGCTTCCTTATGTTTTTGTTGGTCTCGAGTCTTTATATGTTCGTTACTATTTTCTATCCACAGCATGGCGTGACAGGCGACGTTTGACGTCATAACATCTTGACCTTTCCTGCGGCCTCCATGGAAAACCGGCGGGAAAAGTCTCTACGCGTTAGTTCCCTTCTGGAGCTGAAATAAACCTCAACATTATCTTGTCGACGTTATGGTGAAACAAAAAAGCTTTTTGGTACACGGTAATCTTAACTTTGCGTTGATAGAAATAATATCGAGTTTTCAGTATTTGTTCTTTGCCATTGAGTGGACTGCGAAATTTACTGAGAATATAGGACTGCTAGCCATTTAGTGTTTTGAAAACCTTGACCGGTTACCGGCCATATAGCCACAGCGAAAAATTTTACTAGAAAATTAAGGTACAAGTAAAAAAAAATAACACTCAGTCTGCACCAGGTCTGCACAGTTTGCACGGTCTGCACAGTCTGCAGTCTGCATGGTCTGCGTTTCAACATGACCGGTGTATTCGGACTCTATTCGCGTAGAAGAAGCAGCCGTTTCGTGAACTCAGCGTTTTCTAACAACAAAATTTTGGCTAAAAAATCGAAGTTTATTTATGACAAACAAATTTAAAAGGAAATGTTTGCAGAAATTCTACGTTTCAAGTAAACAGGAAAAAGAATTCAATGAAACAGGAAGACGACGTCTTATGTATCGGTCAAATCGAAGCTTCAACATGCTCCCCGCCCCCCCGGGCATACCCCGGGCATTTGACACCTTTGCTGTCCCGGGAAGGAGGGAATTTGATTATCGGAGTCTTCCAGGGTGTGGGGAATTTGTTCCCAATGCCTTAGGGGTGGGGAATTTGAACTGCACCCTCGATTTCATGTAAAATCTTTGGCGTGGCGAGCTATCATGGCGGACGCGGTGTTAGAGGATTTTCGTGGAAAAGATTGTGCCTTTGTGGCCAATTGGTTACAAGGAAAGGGCTTAAACAAGCTTTGTGCCGTATTTGAAGTATTTAAATTTTAAAAATTTTAATATTGGATTCAGGCTTTGAATGTGTGAAAGTATTTTATTGTTGGGTTTTACAATGAAATACAATACCTATACCAGCGATTCAATACAACAACGTAAAATAAAATAAAAAGCTCAGGTCAACTACTTTGACTACTGTTAATTAATAAGGTGAGCGATGATGGATGTCAGTGAAATGGTCATGATGTAGTAATCTCAATAGGTGGGATCTTTTTTTATAGAACGCTTTGTATGTTGCATGACGAAGAAAAGCTGAGCATTCAGTGACCTTGTAGCAGCAATTTCCGCCGCTTTGCACGAGACTTTTGTTCGTAGTAAATACGCTAACAGTGTTTCTCAGTTTTTGTTACATTCATAAAGATTTTGTTCGACAACTGAAGGCGTTTCCGCCGTCCTTCTATCATTTTTGTGCCTGTGAAATGTCCCCGGGGTGGGTGCATTTGATCACCTGAATGGACCCTAGTGTGGGGCATTTGAACGGCATTTTGGCCCGGGTAGGGGGGAATTTGAACAATAATTTTCAAAAAAGTCAAATGCCCGGGGGTTGCCCGGGGGGGGGGGGCATGTTGAAGCTTCGATTTGACCGATACATTACCTCGAGCAACCGAGCCGCCATTTTTGTCAGCACTTCATGCGAAGAACGACACAACAAACCCTTTAGGCTATAAACTTGGCGAGTCAACAGAAAACAACAAAGCTCTACTTTTCTTCTCAGGTAAGGAAACAGTTCAAACTTCTAGCGGTTCCATTCAAGCCATTACGCTGTTGTTTGCGAAATGATAAACTTGTGAATTGCCATGTTTGAAAATTCTGCAAAGATCTATTTTTAAACTAACGCGTGATTTGATCTGTCCGTCAAATCGTACTTTTTAATGGTTTCCTCTCTGATTTTGTTGAGATCACTTCGTGTGTGTATACTAAAACAATTATTTTTTGAAATCGAGGTGAATAGTGGCTAAATATTTACCGAACCGCAAAAGCGGCGAGGTAAATATTCCCAAAGCCACTATTCACCGAGATTGAATATTTCTTTTAACACAGCAATCATGGGACACTAGCGAATGTAATCAGTCCTGATAAGCGAAACTTTGGCCGGAAATGTCTCCTGTTTAATCGTTTAACTGTCACTTTTGTCAGTAAAAAAGCAAACATAATTTGTTAGCGCTGGTTCATCTGCTCTTTATAGGATCTAGAAACTGATTTGTGGTTACAAGAACTAAGATTGAAACCCTTGAGAGCACTAGTACTGCAGCAGCCATGAGACTTTTATGGAGTTTACGCGGTTTACTCGCAATTGCTTCTCTTGCAGGTAAGCATATCTACTGTTCGTTTATCAGTGGCAGAATTTTTTTTGTATCCGATTTGAGAGTTTCAGTGAATTCAATCAACTGAATTTTGCAAAGTTAACAGGAAAACTGACAAGACTGCTGGAAGATTCTGTTTCGTACCTATTATTATCACACCTTTGTATTTGCACTTCAGTGTCATTTATCGCCCTTACCCCACTGCAAGTTAAAACCCAAAAAGAGATATAAAAATCCTTGCAGTCCTCTGCGTCGATATTAGTACTGTTTCTCTTATTTGCCTTATTGAAGATTGCAATATTCCTCATGCAATTTCCTATTTTGGTATCAAAATTATCCCGGCTACTCCACATTCTCAACACGACAAGAAATGTTTTCATAAGGACTAAAACACATATTCAAGAATCAAAATATTGTAATTGGTTTCACCACATTTTAAGCTAAAATGCTCCAACTGTATGGGTTTCTGATTACAAAACAAGGCTGTGCTCTAAGGAAAATCGAAGGAGCCCAGTGCTCTGAAACTGTAAAATCTACGGTGCCCGGCATATGATTTGTATGAAAAATCTGAAATTTTCTAGTCGCCCGAGGGCAAAAGTTAGGCGCCAGGGGCAACTGGGCTCTGCTAGAGCACAGCCCTGCAAAAGAAAGATATTTAAAATCCAATGATTTAATTCTCATCGTAAGACATAGACCCTCATCCCTTTTTTTGAATCCTTCGTCCGATTTTTCTCCTTAAAGCCAGGAGTGGTGGCGAATTCAGAAGTTCAGTTGAAAGTTTTACTTAAAAAAAGATGAGCGGAAAACAAAAATTTCTGTCCTGTATACTTGCGATAAATTTTGTTCACTTAATTTCAAGAAGTTGAGATTATTACGAGTTATCATATCACGGACAACGTTTAGGCTTTGAATGCCGTTGGTTAAAATTAAGTTCAAAGTGTCAACCGGCCAACACCTTTTGCCTCTTTTCATAAATTTTCCCTTTCATCTCGAATGGTAACCAAAGTTAAAATAAAATAAGTCATATATTATTAGAGACAAAAAGTTCAAAAAGTTCGAACCTCTATGCACAGCGCAATAATATAGTCTGAAAGGATTGCTGAACTCATAGACGGGACGCCGGTCAACGTATTTTTTCCCATGTTTTCCAAGGCTCAAGACGGAAACACAAGGTTTCACTTGAAAGAAATAGCAGAAGATTTTACTTATTATTTTCTTTGCGTTATGGGCGAAAATTAACCATACCTTTCTATTCAAATTATGGAGTAAAATTTATGAAAATCATCCGTCTTTCTTCCTAGTAAACGAGGGAAAACATAGCCGAAAGTAGGCTCAGCTTACAGCTAAATAAATTTTGTGGTACAAAACTCAGTATGCACGTCAAATATTGATTATTTCTGTAGGGAAACTGGTGATCCAATTAGGTGGTTTTCACGTTACGTCATCGCCGCCATGCTGGTGGACGGTATACAAAAGATGGCTCATTAGCTCGTTTTGTTTGTCCACCAGCATTTGTTCATTTCACCATTGTTATTTGTGTCTCCCGAGATTACATGAAAACCACCTATAATTTTACAGTCACAGCTGGAAACGAGGCTGGAGTTGACCTTGTTCTTGCTTTATTATGTAAATCATATTGTTGTTATGCTAATTAGTATTTTTAAGCATAATTTACATAAGAAAAGGAAGGAGGTTTGTATCAAAACAAGGTCAACCTCAGCCTCACGTTCACTCAAAGGCTAGGACACCAAGCCCAAAACTGTAAAATGGCCTATTGCAATAAATAATTTAATGTATTGTTCAACATGTTCAAGGAAATCAGTACCATTCAAGCTCCTTTGAATAAAAAGAATATCGAATTTAAAACTCATTGTTTTTTCAAACGATTTCCGGTCAAAATGACCAAACAACCACCGTTCAAACGTTTGTTACCAATGTTTTTTCGAAATGAACACAGTTGTTGTTCCAGTTAAATGGAAAATTTTCAAATTAACACTTCCTAGGCGCTCTTCTAGTTTTGATCGAGAGTTTTTCGTATTTGTCAGCTTATAAGTTCTGTAAACTACGTTTAATATCCAATTTAAAAGCTATACTGAGTATACTGAGCTTTGCTCCCTTCAAAGTCTGTAATCAGGGTGAACTGTAACAGCCGGGAACTTAAGTATCAGAGAAAAACAAATGGGAAATTTCCACCGAAATCCGATTTTTTCATTATCACCCGTCTCCTCTTTTTCCCAATCGCTTGTTTATCGCAATAACTCACTAAATCTTGTACACTAACCTAACTAAAATTACCGAGGAGGACGTGAAGACACGAGGCTTTTTCACACCCCAGCGGGCTAGAAATTCGATAAGAGGTTCGCCTTAATTTGACCTTTATCCTAGGATCCCTTTTTATAGGGGCACTTAAAGACATACATATTACCGTAGATTTTATTAGCTTTTTTTTTTTATTTATTCACACCTTAGAAAATACTTGCAAATGTGCGGCCTTCTTATTGGGGTTGTAATTCATTTTTGTCAACAGCGTTCAGCAAGGCAACCATCCAAATACGTAAGTTGATTAAAAGTTAATAATAGACAGGAACAATTGAATTTAAGAAAAAAAACTAATTTTTTTATCGTTTTAAGAAAGTGCACTTTGTTTTGTTGTTATTTACTTGCGAGTTGGTATTAAAGTAAAAATCAATTCTTGTTCCCCCGTTGGTTACTGTATAGTTATGTTTTCACACTTTTTGGTAAAATTCTCTTACACTCATGTCTAGCTGAATTTTGGAAAACATTTCCCGCCAAATAGACCTCTTCCATCAAGTAGTATTTTTTCGGCCAAAAACTATCTTCAAAGTAACCAATATAAAATTGTAAGAGTGCAACCATTGCTTTTTTTAACTCTTCTCCTTGGACAACTGAGCCTTTGGCTTTCTGTGGTCTCCTTACCATGTTCACTGTTTTGATCCTTTTATATTACGTTTTTTTAGGAAACTGTTCTTGTTCAACGTAAACTGTATTGTTATCAAGATTAAGTTATCTTGCAATTATAGTTCTATGAATTTTATCTCAAATTTAATATGATGCTGTAGTCTTACGTAAAAAGTGGTGGTGTAAATAAACAAATGATAAACAAATCCTCCCTGCTCTTTCCTTTTTTTATTTCCTTTTCCTTCGCTTTTTTAGAGTGTGATTTTCAAGCTTATCGGGTGCAAAAACACCTCCCTTTTGGTCCTTTTTCACTCAAATGGCTGCAAATTTTGTTAGGTTCGTTTTCCAAAAATCTGCTAGATTTTCATCCGATGAAATGATTACAATCAGGTGCAAGCATTTTCAAGACGCACGGACAGCAAGACACTTTCAGCGTAAATGGCCAGTCGTGTCAGCTACAGGGCATTGAAAGCCGTGAATCTTGTACTCAAAAGACCACCCAAAATTTTAAAAAAAAAATTAATTAATTTGGTAGGATACTAAAAAAGGAATAGCACCTTTTACATCTAAATGCGTGAAAAAAAAAAATCAGCAGCAGTTTTCCTTTACCCGGACGGAGGCAACAAAATCTTACACAACAACATTGTAAAAGGTGAACTGGGGACCAGCTGATTACGATTCAGTTTGACAATTGCCTATAATCAAAATTGTTATTTCTATCGATGTTCTTTTTACGGGAGCGTGCTTTGCTTTATTTATTTAGAGTTATTTATTTATTATTTCAATTTTATTGTTTTTTTTGTTTTTACTTATTTTTCCAGCGTCCAGAATTCGCTTGATCACTGCAAATGACGATATTGGAGGGGGTCGTATTGAGGTCTACCATAATGGTCAATGGGGAACAATCTGTGACAAAAGCTGGTCCGAGCAGGCTGCAAAAGTGGCTTGTAGGGAGTTCGGCTTCAAAACTGCGCTGTATCCATCCAAACGAGCCATCTTTGGAGAAGGATCTGGACCGGTAATGACGAAACATGATCCCCCGGCGTATAAATAACATCATTATTCGTTCAAAATATTTTTCTGTCTGGGTCAAATCCTCTAACTAATTCTTCTTAACCAGATAACGTTGACCAAATTTGGAAGATGTTTTCGATATCTGATTAAATGACGTCAATACTATAGGATAAAAGAGAGAAAAAGGGAAGGTAGTCGAGACGAAATCCTGGGGTCGGGAAGAGATTGCGTTAATTGTTTTGTTCCGTAGCTGAACTACTGCCTAAAACATAGCAGGAACATACAAAACTTATACAACTCGACGGATGACATCTGCTATTGCAAGAATGGCTGCTAAAACGTCTCTTTACATCCTGAATTTTCTTTCTATCTATTTTTGTAATGATATCTTTTATTTAATTGCTTCATGTTGTGTAGCATCACATTTCACGTTATCCCTTTGTCGCGTTCCCACGGGTGGAGTTCGCTGTGATCAACCACACGCTCCGTACTCGATTAAAGTTCGTTTATTGCAGTATCAATGAAGCATATGGTGAGAACTGAAAACATACATAGACACGCGTTACACAAGAAAATATAACTAAAATTAAAAGGAAATCGAGCGTAAAACAAACCTAAAATGAAAGACAAAAATGGAAAAGAACTTACGTTATAGCTCCTCCAAGCGTATTAAAGAAAGGAACAACAAAATAGGAAAAAACTGAATGAAATAACTCCGTAAAAAACTCCTTGTACTCTCCGATTAGATCTGGTAAAAAACTCCGGGGCTAGACAACTGTGATAATAATGATATATGTCAAACTGGTAAAAACTTAACGAATTAATCAAAAATACAAACGAGCGTAACGCAATATACGATTTCACAACACTCCTCGCCCAAGGATTGAAAATCCTTGCTCCGTCAACATTATATAAATCAAGTCCGTGGAATCAAATTATATTGTCCGCAAGATTAGACTTCGTCTTCCCGTTTGAGTAGAACGACGAAACTGGAAATTGGTCGTTCGTAGGTCTTCACGTTTCCCGCTCTACATGAAGTCACTTTGGCACTCCGCACTTTGCCATCGGTGCTCTGCGTTACTTCTGAAATCCTTCCGAGCGACCAGTCGTTCCTGGTTGTGTTGTCCTCTTTAACCAGGACTATGTCACCGACAGAGAGGTTACGTTCGCGTTTCTGCCACTTCGATCTGTTCTGAAGGTTCTGCAGATACTCTCTTTTCCATCTGACACAGAACTGATCGGCCAGGTATTGTGCCCTTCTCCACCAGTTACGGGCATACAGGTCCTGTGGCACGAAGTTACCAGGGTGGGGTGCTAGGGGGCGAGTCTTCATCGTAAGCAGCATGGCAGGGGTTAGTGGTTGCGGTTCGTGGATGTCAGAGGGTACTGCTGAAATAGGGCGGCTGTTGACGATTCCAGTCACCTCTGCCATGAGAGTCACTAGTAGTTCGTGGGTTAGCTGTGCGCGTCCAATCCCCAGTAACATTCCGTCCAAAACGCGTCGTACAGTGCCAATCTGTCGCTCCCATACGCCTCCAAAATGTGGAGGGTTAAATATCCACTCGCAACCTTGTTCTGCTACAAACTTCTGGACTCGTGTTTGGTCCATCTCCGAAAGTGCTCGTTCCATCTGTGATTTTCCTCCAACAAAGTTAGTGCCACGATCACATCTGAGTTTCGTCACTGATCCACGAATGGCGAAAAACCGTCTCAGTGCACAGATGAACGAGTTGGCGTCCATGGTTTCTAGTACCTCGATATGAATGGCACGACTACTCAGACAGGTGAAGATGAGACCCCAGCGTTTTGCGTTTGCTGCACCACCTCTGAGTCTTCTCATTGAGATTTCCCAGGGGCCAAAGACATCGAAGCCGACATTTGTGAAGGGCGGGCTGGTCTCCGTTCGATGTAGTGGTAAGTTTGCCATGTGTTGCGTTAAGGTTGCTCCTCTCAACTTCTTGCAATTTACACAGGATTCAATAAGGCTGGATATCATTCGATGAGCTCCGACAACCCAGTAGCCGGCCTCGCGAACTGCCCCGCTCGTGATGAGGCGTCCTTGGTGATGGACGCTTTCGTGGAAGTGGCGGATGATCAACTCTGATACATGATGACCTTTTGGTAAAATGACTGGGTGTTTCTCTTGATATTCGAGCGTCGAGTTTTTGAGACGGCCTCCGACGCGGAGTAGTCCATTAGAATCTACCAAGGGATCAAGTTGCAACAGGTTTGAATGCTTTGGAACTGATTTCTCCATTTTAGCAGATGACAACCCTTTAAGCTCTGCGGAGAAGACTTCTTTCTGTACTGCCTTGATTACAACCTGGCCAGCTTGTTCGAGTTCGGCTGCAGACGGAGTAGGCCGGGGGATGACTGGCTTGTTTGAGAGCGCTTGATTTCTCTCCTTGAACTTTCTTATGAACGCAATAAGACTTGCAATTGCGCGCCTCAGAAAGGACCAGCTCGAAAAGCGCTTGAATCTCTCGCAGCCAAGACTCTGGGGTGAGTGTGTTGCAGTGGCACAGGTGGTAACTTCTCTTTTCACCTCTGGATCGCTTTCATTGAGGGGTACCTCCAGGAGTGAAGCTTGAGGCTGAAGCTGCGGGTTTCGTAGAAATTCAGGTCCAAGTATCCATGGCGATTCTACCAGTTTCTCTGGGGTAACGCAGCGAGTTGCGAGGTCAGCAGGATTTCTTGCAGTGTCTATGTATCTCCATTGACTTGGTGCAGTTTCGTTACGGATATGCTGGACGCGGTTCGCGACATAGACGTAGAATCTTCTGCTTTTGTTCTGAATGTAGCCAAGTACAACCTTCGAGTCTGAGTAGTAGATTTCTTCATCAATTTGAACGTCAAGCTCCCTGCGAATCATCATTACGGCTTGTGTTGCAAGCACTGCGGTGCACAACTCTATTCTAGGGATGCTCGTCGTGTGAGTTGGTGCCATCTTAGTTCGTCCGAACAGAAGAGAAACGCTTACAACTCCATCATTGTTGAATTCGCGCAGGTACACGGCAGCTCCGATGGCCTCCTTACTTGCGTCAGAAAACGCGTGTATCTCCCTTCTTGTGACAGTGCCGAATCCTTTGGGGTGATGGCAACGAGGAATCAATACTTCTTCCAGTTTGGGGAGTGCGTCTCTCCATCGACTCCAGCGGTGTTTCATCTTCTCGGGAAGTGGATCGTCCCATCCAAGAGGATCGTTGCCGTTCACCTTCTTCCCCATGATGACGAGCTGCTGTAGTATTAGTTTCCCTTCCAGGATGACTGGGGATACAAATCCCAGAGGGTCGTACACCGAGTTTATGACAGACAGAACTCCTCTCCGTGTGAAGGGCTTTTCTGGGAGGGAGACATGGAAGGTGAAATGGTCCTTCTCGATGTTCCAGTGGACCCCAAGAGAGCGTTGCGATGGTAGTACATCGCGGCGTAGGTCTAGATCTTTGATGTTCTTGGCGCGATCTTCTGCTGGGAAGGCTTCCATGACGAGGACCGAGTTGGAGACTACTTTGTGTAGGCGTAAATTCGCGGTCGCTAACATGGCTTGGGCGTTTCTGATGAGGGTAATAGCTTCGTTCTCCGTGGGGCGGGAGGTCAGCCCGTCGTCTACGTAAAAGTTTCTGTGGACGAAGTCTCTTGTTTCTTTCCCGTATTTCTCCTCGCCGTCGTCTGCTGTTTTTCGTAGCCCAAAGGTGGCTATAGCAGGACTGGGCCCGTTGCCGAACAGGTGCACTGTCATTTTGTTCTCTATGATTCGCTTGGACGGATCGTTATCTTTAAACCAAAGGAATCGGAGAAAGTTCTGGTGCTTTGGGTCCACGTGAAACGAGTGGAACATTTGTTCAATGTCGCACATCACGGCGATGTTATCCTGACGAAAGCGGATTAACACTCCGACAAGGCTATTCATAAGGTCGGGACCTGGAAGAAGTTCTTTATTGAGGGAGACCCCTTGGAACTCGGCTGACGAATCGAACACCACGCGGATCTGATCCGGTTTCCTGGGATGGTACACCCCAAAGTGAGGTAAGTACCATGTGCGTCCCTCGCCTCTGACTCCTGCCACGTGCTCTCGCTCTGATTCGGTGAGTTTCAATGGTTCTTTCCTATTGGGATAGTCGTTTGGTGTTAACAACTCGTACTGTGGCACTGGAACCGCATGACCGCGTTCGAAGATTTTGCCCATGAACTGGAAGTAATCTTCTTTCATCTTTGGTTTTCTATTGAGGGTGCGAAGCAGGCCGTTAAGGCGGTTGACAGCCAAAGGTCGGTTGTTAGGCATCGAGGCGGTAGGTGAGCGAAACGGTAGTGGCATCTCCCAGTTTCCCTGTTGGTTCTTGCGAGTCCCCGTCTCCATTATTTTCAGGAAGCGTTTGTCTTCTTGCGACAAACTGACCAAATTGTCGCCGGGTGTCGATTAAAAGAGGTTGTCTCCAATTTCTCCTTTCTCTGCATATCTTTCTTTGACCTGGAAATGATTTGGGCAGGGCACGATTTCACTTTCTTCAGCATGATGATGTGAAGCTTGCACGTTCCGAGGATAACTGGTAACAAGCCTGTCTAAACGCTCCAATGATGTGCGGTGTGCTGAGATGTGGACTGGACCACCGACTCGATCTAAACACATTTGGCCCGAGATGGTCCAGCCTAAGTCTAGTTTCTGGGCCCATGGCGCTCCTTTAGGTCCGTTTCTGCTAGCTCTTATCTTCAACAACTCCGGCGCGTCCCTTCCGATAAGGATCTCGACACTTGCCTTAGGGTCGTAAGGCGGGATTTCATCGGCAATCTCCTTGAGGTGAGAAAACTGTCTGGCCATCTCTGGTGTTGCGATTTCGCGCTTGTCCTCAGGGATGTTTGTGCACTCGACGAGCTGGGGTAGCTTCGCAATTATGCCGGTCAGAGAGCGTAGCACAACACCGGAAATTCGCCGTCCAGACTTTTCTTCTCTTCCACCGCTGCATGTCGTCAGGAAGTACTTCACAATCGGTCCGGTTGCGCCCAACCTATTCGCTAGGTTTGGAGTTATCATAGAAGCATTGCTCTGGTCGTCTATGATTGCGTACGTGCGATGGGACTGCTGAGGGCGATTCTCACAGAGAACGTCAACGAGAACAATCTTGCTACAAGACACTCCGCCGCTGAAGGGGTTGTGGCAAACCGAAGTGCAGGCCGTTTTAAGCTCCTCGCCGTGCTCCGTACGTGTCGTGCCAGGCTTCTCTTTGTGAAGTGCCGTGGGATGACGATCGTCCCCGCATTTGGCGCATTTCACGGTTGTATTGCATTCGCTCGATCTATGTCCTGCTGATAAACAGCGAAAACACAGTCCTGCTTTGAGAACACATTCGTTTCTCACTGCTAGTGCTTGTTTTTCAAAGGCTTTGCATTCGGCTAAAAGGTGTCCCTTTCGCTGGTGATAATGACAGTACTTCTCTTCTCCAAGCTCGGGCTCCTTCTTTGGCTCGTTTTTGCCGTCCAAGCCTGTCTTGAGGACTCTCCTATTTGGGTCAGCGTCTGTTTCGGGAAGTCGTGGTCTGTGTTCGCGGCCTTTCGGTTTACGATTACTAGGCTGAGCTGCTGCCAAAACGTTCGGGTGATTCTTTAATCGAGCTTGCTCTTGGACCATTGCGGCAAAGTCTTTGAAGCTAGGGTAGGCATCGTCGTATTTCTCTGCATACTGGACTACACGCTTCTCCCATTTCGAGCGAAGGGAGTGGGGTAAGTTCTCGACAATAGGGCCTATCGCGGTTAAGTAGTTCAGGCACCCGAGTCCTGGAAGAAAATCCAATTGGCTGTCCACGTCAGCACATACGTCAGCGAAAGCCTGAAGTTTGTCGCTGTCTTCTTCTCCAAATTTGGCCGCTGTCTGAAGTCGCACTAAGAGAACGTTCGTGATGGCGGCGGTATTCCCGAAGCGTCTCTCCAGCTCCTTCCACACGTCGCGCAAGGCGTCGGCAGGATTCCTATATTGTCTCTGACGGTAGTTATTAACTACTTTTTGTGCATCTCCTTTTGTATAGCTTCTTAAGTGGTTGATCTCCTGATCCGGTGACACGTTTGCATCTTCTATCATGGCACGAAAAGCACTTTTCCATGGGTGGAAGAGTGTCACGTCTCTTGTGAATATCTCCGGGTGGCACTTAGGAAGGTTCTGTCGCGCTAACGTTGCAACTAGCCTTTGATTTACTGTTTGTGGGAGTCGACGCGAAGGGATTTGTTCCTCGGAGGCCAAAAAGGGGCGTGTTTCCTGTAACACTTTTCCCTGGAGGTGACTTTTCAAAGCTGGCAGCGTTTGTGCTGGGTAAGGGCTCTTCTTTTACGCATGAGCGAGCATTCATGAGTTCGCTTTGAATGAGCTTAGTGTGTGATACCTTTCCCGAATCGTGTTGGGGGCTTGGGTACCCTGTGCGATCCAGTGTCTCCATAGTCCCTTGTGTATTAATCCAGGCTCGCGTTATCTCTTGTGTGTCGATAGAGTTGTCCAAACCTGGGATAGTAACCATAGTGGCTTTCTCGTCTTCCTCCTCGATAGACTGCTCAATAGCTTTTAGTTTGGCCTCGGCGATTGCCAGCTTCTTATTTGCTGTTAACACAGCTTTGTCGCACTCGAATCTTGCCCTCTGAGACTGACGTTTTCTCTCTTCTTCGGCTTCCATTTCAATTCTCTCCCTTTCTTTCTCGGCCAGTAATCGGTCATATTCCGCTTCTTGTCTCGCTGCAGCGGCTTCGGCCAAGGCTTTCCTTCGTGCCGCGCTAGACGAGGTAGACGCGCGAGACGAGAGGGTTGAACGCGTTCGCGAATGTTTCCGAGAACTTTTCGAAGCAGAATCCATATTTTCGCTTAAAAGTGGCTCCAAGGGATTTTCCGAATTGTTTCCTATTGTTAAACTCCCGCTCCTTTGTGCCATGTTAACGTATATCGGCGAAAATATACGAATACTGATCTTGGGGGCGGTGCGCCATGTGCTATTGCATAACCAAGTTGCTTGCTTGATGCGATTCTTAGAACTCCAGTAGAATAGGTCGAAATAAGCTTCTCACTAACACTTCTCACTGTCGCGTTCCCACGGGTGGAGTTCGCTGTGATCAACCACACGCTCCGTACTCGATTAAAGTTCGTTTATTGCAGTATCAATGAAGCATATGGTGAGAACTGAAAACATACATAGACACGCGTTACGCAAGAAATATAACTAAAATTAAAAGGAAATCGAGCGTAAAACAAACCTAAAATGAAAGACAAAAATGGAAAAGAACTTACGTTATAGCTCCTCCAAGCGTATTAAAGAAAGGAACAACAAAATAGGAAAAAACTGAATGAAATAACTCCGTAAAAAACTCCTTGTACTCTCCGATTAGATCTGGTAAAAAACTCCGGGGCTAGACAACTGTGATAATAATGATATATGTCAAACTGGTAAAAACTTAACGAATTAATCAAAAATACAAACGAGCGTAACGCAATATACGATTTCACAACACCCTTATTGTTGAATTTTGTGTGGTCTAAATATACCCATACCCGTAGTCATTTGTTAGGCCCTGAGGTAAAAAGGCGGCAATTATATCAAGTTCCTTTAAGGAAAATAAGCCATTCTTTTTTGCTGATTCATAGATCTTTAATCATAGCTGATTGGATCCCGCATATAGATCTGGTGGTTGTTTCTTTGTTCAGTCCTTGCTTACCATGCCAGTAGAATGCGCCTTTTATACCCCAAACGTGGCCAAGGCGGGGTACCTAACCTTAAACAAGGTGCCTGGGCTTCTATCCTCCCATTCAGGGCCCATTTTCTAAACTTAGTTCGATTTTGTATGTTTTTTTTTTTGCAGATTTTCCTATCCAATGTAAAGTGCACTGGAGATGAGCACTCACTTCTTGAATGCAAAAATGATGGCTTTGGTGTGACTGGAGACTGCACTCACAAGAATGACGCTGGAGTTAGATGTCTCAAGGAAGGTAAGCTACTTTACCAGAAATAAATATACCAGTTACTTAGTGCTTCCCATTTTGCCAAAATTTCCAGACATTTAAGTCGAAACATAAGGATCCGAACTATCTTTCAGTTATGTTAAACTCGGAGAGGGACAAACTGTCAATCTGGTTTAAAACAAACAAGCTTTCTCTAAATCTTAAAAAGACTAAATTTATGGTCTTTCAACCGAGACAAAAGCGTTCAATTTGTAACGTTCAAATAAGTGTAGATAATCAAAATATTGTTAAAGTAAAGGAGGCAAATTTTCTAGGAGTGATTTTGGTTAAAAACCTAAATTGGAAGTCGCAAATATCACACGTTGCAAATAAAGTTGCGAAGTCAATCGGTATAATATCTAGATGCTGCTTTTTTCTTCCTAAATCGTCTCTACGTATGCTCTACTATTCCTTAATTTATCCCTATTTTTACTACTGTAATATAGTTTGGGCTTCGACCCATAAAATCAATCTCCGCCGCCTTGTTATCCTGCAAAAGTGCATCATTAGAATTATTAATAAATCACATTTCAATGCTCATACAGACCACATCTTTAAGGACCTCTGTATACTAAAATTTACTGATATCCATTTGCTTTAACTGGGCCAATTTATGTATTCTTGCAAAAATTCATTCTTACCTCCAAGGTTTAATAACAATTTCTCGCAAAGCAATCAATTCCACTCTTACAACAAAAGAAATTTCCAGGCCGACCGTCTATCGTATTGTCGTACAAACACTAAGAAGTTCTCGCCCTTTTTTCAAGGGCCTAAGTTTTTCAATTCACTTGACAACGAGGTCATCAACTCTCAATCTCCTTTCCTCTTTTAAGAAAAAACTGAAGATTAAATTATTGAGTAAATATGAAAACAGTGCATAAACCTTTCCATCTTCGACTTTTCGCCATCTTTTCTTTAACTGATGTTTAACAGCTCTAACCCGTAGTTCGAGGAGGCCAAACCTCTCATAAGCTCCTATAGTTTCTGTTAGGTCTCCTCGCCACTTCTTTTTTTCTCTCTTTTCCTTTATTTTTTGTAACTATTGTGTGGCAATTAAAATAAAATAAATAAATAACATAAATAACATAAATAGAACTCTTCTGGCTTAGGCAGAAATTTCGTGGAAAAAGTTGTCCACCTCCAGTGGTGGTCTTCTTTGACCGGTGGTCCCGGTGTGATCCTTAAAATCTATTTCAAACGTCTTTACTGAGGACTTTTTTCCTGATCTGTGAGGAATCTGCAACATTTTTGTATTGGACTCGTATAGAAAACAGAAACAGAAATGTTTTGGTTTGTTCGCGGCGTTTCCGGAGATTTTGTATCCGGAATCTAACGCGAATTTCGTGTCTGAATATAATGAAACGGTTCTCTGATTTACCGATGTGCTTAAACGCCAGCGATGTCGAATTCTCTGAATCTAACGAAGCCAGAATTACTAATAAATTCGGAAAAATCTACTAGAGTAAACCTACCTTCGCAAATCCGCGTTTCATCTTTCAACTTGCTTAGTTCCACTGGTCTCTGACCATGTAAAGAGGCAAACTGATCTGGTGGTTGTGAAGGATCTTTTCATGATATCTGCCGACGTCGCTTTTGAACTTGTTTTATATATGGAAAATTGCGTGCTTTGCAACATGCGATGTTATAGTTAATTGCACCTTGCTTTGCTTATTCCTTAGTTTTTTCTTTATGCGCTGAATCTATTCACATTTTATTAGTTCTTTCTCATGAAAAGTACAGTGCCTAGAACTATGGTTGTAAAATGACCAAACATTTTCTGCCGCATAATCATAACCAAAGAGTACTATTCTGTTGTTCGCATAGTATTTGAGCGGAGCCTAATATGCTAGTTGTGTTTCCTTCTTAGACTCCCCTGAACTGGACTACTTGGGCTGCTGGATAGACAATCCTAACAACAGAATTTTGTCCGATTTGTACTCGAACCGCAGAAAAGATATCAATTGGTACAACATCGGAGAAACCGTTTTGAACTGCGCAAAGGATGCTTCGAGCTCTTCGAAAGACTATAATCTATTTGCTGTGCAATACTTTGGCGAGTGTTGGTCCGAGGAAGGAAATCCTGATTACAAGAAGATGAGGGTATCACCCGAAGGTTGCCAGTATGGTATGCTATCTTTAAAATTCTCTCTTAACACTAAAATGGCGCGAGCAGTTCATCAAAATCCACAGGGAACGTTTTGGCTTTCACACACCAGTAGCAAGATAGGTTTCGAAGACTGCAAATATCTTTCAACGCACAATAAACAGCACCACGGGAAAGTACTTTCCGTAATAATAATAATAATAATAATACTTATATAGCGCCCATATCAATATTGCTAATTTCATCAGCGCTTAAAAATAAAAATATTAAAAAAAAAAAAAATACTGACTAGACTGCATAAAGTATACATGCAAAAAGTGCATGAACCTACCGAAAAGAGTAAAACAATTATGTTAACACTAAAACTATAACTAGGGTATATAAAAGATAGTAATGCTGCGGCACATTCTGTTGATACTGGCATTAGTTAGGTGATATTGAATGTCCTATTTACACGTTGGAAAGTAATAATTACCATCAGTCTATAGAAAGAACTCGTGGGAACGTTGTTTAGAAAATGATCATTACGACAAGTGGTTATCAACTCTGGTTTTCCCACAGTAAATTGTAGGAAATGATTTATCCATATGTTTAATATAGGGTGTACTATCTTTTGACTCGAAACAAGATACTTTTCCTGCTTTTTATTGCACTTTATTAAATAACAGTTATTTAGGTATATATTTATAGAAAATGACAACACAAAAAAACGGCAAAAAAAAAGGAAAGAAGGGAAAAAAGAGTTTTGTAGGACTCGAACCCAGAACCTTCGGCTCGATACGACTGTACCTAACCGCTACACCACTGAGGCTGATAAGGTAATCTTGGGGGAAAGTCTTTGATTAAATGCCTTTGGATGAACCTCCCGCCGGCAAGATAATCAGGCTCCATTAACTGGGCTATTAACAGTAAAAAACAATGCAAACGCATATTCCATGGCAATGAATGAATGAAAGAACTTAATTATGCTTTACAAACTTTACAAAACGACGGTACACGTCCTCGTCTGCAAAGTAGGACACAAAACATGTTTTGTTACCTCGATTTCCGCTGTTATTTTGAAGCTAATGGTGAAAATCACGTCCATTTTCGGCTCATACAAGTTCTTAAGAATAGCATGGCATGACATTTTCTCACTTTTGTGATAATTTGTATATCCCCCGTGTTGCGGGGTCGAAGAGCAAATGCTCATCTTCTCGTCAAGTTTAACGCCTGGACGAGTCAAAGGCTGTTGATTTGAAATCCTTTCCCCAAGTTAACCATCGTACTCATCTGAGAGACTCGTGCGTATCTTAAATTTGTTAAGACCTCTAACCGTGCTGTAGAAAATTTGCCACAAAGGAAACTCTGTGTCTTGGCAGCGAACGATGCACGCTCTTCGTCGTGTTTACATTTGAGTTATCCCTGTCGCAATGCAGTCTCGTAAAAAATAGCGCAGTGCACTCTGGTTAAATGCAATGCATTCTGGTAAAAAATGTGGTTAAATGCAATGTATTCTGGTAAAAAGTGATAAATTCGAGAATTCGTCGCCCCTTATATATTTCCCTTAAATCCTGATTATGTTGCTGCTCGCTCCCTACGGTCGGTCAGCAGCAAAAATTACCTAGACTACTAAAAACGAGATTAAAAAGCACATAAAATCACAAAAAAGCTTTCTGAAATAAAAATGTCTTGACTGTCTTTTTAAAAGATGCTACTGAGGGGCTACTCCTGATTGAAGAATTCCATAGTTGAGGAGCAGCAGCAGCAAAAGATCGATCTCCTAACGTTGTCAAAGTCTTGAATTTGACAGGGTTTAGTAGCAGTCCATCACAATCGGAGCGTAACTTGTATTTACATGCTTCTCTAAGACTAAGAAGTTCCTGGAGATAAAAAGGCGCTAAGCCATTGATAACCTTATACGTTAACAATAATATCTTGAAGTCAATGTTAACTGAGCTTTTTTAATTTTTTTTCGACCCAAAATACCCCTAACCTTGGGGACTTAAGTACAGAACTACTTCAGGGTTTTTTGAAGTTGTTCAGAATTCTCGAAGTTCCTGTTTTACGAGTCGATTTTCTATTTCTGCTGAGTATTTTTAGAGCAATAAGGTTGCTATATTGACACACCCAATCGCGGTTTTCTTTTCTTTTCTTATTTTATCGTAACAAATGTTCTAGAAACCCCTCTCTGCTGACCCAGAGCCTTTATAATGAATACTTTCTTGGACAGGTGTTGGAGACCTTTCCCACAGTGCTGTGTATGGATTCAAACCTTATTTTGATCTGGGCTGCTGGAACGACAAACCAGGGAATGATCCAACAATGGTCTTTCTCAGGGATCTTAGCGGACATATCGACTGGTATGATTTGGGAAAAACAGGTACGTAGGACAACGGTTATAAAAGCCGGCCAAAAATACGAAGACGAAAACGATGGTGTCCATTTTCTGTTTGGAGCTCCCTGACAAAATAACTTGACGGCGCCTGTTACTCAGGCTACACAATCTTTGGTCTTTGTTTCGCAAAAAGTGATCAGATAAAACACATAAGAAAGTAATCTTTCGGGTTTCATAACCATTGTACGTTTATTAACCATGCCATAAACAGTATCTTTGTACTTTCATTGTCGGCTTTTCGGGCAAGAGTCGTTTCATTCTTGGATGTGAATGGGTGGAGAGGAGTTTCGAGCGTAGGAAGGGAATAAATAGATTTTTTATTGTTTATTTGTTATTATTTATTTTTAATCTTGCAGTGACTGCTTGTTACTACTTAGCAAAGCAGGCAGGAAAGAAATACTTTGCGGTTCAGCTTTTTGGCGAGTGTTGGGTGTCCGATGATGACTTGAAGTATAAGAAATATAGCCAGGCTACAAATTGTTACCAAGGAGTCGGCACTAACTGGTCCAATTATGTTTACAAGATACGAGCGTAAAGTAAGAATGGTGCATTTGAATATATTTATATAGATATTTGCGCCTTATAAGTTTTGAAATTATATTAATTAACTTAAGAAAGAATTTTGATGTAAAATATGAGAAATTGTGCAGGATTGCACCGTTTTGTGGATTGGCTGTTAAGATGGACCGACACTGTACAGTCAATTCCCCTTAAGATGAATAATACTGTTAAAATCCGTTATTAACTTCACACTTTTCAGTTTTGTTTGTTACAGTGAGAGAAATGAACTAAAGAGGACACTAAATATGTCTGCGTTCGCAGGCTATCCAGAGTTGGTCTCTGCCTTTCTTTTGCATAATTACCGCTGGCCAGTTATATACGTGTGCGGCGCGAAGTCGTAGGGCGGGAAAAAAATCAAGAGGGAGAGAGGGGGACCCCCTCGCTCGCTGTTCCTTCTTACATCTCTTTGAGCCGTCCCCAAAATCTAAACGCCTGAAACAGGCTAATTTACTGCTTGAAAACAGAGCACTGTGTTTGTTTGTTTGCTTGTTTTAGAGTTATTACTTATGCAAAAAACCTTGAAGTGATAAATGTAGTAATTTAATATGGTAATACCTATTTGTCTTTTTCTCTCCTTTCAGTTTAAGATGTTCATCCAGTTTCCTGCTAGAGGCTCTCCTATTCCAGCAATCGACTTCTTTTACCCCGGCAAAATATTTTGATTCCTTGAACTTAGTAATTGGCAGTTTAACAGACATTTATTGCACGTAGACAAACGATTTCGATAAGGGATGCTCATATAATGTAATTTGTATCATTAAAGACATCCGAAATATCTAAATAGATAAGATATTGATGAGAAATAAAGCAATTGAACTGAAAATTGAACTTGTTTAGTCCTTGAGTTACGGATTTCACCCCCGAGGGGAACTCAAAAAAGTTTTATACGGCTAGGCGCCACCCCGAGGTCCAAACCCTTACTTTTTATATATCATTTTTGACCAAAAAGTTACCCTTTTCCTATACCTTCTATTGAGAAATGGAACTACTTTCACATACCTTCCTTCCTTCCTTCCTTCCTTCCTTCCTTCCTTCCTTCCTTCCTTCCTTCCTTCACAATATGTTGTCGACGGTCATGTCGCGATAATTCTCATCCCCAGTTTCCACGGTCTCCACTAGGAATGCGGCCTGGGACCCGCGATGACTTCCTGGGTAAATTTTTGCTGGCCGTATGTGCCGCTGGCCTCTCAGACCCGTACCCCATTATAGTCTATTCTGTGACCTATTATAGACCCCATCTTAGTCACTTTTGGGTAAATATATAATTTTCGCGATCCCAGTTTGGTCACTTTCTATTTTCACGAACTGACCCATTTTTTACACTAAATGAAGACTAGAACACTTTACCTTTCCTAACAGTTAATATGAAGAAATGTCCGTACCCCAAAAATACGAAAATGTGCGACCCAATTCTAGTAACTCTGTTGAAAATGCTACCCCATCCAGCGGCACATCCCCATTAGCCTCTTTTTAAGGAAGTAGCGCCCTCCCCGGGTTTCACGGATAACCAGGTAAAACATTTTTTCTCGACCATCTCATGGCGGGGAGGCGATGAACGGTTAGGCTGAACCCCCCAGCCTCCCCTCCCAGCCCAACGGCCACCTTATTTGTGGTCCTTGTACTCTCATCGTTCTGCCTGTCGCGATAGGACTAGCCTCTGCGGGGAGGCTATGATAGGACTGGATGTCTAAGAAAAAGTTATGTAAAATTGGTAGTCTTTACACTAGAGCCTAAATAGGCTAAGAAATGTTTCAAGACAAGTAAATTTTAAATTCTTCAAGTAAAAGAAAGCTTCACACACAACCTATCTTTTTTACTTCAGGTTTACTTAAGCCTAGTTTCCCACGAAACATAATTAAGATTGATTGACATGCTTCGCCTTTTTCAAAGCTTAGAAACCGCAAGTTCGCTAAGTTGGTTTTAAGGATGGTTTTCATGTCACTTGAAACTTTCTTGAATTGTTTCAACTTTCGATCTTTAATGAGATGCAAAGTTTAGTTCCTTGAGATTGGTGATGTAAAACTTAGCTGCTAACAGCCTAGTCTAAAGACAACCATTAACTCCCAGTACACTCACTCTCCCAGAAAGGTTTTGGAAAATTGGGGATCTCATGACTAACACGTGACCCGCTTCGACAATCTTTGATTCAAGATGGCGGAACGTAGTGGAGAGAAAACTCCTCTGATAGGAAGCAAAGATTTATATGGCTCTGAACAACAACTGTCTGGTTGCGGAGCCACAGTTTGCTGCGACCCGCGAAGAAATCTTCATCGTTATTTTGTTCTGGGTCTAATATGCTTCTTGAGCTTCGGTAAGACTCGCTAATTCTACTGTCAAGAACGAATCTTAGCTCGCAATTTCGTGGCTGCAGTTGACGGGAAAAAATAGTGAGGAGGGTTTCTTTCTTATAGAATCTCAACGTTATTTAAGCCCACCGACAGGACACTTTCCTCAGTCCAAGTAAAAATACAGTGAAAGGTTAAAACAGAGAAAGGGCACTTGGAAAGTAGGAGCTTTCAGGTCACTTCCGGCGAAAGACACTTTAATTTTGTTTTTGCCACAACATTTTATAACCTAACTCTCCAGACTTTTAAATGCTAAAAATTGTCTAGTCCTAGGTACAAAGAGAAACTATTTCCCCGGGGGGAACTGCCATATATGGGCTACTGATAGGGACTAAAAGTGATAGAGTTTGGGTCTAGAGTTAGGCTCGACTACCAGCCGTTGTTCGGGAAAATGAGCCCGCACTCATCTCCTCCCCCCCCATCTCTCTTCGGGGAGGATCAAAGACTGTACCCACGCTTGGAAGAAATGGCCACAAAGAAAGGGCACGCGAAGAAGACACACAAGGAGAGAGGGAGCGTCTGCCCGAGAGGCCCATGAAAATCATTTTTACTGGCTTTTTGAGAGTGTGGAAAGTTTCTATTGGTTAAGAGGCCCAATTTGAAATGAAATACACATTAGCAGAAGTGGCGACAGACAAAAGATTTGTCTAATCATTGATCAGAGGAAATATTCTTTGTTCAGAAAGAACTTCACCGCTTGCATTGTTGATTGAGCGCATACCATCAAAACCTGGACAATATTGATGAAATGAAACACTTACCAGGGGTATGAATTTGAAAAACCATTCGCTATTGTTATTATTTGCTTGAAGGTGACCTGATTGATATTAATGTCTCGTTGCTGCAACCAATAAAAACGTCTCGGTACAGTTTGTGTTCTGAAGTTTAGGTCTGTTTGGTAAGACGTCTACTCCAAAAATGGCTGCCACTTTGTGCAGTAAAGGCAATGGTCATTTTCCACATAGGCTGTGATCTTTGGTGTCTGTACAGTTGTGATTTTGTAATCTCAGAGATCAATAATTAGCTTTTTATGATACACAGCCATTTTTGAGTCAGTGTTTTTTATTTTTTGTATTTATCGTGTCTTTGGTTAAGAATGATTTTATGCTGTGTGTTTACTGTTGGTTTTTTACCCCATCGCTCTATAATCAGATAACACAGCTGATCTTTATAACACATATATGTACAATGCTTTGGCACCCTTTGTTTGTGTGAGGTCAATCGATTTCTGTCAAAATATTTAACAGATTATGCAGCATCTGCCAGGTAATTGGATAGAGGGCAGTAAATGATTTTCATGGGCCTCTAGGGCAGGTGCTCCCTCTTCCTTAACGTGTCTCCCTCGTGCGCTTGGTTCTCTCTTGCGCCCATTACTTCCAAGCACCTGCTACAAAGGCTAGTCTAGAATAGGCTATCCCTTTCCAGGAAACTGATCAATTGGTTGAATTTTCAAAATTTCAAACTGGTTTGAAAAAAGTTTGAACCCAGAAAAAAATTGAACTAAAGCATTCATACCAAGGTTGTTTTATCATGTCATATAGATTATTGCTTTCTAATCATTGCTTTTGCATCAAAAGATCAGTATTATCATACTGTTTTTGTCATCTAGGAAGCTATTATTGCTATGACAATCCAGCAGCCTTAGAGAATCATATAAAACAGGTATTTATAAAGTCTTCACACTGTTTAGCATTCTAGTATCATACTTATGAAGAGGATTAAGTGGATCTACCTCTTGTATATACATTATCATGGCATCATGGGATGGTTACTGGTTTATGATGACTATTTCATGTCTGCTAAGCTAGATCACACAATGGAGGAAATTAAAATAATATTGGAGTACAACTTGTATTTCGCCCTGCAAAACTTTTTACTTCGGAGCCTAAGTGTAAAAAAAGTGCTCACGTATTTTGCTCCCACACTTGTGATTTTCTTCAAGTCTTTGACTTAAACAATCACTTAACTGTTACACTAAAACAAACTATGGTTTGCATTTGAATTATGTTATTCTCACATGATCAGCTCAGGTGTCCCACATGAACATGTGACTTTTTCTCCATTTTTGAAAGGCAGCAACATCAGTTTGCAGTTGAAATGATCGTTGTATTACTATGTGTTAGGGAAGAATTTTTCCGTGTGGAAAATCAATTGCAAGTGATATATGGTCACTGCTTAGTGATAATACTTTGAGACGGTGGTAGAGATGTTACAGCAGAGTTTTCTCCTAGTATTATTAAGAGCATTTATCTTTGAACCATGAACTTTTGTTATTATTAGCCTTTCTAAAAGGGAAGAAAACAGTGACAAAACCATTCATAATAATTTCTTACAATTCTCAGTAATAATTGATTCTACATTTTTTATTCTTGACTCCCGTCGCAACCAAACTAGAAGAGCCAGTGTTCAGTTTTTCAAGTCATTGTGTTATTTGTTGAAGAAACAACTTTTAGAGCCTTTTAATTTTTGACAGTATGTATTTCTTTCTTTCTCTGTTCTCAAGGACATGGAAGTACAAACTGATAAATATGTGTTGCTCTACTCGCTCTACTCATATCCTAATGTGATTCTCTGCTTCTTTGGTGGATTTTTACTTGACAGGGTGTTTGGTGTAAGGTAGTAATTTTTCCCTCTGTCTTTAAATCTTTTAATTTAATTTTAATTCTAAATCAATCCATTTTCATAGCATTAATTGACACGTATAAAACATGAAGAGAGTAGTGGGGAAGGACTAACAGAGAACATAAGAACCATACAAGCTACAATGAGGGACCAAAGTGTTGAGGCACTTCTATAAAAAGGCCCCTTTTTGCATCGTGGAAATAACTGTTCCCTCCCCAGTGTACTCTCACCCCTAACCCCAAAATCAATATTGTATTTGACACCCTCAAGTCCTTCTTTTTCTACAAACAACATTGGTTTGGGGGTAGGGGGATTTATGGCATTAAAACAGAATTAAATAACATATGTACACAAATGAAAATGTTGATAAAAGCTCGTGTTGTAGACAAGACAGTGTCAGCAACTTTTGTCCCTGATTGTAGTCCATCCAAATGTATGAAAAGAAAAGGAAAAATGTCCAAGAAAGTGACATCTTTAAAACTGTCAATAATAAGAACTGAAACCATGAAGATACTTTTGTTAAAGGCCAGTCAGGGTCAAAGTCCCTATTCTTTTTCTTGCATTATTATAACTCTTGGTAATGTTTTTACATGTATGAAGTATCACAGGCTTAGTTTTTCAGTCCTAAGCTTACTAGGTAAGTTATCCCATAAAATGATAATCTATTTATATATCACTGAAGGCATTTTCTAGATGCTCATTTTCTAATCTTAAATAAATTGAGCCTCCCAACTTTTCCTTCAACAAATTATAAAAATAAGTTTGTGAGGTTAAATATAATTGTTGATAAAGTAGTAGAAAATTTTAGACTCCTCCTCCTCGTTTTTTTTTTCTTTTCTGACAAAGGCCAGGTAGTATTCTGTAGGTGAGAGTCTTCATTAGTCCTGTCTAGTTTCAATTGTTTCAAAACAAACCAAAAATAAATGAGTTGCAGGCAAAAAGTGAATCATTACATAATACATCAGGGTGTTCATCAGGCATTGGAGATTGGAGAGTTTTCCATTTACCACGCAGAATTATCTGGATAATGTTAAGTAGCTTATGACTAGTTTTATTCAGATTTGAAGCCTCTTTCAAAATGTTCTCCTGTAATGTTACACCTTTCTCTTGCTACCACAATTCTTAATGAAAACCCTGATACATGTGCTCAAATACTGTCTACCTCTCTTAGGCTTGGGACCATCATCTTCAGTTTGTTTGTGCTTACTGGTCAGGTGAGGTTGCTTCAAAAATGAACTTTTCTCACTTTCTCTCCTCCCCTCTTCTTTTACTTTTCTTTTGCCACTATTTTTCGTTTTTTCACTGGGTATTTACTAGGCTTTATTTCAGTGTCAAAAGTTACCCATTTTGGGAAACGATTTAGAACCATGGAATTTGATGGGGTTACAGTACCGCTCAAAAGTAAGTTGGCAGTCAATCATGTCTTGATCCTTGAGACTTGAGACTCGATTCTCAATTCTCCAAAATTTCCAGGATCGAGTCTTGAGTCTCGATGATCGAGGATTGAGGATCAAGTTTCAAATTTTGAGTTTATGAGAACTTGTCATGAAAGCGCACTCGTACACTTACCTTTCATTCTAAAAATTACCGCTCTATGCATTGGGTGAGACTCGTTCACTTTCAAGTAAACAAAGCTTGCACTTTGAACGCGAAAAATGTTCACTTCTGGTCTCCTGTTAATAGTCCTTTTGAAACTTGCTTTTTAGAAGTGAAGGCAAGACACATATAATTATATGTAATAGCGGTGAAAATATTGCCATGCACAGTGTACAGTTGTAATTCTTTTTGACTTTCCATCTTTCTTACTTCAGTTTAGCAGTAAAAAAGAGCCTTTGTTTAAAAGTGAACAATAACTAAACAACTCTGTAGATAATCGAACTCAAACCAAATCTTTCAACCATAAATCTTCTTTTTAAAATCATTCCAAAGCAAGATCACAGATTCACACACTTAGTTCCAAAAACAAGATCTTATTTGTCTCACAAATCAATACCACGAGGTCTGTCTGCCTGTCAATTCTGCAGATTTCTGTAGAGTGCTCGCGCATATTTCCTTGTCACTTTCTATCGTTTGAAGGAAACAAGTTTGAAATGTTAAAATGTCGTGTGCACATGTTAAAATGTTGCTTCAGCAAACAAGGTTTGCGGTGACATCAGCTAGATTTGTGTAAATGCCAGTTTTATAATTAATGGAGTCGCTAAGCCGTGTTTTCGAATGAACATGGTGAATGAAAGGATTGACTAATGGAAAGATCATGTATCCTTTGGGGGACTGTCGACCGATATATTGGCGGACATCTTGGTATATCAGTATATCAGCCGCTCTGTTGGCTGATGCGTGGTCAACTCTCGACCAACTGGATCGACCAATGCGAGGACCGAGTCCAGAGTTTCAAGCATCGAGTGTCAACCTACTTTTGAGCAGTGCTGTGAGTTCGGGTGGGTTTTCATCTAAATTTCAGGTCAAATTTATTTGTTTGTTGTTTTTGCCCTCTTCTCTGCCCTCCATAATTGAATTGTGCTCATTCTGTCATGGTTGGAAAGATCTTTTTCTCCTGAACAAGTTAGATGGCAATGTAGTCCTTGACCATTAAAACTGATGATGTCACAAGGGGTACAAGGGGTGTAGATCTGACAGCACAGGCGGTTACATGTTGATCAGGGGTGGATGAGTTAAAAATGTATAATCAAACAGACTGTGTTTTTGTTCAGGCTGTTGGTTACCCTACATGTACATTTACGTACATTGTTATTGTGGAGCATTTATTTTGAGCAGTATGCTCACTAGGCTCATCTATTTCATCCTTCTTTCTTTTTTAGCTCATTTTTGCGCTTGGAGGTTACATCCATAGTTTTACAGTGATGGAGATAGGACGATTTGTTTTTGGGTAAGTGCAATATTTAGAAATACTATGTAATACTAGGAAGTGAAATTTAAATTATAATATTGTTGTGATTTTGACATGAACCATACATCCAAGGCACAATCAAGAATCTCTTGGTCATCCCGAGGAAACAAAGGCAGATACCATCACTTGAAATAAACGCACTTTAGATAATCTTTAAATAATACAGTTGATGTGGTTCACTTGTACAAGTATATTCCATAATAAGTTTATTAAATGAAAGGAGAGGCAAAGGAAATTTAGAATCAGACTGGGTTGAAACCATTTTAACCTGAATTTCATATTGAAATTTACACCAAATCACTGAGTGTACATAATTATGTGACAAAAAGACTATTCAGTACACCATTGATTTGACAGTAATATGTAATACTACTGACTAGATGTTTTGCAACATTTTTTCATGTTGTATTGTTAGTTTAGGAGGAGAGAATTTGGCTGTTGCTCAGAATACCTACTCTGTGAGTTGGTTCAAAGGGAAAGAGTTAAACATGGTGTTTGGTCTTCAACTTAGTTTCTCTAGAGTGGTAAGCTTGGACACTGCAGAACTGCAAGTCCTTAACTTATAATTAACTAAGAGAATATTTACAGCTAACGCTGCAGGCACAAAACAGGGTTTTAATGGGTGGGTTCACACTTGAAGTCAGACCAGAAGACTTGAATGAAGTCCTAACCATTTAGTGAGCATGATTAGAAATGACATATAACTCTAATAGCAAGGTCCACTGGCCCTGGAATCTTGTGCAAGAAGGAAAGAATGATCTGTTTCGTCAGGGCTTCAAGTATTAAGACATACTTTCATTATTCTTTCCACATGTTTTCATAGTACTGGGCTGTTGTATGTGAGAAACCTATGATCAGCTACGGTCGGCAAGTTCCACTGGTTGTCTAATGCCCCTGGATTATCTTTGATAAGTGCTTAATGTTTTGGTAAAGGATTGGTAGTTTGTAGCCCTTAAGGTATTAACTCACCATTTTTTTTCTTTTAGGGTAGCACAATCAACATGAATGTAAACAATCCCATTTATAGTGCATTCAGTAAACATTTTCCATCAACAGATAGCTACAAGGCTCTGGGAATGACATTATTTATTGGTAGGTAATTCTTGTACAGTAAAACCTGTATATAATTTAACCCTGTAATTAACCTCTGGTATCACAAATGGAACTCTTTGTCTCCTTTGCAGTTATATCAAAAATAAATAAATGTACTAGATTGTGTGGTAAAGTTGATAGTTGTTAGCTGTTAAACAACAAATTCCTTATGTTACAGGTTCTGTACTGTCCATAAGTCCTCCTTACAATGATTAAAAAAAACTTAATTTGCCTGAAAGGAAAGCTCCAGATTGTTTCCAGCATGGCCTGAGCAACATGACTGATGGCATTTTTTATCATTAATTTTATTAAGGTGCTGGAGTTTGTGTTTTTTCACTTTGCTGTGGATTTCTGTTGGGTTTTCTTGACAAGAGGGCTGCTCGTATTCTTAAGAAAGAAGATTCACAGACAGGTTTGCAATTATCTTTGCATTGATTTTTTCATGTTATTTTTTGTACATGTTATCTAAAAACAGCAGAAAATTAAGATTTTTCATACAGCTGATAATTATTTTTACTAGAGAAAATCAGCAATCATCACGTTTTGAGACATTGTTTAACCATTCCTTATTATACATTGGTGGTTTCTATATTATAGGCCAGAATGCTTGTAGGGGAAAGTGGGCTGCCCTCACTTCTCATCAGCATGACTTATTTAGTGTTATTTTGATGAAAATATTTGTCCTTTTTGTAGGGGAAGTAATCCGCTTATCTGATGTCAAAGATTTTCCTGCTACACTGTGGCTGATATTTATTATATGTGTTGCGTACTATGTGGCCATCTTTCCATTTATTGCACTTGGCCTGTAAGTACATGTAGTTCAAGATCTGATTTACAAAGAACCATAGTAATAAATTGTTAATATTTGTAATTAATAATTATTATTGAAGAATCTCTGATGTGGTTCATAACCATAGTCAATACCTTAAAATGGCAATTGTGTTTGTTGAGTAACATAATGTACTTCTAGTAATGTGAACAAGGGGGCGGGATATTGCATACAGTGGAATTTAATGTAAGTTCATTCTCCTTTCACAGGGAAACCAGCTCAATGAGTATTGTGTATTCCTTTTAACGAGTGGTCACGAATTATTGTGTTTTGAATTTCAGTGCATTTTTTCAAGCCAAATTTGATATTAGTCCCCAAAGGGCTGGAGCAGTGAACAGGTCAGTACGAGTATGAATAAGTAACCTACTGGCAACAAGTTTAACAACAAGTTTTCATTTATTATTTTGCTCCTTCAAAGTGACTGCATAACATTTCCTGGGAGCTGGGAAGGAATAGTTTTCTTTATCTCTTGTAGGTTGCTGCGAACTTTTTTTTTCTGTAACATTGATGTTGAGCCAGTTCCCTTCTAAAGATATTCTTTCTTTTTTCTAGTGTGGTGTTCATTATTTCTGCTTGTGCTTCTCCATTCCTGGGCTTCATGGTTGATAAAGTAGGAAAGAATGTATTCTGGGGTGAGTTCATTCAGTGAACATTTCATCTTACACTCTGTTCCCTCAGTAGCCTCCCACACTTTACCCCATAACAATACTGTAGCAATACAGTACCATTTGGCCAACATTAGTGAGTTTTTCTTAAATCAACATAATTTGTTATTATTAGCTTATAAGAGACGTCACTGTTTACAAACATTATCTTTGTTATTCATATTTGTAACAAGCTCGTGAAACAATAGAATCTTTTGTTTCAAGAACCCAAGTGATTCTGGTTGACACAATAATATCATTAGGTGTCCAGACTGTTGGGTAAGAATAACATTGTTGTAGAGAGTTCAAGAGTTGTAGCCATGATGAAAGCCACCACAAGAGCATAGCCTTAATGCGATTCAAAAGACACCTAAGGTTTTCAGCCTGTTATTTTTTTTCAACTCCTTAATTCACGTGCCTGTTTTGTCGTTTGTTGTGATGTTTTGTGGTTTGTTTAGTTACTGTGGCAGCCACCATGAGTTTTCACTGTGCTGGACGGTGTTAAAAGGCTCTTTTTTAAATGATGTGTTCTATTTTGTTTAGTTATTCTATCCGTGGCCGTTACCTTGGGTTGTCACTGTATGTTGGCCTTTACTTTCTGGGAACCATTTGTCGCTATGGTAAGTTTTATTTTTCCATTATTTGAACGTTTCGTTTTGGGGGAGGGTGGTGGTAATTTCACATTGCAAACTTGCAAGTTGGGTACCATTTTTTTTTCTATTCTTAAAATTTAACATATTACTAACCCCTCCAGATCTGACACAATAATAAGACCATGATAATAAGAAAACAAGATGACAATTGAAAGGAAGCTTCAGTTAACAATCTTTAAAGAGAAAGTCCTGTGTTCAACGAGACAAGGCAAAAGCATGGTCACAAGTCCAACCTTGATATTTACTGGAATGTTTACTTCCCCAAGTCATAGATATGTCAGTTATTAATAGAGTATTAGTTTTAAATCACATTAGATGTTCTCTCTGATGTTTTGCGGAATGATTTCTTTTATATACATTGTACTTCATAATATTCTTCCACTTCAAGTAATGACAAAATGTGGATCAATCATTTATGTTCCTTTGTTGCTGTTGCAACCCTTCATGAACTGGCAATTCCCAAGAAAGCATCAATCAAAACTAAAGTGGTCGGATCATACATTTGGCTAATCAGTTGATGAGACTAAGGGGAAGCCTTGAAAATTGTTATCAGATGATGTGATCATTGTTACTTTTATACTGCAGAGTATTATGGGCGTGGCATACTCCATGTTGGCTTGTGCCCTGTGGCCTCTTGTTGCTTTAGTTGTCCCGGAACATCAGCTTGGCACTGCTTATGGATTGTAAGTAATTACAGCTCAATATTTCTGAATTATGTTACCCGTAAATCTTTTATAATCATCTATGGATAGGTAATAGTTAGACTCAGATAATGTTTTAGTCCACCATAACTTTCTTTTCTGCATCTTCACATGTACGTTTCCTTTTTAAACAGTAAGTAAATCTTACTTTTTTTTTGTGAAGTCCAACCCTGCAAAAGACAACTAACCAAAAAAACAAACAAACAAACAAGAAACAACTGTATTTCACATGAAAAACTTTACAAGTATAAAAAATTAACGTAAACTGAAAAGGGCAGAGGAAATATTTCTCACAAACCGCAGTTAGAGTTAAGTCTTTGGGAAAGAAATTCAGGTAGCATTACGGTCCGTTCTGTTAAATTAGGACACGTCTATATATAAGACGTTTATATTTAGCAATTATTCCACGAGTACCTTTGGATATGAGATGGTGGATAATAAACGAGGCGCATAGCGCCGAGTTGGCTATAATCATGTCATATCCAACAAGCGCGAGTGGAATGATTGTTTCATTAAAAACGTCCACAAAAAATCGAGAATTCTTCGCGACTTTATTTGTAAAAACAACCGAGTTTCAGCTTGTTTTTAATTTTGAGCAGATGCTTACAGCGACCATATTTGGGGAGCTTGGCATAATGGTTCATATACGATGATGGTTAAGCCAATCAGAGCTCTAGAATCGCATTATGCAATGATTCCGCTTTTAATAATCATAATAAAATAGAGGACATAGCCAGCTGGTATATTTACTATACAGCTGTACGTGTTGATAGTTGCTGTATGGAGAGTTATCGTTATCCGTTTATTTTAGTTTCTTTCCACTGGCCCTGGGCTCATTTCCCAAACAGGGTCTGGTCATCGAACCTTCCTGTTTTGATTCTCACTACAATTATCTACTTGTCAATCTCTCATTCTATTACAGTAGTCCTTGTAACACTCTGCTATCTAAATCTACCTTCCCACGCAAAAGTTCTCGCCGGCTTTCATTTGAATGATCAGTCAAAACACTCTTCTTTTCTTTCAGCATGCAGTCCATCCAGAACCTAGGATTAGCTGTTATTTCACAAGTGGCTGGAACCATTGTTGACCAAAAAGGATATCTAGTACTTGAAGTATTCTTCTGTGCCTGGCTTTGTGGTAAGATTATTTTAGTAGTGTTAATTATGTCTGTCTGTGTAAGTTTCTAAGTGTTTTCTGCTCTTTTATGTGTAGATGAGCCAGCTGGTAAAAAATGTTTATTCTTCTCAGTATACTTTTTTGTACAAACGAATCCCTGTTAGTGAAACACACGAGGGTCGTAAATGTCCCAGAATACATTGGTCGAGCTACTGTAATACACTAATGGTCAATAATGTGATTACAATTGTAACTTCTTATTGCGTTGCAGTCGCACTGATTGCCAGTATATTGCTGTATTTGGTGGATGCTTCCAAGGGTAAGATTATTTACATGTAGGTGTGTCTTGACGTATTCGTCTTTATATTTTTTTGTTATGAAAGTTTTTCTTTTTTTATAAACCTTCCCGCATCTGCAGGCCGCCATTAACGCCATTAAGTGTGGCTTACATCTCTACAACACGAAGTAAATCATACTTCAAAGTAATTTAATTATTTATTTACCAGCTTTTCTGGACACAGGCCTGCCCAGAGGGAATGTGCACGAACGGGACTCAGGTCCCATGCGAGGTGCCATCCCTACCCAATCCCACAACACGTAAAGGTTGGCCACACCACCGGGGTCTACGACCCCTACTCTTTTCGAACAGTAGTGTGGGTTCTTTTACGTCCCACAAGAACAGATCAGTGAAAGTGCTGTGAGACGGGACCTACGGTTTTTCGTCCTTATCCGGGAAGACTAGAAAGTGTAAACATTTGCAGATGTAAAGACCCTGAGTGTTGGTCCGGCCGGGGTTTGAACCCACGACCTCCCGCTCGGCAGACCGGCGCTCTCCCAACTGAGCTAACCAGGCGGTGTAATCAGATAACTATTGTTGCTATTCTTCAGATGCCAGGGCAAGAAGAAGTGATATGAAAGCAGTGTCTGATATGGAATTTTGTTTAATTTATTGACTGCTTCTAACATTTGTAGGAACAGGCCTCAACCTTTCAACTTTTGAAAGAAAACAATTAGCAGCAGAAAGCAGAGTAACTCTGTAAGTATGGCCAGTACAAATACATATGGACAGTAATCAGTCATCTTACACAGTACAAGGTTTAGTGTGTACAGTTCAGTTCAGTTAATTATGCCTATAAGTATCTGAAACGAAACTCATAGGGCCACTTATTTAAACGCAGTTTAGCCAGTGTCGACAAAACCGCGTTCTATGCCATTTTCAGTTTGCCGAACGCTTTTATGTAAACACCATTTATCGTGAACGGGTTCATAAAAGCATATGGCGTCGACTAGGAAAGCATTTTTCTTCCTAAAATAACCCACTGAGGAAGAGATCTGGAGATTCAAAGGTTTCCTTAACCGCGGAGTTAGACTTCGTGTACTATAACCGGCTCATAGTGACTGGTGATGACTTAATCGCATGCAATTCATAGAGTGACAGCTTGTTTCTGTTTTCTGGTAATGTTCGGGTAGTCCGCAATAACTAGTGGAGAATCACTGATGATCGCAAGTTCGCGGAAGTTTGGGACTGGTTAATTGCCCCTACAAAAACCAGGCCTCTGGCCGTCGAGGTCCACTGAGCTTTGTCTTCACTTAAGTCCTCACGACGGTGGTCACCTTTCTTCAGTCCTGCTCAGATATTGTTAGCCTAAGCCATCTTTCAGAAACTCTTTTTCTATTTTTGTGTAGAGTGTCTTCAGAGGATGAAGAAAGTCGCAAGCGAGATTATAATGTTAGTCCTATTACTCCCCGGTCAGCGGCTCAACTTCGATTACGTTTCTTATCGCGTGTCGGACAGCAGGTGAGCCCGCAGTGATCCCATAGCTAATTAACAATTATTCCTCGAGCACTTCGGCCTCGTGGGCTATTGACTCAGAGGCCATTAGGGCGATAGGAATAATTGTTTTAGTAAAATCCAATTAGTTTGCCAAAAATATCGAGACAAAACAACTTAAGCTAGTTAAAGCAAGACTTTAATCCTTTTTTTGCTTCCCAAAAGCCGGCGCTTTTCGCTACTAGTGGGCTATAACATATAGCCTAGTAGTAGCTCAACCAATCAGAACGCAGCATTGATACTAATAGACCACTAGTTGGATTTTACTAATAACTGATAAACCTGACAAAATCAGATTCTTTGGAGTGCAACAAGATAACTACCAGCAAAAACGACAACTCCATGCAGAATAACAAGGCAAATACAAAAATTCTTGTTTTTTAGCTTTCCTTGGAACAGTAGCTCTTCACGATATCTTTATTTAAAAGCTCACTTCCTAGTCGATATTTTTGTCATTACAAGGTCTTAAAACGCAAAAGTTAACCTCGTTTTACGTTTCTAGTTAAGGAATGAAAAGGCTCGCATAGTTGCCTCTTTGTAGATCATGACATTAAACAAACATTTACCTTAACACTCATTTGATTACTCTTCTTTTCTTTTCTTTTTATTTTCACAGTACTTTCAGCTTCCAGAGACTTACAGAGCATCTGCTTTGGCTTATCCTCATGTTCTTAAATAAAAAGCTGTTGCACTTAGATCTCCTACCACACAATTATGGCATGATCCGTTCATCTTCATCGCCACTATGATGGTCATCTTTCTTTTCAGTCATTTGTAATTCCTGATGCAAAGTCGAGAGAATTAGAGAAAACAGAAAATGACTTTGTCTATGTTTACACTCGTGTCTGCTCAGTGCTGATATGACAGATTAGCTGTGCAAAAATTTACTTAGCAGTGGAAATATGGCCTTTCAAATTAATTGATTAACTGTTATAATAACTACAGGTAAAATATTGAATGATATAAATATCTTGAGCATAATTTTGCGTAAAGGAAGCTAGCAAGAGTCGGAACCTTCTACCAACGACTAAACTACCTTTTTATTTATGTTCTCTCTGTGGCTTTTCTTTCTTTACAAAGAAGAGAGAGAGAGACTGAAAAGACTAAAAAGACGGATACGTTGAGTATGTTTCTATTGGAGCTGGATTTTCTGGCGATGTCGTGAATTATCTGAGGGAATGAACGTCATAAAAAATAATATTATAGATAAATTTAAGTAGTTTGCTGGTTTGAACAAACATTTCTGCGATATTCCGCCGTCGTTTATAGGACATGCCAGCTTATTCATTCTTAGTTCAATAGAACGCGTTTGTTAAAATAATTATAAAGATGCTTTAAGCAGGCAAACAGTTTCTCTGTCGATTTTGTGCCTGCGAAGAGATGTTTTGTGAAGTAATTTTATAAAGACAATGCATACAACAACTGTTGGCGGTTATCAATAAAAAGGTTTTGTAGCGTCTTGTACTAGATAGTCGTACAATAGTATTTTGCATCACAGCAAGAAGTTGTTATTTTTGGCTTCACCCCTCAATTGCCAGTACTTGGAATTTTCAGAAGTCTGGCGCCCTTCACGTTCACGATTTTCAACACAGTTATCCCGTGCCGTGTTCTCAAACAACTACAGCATTCAGCGGTGTGAACAAGTCCGCAGTGCAGACCTGGTACTGCGCCCGAGAAATGGGTCAGTGGTGACAAAACCCATTCGTGCACAGGAGCCGCCGTAGACAAAATATACACGACGACTGGTTATACAGAGATGGGCTACACTTCATCGCTGAGGTTTTTGGGTGCTTGTGGCTTTTGACCTCACAGGACACCTGGCGAGGCTCTCCTGGGTCGACAGTCTCCCGCACTGAAGCATTCATTCTTTCATTGTCTTTTTTGTTGATATTTCGTTTTGGTGTAGTGGGGGGGGAGGGGGTGGGAAAGCGGGGAGCAAAACGTTGGTGGGCGGAGAAAGGGATTAGGCTTCGGACAATAAATGATCACGCGTGTTCAGGTTATCCTTAAAAAGACAAGCAAGCCAAAAGGTTTGTATGAGGGGTGAGAATTAGATGGACTGTACTTAAAATCATTTTGACAAAAGGTAAAGTGGTTATTATTGAAATTATTGTTGATGACGCTCTATTTTCGGCATGTAAATAAAACCCTTTCCATAGGTCATGATAGGTAAGACAGTGTGCGTTCTCGATAATTAATGCCTCTCACTCCTCCTCCTGTGCATAAGATATCAGTGCCGGTCCTAAGGAGCGACTTCCTTGCTATAATTATAAAACAGCCTTCTACTTTAAGCTTTTAAGTGCTTTTCCTCTGGTTAAATTGAAACCTTTGCAGAGCAAAAAAAGTAGATTAGTCTTTTTTCAGAGCATCTCCTGTGTAATTTAAACTTCTTTGTCGATTGCTGTGGGTTAACCCAGGGGCGGTACTTATCTTCCTGGGTCTCGGAGGATGGATAAAGATCTGTTAAACAATTTTGTTTCGAAATTAAAATTGATTTTCTTTTTTTCTGCAATAGTTACTCCTTTTCTTTTGTTATTATATTAATAGTCATCTTAAAGTTGCTGTTTTTGTTAAGGTATCGTTTTAAGACATTCTTGACACGCAGCCAAATCTTACGGGACTCGTGTAAAGAGATAAAACATCAACCTGCTTTAAAGCGTTCAGATATTTACAGCTATTTCGAGAGAGGTTGTCGGAAAAAATGTGCACGCGACAACCCCGAAAGGTAATATGGGATATGATCAATACACTGTTCCTAACGACTGTAGCTGTCGAACCTACTTTTGTTGCTTTCCACTATCACTTGCGAACATATGCCCTCTCGTGCCATTCTTTCAAATTTCTTTGGAGACCAGAGCAGACAAAACCACCCACAATACCTTTCGGGATTGTCGCGTGCACTTTTTCCGAGAACCTTTCTCGAAACAGCTTTATATGAAATGGAGCATGCATGGGTGGAAAGTAAGGCGAGTGGAAACGTTACGCTGCACCAACGCTATTTAGTTAAACTGTAAGGGTGATCCGCGGATACTTATATTTTTATAAAGGAGCCGTCTTTAATTTAATACCGGTTAAAACAAACAAAAGGAGTAATCATTTCCTAACACAAGTGTAACAAGAATCACGAGGCAAACTGTTTAGTGGTCTCAAGAAAGGATAGATAAAAACTGAACTCGATGTTCATGCTTTTATCTGCTTAATTCATCCGAGAAAGATGTCGCTTTACTGTGGAACACGCTTTTTTTGGCACTGTGCAGTCCGTCATCAAAAGAAGGGTGGACGACTGTCTGCCTTGACAAGAACGATGAGATACGTAACTTGAAAATAAGCTGCGTCTTTACATTTCCCCTTCGCCGAAATTTTGCGGTTTTTTTGGTAGAGTTTGTTTCGTCAGTTTTGCGTAGGAACTTTTAAGAGTTTTACCTATGGTCCAGCAGTTTTGTTATTGAATGACCACATTAAGACATTGAATCTGCTTCCTGTCTTCTGTTGCTCTGGATGGCAAGGATGAAACCCCGCCTATTTTGCAAATTCAAACAAAATTAGCTAATGAAAAATAGACGATCATTGTAAAACTATTAATACGACTCAAGAGATAACTGAAAACCATTTACAAGGTAAGTAACAGAACTGAACTTAAATGGAAAAAAAGACGTTCTTAACGCTGTAAAGTGGGAAGGTCGACTTAGGACAGTCATTGAGCATGGAACGGAATTATTTCAAACTTGATTTAAACTCAAAGTAGTCAGAGACTTCCTGTTCGGTAGGCAGCAACTGAATTTGGTAGACAGCATTCGGTGGAGGACAAATACAAATTAAAAGGAAAGCCTTAAAAAATACTAAAACTTTATAGCCTGGTTAAGGTAGATTGTACCGTGTGAGAAGAGGTTTCTTTCTGGGATAGCTTTTAGCATTTTAAGGAAGTCGTTTGCGAGTGGCTTCAGTAGCGCCGTAATTGCATTCCAGAAAGAAACCTCTGCTCCAATGGTAGGCAGTGAGGTGTGGTCGAATGTGAAAAATCAGAAAAATTTTGAGCCATATATAAAAGGCTGCACATTTTAAACTACGTACAAGAACAGAATAGAAGTAAATGTTTTAGCGGTTGTTGATTTTTTTTTTAAGTTTCATTATCCAACTACACGCCCCAAAGCTTTTGCCCTTACCTACCGAGTAATTTTTGATCACTTTTCGGATCACTATCAGTTTTAATTTTATACCTCGTAGTTCAGTATTTTGCTCTTTTTATTTACGTGTTTACAAGAATGACACTGCAAGATTTGAACAGGAAAAGCTCGTCAATCGTACAAGAACAATAAAGACTTGAAAACAAAAGTGCAGTTGCGAAGTAAATACCATATAAGCTTCTTGTGTTTATTCTTGTGTTTATTTTCCACGGTTGAGTGCGCGCTCTCCTTGACCAGCATTCCATCAGAGACAGCAGAACCAGGCCTTTTTGTCGATCGTTCTCTCACGGTACACTGAAAAATGTCTGTTTTTATACCCTGTTTTTTCCTTAAAGAAGAGAGAAACCATATAATTGAGGAATAGCTCCCACGTGGGATCGATGAGTGGCTTTAAACCTGAGGAGTGCAGCGAGAGAAGTCAGTATTAGCGCCGTGTGTGTACTGTTATGGCGAGCAATACAGCTTCAAAGAAGAAAGACAAGCGAACGACTCTTCTCGACTTTGAGTTGTCAACTACTTTAGGTAAGCTGTTGCGGGTAACTTGCTTCGCAAAACCGCGATTTGGGACTTAATGTGCTATTTAAGGGATATTCTTCTGTAAGGCTTTTGTTTATTATAGTCAGTTCGCATTACGGAGGAATTAGCGCAATGGTAAGCTTTTTGTTTTATTTTTCTTCTGTAGGCACAGGAACTTTTGGCAGGGTACTTCTATGCCGCGATCGGAGAACCTCTGAGTATCATGCGCTTAAGATAATGAATATTCGAGAAGTGATCAGACTAAAACAAGTTGAACATGTACAAAACGAGAAGAACATATTGTCGAAGATAGAACATCCATTCATCGTTAACTTGTAAGTATATCGACCGACCATGTAAACAATCATCCATAACATGTTGTAGCTACTTTGGGGAATGAGGTTTCGAGCTTGCTTGATCTGGAACCTTTGTTTTTATGACGAACGAAAGCGCGTAGAAAACCTAATCTAAAAAAGTGTTTCATCACTAGATTCAGATTTAAACGCTTTCTTTTTAAGGCGAGTGGGGTTATGTATACAAAGCCATTTTGATCTATTTGTGAATTAAGCGTTGCCTCCTTCGTGTATTACAAGGTGTGTGTATATATGCTCAAGGTTGTCAGTTGTTTGTTTGCACATTGTACGAGTATAATCGATTTTAACTACAATACTGCTCCAACAAATGACTTTAGCAAATCATCGCGCTTTTAACCGACGGCAACCCTAGCCTACTCGTAGCCATTTTTTCCTGCTCTACCACGTGAATCGGTATTTCAAGGGTTCTAAATCGTTTGCATTATTTATTTTAGTGATGTTCTATATTTAGTTAACAATATTGAATTTGTGAAGATCCCGTGCAAAGTTTTCGTTCTGTGATCGACTAAGAGGAAGGTCGAGGAAATGGGTATTTCATTTTCTTAGAAATCTAAATTGTTCGATGCTAGAATTCTTTTCTGTTGGTCACGTCCCGTCATAGACGAATGAATCGATCAGAAAAAAAACATTTATTACTGAAGTGATTATAATCAATCATGTGGAAAACAACATTTCGGCAAATGCGAGCCTCACTTGTACAAGTCGTTGCATTTGAAATTGAAACAGTGTTCATTGATCAAGTTCATATCAAATAAAAACGCATTGTTTATTTTAGAGAATACACTGGAAACTAAATATATGATGAGTGCTAATGAAGTTAGATGGTTCATGAAAATTTCTTTTGTTTATTATGCTTTTTGTTCTGCATGGGAAAAAATAAACAGCAGAAAATAGAAAAATTCCAGCCTTTCTATGAAGCAGCTGCTGCTTGGACCCGGTTCCCAAAATTCATCAAATTCTTTTATATGCTATATTCTGTCAATTTGATATCCGTGCCATTTATTCCAAACTTAGCCTTGGCAAACTAGTGTTCGTTTGAAACTGTATTTTTTTCGGCCTGGAGTCCATTCATTAAGCAGGATTTTTTATTTACTGTTCTTATTTTAACAGCTGTAAATATCTTGCCATAACAAAACTTGAAGCCAGAGTCATGATAAGTAAAATATGCTATAGTTTGCACTTTGCAGTTAAGCAAAAATACAGTCTACTGTGCTTGGTATTGGGTGAGGGCAGACTTCTGCAGTCGATCTTGTTTTATTTTTTCTTTCAATTACTCATACGTGTAAAGTGCACCAATATAATGATGATTTTGCACACACTCCCTTAAGGTTACAAAACATAATATAAGAAGTGCTCAGCAATCTGGCCTCGGTTTATCAAACTCTACGTAAGCAAGGAATCTGCTGAATATCAAATGCCAGTCATGCTAAAATTTCTCATAATCTTAAATAATTATGCAAATGTTCAGACAATCAAAATCACTACCCAGTTTTTTGGGTAGAGACCTCACTGGACACCCTACTCGCTTGTTGATTCAGACGTCCCTTCCACGAGTGTGCAACCCGAAGGGACAGCTAAAATTTAGGCTAGTTAATACTGAAGCTGAGAGGTTTTGAATTTGATAGATATGTTACAGGTCAAATTTGATTTCAGGTTAAGTGTTTTTATTCATGAATTAGGGCTAGGAAACAAAGGAAATTGAGAATCAACCTAAGTTAAAAACATTTAACCTGAAATCAAATTTGACCTGTAACAGATAAATTTGTTACTCTAATTAGCAAGGTATTTAGTAAAACAGGGGGCAGCTTAACAGTGAGGCCCTCTTAGCTAGTGGGTGACATATTTACCTAGTCTGAAATTATTTCAAATATGGTCTTTTCATGTTTTGGGGAGTAGGCCTTGTCTCTGTCAGTACTTAATCCATCTTCATGTTGTTTGTTGCCATTTCATCTTGTCTTGTGTCGCCCATGTTTCAAGCCCGTGTCTGTTTTCAGAATTTTACCTAAACTGGGCCTCAACAGTAGCCTATAGCTTAGAAATCTAGTAGACATCAAATGTTTGAGATATTCACTCCCCAAACTTTTGTCAATCAAGTTTGGGGATCTTTTCTTTAAAGACTGGGGCAGTTACCATTGTCAGTTTTTATGAGAACTTGAGTCCAACAGTTCTCATGGTCAAGGATGGAGTTCCTTTTATTAGGGAAGTTAGCACTTTGTAGGGAGAAATTAGCTTTACAGAGGTGGGCAGTTCCTTTTCAGCACAAAAACTGAGATGTTCTGTTCAGGAAAATCTTGGTTTTCAACTTCTCATGTAGGCAGATGTAGATGTCCATCCTGTTAGAGAGGTATGATGACTTGCAGCTGTAGTTCTTATTAATTTTTTGATTATGATTTCATATGGTTTGAGTTCAGGCTAAGTATGACACCTGATGTTTTTTTTAACATTGCAGACTATGGACCCATCACGATAACACATTCTTGTACATGCTTCTTGAGTATGCTTGTGGTGGAGAACTTTTTACCTATCTTCGCACAGCTGGAAGATTTAACAATGGAACTGGGTTGTTCTTTGGAGCAGAAATAGTGTCTGCTCTAGACTATCTCCATCATAATAGTATAGTATATCGGGACTTAAAACCTGAAAATATTCTTCTGGACAGAGAGGGGCATGTCAAGCTCACAGATTTTGGATTTGCCAAAGAAGTTCAAGACAAGTAAGTTATATGTACATGGTCTTGAGGGTTTGCTACAAATATTGAATAGTTTCCAACAGTTCTTATAGATTTGGAAGGCAAATTAATAAATTGAAGAAAGTGGGAATATAATAATTTATTTCAGTGTGTAACATTTTTTTAATTTTCTTTTCAGGACATGGACTTTGTGTGGTACACCAGAATATCTTGCTCCAGAAATTATCCAAAGCAAAGGACATAACAAAGCTGTTGATTGGTGGGCATTAGGAATACTTATATATGAGATGCTTGTTGGGTAAGGATAATGCCTTGAGCTTCGTCCATAGCTTTCTAGCCTGTGTTTAGCCATACTATACCATCTCTTAAGGAGAAAAAAGGCTATTCGCAGTGGTTTTCACATAAGCAGACTAGAAGCTTCAAGAAAGTGAAGTGCATGTGTCACTAAAACCATCCAAGTTGTTAACAAATGGTACAGCAAAACTCTCATACCAACACTGCCATAAGGAGAAAGCTCAAGCTGTGATTAACAGGTCAAATTCCTGTTGCCAGTAGCTTCTTATACTTATGTCTTGTAATGTTAGAACACACTAGGTGACAAGTTGTAGCAACATCTCAAGGTGACGTTGCAGCAACAAATTGCTTCGTCTGTACAGGAGAATTACACATTTTTTCAAAAAACTGTCTCTACAACAGAACTTTGTCACTGCAGCAGGTCATACAAAATCAAATCAGTTTCAATTTGTGTGAGTAATTGCAGTGACAAAATTCTGTTGAAGAGACAAAAATCTCGCAAAAATTCTCCAGTACACATGAAGCAGTTTTCTCTTCTTTTTCAGGTATCCTCCATTTTTTGATGACAACCCATTTGGAATTTATGAGAAAATACTTTCAGGCAAAGTGGAGTGGCCAAAACACATGGAGACCACTGCAGCCAAGTAAGTTCTTCTTCAGTTAATTTTAATGAAGTGTCAGCAGTAGCTGATCCAGGGTTTTCAATTTTCCCTAATTGAGTCCTTAAAAGAAGGCAATTTTTTAAGTGCATAATAAGAGTGTATTTGGATATCAGATTTGCTGTAAAACAGGTCCATCACTGTGTACAAGTTTGGATGAACTCTTTCTATCAAAACTTCCTAGATTCACCGCGGGTTTATGACTAAATAATGATACTTGCCTTTATAATGTTACAATGACACACACTACCAATATAATCATATTCTTTCTCCTTTTGTCAGAGATTTGATTAAAAAATTATTAGTACATGACAGAACAAGAAGACTTGGAAGTATGAAGGTAAGTATGTATCTGTCTTTGCAGAGTAATTGTAGAAATAGGAATTTACTAACTTACAGCAGCTATAGTGATCCTCTAAGATACCCATTAGGCATATGATCATCTTGTTGATGGATTTGAAAACTTCTCTATTTTTTACAGTTTCTCTGAAGATGAACTTATTGTAATTTAACCTATTTTTTTACTTGATAGTTTATTCTTAAAAGTGTTTTTTTTAGAATTTTCTTTTATAAATATAAAGGGCTTTTTGCATGTAAACAAGATTGTTTTTAATGCCTTGCCTTTCCTATTGAAAACTTTTTAAAACTATACTCAGCATCAAGTCATTGTTTTTGTAAATTTTTGTCTCATTCAGAATGGCACTGAAGATGTCAAATCTCACAAGTGGTTTAAAGTTATTGACTGGAATTTAGTTTATCAAAGAAAACTTAAGGTACGGGTGTTGGTTTCTGCACAGAATGATGGATGTATTATTGTTGTAGTGTAAATTCCCTTCTGCTCTTGTTGATCATGACTTGCTAGTTGTCGTGTGTTGATTATTATGGTGTAGCCGTCAAGGCTCCGTAAGGCTGTGTTCACATGACACCAGACGAATTTTTGATTGGTTGAAAAATATGACCGGACACTTTGTTCACTCGGAACCGTTTAGCCATAGTTAACAGAGTGGGCCCCTCTACTATCTATGGTTTTGCTCGGGTTATGGTACACGAGTCACAGGAGGGGGCTGGGGTGGGGTCTAGTTAAGCAAGATGCTCCCTCTCTGTTCCCCACCCCCCACCCCTTCACACCCTACTTCATCCTTTCACCTTGTACCCGCCCCATCGATTCTACTTTTTTTTCTCCCCAATTTTCTACTGTCAAAAGTTAATGATGGCGAATAAACGCAGAAATCACTGAATGCTCGCTCGTTAGTTAAAAAAAATTGCGCCTGCACCGCAGTTGGCTAGTACCGTTGATGACACATGAGTGGCATTTCATGAGCGAAGATGGTTTTCGCAGGGTAGAAATACCTGGAGACCTGAATTCAATAAACCGATATTTCTGGACTGAAACCATTTACAACTTTTTACTCTGGCTACTTTTGTTTGGATGCTGTCTGTAAAATAGCACGAAATGATGTAGTTCCTATTATTATATGGAGGAGAGTGTTTTACTGGGAACTAAACCACTCGTAGATTCCATACGCCACTTCATCCGGGACCCGAGTGGCGTATTTTCCGTACGTCACCTTTGTGAGTGTCGTATCGTTCAATGACGTCACGATTCCCGCCTTTTGCTTTTGTGGAATTGTTTTCTCCATATAATAAAAAGAACATTACACGTTGGCTCGAAGATATGAATTTTATGTTCTCACCACCGTGTAATATCCTCCATTTATTGTTACGTAGGCACCGATAATTCCAAAGCTTTCCCATCCTGGTGATACAAGAAATTTTGATGATTATCCCGAGGAGAACTGGAGAGCTGCACCTCCTCTCAGTGGCAAATTACTGGAGCCATTTAAAGATTTTTAACTGTTGCGGATGACATAACTCTATTATAGTCAATCAGGTGGGTTAAACCGCCCCTCAAAACTTTCAGCGCCAATGCCAATCCAAATACAAATCTCTTGACTGATCTCCATACTTTTCCGTCAAGAATTAGTTAGGAGGATTTGAAAACAGATCAAAACATTTCCCTCAGGTGATCATTAATTCTATTAATTCTCTTAAATACTGTTAGGAGGAAATAGATGTTGGTCACGACTCTTGTAGGCCTCAAAATAACGGCCGGTTAACGGACAATTTACGGTCGAGATGACCATTGGTCCGGACAAACGTTCGGTTTGCCGGTCATTTTGTACATAAGCGACCAGAAAAAAGTACATTTTTACCCTATTACGTTTCTAAAGAACAAGATTGAGGGTTAAAAGTAAAGCTCTCCTAGCAAGTAAACCCTTTTACGTTCTATAAATATGATGATGAGTAGGTTAGGTTCAAGTTACGACTTACTTTACTCACGGAGGCCTGATAAAGCCGAAGTGCAACAGATTTGTCGTTTTTCTCTCATGTTTGTTATGCATCATCCTTCTGCGTCAATGTTTTTTATCAAACTACTGATTAACCTTCCCGGGACTCTTGAGCTTAAAAAGGTAACCAATCGTGGACTTACATATGATTTTTATATGTTTTGGAGCTTCTGCACAGTGAAGGGTGTTCTGACTTGTTATAAAATTGACCTTCGTTTTGTAATGTTTTGTTTTCAGTTTACCATGGACTAATCAAGTACTATTAAGAGCAGAGAATGTGCTTTTCTAGTTATCTTTTTTGGGCATGCATAAGCCTTTTCTTTAGGAATTCATTTCAACTTTTATTTATTGGATACATCGGAACTCTTTGGCAGGCATTATAAGACATTGTATTGCAAAATGTTAGATAATCCATTCACCTTTTCTTAACTATTCCAATGCTTTTTAGTGTGTACGTTGAAAATCAGTATTACATTGAAAATCAGCGTTAGAAACTGAACCGTGATAGAGAATCGGCCACACTTAAGATAAATGCGGGAAAACGGGCAACAAAAACGTGCAACTTGTTTTGCGACGTTGTTGCAAAACATGATGCGCGTTATACCACCCTCGAAAACAACCTTGGAAACTTATTTGTTGCATGGCAGGTTAGAACGTGGGCGATAAAACGCGCAACATCGCTATTGTACTATTCAATTTGTTTTGCAGCAATCTTGCAAAGCAAGTTGCACTTTTCTTGTTGCCTGTTTTACCGTAGCTTTAGGCCGGGCCGTACTTCATTGAGCGGAACGTAATGCTTATAAGCGAGAACAATAGTTTTTAGTCATTAACGTTAGGTTCGGCTCATGTGAAGTAGGATGTTTGATCCGAGCCTAGCGATGTTTTTGTCGTGGGTCGGTATTTAATGTTTTTACGACTTTTCCCAAACCTTACCCCTCCCCTCATAGTTGGCAAATAATACCTAGAATTGACATAATATTGTATTTTGAAATTGCAATTTGCGGGTAGAGACACTAATTCGGATAAAAATTATTTGTAAGCTCTCAATTTGCCATTTATTTTGCGAGGTTTTTTGAATTTTATAGAATTTCAATGGATTATTATTCTTAAAGTCCTTCCATATAATCAAATATAAAAGGGACCCAAGAAACCAAAATTGCTATTTTCGCATTGCCGATAAAGTTTAAGAATTAAAAGAAAACGTTTTGTCCATGATAAATATATAGGAACAGTGGTTTCCTTAGAAACCGTTGTGCTAGTTTGGGTAAGTAGTATTATGGGATTGATTCGTTAGCAGCTAAAGTGTGGGAATATGAGAAGAAAAAACCAGTTTCACTTATACGTTTCCTGAAGTGAGGTAAATTTACCTAGTTTACCTGACATAAAGTTTGAATAAATTGTACTGCCGCACTGAAATATTTCTTTCCGCCTTTAGCAGGTAACAAACCACGTAGTTTTTTCTTTAGGGCCCAATCAGGTAGCGACCGTGTCGCGTCACGTGATCCCTGTATGACCCTAGATTTTTTTTAAATGCAGTTTTGATAAATACTCAAATGGTTTTCTATTTTAAAGCACAAGGATGATTGTCATAATTGAGAACTGTGCTGTTCTGCTAAACAAATTAGCATTCAAATATTTTTTAACGTGTATAAAACTTTCTCTTTGCTATAGAAACCTCTTAACTCATTGTTTAAGGTTGTTCTATATTTCAGCTCAACAAAGCGTATTTTTACTCAAATCGACAAGTTTCACTCTGGCATTGTTCTTAATTATGATGTCATCAATGATATTGCTAGTTTATTTTTGTACACAGATAGAATTAAAAAATCAACATCGTAGAGATCATGCTGCGATGTCTCAGTCAATTAGAATTATTAATTTTTGTAAAATGTGTCGATGGAAATTGTTAGATTCCAAATAAATTTATATGTATTCCATTGAAAAACAGCTTGTTTTGTCCAATACCTAGGGACAACCAAGGTAGAGATCAGCAAAACCTAAAAGAAATGTTTGAGACAGAGAAGATCCTACCGTGTGAGCAGAGGCTTCATTTTCGCTGTGTGAGCTGTCGTGCGAAAAGTAGCCTCTGCCGACAACCGTTCAAATCCGTTCAGAAATCTGGACGAATAAATTACAAAAAACCGAGTTTTGCGTAGCAGATCAGAGTTGTGGCAATTTTTTTATTCCCGGGAAACTCGCGCCATTTGACGACAGACCGTGACGATTAATTTTGCTGGCGAATCGCGTGAAGAATTTTGCGCATGCACGATAGAAAATTGAACGGTTGTCGGCAGAGGTTACTTTTCGCACGCCAGCTCACTCAGCGAAAATCTGGCCTCTGCTCGCAGGGTAAAAAGATCCTTGACCCGTGAGTGAAACTTGTTCTACGTTAGTGAGGCAAGGGGGAGATTGCTTTTATCAACTAAGTTGATAGGTCTGTTCTTTTCGCCCATCCCCCTCCTGCCTTAAAAAGATTCATAAGCAGATATTTCGAGCGCTGGAAGAAGGAAGTTTTAGCGCTCCCCAAAGCGTCAGCTGTTTTAAATCAATTTACCCCGGGGAGGGTGGTACTTGGGTTAATTTTTGTTGTGTATGTGCGGCTGGCCACTCAGAGCCCCTAACCGATTATAGTCTATTCTGTGGCCAATTATAGACCCAATCTTAGTCACTTTAGGGCAAATATGTAATTTTTGCTATCACAACTTAGTCATTTTCTATTTTTATGAATTGACCCACTTTTAGTTTGAATGAAGAACACTTTACTTTTCGTCTACAGTACAAACATTCTGGTATGTTTGCTAACCGAAAATATGAAGAACTGTCTCACCCCCAAGAAATCCGAAAATGTTCGACATCATTCTAGTTACTGTATTTAAAATGCGACCCCATTATAGTCAATCCAGTCGTAAAAATGCGACCCCATCCAGCGGCACATTCCCATTAGCCTCTTATAAGGAAGTACCCCCAGAGCAATTTACGGCGGTAAATTGGCTATCATTAGGGCGCGTTTTATTGACTGTATTCCGGAATGAGAATTGAGAATAAACTTTAGAAATCACTTGTTTCGTCGTTTATTGCATTGCAGTTGAAAGTTGCTTGATACGTAATCCTAAAATCACGGTACAAGAGATCTGTAAAGAAACTTTCGCGTATTCTGATTACACTCACTGACCAGACAAACAAGGTTTAGTAATCTGACAATACTGAACATCCACAAACAGAGAACAGACAAACTTTGTCTTGTAGCTGTTTCCAATGAGTTCGTAGCTCTTAATGACAATCGGAAAGGCGACTTTGGCACCTTCAGAGAATCCGACTTATTAAAAATGTTAGGGTGACACTCAGCCGTTGCGTTTGTTGGGTTTAGCTTCAAATTCTGTTCATTTAAATTTCGGTCCAACGTGGGGGCCAGGTTGTAACTTGTTGTTTAAACTGCCGATGTAAGAATTATAAATTTATTTTACAATTGGCAGTTTTAGAAATCATTTATAGCCGTTCCAGAAGACTTAAATTTGAAATTTTCCCGGGGGAGCAAACCCCGGACCCCCCTAGTTTGCTCACGCTTACGCGTTCGCATTAGCCCCTTCCGCCCCTCCCACTTAAAAATCCGCTCCGCGGGCCTGGTAAATCGGTTAAAAATGAGTAGTAAGTACTGTAGCATTACGGTTAGTCACCAGACCCTTGTGTACTCGTTCATCCATGCCGCAGTTTTCCAGGCCGATTTCTACGAGTTGAATTTTTGGTTCAGTACTAAAACCCTCCGAAACTCTACTGCTCTTGGAACTGCCGTTAACTATCATTTCCCGCCGCGTTGAAAATATTCTTCTCAGAAGGTCAGACGAGGCTCGGCGAAGTTCCTTGATCGTCCATAAATACAGTCCAGGGTTAACTGTTGAGTTAATTAACACGATCACCAGCGCTAATTCAGATGCGTGTTGCAGCATTTTCGTGGTTTTCCCGTCAATAATTCTTATCAACAGAACAATCCATGTTGGAAGATAAGCCGCTAGAAGTGCACAATAAACATATAACATGTTAGTTACCGACTTTTTATACCGTGAAACAGCTAAAAGGCTTGCAGGTGATCTTGTTTCTCGCGATTGTACGCTGAGACGATCCTGTTGGCGGCGTAGAGTGGAATAAATTTTAGCAAAAACGATCGACGTCACCAGAAAGCTAAAAGGAATTATAATTAATACCAGAACGAAGTATAAACGTGGAGTAAAAAGATAAGAGGCCGACCATGGTAGCGATAGTGTCCATGTTATTGCCACGAGTGCGATAGATCTTTTGGAAGTTACAACTGTTCGGTACCTCATCTTTAAATGCAAGGCCATGAATTTATCGAGGCTAATGAACACCATTGTGAGAAGTGAGGCAAGAGAAAGTTGGCCGGACGTAAAATCGTACACCAAACCAATGATACATCTGGCTAGATTGTGAGTCAGTACCTTGTAGAGTGCGAAAGAAGGGTGCACAATTAACCCAACGCAAAAGTCCGAAAACGCAAGACTACCAAGAAGAACTTTGGATGGTAGCCCCATAGAAGATATTCGACGAATGGCAAACAAGATCAGAAGGTTTCCCATAATTGCTGGGATTGAAAATGCTAAGTTCAAACATGCAATGATTTTATCTGTAGTGTCTCTTTCCGTTAACACATAAAAGTCGCAAATGCTGTGTGTTTCCTCCGCTTTGCTTTCCATCGTTGCGGTGGGCGTAGACATGAATGCTTGAAAATGTTTGGCTTCCTCTTTCTCCCACAACTTAAATTAAAAGAATCAGAAAAACAAAACGCTAATACACTGCATCCATCCTATGCAGGTTAGAGTAAGACTCTACTACGACATCCTCAGTCAACTAAATATAAGTTTGGTCATCCAATTTCTTGCACCATGCCTTCATACGATAAAAAGATACTCTTCGAAAACCTAATTTATAGGTACACCACCACATACACCACATAAACCAGCTCACGTATCAGGCCAAGCGGTGACAAATTACCTTGTACCTCACGCGGTGTAAACATTTCTTTTCACACTTACTCTATAATCCTGTACCGAGCGACGCACCTGCCGAACAGTTTGCTTTTTGTTTCGAGATATTAAAACAGTAAAACTGCAGTATCACCTGGCCTAGATTGAATTATCCTTTTCTCATGTCCACTTTATCCAGAGCTTATGTAGAGTTTAATTGATTTTCAGTCTTGTTTTATATGCTTGATTTAGTTTAACTCTGTAAAAAAAATTCCAAAACGGAATCATCAACCGTTGAAATAAAAACCTTTTTCCTTCATCCTTCCATGTTTGCCTTGGCTTTTAATTTGTGTACAATCAGCGTAAACAAAAGTCATGAGGTGTTTATTAAATTCTCTTTTTTATTATCGCCTATAAGCAGCACTTAAACGGAACAAACGCAGCCATTCGCCGTCTAGCTTGTGAAATAATGTTCAACGTAAAGAATCAGTATATAGCGCATACTTGCTTTAATGAAAAAAATTGGCAAGTTAAACCCTAGTTATTACCATCCAACTGTTTGACTTTGCTGTCGAATCCCTTTCTTCGATTTCGTAATGAAGAAAACGCCTCATCCAGAAAGTGAAGAAAATCCAGTTTCTTAGCAACTTTTATTGAATCAACTCACACTGCTTCTGTTTGTTCTAGTTTATTAGGTTACTTTTATTGTCTTCATTTCTTCGTTATAAATATTTAGAGCCTTCAATCTTAGAATGTTGAAATATGATTAAAGAAAGTCATGGACTACATATGAGACAGATAACTGATCACTGTTTTTTTTTTTGTCAACTGTTAAAGTTACCAAATATATAAGGCAACAAAAGTAACAATGATCACTAGTAAAGCTTGCCGTGATACTTGGGTAAGATTTTCACTATTCTCCATATTTTTTTTCTAATGAGCCCACACCACACTTAATTACACACAAACTCGCCATGTACATGATTGTAGCTTTCTCTGAACATATCAAATTTAAATTGGTTCATACCGTTTGCTCTTAAAGTTATTGTCAATGGAAAATGAAAGCGTATCTCAGGAAGAACTGACATGCCACTGTACGAAATGGCATGCCCTAAACCGAGACCGGTTCCGTCTGAAATGGAGTTACAAATCGCGGACTTGAGGTTCTCATTTTGTTCCTTTCTTTTCAATGCGCAGGTTTGAGCACTATAGAGGTATTCGTGATTCTCGGAAACAGTGCAGCATACATTTACGAGTAAAGGCTGTATATATACAGTCTATTGCTCAATTGAAAGCTGCAAGGATTAGCACAGTCGGGTGCGCAACTTTCTGTGCAGGAGCCGGTTCCGAGTTCGATTCCCAATGATCTGAAATTCTTATTTCGACTTTTTTCCTTTCCGTGTGTCCTATAGTACCTTTAAGAACCGTATAAGGCAGCATCTGTGGACGAGGGGGGGGGGGGGTTAAAATGGGCGCACCGTCGGTCTCATTGTCTGTGTACCGTGGCGAGTTCCCGACGTGAAACAAGGACCTTTTCCTTTTGGCCTTTTATCCAAAGTTACTCTGACACCACATTTAGGTGGAAGGCTTAAGGTCCAATGCACTCTACAAAAGTCCTAGTCCTCGCATGATATGTAGCTTCTTCAGCTGGTGTCTCTGGTCTGTTATTAACTCTTACTGGTTTGAAGATGCAGCACGAAATAGCTTCAGCAGCAGATGCACGGAGCTCTTTAATCCGCCATAAATATAACAGTGGGTTCACCGTAGAATTTATAAAAACAAAAGTCAATGTTAAATCGGTCGCCACTCGGATTGCTGCGGGGCTTGTGCCAGATAACACTCGTGTCAGCATGACCAACCAGGCCGGACAGTATGCAACAACTTGGGCAAAGTAGACATATACCATGCTTCGAACAGAGCTCCTATAACGGGACATGCTCGCACATCTTTTTTTATGGTGTAGGGAAGATGTGTTATAACTGGCCGCTACTGAATATTGTGTTCCTTGTCGGCGTAGAACAAACTGGATCTTCGCGAAAGCAGCCGAAGTTATCGAAAAACATAGGGGAATGACTACTGCGATAAAGACACAATAAACCTGTAAACTTACGAAGAACGAAATCGCCCATGGAACTGCAAAGACCCAGATGAAAGTCACAGCAATAAGAGAACGTTTTGTGGTCACCACAATACGGTATCTCATTTTAAGCTGGGCAGCCATACATTTGTCAATACTTATCAACATCATTGTTGTAAAAGAAACAAGAGAAAGGTGCCCCGAAAGAAAATCAAACAGCACTCCTACGACACAACGTGCAAGATTGTTACCAAGGAGTATTTTCATTGCAAAAAAAGGTTGTACAAGAATCCCAACGCAGACATCCGCAAATGCTAAACTTGACAGAAGGATTTTCGTGGGCAGCCAAAGAGAAGACGTACGACGAATTGCAACAAGGACGAGTGTGTTGCAAATTATTGCCGAAACCGAAAAAAACAGGTTTAAGGCGGCCGTGGAAATGTGTTCTACGTCTGTGGTGGGTCTGGGGTAGAAGTCGCAGATGCGAAGAGGTTGGCTTGAAGACTCGGACAGATTGCCCATGGTTAATTAAATGACAATAATTTAAGAGATCGTGGCTACTTCGAGGTTCTTAAGTGTTAAGTGTAGCATCCATGACGTTTTGTCTAATATAAGCTTTCGAAATTAATGAAAGTGGTTTAAAACCTTGTTTGTCTTTACAGCTAAAAAAGCGAAATTATACTTAGCACCTTTTGTCACCCAAAAGGTAATAAATACCTTATACACCTGCTCTAAAAAAATGATATTAAGTTGCCAGTCCTTTTAAGTTTTATTACCATGAAGGCCCCGGTTCAAAAGTGAAACAATTTCATTTTCCAAATTATTGAAGGGAAAAATGACGCTCAATAATATTTAACCTTTGTTTAACACATGTAATAGTTCTCGTCTGAAAGATCAATCTTAAGAGTATAGATCGTGTGTCTTGTATAGCCCATCAATAATCAATACCTCAGACAAGTACTGTTCATATCTCTTATTTGAATGGTCACACGAAAGAATTTTATTTAGACCCTTAACTTAAAAAAAAAAAAACAGTACGGTATCTCCCCTGTGAACGGTTACTTACTTCAGCAAGAAATCATAATAGGATGATCTCTTCAGTGACTACAGGTATGGAACCTAGTTAATCAGGCGACCACCGTAAGGCTGTGAAATCCCCGTCGTATTAACGAGAGGTTTTAAAAATGAAAATGTTTGACGGTTTTTCAGTTTTGTCCAAGAGAAAATGTTGTGGTCACAATAATCATGAGATAATCCTATGAACGGCGGCGTTCCACTCGTGAGGCGAGGTGCCACTCTAGTTTTAATTGCCAATGAGCAGATTTTTTGGCTTTAGTTGTTTAGTTCTCATGTTCAGAATATCCACAAAAAAAAACATCGCAAATTGTGCAAATCTTGACAATGTAAAGTTATAAAGAGGGTCCCCAATAGGTTTTTCGAGATCCGGGATTTCCTTTGTTTGAAGCTCGGGATTCGGGATCTAAAAGCAAAATGAGGGTAAGATTGGGGACTGAAAGTGAACGCGCAAGGTGGGATGTCAAAAGTAACCATCGGGATTGTGCGTCGAAAGAACGACGAGGAGTGCTAGCCCTATAAGTCCCGCTAAAGCTAGTAATGAAATAATCCCATACGCTTGAGCCATTTTCTGCAGCTTCGGAAAGGCAAGAAAACTGTCGTCCAGCAACACTTTATTGCCACACAGTGCGCAGTTCAACATTTTCAACGGCGTTTTTTGAAATACTTCTCCGTGTTACTGATATCGGGATTATGTGTGCTATCACTTCCAAGGCAGACTGTCGCAGCTCTTTCATTCTCCATAGATATAGAATTGGATTCACCGTCGAGTTCAAAAGAACTATCGTCAAAGTTGCTGTGGTTGCTTTATCCAAGTATTCTGTTCTTCCGTAAATGATTCGAACCAAAACTACGATCCAGGCTGGAATATACGCCACCAATAAAGCGCAAAATATGATAAACATACTGTTGACGGACTCACGGTACTGTGAGACTGTGAGGGCGTCGACTCGTCTCAAAGACTTGTGTTGCGCTGGAGTTTTGAAGCACTTTTGTTTTCGGCGAAGAATGAGGTAGATTTTGATAAACGACAAGGAAGAGATTACCAAGCAGATGGGTAAAATTGTCAGTATGAGAAGAAAATAGACTTTGTGCATCCAGATGAAGGTTAAACCCCATGGAAGGGCAACTAATCGAACAAGTACTGCGATAAAAAGGCAGCGTTTTAGGGTTACTATAGTGCGATAACGCAGCTTTAAATGGAGTGCCATGAATCGGTCAAGGCTGATAAACATTACGCTAAAAAACGACGTAATGGAAAGATGGCCAGACAAAATATCAAACAGCACGCCACTCACACATCTGGTTAAGACGTCCGAAGAAAGAGTTTTTACGGCGTATAATGGCTGTGCAAGTAATCCGACTCCAAGATCCGTGAAAGCGAGGCTTCCGAGAAGTACTTTGGTTGGCATTGCTATGGATGATGTCTTGCGGATTGCTAGTAATATCAAAATATTCCCCAGAATTGCAGGAAGGATGGCTATAATGTTGACAATCGCTGTAGAAATGTCAAGAATGGCTGTCTCTTCGGGAATGGTTTTTGACTTGCAAACCAAAACACTTCGAAATGTAAGACTGCGGTAAAGGTAGTCTTCGTCTTCGCTCGATGAAGTCATAATGTCTGTACCAGTCTTAATTGTTTGTCCAATACTTATTACGATAATAACCAGAGCGGATGTGTTTTTCCTTAAAGTAATAAAAATGTATATCTTCTACAATTTCCTGGAACTCTTAGCACAAGCTATCTGCATCACCAACAATATGGTTCAAATTAAACTGACTCAGTTGCAAGTTTAGTTCACAGTATCTTAACACTCACGCAGCTAAACTATTAAAATTTTTAAATGTACAAAAGTGGCTTCGCATTATGTACTTTTTGTTTAAACAAATACGCAAGCTGTTTTAACTAAGGAACAAACATTAAACTCATGGATGAAAAGGGAGTGTGTCTGTTCAAATATGTAAAAAAAATTTCATGTACAGAAAATTTTAATATTTTACTGATAAAATCTGATATCATTTTCACAGAGAATTCCCTTGTTTTATCTTTTGTAAGAAAGAGAAAAATTCTAAGAAGGAGAAAAAAAATCTAAACTGCCAATTTACTTCTTTCATTCATCTTATTATTTTCCATTAGGACAAGTCAGTTTTCTTTATTTAATTGAGTGTAAAAGTAAATATCATCTTGAAATGGAACTTCGCTCATTTTCATCCTGCTTCTGTTATTTTACTTGATCTCAGCTTTTTGTAATATTTTAGAGTGCAAGCATCAATTTTAAATATATGATTATTTCGAAGAAACTGATATGAAAGCCCCGACAACTTTTTGGACACAAAATCAGATGATATTTCTCGGCAGCACACCCGTACAGACTCCCCCTCCCCCGCCCCGCCTCTGTATTTTGTTGTGGCACTATTAATGAAGGAAGGAAAGGTTTTAACCCAGGAGTCATTTCATACTGAGTAGGTGGAGCAGGATTTTGCGGGTTAGTGGTACGTTGATGAACTGTAACGGTCAACATGGAGTCAGATAAAATGTTTTCTTAATTTATTTTTGCCAGATCAATGATTATGTTTAAATGTATCCCGCTTGAGTTTTCTTTCTTCTTAGTCACCTGGTGGGAAAAACGAAGATGAAGATTGTTGTACGCAACGTTTAAGTTCAAGAACTCATTTATAAACTAAGTCATCATTTACAACTATAAGTCTTTTAAGATTGTTGTTGCTAGTTTTATTTAGAACGTCGGGCAGCTTTGATTAACTGAAGTGGTTATCTTTATGCATAAAGTTGCAGCCAGAAGCAGACTCCCACTCGACTAAAAAAAGGACCGTTTGCTTTTACTTAACCTCCCTTTGAAATTGGGGTGGGCGCGAAAAGCCCTGGGAACTAGGTTGGCTTTCCCTCATTAGTTGGCTAACCCTTTTTAACATGTGCCAACTGAGAATAGGCCTGCTACGACAAATACGACCAGAATATTCATTCGTCAGTTTTCTTTCCAATTTCAATTTGGTAATCCCAGTGAGGTTCAACTGACAAAAGCCCTGATTTGTACAAGAAAGCAAAACCCTGGTGTTGGTGGTCGTTGTATTAGTGGTAGTGGTAGTGGTAGTGGTAGTGGTAGTAGCAGTAGCAGTAGCAGTAGCAGTGGTGGTAAAACGACGTCATAGTTTCAAATGGCCATTAACTGCCGACTTGATCGAAACTCAGCTGCAACGGGGAATGAGGGCAGCAAGAAATATAACAGTTAGTTGCTTTCAACCATGTTCGGGACTGAGGGTACCTCTCATCGGTCTCACGGTGACGTCAATGTACTTTACACACCAGCTAATACTAATCTATCACAGAATAATGGAATCAACTTGACCAGCTAGTACTAATCTATCACAGAATAAAGGAATCACACACCAGCTAATACTAATCTATCACAGAATAATGGAATCACATACCAGCTAGTACTAATCTATCACAGAATAATGGAATCACACACCAGCTAATACTAATCTATCGCAGAATAATGGAATTAAACATGCGCACTATACTACTGTGGTTGCAAGTTGTTTCTTAGGTTTCTGGCTTCCTCTCATGGTGGCTCTAAGTTTAGGAACAATTACTCAGAGTAACAAAGCAATTAAAATGATCAGAACTCTCATTCCCCTGTGCTGTATTGTTTTTTATAATTACCTGCGCGGTTCACCAAAGCACTTCGTACACATAATTGTCGTAATCTCTGCCGACTCCATTCCAACAGTTTGTGGACGGACCATGCAATTTGTAAGATTCTGTATCAGATACCCAACACTCTCCAAAAAACTGAATGGCAAAGAACTTCTTATTGGCTTTTTTGGCAGCTTCGTAGCACATTTGAACTAAATAAGGAAATATTGAGCGTTTTTTAATAATTATATTGCAAAATTTTGCTCAGTCATTCGTTTGGGTAATAAGTGTCAAATATGAAATAAACGATTGCATATAAAAATTAGGAGTCTCGTTTGTTTCATTTTCAACACATTGAGAAGTCACATGTCATCTCAGAATAAAGGACTTTAAGGTCCTTTCACCTTCAGCTCCAACCTATTTTCCCTACTTTTAAGAAACTGTGTGACTTGGAAAGGACGTGAACACTATTTTTACTAATGACTTTACTGGTGGCGCCGTTGACATCGCAAGATTCCTATAAGGACAATCTGAAGGATAAGTGGCAATTTGTGGGATTTGAAATGTCTTTTATGTCAGAAAAAAAGATCTGTGCGTGAGTGTTTCGGCCGCCTGCTGCTACTTACCAGTCTTCTCCAAGTGAAACCAATCAATTTTTTGTCGGAAATTGGCCAATAGCTTCATGGTGCGTCCATCACCCACGTCACGCCAGCAACCGAGGTCACGCCACGGTGCAAATCGGTAAACATAGTTGTGAACTTCATCCCCAACACCTACAATAACGTAAAGATATCGATGGCTTTTGGCGAGATAAGTGCTCCAAATTTTCTTTTAATGCGGTTTGACGAGGAATCAAAATCTACTTATGAGGGTGCAGTACGTGATCTGTATACTTACCCCAGGGGTATCCCCTATAATGGTTTATATGGGAAGGTTCCGTCCGAAAGGGGAACCGCTTTCAGACTTCAGGTTTATGAAAGGGAGGGGATTTCACTAGATTAGGTTTATGAAAAATAAGGGAAATCCGCTATTTAGTCTGTAAAAAAGCCTACAGCTGCACTTTCTGTCTGTCAAAAAATTGAAAAAACTGAAGGTTTTTGTGGTTTGTTGATATTTTAAAGACATTTACAGTAGTTTAAAGGGATACAGAGTTCTAAAGTAGGTATGAGGAAGGAGTAGCATTTGACAATAGAAGGTATAGGAAAGGGGGACCTTTTCTGTCAAAAATGGTATATGTACAAAAGGGTGAAAGGCTTAGACCTCTGGGCTGAGCACCCCCCGGCCTCCCTGGTCCTAACTCACCGTCTGTGCATCCCTTTCCAGGGCCATGTTTATCATAGCTCGGTCGGAGTCTGTCATCACCCCAGCACTCCCCGTAAAACTGTACCCCAAAATATTTGTAACCTCGCACGAAAGCACGCTCCGCACACTTAGTGACCATCGATCGCATGTTCCACCAATCGATTTGTGATCTGAGGTTGGCGTACAGCTTGTTCAAGGCTCGATCATCAGATTTATCTTGGTAGCAGCCAACTTCAAGGATTTGAGGCAGACCTTGCTGTAAGCAGCTGACACCAGCGTCTCGACTGTGATCACAGCTGTTTTCTCCCCACCCTGAGTGGGGACAGTCCAACAACGTTTTCTCTTGTCCAGTGCACATCATCTTGCTAAGCCACACAGGCCCAGTCCCCTGGCCAAACTTTGCGCGGTTTGCCTGTGGAATGTATTTTAATTACTGACTGATTGATTTCCTCGTCATCTGTATAGAACATCTATTCCAGACGAGTTAAGAGGGTCAGGCCAATTAAGTCTAAAGTGAGATACGTCGTTACAAGTTAATGTAACTTGGCCTTAGAGAAGCAATTGTCGGATTTGTCGTTCCGTCCTTAAGCAGGAATCAGTTTGGGCTGTGAGCTTATAATAAATGATCGTTATCTCCAACCAGTCTGATTTACTTACTCTTGAGGGTTATTGGCCGGCACTGATTCAAATAACCTTGCAGTATATCCTAGGGTTCTCATGAACAAATCCATGAAGTTACTTCGATTCGAAACTAACAGTTTACTGAAATTTTACTGAATGTTGAACGGAGGCCTTCAATTTGGTTGTTTCTATAGTGGAATAAAAGAGCCTTTGTTACGCTCTCAGGTAAACATTTTGTTCTTTTTTTTGTAAACAGGCCCTTTGTGTAAGCAAAGGCATTCACTAGGCCAAATGGATACCTTTGTTAATTAAGGGCAAAATACCAATGTTTTGATAGACAAGCTGCCTTAAACTTCAAAAGGATAAAGAAAAAAACATTCCTGTTGTAATAATATCGTCTTGCCTGGAAAATAGCCTTTACAAAGCCCATTTCCTCGCAAACTACAGAAGCGTCTTCAAAAGACCAGCCGTCGTCACAGACTGTTCCCCAGGTTCCCTGGTGTTTAACCTCTACTCGCCCCAGACCTTCATGAACTGAATCTGGTGGTTTGACAAGCCTGACGACATCTTCTGTAAGTGAAAAAGCATATACTTGATTTGTCAACAAATCCATAGGATCTGCGGCAAAATCGTAGCAAATCCTTTGATGTGGTTAATACGATAACACAAAACCCTTTATAGTCAAGCTTATTTGCCTTTAATCATGGAAGGTCAGGTTCTTCCATTTCTGGGTTTTTAAAGACTACAGCTTCAAATTTGCAACAGCAAGAAAGCATTTATTTATCAATACGTTCGCGTGCAGTGCAATTCCTATCCTCCCACACAGGCGTTTTTAGGGGAGCTCGTTTTTCATCCCTCCCCATGATGAGCTCCCCTAAAAACGCCTGCGTAGGAGGCTATACAATCCCTAGTCTTAAACTATCTTTAATTTTCTCAATACGGCTTTAACACCCCACAAACGAATTTAACAACAATTTGAAACTGTTGTTCAGTAGCCTAATGAACATGATGCAAGAATTGATGATGGGTAATGAGCTATTCTAAGGTTATACTCTCTTTCAATGGTACTGATGACCATGACTGGACACTCCTTATACACCATTCGTTTCCTTTCTCATAAAGCATATGAGTATTTTTTGGTTAGTCAAAGTTGTACGATTTGCTGCCAGACCTTAATAGACAAAATTGACATAAGTAACAATTTGATCTCTCAAATATAACAATGATAAAACCAGTAACCGCTATGCATAACTTTCAGCAGATTTTAAAGCCAGCTTTGATTGATTTACTTCAAGTGCTTTTAAGTGTCCAATTGAAAGCAGTGCGAAACAGATTTTATTATTATCCGTTATTCAGAAAGAAAAGTTAAAACTCATGATTCATAGGAACGGTTGACAGATTGATTATACTACTGAAATTTGACAACCTTTATGTTTTTGTAAATTTCTCTTCCTTCGCCTTTGACAAAGTCTCAAGAAGATCGTAATTCAGTTGTTTCGTTTGGATGAAAAGAGACTAAGTCACGAAGCTTCTTCTTTTAATTTCAGCCTACCTGTGACTATTCTTTTCTCGTTAGTTAGAACTGTACACGCTAAAAAGGGGAGGATGGTCCATTACTTTAGCTTCAGTTTAAAATTCGTTCACTCTTATCTCAAGCAACATTTGAACGTTTACATAACAATTGCGATTTGTACCCGGCCACTGTATACTGTTTTTGTGAAAATGAAGCTATAAAATTATACGCTTACCTGAAAATACGGCGGGGAAGACCAAGAAAACGAAGATGAAGCAATTCATGTTTCAAAGGGAGACATGAGAAGGAGATAAGATTTCGGAAGATTCTTTTCCTCTGAATAAATAAAAGTTTCTGTCAAGTGATGGAACCATCAGTTTGTGTGACAATAGTGCAGAACAGCTAATTGTCAAAGAGAGATAATATTTATTTTTCATTAAATTGATCTTTTAATTTTGAAGGTTTGAATAGTTAACTGCTGCGTGAGGTTTTTGAGAACGTTTTCCTGGATCCCCGGCACCCATTATCCAGAAGGAACAAGAAGGGAGACAAAATAGTGTTATTAAACTTCGGTAAACTTCTGAATCATAATGCTTGCCACAAACATAAGAAAAACTTTGAGAGACCTTGAGAAAACTTTAATTTTGACCTGAGAAAACTTTTTTTGTCCGTGTTTTGAATTATTAATCGTTGAATTTGCTTCTGTAAAATAGGACATAGGAAGGAAAATAGGTCAATACTGAGATTTATCAAAAGTTTTGAAATTGTTACCTTAAAAAAATCCACATTTCATAGATACAGAAATTGTTTGTTTACTTTATTCTTGATTCATTTTCTTTAAGACGGTCTTTTTTGCTTTCCAATGAGATTAATTTGAACCACTGGGAGAGAAAATTAACAACATTGTTGTTCCTTATAGAATATTTTTAAGACCTGGAAAAATTGCATTGAAGAAATGTTAACAATTTCGCTATGAACCTGTAAACCGAAAAGGTTGAAAAGAAACAGCAAGAAAAAAATTATATTTTATATTTTTTCAAACTTAAAAAATCTTCCAATTTTTGCCGGAACTTAACATAGCTAAAGACAAAATGTTTATTCAATTTGACTTTACCTTGACATATAAGAATTTTATTCAAACAAATCTGTGTGTATTCGAAAGCCGCTGCAACGCTCTTAAATACTTGAAATTGGACATTAAGAATAATGCATTTAGCATAAAACCTGAACAAGGTTAAAATTACCATTTAAAGTTTGCTTGTGTTTTGAATTGGCCTCGTTTTACTCTTAGGTTGTGAGACAACGGCCATGTTTGAGCACAAAATGAAGCTTTTCATCATTTTGTTTCTTGTTTCAGTGAAAGTGGTTATAGTCATGGGTGAGTAGTACCTTTTCAATGTTAAAAATATAATTTTATTAGTCTGCGCTGTCTTCTCTTTCTTCTTCCTTTTTTCTGTTGTTCAGAAGGTGCATTTGATCAAGCAAACTAGAGTAAGGAATAGTAGGCCATATTTGCTCGCGAAACTGCTCATTAGCCATCCTTAAAATATAAAGAAAATAGCAATTGGCTTAGAGGATTTCGATTGAATGTCGATAAAGTGTTTAGATATGGAACCACCTTGGAAAGTATGATAAATAGTAGGATTGTTGTAGAGGATTGTTCAGCCAGTTTGGCTACATGTTAGGCAGGCGGCACTGGCCAATGAAAATGCACAAAGCAAAATAAACTGGCCTGAATATATGCTTCCCCAGTTTTTCATTAGGATGATCGGCTCATAGTTACGCACCTTCCTTTACAACCGACATTATCTGTCTTGTACAAGACAAACAACTATACACCAATAATACAGCTTCATCAAGAAAACAGCTATATTGGATTTAATACTGATAGAAGATCAGGTTCAGTTTTGAGAGTAGAGCGATGAAATGTCTAATCATGTTAAAATCTAGGTGGGGCTATGTATTTCGGGGTTCATTTTACGCTCGATAACATTATGAATGACTACGGGTCCAGTACCGGAACGGTCAAGCTTTTGCAAAGCTATATGAAATGAAGCCGCTAGGGACATCGAACCTAATAATTTGAAAAAAAAAAAAAGACAAAGATAAATTTGAAACCGTCTGATTCTTGGCAGCCACCTTGACATCTAAGAATACAATAAGGAAACAAACTTCTTTTATTCTCCGAAAAATCTTGATACAATAACTTGACTTTCCCATGTGACTTGAAAACATGTCGGCTTTCACTGGTGAGGCTGGTAGCAACACAGTTTGACAGTGACAGCATCAGTTGTCCTAGAAAACAAAACTCACAATTAATCAGTGTTTGGTTTGACTGTGAAATAAGTTATAGTGAGCAGTTGATTAACAGACTGGTTATGATGGCATTGGTTTCATAGGACAAGGCCTTTAGACAGGTTATTTGTCAGCCAGTTTCAAAGAGTTCAGAGGAGGGAAATTATTTTAGACAAGATGGGGAGGGGGGACGGGGGGGTCAAGTCAAAACCGGGCGTTTAACCGTTCTTCAGAATTTTGGCCTCAAGCTGACATTGTATTTAATCAAATGGAAAATCAAAAACAGTAACATTAGAAAGGATATTTGGAAGGTATCTTTCAATAAAAAAAACAAATTTGTTTCAGTGTACTTGGCTTAGTTCTCAATGGTTGCTGTCCCAAAGCATTACTAGGGAGCTCAAGCAAAGACGACGACAGTAATGAGCGTAACAACTTAGAATGTGCTTAGAATTCAACTCCAGAAAAATCTGCCAACATTTGACTAGTTGAACGAGATGGAATAAGTGCGATAAAGTTTATAGCATCGCGAATTCACTTTTTAAGGGACTTTCTCTTCTCTAGCCGTCGCCGTCGCCGTCGCCGTCGTCGTTGCTTAAGCGCCCTCGAAATTGTCAGGGTAACTCTATCTTTTAATCATCGATCCTCGAAAATTTTAGGCCATCAACTGGGAAGCGAGGGTGAGCAAGCTTTCTTCAGCACACTGAAGCAGTTATCTAAAGATCGACAAGCAGCCCTTGGTGCAAAACACGGTAAGTAATATTCTTCATTTTAAACAGTTTTTAGTGAGCGGCCAGATCGAGTTTTAGATGTAAAAATGAAAATTTGCTTGATCAACAAAATGAGTCAAGTGTTTAATCAGTGAGTCAGCGAAAAGTTTCTTACACTTCATGAGTAAGATCGGAAGGGTTTACAGGCATAGGTTTGCGTCGAACAACCCATCAAAGAAATCGGTGGCTGCCTATGATATCCCCAAACTGATAAACTACTAATTTCAGTTTTGTCGCTGACAGTTTTTTGCTTTCCGCGTATTCATTTGTAGTATTTTTATCCAAGGTTTTTGGGGTAAAGCAGCTTGGTATGAGAGCGTGCTTGTCTCCTTGCCTAAAGAAAGAATTAACCTATATTGATACATTTGTATGGCGGGTTTTTTTCATAGCAAAGTTGAATGTCGTTCTATATTTTCATAATGCTAGAGTTAGGCATGCGCATGAACGATGACGGACGGAAACTCTTCACAAACGGTAACTCCTGACAAGCTGGCGGTGATTGGCTTCCGCAAGCCAATAAAGCTGAATCAACCTCATCCACAGGGCTTTCTCAACAGTCTTGGAACGAGGTTGAAGCTGCACCCTAGGAATGCCCCGAGCAACTGAGGCCCGCAGGTGGTTGGATATGTATATTGTAGAAATATTTCACATCAAAACTGTCTCGGTCCACAGAGACGTAAAAAACTAAAATGTTCAAAACCCCGTGGCTTAATGACGCTTTTGATCTAGCTTAGTGGACAGCTGTTTGGTAATGTTGGTAACATCTTTCATTTATGTCGCTATCCGTCATGATTTTATTGGCAAAACAGAAACCATAACATTTCTCAGGGTCGCCCGTCTATTCAATATACCGCATCTAATAATTCAGACCAATGGGATTTATTGTTGAGAGTTTGTGAACGCAAAATACTCGTCAGAGAGCCATGGTTCATGGGCGGGTATCAGTTCAGTACTGGTGATAATCAAACTTCACGATCAAAGGAAATAAAATCCCTTATTCTTACATAGCCAATATGGTTAAAGAATAATGTCATGAAATGTATATCGAGTGGGGAAACCGTATAGATGGTTTTAAAACAAGTAGACTGATGGAGACTATGCGTTCTTGAACATTAATTGATTCTCAGAGTTTCATGCTTTTTGCGAAGTAATCATCAAGCAACTGTGCCAAACGAAACGGTTACTGTCAAATAGAGAAAACAAAAACTGCACAAAACAATAAAGATTAAGCCTGGCGCGTGGCGTGAGGCGCGTGGTTTGATGATTGCTATGCAATGAAACTCTGAGCAGCAATAAATCTTCAAGATCACTTAGTCCAGCTCCGTCAGTCTACTTGTATTCTTATAGTCGATGACGACATCACTCTGGTACACCGGTTATCTCTCTGCCTCTGAGATCACGCTAATGGTGATCAGTTGAAGTGTTATCTATGGGGATCCAGTTTTTACAGGTGCTCTAAAAACCGATTTCTCAGTTCTTTTTCAGTAATGTACGGATCGAGTTCTTAGACCTCCCGTAACAAATCTAACAATATTGATGATGAACTTTATTTCATTAAAGTGTCAAGAAATCTTCTAGGGTGCCTTACAGGGCCTGCTTAAACAAGGGACACTATTTAAAATACTACCCCTGAAGATCTACCAACCTAACTACTTAGAATGATTAAATAAATATTAATAACAAATATATTTACAGTGACAGTATGATATTAACAAAAACATGCTTTCTAAAATATTGATTTCAAGTATTGGGACACTACTCATATAAAAATGTTCCTTTAAAAATTAAAATGTCAGTAGAGTCTCGAAATGTTAGCAAGCCAAAACATATACAAGACAGCAATTCTTGCGCCCTGTAATTATATGTTGCTGGTCTACCTCTCAGATTTTCTTTTTAACGGCGTAAATTACATCGGTCTCATTGACATCTCTTCTCAAATAGCTCAGATTATGTTTCCCGTAAGTTGTAGTATTGAAACACGGAATGAAAAAGGCATTAGAATTGCTGTGTCAATAGCGAGATTTATCTAGTTCAAAAAGAGATTACGAAAGGAGGGCATATAATGTATTTTGCCTTATACATAATTATCGCTATTTCTTTCAATCCACAACAGAGTAGTATCTCCAGTTTAGCCTTTCTAATAATCTTTTTCATCCCATTAAATAGAACTTATACGTTATAATTGAAAACTCGTGTTAATAAAGTACAAATGACCTAACTTTGATAACCTATCATCATTTAAAATGATCTACAACTAAATTTTAAATGATCTAAAATGACCTAAAATGATCTAAAAGGATCCATTATGATCTAAATACCTGTTTGTTTTCGTTCACAAAATTAAGGCGGTGAAACGTTTTACTGTTTTAACGAAAGATTATTTTAAATTGCGCCCGTTACACAAGTGACTCCGACTTAACAACCAACGCATTTGCCTCTGGCACATTGTTATATACTACTTACTTATAAAGGGTAATAAATTTATTTAGGATACATATTTTAAAATATAAACTTCATAAACGTTGAATCAGCTCTTCAATCTTTAAACCGTTCTGAAAAGTACAAACACACTCGTAGTCTCGGTGAACTGTTCTTTGTGAATTGTTCGGTATTTTCGGCTATTGAGAGGTTCAATTACGATTCTATAGCCTGTGAAGACAGCGTTCACTAATTTCTTCTACAACTGTATTCAAACTAGTCCACTATGCGTAATAGTTTAACCAAGGTGAGACGATCTTTTCTTAAAAACAAACTGTCATTTTCAGTATTGGGCCAGTACTTGTCAGTAATGAGTCAGTACTTGTACAACAGTTCTTTTTCGTGCAGGCATCGTGTTAGTTCCATGAACTGGTTTGCTTGTTGTGGACAGGCTGTAACTGTTATTCAGAAAATTTATCAGAGTTCATCAAAATTTTGTGTCGTAGGAGCTTGGTTCATCGTCGTCTGGCAAGTTAACTGATTCCTCAGTTTCTCTTGAAACAACATCTTTGGACTCTGCCGAGCATGATTTAGTTACAGTGGTGAATTGAGCTTGATCTTCTGGCCCAATGCTGATGTCCGCAAACTCCAGTTGCTCCAGTTTTTTTGCTTCCCTAACTATCCTTGGAACAACTTTATCAAAAGCTTTTAGCTCCACAAGATTTTTCTGTTTTGGGTTAATGAATAAGACTACCAGTGCGCGACGAAATCTCTCGGTCCTAATGTAATAGATTGCACAATTAATTGCGCACGTTACGAGCAAAAAGAAGAACTCAAAAAACAAAAGCCAGTGTTCGATTATAACTACAGTAGTTGCAATCAAAATACTTCGAGTTACTCCTGGAAGAATGCAAATGGCATAAGCAACTATTATATATCGAACTGTTATCAAAGCTTTAAGATCCTGAAATTTTTTAACTCTCAGTCCTTCTATACCCTTTCTGAAAGTGACATTTTTCCTAATTTCTCTCGTGCTCAAAAATGAAACTACGCAAAATAACACCAGAAAAGAGGGCAAAATTATTCTAGGGAAGGGCATAATGCCGTTATCTTCGTATTGTTGGATGTACCTAAAAATTGCCACATCACCCATTTCTTCAAACTCTGTATGAAACAAAATAATGAACCCAACTATGGCACAACCTATAACCCATTTAACTGCTATGGCTATAAAAATTGTTTTTCTATTTTTCCATGCTGTATATCTTACGCCATAAGCGAAGGCCAGATAGCGATCCATGAATATGGTGGATACTGAGAGAAGATTCTGTAGCAGACATCCTCTGCGGATAAACAAACAAACCATGGCTACTGTTCGACCTCTAAGAGATGGTGATGGATACAGTTGGTAGCAAATAAACATGGGGATGTTAATTGCACCGTTCATGAAATCAGTCACCGCCATTTCAACAACAAAAACGTTGGCATGAGTACGCAGATTTTTAAACTTCCAAACGATAGCACAGATCAAAGAGTTACCTACAACCACCACTAGCAGTAGAAGACTAAGAAGACATGTTTGAAGGATCAGCTCATATCCCTGTGGTAGGATTTGCGCTTTAGTGCTCATGCCAGGATGCCGTTTTATCTTGATAATCACAGCTCTTTCTCTTCGAATTTAACGAATGTTTTTTTACTTGATTGATTTCACAGCGAAAAACGTCTTCTCCCAATGAAGAGATTACTTTGAGTGAATGTTTTGATCTTATGCAATCTCCATATCTAGCTTTGATATGCTGATTTATTTCAATTGGCCTGTTTGAGTCACACCTTATTCGGTGGGACCAATTAATGAGGGTTTTATAACGTCAAGAAACCTTGAAAAACTGATCTTGATGGACCGTGTGTATTCAGTATAGGTGTGGAATGTTGAAATGCCGAAAAGTCTTTTTTTTTTTCATAATATCTATTTTTCAGTAACAAACAACCTCATCCACAGACAATATCCTTTTGAGTTTACTTTTCATATAACATCTGTGAAAATCTGGCTTTTCGACAATAATGTAGAAGACGGTTGGACAGCCTCTCTTTCACTCCATTTTCTTGATTTGGTCTTTTTGCTGGTGTCAACCACGTACACTTAACCCTGTGATGCAAAAACGTCAGTTTTGAAAAAGAGCGACAGTTGCTTTATTCTTGCCGAGCATAAACAATAACTCAAAACGTTTTGGTGGTAATTCTAATTACATCAAAATAACAACAAAAACTGTACGTTTTTTCTTCAAGTTTTTTATTTAGAGTTCCTTTTTTTTTCCATCCTTCGTTAAAAGGTCGCTCAAGCGACAGCTGATTTTCTCTTAGACTGTTAACGCTTGGTCCATGCTCTCTTGATATTAAGTTCGACTCATTATTTTGATGTGGGGAATCCACTGTACGCGCCTGTGCGCTGAAATTCATTTGAAAATATGATGGTCTTATAAATGCATAATGATTTTTTTGCTACTTTGGCCCTAAAATTAACTCTATGGCCTTTTCAAAACGAATTTTACATTATCAAGTTTCCTAATTAAACGTCCCGAATTTAGTAGTATTTAGTGAGTTTTGCTTTGGCTCAAGTGAATGCAAATTTAATTTGAAAATTTTACAAGGAGCGACATTTCCCGTTTTTGATGTTCCGATCCTTGCGTGTTACAATGTTTTCGACTCGCTTTTTGGAGTTCCGAAAAATAAATGCAGGACGGCAAACTAGATAAATTTTCTTAAAACTGGTTTTCTAACCAGGGAGAATTTTGCCCTTCTCGTGGACAAAACGTGTGTCTGTTTCAAGTGAAATACAGCCCTTATTATCAGAGAATAAAAAAACTTGAATGTACACTTTAGATGCTTCCTTGATCTTCTTGTACAAAAAAAAAGAGTGAATAAAAAGGAACCGTACACTTCTTTTGTCTCTCCTGCTTCTACTATTTACTTTTAGAAATAACTTCTGGTTTAGTAAAAACTGAAAAATAGTCGTTGTTCCTTAAAAGATCATTGACTTGTACTTGCCTAGTTCCTTGGCCTCATTGTTATGCCCGGCCTGTTTTTCGGGTCTTGTGATTCTAGGTCGCCGTAATGGATTGACCAAGAAGGCCTGGGAAGTTTTCTATACTAAGACAAGGCAAGACGTGTACAACGTTTTTCACATTCCATGGCTGTCGCCAATATCATCCATTGCGCTACGCCAAGCTGACGATAACCAGTTTTCTCAATTGATGGCCGTAGCGTTTCTGGAGATGCGTTTAACTGCGATTAAACGAAAAAAATAGCAGTAATAATGTATTTAGTCTTGGATAGGATTATCATTCTAGCTGTTTGAATGTAACAGTTCATTAGACATTTTACTGAGATGTTTTTACATCATTACTAATAAATAAAATTTCACGAAAAATCCTTTTTTTTTTCCGACTGGCGCCAGCGCCCAGTTCGAGCACGGAACAGTGGTGGAGGGAGTGTGTATAGATAGTTTTAGCCTGTCCGCAGACTATATTCCCTTCTTTTCGACCATTCAACAGCGACCACGCGAGAACGACACTCGGCCTAACCCCTTGCGCTTGCGGTCAATAAATCCCCCGTTAATTTTATTTTCAAACGAGCGCTCGAGGGTCTTTGAACAGGGTAAGGTCGTTTTGTCATCTTCCCCAGCAACTTAAAGAGACAGCTGACAGTTTTGGTAATTACAATTTTCAAAATCAAGAATCAGAATTCAAGGATGGATTTTTGTGTCCTTATACGCACGAGGCATCATGAGCAAAAAAAATCACTGACTGTAGCTAAGTTCTTAATTTTTGGCGTTTTGGCTTTTGTCCCTTCGTACGTAAGCACTACCCACTGATCATATAATAATATCATTTGGTACTTGAAAGAACAAAACAAAAACTATTTTACAGTAGATCGACAAGTACTCAGTGGCTCTTTTGATGCCAATAATAAGAGTGTACGAGGCTACTGACACTAAAGTGCAAATAAATTACGGAATAACGGATGGAGTAAGCGATAATTATGAGAAAATATAAACTTAGCAAAGTAGAAAGAATTGAGTTTAAACATCTAAAATATAATCCTCTAATATTAATATAGAAAATGAAATAAGGGGCATTATGACAGCGATAAGGAATGATGAATAGGCTACTTTTAGGTTTGCCTCAACTTGATAAGCATTTGAGACAAAAAAATTCCCTAATTTCATTAATTTCCTTTATTGTTTGCTTTTCCAATTTGTTGTATAGGTCCTTTGGGGAAGAATAAGCCTGCGTTAGAAGACGATGTAGCCCAGCTATCTCTCACAAAAAGAGCAATAACAAGCATCAAACGTGCGTCATTGCTTACTGAGTTATATAACTAAATTACAAAAACCAGTCACAACTAGTGAATTAGGCTCTCTGTCTGAAAACTCTCCACAAATGTAGGATTCAGTCGTTTTTCACGGTTAGTCAATTTCAAACTTGACAACTACATTAACAGTACCGTACTCAGGCACTGTACAGAGTAAGTTTTCGTTCGCTTCAATGGCAATCCTGTACTGCCAACTTCGAGTAAATACCAAATGAAATATACGTTTGAATTATCCTTTCAATAATCCACAAAACTCTCCAAATCCCTTTTTTTCGTTCAGTTAATTATGATTATCAGCCACTGAGATTCGTGGCCGACATGGTTTTTCCTTCACTGTATATTAACAGAACGGGTTTCATCTTTGGCTTACCTCCCTATACACAATATCTGCTTTTAACACGTTGTTTTGGCTTTAAAAGCAAAGAAGATCCGTTTAAACCTGGCTGACAATCTTCCGAAAGAGAATGGCACAGGCCGTGTGGAGATATACCATGATAATCAGTGGGGTACTGTGTGCGACAAGTCGTGGGACTTAAACGACGCGTTCGTGGTCTGTAATGAGCTGGGACTGGTCAAAGCAATCCACGAGACTAAGAATGCCAAATATGGGCAAGGAGTAGGTCCTATTTGGCTCAGTAATGTAGACTGCAAGGGAGGAGAGAGTTCTCTGGTCAACTGCCCCCACCGTGGTTGGGGAAATGTTGGCTCTTGTACACACGGAGACGACGCTGGCGCTAAATGCCTGCAAACAGGTGAGAAATGGGTACGCAAGGTGTACATACTTCCAGGTTGTAGTGCTCAACCTCTTTTAGGCATTTTAAATGAATCAGTTTATTCATAATAGCAAATTAATGATAACTTTTCTTTCTTTCCCATTGTAAAAACAAAAGTGTAACTCAAGCATAAATACGAGACTACAAGTGGAAAACAGTAGAAGACCACAATTAGTTTCGAAATCAGGTTTTACCTAGTCACACTAGTCACAAGACTGTATGTGATGTATGTCAGTGAATGCACTGACATATAGGTTATTTTGCAACATATCTATTTTTCCGAAAATGCCCTATATAAATGTCATTCTAAACATGAGTGAAATCAGTACGTACAAAGATCCGACTGTAAAAAGGGTCCGCCCAATTAGACTCTGCAGCTGATTTCTGCTCTCAAAGAAGGTCGCCATTTGAGGAAATGTTACGGTTCTCCAGTCCATGCGACATGCTTTATTGGCACTCAGTATGTAGCTCAAAAAAGGTCAAAGTGTATTAAAGGGATTGTCAGAGTTATCCTGGGCCCAAGAGAGGAATTAAAATTTCTTTATAACATATCTGTATTTGTAGTATGAGCTGGCCACCCGACGTTAATTTTTCCCACTCTCCTGCGAGTAGCACGCGGGTTAAGAAAAGGTATTTATGATTTTATCTGTTAGGTATACCTCGTTTAATTGAGGTTGGTTGCTACAAAGACAGCCAGTCTAACCGGGCTCTTCGTACTCTGTTCGCATATCTGAGAAGTGAAGTCGATTGGTACAATTTGCGAAGCATGGTAACAAAGTGCGCAGAAAGAGCCTGGAAACGAGGATTTAGGTATACAATCCCACAATCCTAATGTATATGTGCATAATCTTAATGATCATTACTAACAGCAGTGAATGTAGTCTTAGAGGAGAAGCTAGTTGAAATTATGAAAGGCGACTCCTTTTTTTTTAATTTGACGTACAAAACTAAAGAAAGAGTTTGCTGAGTTAGTTTATGTTTAATGTGACCAGTCCCAGTGAGTCCTCTCATACGTCACGAATTTCTTTAGTTGCTCACTGCATCAAGAAAGTTAGGTTGATAGTTCGGTGGCTTCTTAAGAATCGGGAGCTTACGCAACGACGACGGAAAAAAAGCAATAGGGTTAGGGCTTGTTTACATGGAGGTGGCCGGAACCCTTGATAGGTAAGGTAACCGGCGGCGGGTACCCCTTCAGGTCCCTAAATTATTCGCGAAATACCACCTCTAATTACTGGAACTGCTGGGAGAAGGACTTTAATAAAACTACGAATAGCAATCACAAACTAATGATACAAATAGGTAGATACAGTACGAAAGATAATAGACATTGCCCTTTTTGTGGATCCAATCTAATCGAAGACGAAGTTCACTTTCTTTTTCGTTGTCCTACGTACTCTATGATTAGGAATAATTTAATTTTTACAATAAAGTCAAGACTCTGATTCCAATATTACCCATTTACCAGTACACGTTTTATCAATGGACTGATGAACTCCTCTAATTTTTTTTATCAACATACAATTCAAGAAATATATTTCAGCTCACTTTGATCTTCGTGACAAATTATTACCAAAGTAACTTAATTAATTGCCCTATGATGTAATTTTAGTTCTTCTTCTTAAAATAGCTTTTGCAATGTATGTACTTCTATGGTCATGCAAATAACGCTCGTTGTTGCTGTTGTTGTTGTTGGTAAGCACAACTTTTTTTTCTAGGTACTTTGGGATCCAGTTCTATGGCGAATGTTGGGGTGATGTTGAAGCAGAAGCAAGGTACGCCATGCATGGTGAAGTGGATAGGAAACATTCTGAACAGAACTGCATTGAAGGTGAGATTAAAAATTTGCCGACTTTTTCTTCTCTTAACGACGCCAAACCTTCTTCATTTTCAAATGTTTCATATCCTGACCGTTTTATTTCAGACCGAACTTTTTATTCAGAACGGAAATTCAGACGAACATTTTTAAGTAGAGTCAAAACATTGTCAGAGTTAGTGGTTCCTGAATGATTGACTTGATAACTCGAAGAGATTGAGGGTAGATTTAAGCGTTTTCCTTCAGAGGCAAAATATTTACTGCTTCGAATCAGATTTGATAACGACCGTGGGTAAGATGGCATTGGCAATCCTTTACTATATGTAATTACCGATGATTAACTGCTTTATTATTTTGGAACACATTGCGTTGATTCATTGCGTTCTTTTTGTTGATAAGGTACCGGCATGCACTGGGCAAACTTTGTGTACAAATTTGCACCTTGGAGAGATCTGGGGTGTTGGAGGGATGTCATAAGTGACCGAGCATTACCTCAGTTGCTGGTAAACCTACGATCACAAATTGACTGGTTTAACATCGGCAAAACCAGTGAGTCTTGAGTGGTGTAGTAGGGAATAGTTATTTCTTTGTCTTTGTTGTTGTTGTTGTTGTTTTTTGCAAGGTGGTCTCACTAACTTGTGGGGGTATTCCGCCGGAAGAAAATAAGATTCTATCGCAAACAGGGGTCCCTGCCTCAATGAGATTCATGACTTCATAGGCGTTAATGCCGTACTCCCATGTAATTAGTGAGATTCCCCGCAAAATAGTAACCAACCCCTACCATATTACAGCCTACTGTCAGCTTGGGCATAACAAATAACTACAACACATTTCAATATAGCCATTAACTGTTTTACAAGTATAAAATTACAGTATCATATGACTCGATTTCTACAAGTCTCCCTGAGATGATTCACCAACCACTTATTAATTAAAAGCCGGGATGATTTTGATAAACTTTTTTTCCACTTAGGGACGGACTATTGAAAATAACCGAAGGAGGGGTGAAAATTTCCCAAAAAAATTCCTGCAGGGGAAACTTGTCTAAAAAAAATCCTGCAAGCGGTGATACCTAAAAACAATAAGTCATATGCCCTAGAAAGAATTCCTACAGACAAGTGGGATTATAAAAAAAAAATTCATGCACCAAACATTTTTCACCCCCCTCCCGGTTATTTCTAATCGTCCGTCCCTTATTAACGTTCACCACGCTATTAATCTCTTTGTCAACTGAGAGCAAAAACTGATTCCTTAATCTGAGTGAAACTTTCTTTTCCTGCCTCCCGCAGATAAGGTACCCTAGTGTATTGGTCCCAGCATTCAGGTGTATTTAGATATTCTTTATCCAAAGAAAGTTATCCCCAAGTGCAGGTATGGCCGGCTTTCGTAGCTAGGGAAGAAACAACTGACTTTTTTAGCACCAGACAGAAAATAACGTCTGCTGCGTTAAATTTTTTCGGGTATTAAGATAACATTGATGTAAACTTTTGTGTTCGTATAGGGAAAATTTGTATTTTCCATTTCACTCGTGGTTGTTTAACTCTTTTCAGTCGACAAATGTTATCAGGCTGCAAAGAAGGCTGGGAAAATGTACTTCGCCGTGCAGTTTTATGGGGAATGCTGGGTAGCCGACGATGATTCGACTTACATGAAGCATGGACCTAGTGCTGCTTGTTGGAGTGGCGTGGGAAAAGGATTTGCAAACTATGTCTACAAAGTGGAGTGGTAACGCACAAGGTATACGGCACAGTCTTAATATTAAAACCAGACATTTTTTGGTCAGATTTTCCTTCCAAGATAGATTCGTTGGTTTCTTTTCACTGCACACATTTGCTCTTCTCTGCCTGGGAGAAAGATTAAATGGCAAATTTTAAGTCGCCAGCTCAGGCTCTATCCATTAGCACGGAGAATGAAGCGGCCTCAACGTAAGAAAATCAAATTTTTGAAAAATACCATGAGCATATAGAAACCCATAAATGTTACTTTCTTCAACAGCATTGAGACCGTCTAAAGACGTGGGAAGCTTTTCCGTTTTATTGGGCATGTTAAAACTGAAAACTTATCAATGAGGCGTTTTAGGCATGAAATACAGCTAAACACAAGTAAAATGCAAAATGCACCTGGCGTAAACAATATCTAGACTAGACTAGTCTCTCTAGACTACGAGTAGTAGTCACTTTCTTAAAGTCATGTGTATTCTTCCTTTCTCCTGACAGGTCAATCGGACGTCGTACATCCAAACTTGAGACCACTGGTCAACAAAGTAGTTAGTAACTTAGTAGAAAATGTTTATCTTAGAATGGAACAGTTTTTTCATTACTTTCATGCAGTGTGTGTACTGTGAATAAAATAAAATTGAAGTACGAATACTTTTATGATCAATAAAATATTCCTTCACAGAGAACTCAGCAGCGGTATATTTGCCCCTTACAATTTTTACTCCTCTTAAACTTATAAACAATTAAAAAATTCAGCGAGCAAATTCATACATTTATTTTGCAATCCTAACACGCTACCAGCTTGTGAGTAACACCTGTAGAACTGCCGCAAGATCCTTGGATCTTGTTTACTGTGGCAGGAGCTGCTCCTGACTGTGGGTAATGTCGACTGAGATATCGGTCGACATAGCGGTCGACATAGCGGTCGACATAGCGGTCGACAGTCGGTCGATAGTCGGTCGATAGTCGGTCGATGGTTGGTCGATAGTCGGTCGATAGTCGGTCGATAGTCGGTCGATAGTCGGTTGATAGTGAGATAGACTATCGGCCGAGTATCGGTCGATATTTTGACGACGCACCTCGACTTACTATCGGTCATATGTCGGTGATATATCGGTGAACTGTCGGTGGTATATCAGTCAACTGTCGGTGGTATATCGGTCAACTGTCGGTGGTATATCGGTCAACTGTCGGTGGTATATCGCTCAACTGTCGTTCGAATATCAGTCGTGTGTTAATTTATCAGGTGAGTCCAATAGCTTTTTTTTAAGCAAAGACGTCATTAATTACTGTTATCATGCGATGGGGGAACATGTGGCAGTGCGAGGCGCGATTACTCTATGAAGCGAACTGAAGAGCACTGGGAACTAAGGACATGATAACCATTTTTTTTTCCAGTTTGTATCATCACCGATCGTCTGAGTTTTAGCTGTTAAACAGAACCTGTCTCAGCGTAAGTTGAATCTGCTGCTCCTGTGGTCCCGCAGTCGAAGAATACTTAATAAGGACGAGTAAAATGACTGCTCCCGCAGTCCCGAAGTGGACGAATAATGAATAGGAAAAGGCAGTTTATGACATGCTTTAAGAGCGAGGAATACACATCTTTTATTATCGGGCTTTGACCTGCTTCATCACGCCAAGTTCTCGTTTGTGCAGAGACCACAAATTAAACCTATATATTTCTGCATTGAAGACGGGAACAGTCCTTTTTTTAACGATCACTTATTGATAAACGCGCTGATAATGCGCCGAGGAAGGTGACAAAAGTATCCAGCAGACTGAACACATTCATTTATTGTGGGAATGATTTCAATTTACAGCAAGGAAAATACTCATACGTGCTCATTACATTATCCTGTCCTTTTGCTCTGTCCTTTCGCTTTATATTTATATTGTGTTCAAAACAAAGACGACCATGCGTATACAGAAATTAATATTGAATGGTAAGTCACTTCTGGTCATCCAATAAAAGGAAAACAGTATGCGCCGCGTTAACATTAATATTATCTTAATTAACTTGTTAAGGAAAAACAAGTTAAAAAAAATGAACTGTAAATACATTTTTTCATCAATGTAGTTCTGAGTCGGTTGAAAAATTCTCGGCATAGGAAAAATCAGCCAGATATAGGCCTTACACGGTGGGAATAAATCACATAACAAGAAGCTGAAGGCCTATCATTCTCACTTAGCGGACTTCTTCATGATTCAATTCTAGCCAGCTACGCGTAGCGAGACATCCCCACCCCTAAAAAAACCAGGGGAGGAAACGTCTGCGAAAAGGTGGTGGGCATCGATACAGATAGGCTAAATCCCGTCCACATGAATTAAAAGAAAAGGCTAGATAAATGACTAATAGCTATTATTCCGGAATTTTGGCTAAGTACATTGAAGTTTGAAATTAAAAAAGCAGAAACCTAATTTAAAAAAACAGTTAGGTCCAAGCTAGAAAATGCTTTCTAATTTCTTGTTTTCCAAGCCAAAAAATGTAGGAAATGCTAAGTGTCGACCGACCATCGACCGAGTGTCGACCAATTACTGACCGATACATCGGTCAAGTATCGACCAACTATCGACCAACTCGGCGAAGTATCGGCGAAGTGTCGGTGAACGAAAAGCTATATCGGCCGAGACACATCTGGAACGACTATCGACCGTGTCTCGACCGAGTGTCGACCGACTATCGACCGACTATCGACCGCTAGTGACCGAGTGTCGACCGAGTATCGACCGAGTGTCGACCGAGTATCGACCGACTGTCGACTGACTATCGACCGAGTGTCGACGGAGTATCGACCGAGTGTCGACCGCTATATCGACCGCTATATCGACCGATATCTCGGTCGACATTACTCACAGTAAACAAGATCCAGCTCCTCAAGCTCGAGTTGCATGTTCATAGACAAGAAAACCGTGCCGTAAAATTTGGCTTAATCCAGGTTAAACTTTTCTGGTGGTAACTTCATTCCATCCTCGGAGACCCAGGGGCAGTTTAATAGTCGGGATGTTCGCGGTGAAAGTTTATATTCACAAAGTTTGATTTGAGAAGACTCTGTCGATCAGTTGGGGCTACAATACTTCCAAAATTTGTAAGTTTACTTAATAGCTTTTTTATTTCCCCACCATTTTGCTAGCTCGACTATCAGCCACTGATCTGAAAATAAGCCTGAGCTCCTCTCCTAAAGGAGGGACAAGACCAGACTGCAGTCAGAAGAGCAGTGGAAATCGAGCCTACGATGTTACATGATGAGAATAACAGTAGTATTCGGGCAAGTCCCCCACCTTAGAAGAGTGCTGCTCCAATCTCTGGCAGCTTGTTCACCCGTTACTTTCAATTCACGTTATTATTTTTATATGAAACTGGTTTCTTTTAGGGGGTGCCAGTGAATTTGAGCAACGCTTAAAAAATGAAATTCTGATACCTTTTATGGGAATCTGCAGCTATCTTTCCTAGAAGGACGTTTGATATCATGAGACATTGTTCCCAGACTTCCTCGTCGTCCTGTCCTTCTCGCTTTAGGGAATGGGTAGAAGAGAGAGCCCTGGTGTGAAGTTACCACCGTAGTAGTAATAGTCATGAAGTAAAATCCCAGTAAGAGGAATCACTATAATGCAACAAGCAGCGTTAATCATTTTGTTTAACTGAGTTTAGTCTGTAAAATAGGGGGAAGACAGCACTAAAAATCATTGGTTACTGAATACTTTTGTCTCCCATCATTCCAGACAACTCCCACATCAGAGGAGATAGACCACTGTGATGAAATCAAGGTGTCAGGGATTGGTGACTCTTCGGTTACTATTTTTAAACAAGGTACTGAACTACTTTAAAATCACTCATTGATTGATTGATTGATTGATTTGCAAAAGCAACAAGAAATTTTAGGTTTACTTGTAGGTATAGTGAAGTAGATTATTCTTGCAATCAAGAGATAATAAAGTTTTAGAGAATGAATCTGTCCTATTGGCCTTAAATGATGATGCTGATGTTAGTAACGAGGAACGGGGAATTGTCAATTCGCCCTCGGTTTATTTCGATTCGCCCGATGTGTATTTGTCGTCTTTAAACCTTAGGAAAGAAATAAGCGTGAAAATACAGTGGATGTACAAATGGAATCCAAGCTTAACTAAAATAACATCTCCGATAAGTATGTTCACCCTGTCTTTGAGTTTTGTATCTCATCGGGCGAATCGACTTACTTCCGGCGGAACGCCGTCCGGCGAATTGACTTTCGGGCGAAAGGACTGCAATTTATACATTCACACCCACGCAAAAGGAGCATCTCAAGTCTCGCCACCAGTCCTACTCATTTCATCTCCTGTAATCTTGTGTCTTAGAGCGCGAGGAGACGGCTGTATCTACTGTTGTAATCCGGGGTTTCACCGAAAATATCATGGACGATATTGAGCGAGCTGTTGATGATGAAGTGAACACGTTTAAAGCGCTTACCCGCGATCATCGCTTTGTACCAGGAGCTGGTGCCACGGAAATTGAACTGGCTAAGCAGATATCCAGCTTTGGAGAGGTATGTTGAGTTGCAGGTCTTTACAAAATATGTATTCAGTGTCACTCTGCTTTTTAATTCAAAGTGGTTAAGGCTTGGTAATTATATCTGTGAAACGTGTAACTGTACAGCACACGCTTTTCCTTTGTTACAAAGATAGGTTTTAAAAGCCTACTATTGGTTTCGCAACTACAGTTGAACCTCCATGTGTGAAAAAAGCTCAAAAGTGCAAAAAAAGGGGGAGGGGGAGGGGGAGGGGGGAAACACGAAAGGTAAAAACTCCCCTCTCCCCATTCTCCTCCCTACCCGGCGCCCGTCCTTTAGACTCCTACAAGCAGGTGACGTGCGCCTCCTCTCCTAAGCGACCAGTTTGGATGGTGGCTTTGGAGAGTCTTGACCTTGTGAACTTGTATTGCGTACTAGCCGTTAATTGTTTTTCCTGTTTTCCGTCAGACTTGTGCAGGCCTTGAACAATATGCCATGGACAAATTTGCCGAATCCTTGGAGGTCATTCCCAGGACCCTCGCGGAAAATGCTGGCGTAAAGCCCACAGAGTTGATATCTAAACTCAAAGCTGCCCACCAGGGTGGGGACAAAAATGCTGGCTTTGATAACGAGGTATAGTTGAAGTATTAAATAACGTAATGTAAAATTGGACTTCAACACGGAGGTACTGAGCAGAAAAATAGAACTAACATAACTTGAAAATCTTAGGCAGTCGACACAAAAATAAAATAAATGTTAGATAATACTAAAAATTTGCAATTCGATTTAAAAAAGAGAAGAAATCCAGATAAGAATACCGTAAACTGTCGCTTATAAGCCCTGGGCTTATACAAGTTCGTAAGGGGTTTTGGGTGGGCTTATAAACGGGGGGGCTTATATCCGGATGGGCTTATAAGCGGACGAAACAAAAACGTTTCGAAATAAGCAACAGCACTGTTGATCGACGTATGATTTAAATTTATTACTCTTACAATTGAAGCCTTAAAAGGGCAGCAATAAATCGAATTCAGTTAAATTACAAAACAAAATCAAAACTGTAAATGGGGCTTATATCCGGATGGGCTTATAATCGGATGTATTTTTTTGGGTAGGCCTATAACCGGGGGGGGGGGCTTATAAGCGGATGGGCTTTATAAGCGGCAGTTTACGGTATGCTTAATATAGTGCACAAGCTAAAAATTATATAGCTAAAAATATATATATATTTACCAATCCTGATTCCAGTTGTTTGATAAAGTTTTTGTTTTGTTGCCGACCGTATTTGGTCTGTTAAATTGTTCCTCATTTTTGGGTCATCGTTTGTGAATGTGTTAGCGTAGAATCTTGGGTTTTTTGTTTTGACCTTTTATTTACAGGGGAATCATGACTTTCAAACGCCTTTTTGGGAAAAGCTAATTAGACCGAATTATCAAGAGGTGCGAAAAATCGGGGATGAAATAGGCCATTTCCGAGAGGGGATAAGTTCTAATCGAACGTGGTGACACTGACAAATATGATCTGACATACCTTTGGATGTTGTTTTTCTTAGGGTGGTGGAGCTGCAGTAAAAGACGCAGTAAATGCAGGAATCTTAGACTTGTATCTTGTAAAGCACTGGGCTATCAAGTTCGCCACTGATGCAGCTGTTGCAGTACTGAGAGTGGATCAGGTAAGGGAACACATTTGTGTCGTACCGTAGCTGTTCAACAAAATTCTCGTCTTTAAATCCAGGTTATACAATTATCTTTGTCCTGATTAAGACCTTGAAGACCTAAATTTTAAGTGTTTGTCTCATGGAGTTCATTAGCAACCTTTAGATTGGATTATGGTGACACGTTAGTTTTTTAATCCAGTTATTTTCCCAAGATTTTCTCCTTTCTGTTGCTGGCCAGAATATGAGACGTAAGAGGTATAATTGGCGTTGCAACTGATCATCTTAAGAGCCGCTAGTCGATCTGGTGATGGTAGTCCAATCCAGAAGTCCTCAGTTTTTTACAAGCCGAACTCAGGCATTGGTTATATGCTTTATAGAGGAGAGAACAGGGCTGTCTTTAAGAGGTGCGGGCCGGGGATTTCCCCCGGCTACTTTCCAAGGGAAATAGAAGAAAAATAGAACCAAAAGAAATCCGTAGCCGTTTGATTCCCCGCCTACTTGTTGTATTACCTGACGACTTGAAATCTTAGTGAAAAACCTGGGGGACGCAATGACGTCGCAAAAAGTAGAATTGGTGAAAGGGGTTGGTTGACAGGTCCAGAAAGAAAAGGTGAAAAATGTCCACTTGCTAAAAATCAGCCAGTTACAAAGTAATTTTCAAGGAGTTATAATAACTCCTCTAGAGGGGTTAATTTAACTCCTTACGGTGGAGTTATTTTTTGGGGGAGTTATTTTAACTCCATAAAGGAGTTTAAAGAACTCTTTTTCAGGAGTAAAAATCACCCCAAATTTGGAGTTAAATTAGGGGTTAAAGTAACCCCATAAAAGGGGTTATCCTGTACCTAAAATAACTTTTACTCCATCTTTGGATTTATATTAACTCTCTAAAAAGTACTGTGTATACTACAAATTAGTGGTAAGATGTAAGCATCGTTATGCGCCGTTGACTCCG